TTCCTCTCGTACTAAGATTTACTACTGGCACCGAAATTGGTTAGTAGGGTAAAACTAACCTGTCTCACGACGGTCTAAACCCAGCTCACGTTCCCTGTTAGTGGGTGAACAATCCAACACTTTGCGAATTCTGCTTCGCAATGATAGGAAGAGCCGACATCGAAGGATCAAAAAGCCACGTCGCTATGAACGCTTGGCGGCCACAAGCCAGTTATCCCTATGGTAATTTTTCTGACACCTCTAGCCTCAAACTTTGAGATCCTGTATTGCTACAGAAACTAAAGGATCGCTGGGACATGCTTTCGCATCTAATACCTTTACTGGAGGTATTAGTCAAGCCATCTATTGGCCTTATCCGCAACACAAGGTTTCTGACCTTGTTGTGATGACCTTTGTACACCTGCGTTATCTTTTAACAGATGTGCCGCCCCAGCCAAACTCCCCACCTGGCGATGTTCTCCATCGATCATGAACTCGGTATCTTTTTACCAAAAAAGTGTATCGCTACACTCGTTCTCTTATGAAGTTAGTAGAATAACAATAAGGAGTAGTGGTATTACATTGTCGCCGAAGCTCCCACCTATACTATACCTCCTTCGTTATTCTACAACGCCAGACTAGAGTCAAACTGTTGTGCTTTCAATGAATTGATGAGTAACAAATCAGTGAGTAATCAAGCAAATAGTGGGAACAGGTTTCACAAGAAGGATGATTTGCATCTGAATGCATGAGTGGAAATACCACAAAAAATTCATATATGGAAATCTAAGGTTTATTGGAACAAATTGGGGGTTTCTGATACGACTTTCTCAGACTTTGTCATCGAGCTTGTAGTTGCTACTTGTCGTGAAGTTTTGTTATTGTCTGTGGTGGATGTTGTCACGTCCATTTCAATCATCATTAAATCTTCATTGATGGATGACAAATCTTCACCACCACCAAGACCACGAGAAGTACTTGTGGTCTTGGTTTTTAACTTGTTCTTAAACTTGGCTCCCGTATCTTTGATTTTCTTAGCTTTCTTTTTTCTTCGTTCCAATGAGAACAGATTTGAAAAGACATCGTTAATTGTTTCCTTCTTGTTGGTGATCGATGAAGTCAAATCGGTTGTATTCTGAGTTTCGTCATCCAATTCATCTACATCCAATCCAAAAACAATAGTTTCCATCATTTGCTCACTCACTTTAGAGTCATTTCCTTCATTGGTTGCCAATAAGTTCTTAATTTCTTCCAGTTTTTCCTTAATCTTCTTCTCTTCCTTCTTTTTTCTCGTTCGAATGTCCCACAACACTGCCAAGACCAAAACGGCAGAAGTTAAAACGAAAATAATGATCGTCAATACTAGAGCAAAAGTTCGAATCCATAACACTCCTTGCAATGATGAAACATCATAGAAAAAGACCACTCCCAAAAACAGTGTGAATAAGGTCGCCACCAATGTCACATATTCAATCAAATTATGCATCTTTTTCGAATATGGAACTAATTGCATGTGAATCACAAATGAAATGAAAATTAAAATAAATCCCAAAGCAATCACTTGAAGTGGAGCTAAAAACACGTAGAGAACTGAGAAGACCAATTTTCTCACAGTAATAATACTCTCATAATAGAAATATCTAGGTTTAAATTTGGTGAAGAGGAATTTAAATCTCTGAATGAAATCATCATCTCCTGACAACTTCACTTTTCTGTAACGAATTCCTGTATAAATGAAAAAGACAGCAGCTCCCAATCCGAACAAAATAAAGTAAATCACAGAGAAGGGGAACATGATCCACCAACTTCCTTCAAAACAGGTAATGTGAGGTGCTTGTTCCAAGTTCTTAGTTCCATCGTTTTGTCCCTTACAGAGGAAGATATCCACTGAGGTCTGTATGATATACATGTATGCCAGAGAAAGGAAGGTAATGAACGAATGAATACAATTATTCATGAATTTCTTCATTTCCTTTCTTAGTAAATACGTGGTGAGAGACCAAATGATTTTGTGTTGAAACTTGTAAATGGCCACTTTTAAGGAATAATAGAATCCCGAAATAAAGAATTTAAATTTCTTGAGTTTGGATTCAAGCTTGGCTTCTTTCTCATTGCGTTGAATGAGTTCATGATAGAGTGAAGTGACTGGCCATTTCTTCCATTTAATTCGATGTCCTACCCATTTGGCAAATAAATTTCTCAACTCTCCCAATCCATATAAAAACACAAAGAGTGCCAATAACATGATTGGAATACACATCTTTAAAATCCATTGAGGAACAAATCCAATTGGAAATACACATTGGAATTGAATAAAATCAAAATTGAAGGTTGAAGCAGAAGATGCTGTGAAAAGTCCTGAAATCTCTGTTGGTAATTGTAAATCAAATTTCGTCCACATGCTATTCACTTGGAAGAAGAAGAGAGCAATCGAAAGTGAGGAAATGTGATGAACTTTGACTGAAGAAATCATAAAGAATATGACAGCAATGACTGCGACACCACCAATCAAGAGGGCCAAGAAGAGAGGAGCCAATGCTGAACATTTTTGACAAGATCTTGAACTTCGATAATATCCTTCTTCACATAAACCACACACATAACCAGTATAACCTTCGGTACAATTTTCAAACTGACCTTCACCACATGAACTGCTTGGAATGCATTCATAAAAGTTGTAAGGATTGTAACCTGATGCATTCGAATGCCAATACCCTGAAAGTGCTGTTGGATAGGTCGTATTAAAAAATGAGCATTTGGCTCCTTTTGGACATGGTTCACACCGTGATTTGAATACATCATAATAGTACTTGAAAGCAGGACATCCACAGTCATTGATGGAAACAGCTCCCGTGCTTTGTGTGGTTTGAAGTGAAGGACATTTAGTGCAATAGGTGGAGCCAAAAGAGGAAGTGTAAGATCCAACATCACATGCAATACAAGGTCCACCAGTGTAATTTTTGTAAAAACCTGGTTGACATGGTTTACATAATTCAGCAAAGGAAGATTGTTCATAACCAGGTCCACATCCAATATATGTGAATTTGTTTGCTGCTTTCACATAATTCAACGAATTTCTTGAAAGGAAAACTTCAACTTCAGAGACAGGATTTGATGTACCATTACATGTCACAATATTCGATGAAATTCGAGTACAAGCAACAGTTTCTCGAGAGCCAAACTTGACACGGAATTTCATTCTGCCTTGTGCAAGATATACTTCTTCTTTTGGATGAATTGGGAAATTACCATAAAAAGTGGATTGGAATTGACCTGTGGTCAGACCTTGCAATGGAGTGAAGGAATCAATTCTAATTTGTTTGTAAAGAGGAACATTGACATTTTCTCTACTTTCATCTAAATTGGATTTTAAGGAGAGAACTGCTTCCATAGTATTTTCAAGTTGCAATGCTGACACTAACATTTGAGTATTCACAGAACAGCTGATTGAGAAATCATCAATAAAGTTGGCATTGATGACATAGGTATCATTGGAGTCACGGAAAGGTCTGAAAATACAAAAGGTGTTGTTTGGGTAGATGGAAGACGCCTTAATTTCCATTCCATTCATTTCATCCAAAATTGGTAAATCCATTGGAACTACGCTGACAATGACTGGTGGATCAGCAATCGAGTCGTCATAGACAAGATCATTTGAGATATATTGATCATCTCCGAGAATGGAAATTCCAAGACTTAATGTCGATGGGAAACGGACCATACTCTTATCGACTGTTAATAAAGTGGATACTGATGGAGCTGTTAAGGATAATTGTGAAACAGTTGAAATAGATCTAGCGCCATTCGTGATAGTCGCTCGAGAGGCAATTCCATAATAGGGAGTGAAGAATTGAGGATAAGAAGGGGATGAAATTTTGAATTTGATTGGAATAGAGTCATCAATGAGTAATGCATTAAGGAAGGTAATTTTGAATGGTGTACCCGCAAAGGTAGAAGCTTTTGATTTTTGATATTGATTGGTGATGGTAAAGCTAAATTGTTGATACATGGTCACTTTGTTATTTCCATCATTGACAACTGACAGGTAATGGAGGTTATCAAATGAAATTGAGAAGAGTGTCAATGTAGAAACAAATTGAACCACTGGTACATGATCTAGAGTGATGATGAATGAAGTGGGTGAGGTCCATTGAACTGAAGTTGCAAGTGTCGCACCGACAATATCCGGGCATGAAATTTGCAAGTAAACCTTTGGAATATTGGACAAATGACCATTAGATACGGTTGCAGGTAATGTAATGCTTAATGTAGTGCTTGCTCCTTGTTGAATTTGTTTGTGTGAGAGCGAAATTGGTATTTGTTTCAATTTCGTATTCTTGTTGAATAAAAGAACCTTTTGCGCTAAATAGAAGATTTTTGAGGAAGCCATTTTCTCAATTCTCATTCGATCAAATTCATAAAATTCAACATCAAAACTATTTGTGAACACCACTTGTGACCAATCCAATACACATATTCCTTGATTCGTACAGCTCATCGAAATAAAATCTTGTTTCAAGATACCAGAAGTATTAGTTCTCAAAAGAGCAATTTCAATATTGGAAGAGTTGAAACCAGCATTGATCATGGACACTTGATTCAATCCATCTGAAAAGAATAAATAGTTTGAAAGTTGAATGCTACTAATACTTCCTTCAATCATTGAAAATTTTGCTTTGGGAGATGTGATAAATGTGAATCCATCGTCAATTGAAACCGAGAAGGAAATAATTCGAGGGAAAATCAAGTCGTGATACCACATGAGTGGTGTGCGAGTTTCAATTAAATGTCCACCGTAGATGACTGCATCCAAAATTGAAGAAATGGTTCCATCGTCAAATTTGACCTTACAGGAATAGGAATTAATGACTAAACCGGAAGTATTCAGCGAAATTTCCATCACTTTTTGAACATTGGATGCAACGACATACAAGTTCTTATCCTTTTGAGAAGTATCAATGGTAAACGAATCGATAGTGATCTGAGATGGATCGTATGGATAGACGAATGGAAGAGACACTGACGCTCCAGATCCAAACATTAAATTGGCACTAAATGAGGAGAAAGAGGTTGAGGAGGAAGGAATCCAAACATTCTCAACCGTAAGCAGTGAAGAACTCATCCATCGTGCAGGGAAATTCAATTGAGTGGAATTCTTACTCAAGCTCAATGTGACACTATCTCTACTGAAGAAATATGAACCAGAAATGTCTAGAGATATTTTAGTATCCATCACAAGGTAATTTCGTTTCAAAGTAGCAGTAGGTTTGTTGTATAAAATCAAGTCACCTCGTAGTCGAAATGCTAGTTGAGAATTGATCAATAACTGTGGAATGGTCGTGATGGCCTTTTCTGTCTTGTAAGAGAGGTAAGGTTTGGTGCAATTAAGGAAAGGACTATTGTTGGTTGGTTGAGTACAGGGAGCTGTTCCAATCAATCTCTGCTTATCGTAAATACCAATTTCAAAGTTGTAGCCATCAAAGCTTCCTCCAAATGGAATTGGAAGAAAAGAATTCATTGGAATGACTGTTGGGTATTCCAAAAACGAAATGACTGGATCCAAAGTGAAAGACTCATTAAATGTCACAAAGAAATTCTTTGAAGCATATAAATTTCTTCCCATCCATGTCAAAACAATGTTTCTATTTCCTTTCAATAGATTTCCATTTGCATCTCGTTGTGGTTTAACCACACATTTTTGATCTTTAGTCATATTGACCTTGGTGGATCCATATTCACACATGATTTGGAAATCCTCAGCATTAAGACTTGTACTCGTGAACAAGAATTGTTGATCCACTCCATTGGCATAGCGATAATCAGCAACAAAGGGAGAAATGTGCGAAATGTTAAATTCAGATTTTGGTACAAATAAAACCATATCGTCGGAAGTCACAAAACATTTCCTGTTGGATGCATTATTTGTGAATTGAATTGCGCTTGCTAAATAGGAAGGTATTTTGGAGATGAGGTTTAGGACCGAGTCGAATTTACATTTCGAAGCTGAAGCACATTCTAATGGAACAGTGTTCAAATCAGCAATGTTTTGGGATTTTGTGTATGGCACTGCAACAATGGTTTGAGTCAAATTATATGTTTTTGAAATTGGAACATAGTAATTGACGAGCTCAAAATTAGAAGTTAAAACAGACTGTGTAAGAATCTCGAGTGGTGGTGTCCAAGAAAGTTTGCTCCTAAAGAGAACCAATTCGACTGCATTGGAGGAAATGTTCAAAAGATTGTTTCCTCCCAAATCAATGACAAGAGAAGTCATGACATTGTCACCCAAGAAAGAGGCATCATTGGTGAACGAGCAATCGATTAAATTGTTTTGACGTTTCGAAACCTTGACCATTTGTCGGATCATGTCACCTTCTTGGAAAACGCATGAAAGTGACTGTGGAAGAAAGTTCAATGGAATCGAATAGGAAACAGTTGACTGAGAACCTCTTGCTGTTGATAAGTAATAGGTCACAAATGGTTGAATGTACTCAATGGTTTGGTATTGATCAATAAATGAAATCTCCATTGCGTTGGTCAAGGAGTCATCATTAGAACCAATTGTAAACTTAATTTGAATAGTAAAGACACCTGATACTAAATTTCCTACGTTGAATGGACATGAAATGGTCTTACTATTCTTATAAATACCTTGTTTTCGTTCAGTGAGCCCTGTTTGGGAATTTTTCAACACACACGAATACCCTTCAGAAATTGGAACAAATGAATCGTTGGCATTAAGAGTAACATCCATGTTTCCAATCGTTGAAATAAAAGCATAGGGAGAAACATTTTCAAGTTCCATGATCTTTGAAGGAAGCCATAAAAACGAAAGAACATTGGAGGATATTTTCATGGCTCCATTTTCAGCAATCTCATTCAAATACCATACTTCGAGTAAAGTTTGATAGATTTGTGTGTAATCAAAGAAAGATCCCTTAGTAACTGTACATGTGAAAGTGATCAAGCTCGGAGTTACAGAGGTGATAGTTGCCACAGAAAAAGTACTCTTGTCTTTTTGATAACATTGAATGGATCCATCGTATCCTCCATTTTCTAACATGAAAGTGGTTGCCAAATTGTTAGTGATGGAAAGAGTAATGGTTTCGATACTTGATTTTGATCCTCGTTTGCTATTTGGATCGTAATTGAGAGTGACAAGATCTGCATTGTTAATGACCACTTGTTTCTGAGCAACTTGTGAAGGTATGTCAATGATTGGAGTGAGCATGTTGTAATTGACATATTGAAGTTGAACACTTTCTTGAAGTCTAGAAGTTTGAACAGCTAATTGAGTCTCAAGATTTGAATATTTCGAAGAGGAAGGTAACATTGCCAGTCCAGTATTTGACAAATAAATGGCAAAGTTTCCTTGAGGTAATTGACTCGAAATTACTCTTGAATCACCATTAATGGTGACATTAAATTTCTTGAGATCATTTCTATTCGCTGATTTTTGAACAATTAATGGTCTAATTTGTTCAACATAGAGGTACGTGGTTGGAACCCATCCTAATGAGAAATTCGAAACATATAACATGTCTGGGCTTGTGTAGATCTTCATTTCGTATTCTTGGAAGGAATTAACAGTTGCAGCATCCATTACAGGAAGAGTGCAGTTCAAGATTGGATAATCATTGACCACTAATTGTTTCTCACAAGAGAAGACAATGTTTGGTTGAGAAATTTTGCCAATAAATTGATTGTAAAAATCCAAGTTTGAAATTCCAGAGAGTGTCGCATATTTTGAAACTTTGAATGGTGACACATGTCGATTATTGACTTCAGATCGCAATCCATAGGATGTTGGTTGTAAAAACAATCCGTCAAGTACCATATAACTCAAGGGAATTATATTCAATGGTAAAGTTGTACCGTCTTTGGTAACAAATAAATCAATTTGAACTTCTCCAACATCAGGTGTCTTGATCAAACACTCAAAAGCTTCATTGTTGAATATGGATGCAGATGAAGTATATTTGTAAACATTTACATCCACTCTTGGTTTGTAATCATATTTGCAATGAAAAGCAACTTTTCCATCTTGCTGCAAAGAGGCATCTGGAGAAAAGAGTAAAAAGTTGAAATTGGAATAAATTTGAACACTTCTCTCGGTGGATTCAACACCAAAAGACGGAACGCTCCTAGAAATGGTTATTCTTCTCACAAATGTCATGACAAGATCAGAAATTTGAGTCAAAATGTAATCATCTGAAGTGAGAGCTCGAGAGTTGGATGAAGAAGATTTCACAACCTTAACGAGACGGAAAGGAACATAACCTTCATAGTCATTGGATGGATAAAACGAGAGTTGGAATTTGTAATCATTTCCAGACTTTCCAAGATAAAGGATGGACTCAATCAGTTTGTCCTTTCCAAGAATTCCAAATTCCTTTCTCAAATCATACAAAGTACCATCTTGGGAAAAGTTGGTATTGGTCACTAAAATGGTAATATTCACCAACGAAAAAGAGTCCAAAGTATAATATAATGTACTTTGTGGAATTTGTGGGTCCAACATGATTTTGGGTGCAGAAATTACTTCAAAATCTTTGGAGGCATCTTCCTCATTCACTAATAACTGATTTGCTGTTCGATACTTGTTATTTGATTCAAAATAAACTTTGATAGATTTTCTTCCAAGACTCAAAGAATTAAAGTTGCATTTGACGCCCTTGGATCCAACATTGATCGCAGAATAATTACCATCTTGAACTACACAACTTAATTTGAACTCTTTCGTATCGAATTGATCAAAGAAGTTTTGAGAAAGTATGACAGTGGTGTTGAGTTGAGAATTTTGAAGCAACAAAGTTGGTTGAACGCTATCCAGAGATACCTTCTTGAATATTACAAGTGGAAGTCCAATTTTTGTAATGGTGACATTACCGTCCAACAAGGATAACTTTTCTTGATAAAAGGCTGTTCCTAAATACGATAATTGAATCGGACAAGTGAAAGTTTTCTGATCATAGGTGCAAGGATACGCAACATTCATAAATTGAAGAGCATATGAATTGTTGATGGGTTTTGGAATGGTCACATCTGTGGAAATGGTGAAATTTTGCAAATTGTTGGATTGAATCAAAATGTTTGGAACTGTGAATAATTCTCGAATGAAAATCGTAGAAGGAAGATCGTCCACAGTAAAATCAATTCCATTAAAAGATGTCATGACACGAGAAACCAGATCTGTTGGAGTTGAAGGAACAAGAATATTGTTGGATTGTATGACTCTTCGACTTCCTTCATCGATGATATTGATTGGAACAAAATCAGTGTTCATCTTTAACTTGTACGAGAAATCAGTGTTCAAATAATACTTGGTTAAAATTCTCAAATTGGGAATATTCTCTCCCAATGTTAAATCGAAAATAAAAGGTAGATAATTGCTAATCTCAATTCTTGGATTGTACACAAATTTTTCCACACGTAATGCCTGACTTTGCACAAAATTTCCATTCATTAAGGACACCAAAATTTGATATTGTTGAAGAACAGGTGCAGTCATGTAAGGTGTGGAATAACTTGCTTGACATGTTTTTGAGCCTGAAAAATCACAGTTGGTGATTAGAGTACTAATGTTTGGAGTCGAAGAAATTAGAGAGTAATTCAACGTTAATTGTTTGTAAGGTGTGAATAAATTAAAATTGATCGAAATGGATCTATTTTTCTCTAAAATTGGGTATCCTGAGAATTGATAGGTGATCCAATCTTTGTAAGTATAGTGAACTGCTCTTGTAGAAATTTCAATTAACGCTTGTTCTTCAGGAACATAGGAACCCAATGATATTTCAAACGGACCAGACCTTGTAGATGGATCAAAAGCTTTGAATTCACAAATCAATTGATTTCCATCAAAGGAGCCAGAGCTCATGGTTGTCGATATAAAAGGCAAGTCAGCCCCAACATCAAACAAGAGACATTCCACATGTGACTTAAATCGAGGTTGTTGTGGAGTATTAAGAGTCATGAATAAGGCCGAATCATTGGTCAACATCTGGGTCGAAATGATTCCATCCACTGGAACGTGAGTCACAAAAGGCCAAGTGGAATCTAAGGTTTTTTGAGATAAAAATCGAACAATAAACGCTGGACCAAATGTATAATTCATCGATTGATGTTGTGCCAATAAATCGAAGGAATGCAACACTCCAGACATCACACGAATGTCTGAGAAGGTACATTTCGTCATGTAATAGGATCCAAAGTGAATGGTCGAAATATTGTTACTGTACACTGAATCGTTGCTTCCAAGAGAAGAACGTAATGCACATGAATACGAAATGCTGTACAAAGAATCTGAGTAAAAGAGAGGTCCATAATGATACATGTAGAGAGTGTAGGATTGTTGATTCTCCAGACCAAACAATGGTTTCACTTCGTAGGAGGTGTAATTCAAAACAAGCATTTTCAGAGGCACTGTTGCTGTTTGTCCATCTCCACAAATATAAATATCAGTATATCCAATAGAACGAGCATAGACCATAGCGGACATGATATTATCAGGCTTGTAGTTAGATCGTTCTTTCATAATGTCACCATAGCTATCGAAAACACATATGGAGAATCTTGATAGTTCGCTCTCTGGTATTTGGAAGGGAGTCAACAATTGGATACTAACTGTTGTGGGTAATGGTGGTGAGCTCATGTCATATCTTCTGTATGTGAGTTTAGAAGAGTCTGGAGTGAACGTAAGATTCATGTTTCGAGTGACATGATAGAATGTCAACACATTACTCGAGATACTCAACCAATTTCCATTATTAAAGAGATCAATTTTAACATCTACTCGAAGATCCAAAGTTTCAGGACTTCTTTTTGCCAATCCAGTGATGTTACAATTAAAAACGCTATTGGAATAATAAGCCAAGAATGACTCATTTCGAGCTGTATTGAAACAGCGGTATTGGATCTGCGTGGAAGGTAAATTTGTAGTCAGTGGACGATCTGTTGACAATGAAACCACAACATTGTCATCAAAGCTGAGTAATGGACTGACTCTTTGCAATACAAAAGGATTGTAAACCAATTGAGTGAAATATTGTGAGAGAGAAGCCCCGTTCAAAAACAATTCCAAATTCTGTTGGTATAAATCCATCGTAATTGGTTGCGAATTGAAAGAACTAATTTTCAAATTGGTACCAGTGGTGTTCACACGATAAACCACAAGATCATTCTCTCTAAATTCCAAATTTTCATTCATCAGGAAATTTTGCAATTCACTTGATTGTCCATAGCTATTCATGATTGGATATTCAGTTGCGTATTTCTGAATAATGTTTGGAGTTAAGGTAAAGTTGAGAACATAAACTCTAAATTCACCAATTTTGTATGATGAAAAGTTGTTGTGAGGGAAAGCATAGAGCTCAACAGTAATATTTTGGTTATACTCAACTCCACTTCGTACCGTGCAAGTTCCAATCGAAGGTACTGTGACATTTTGAACTAAAAGAGTATTTCCAAAAACAGTTTTGCAATAAATATTGTTAAAGCTCAAAAAATCTGGCAACAAGCTACTTTCAAGAGCGACGATATTTTCACTATCTCTTTGAACAATATAGGGATATGTCTTGAAATTTGGTAGAGTTCTAAAATATTCAATTTTCAATGTACCTCTCAGTTTTTGTTTCGCTGGAACGAAGTTGTCATACTTATAGATTAATCCAAACTCTAAATATTGAACATCATAATCAAGAAAGAGCTTTTCTTTAAAGTTGTCCAATAATAAGTTCACATGTTCGTCGTTTCTATCAACCATTAGAGATCCAAAGTCATTCATATCAAGTGTGGAACCATTTGGAAATTGGAAATAATAAGAAAGTCTTGATTTTTCCATAGTTAAAAAGTCCAAACAATTCAAAATTTTACATCCATTACAAATATTTAAAGGAATGGATAATTGTGCAGAGTCAAAGAATTGAGTAAATACAAGTTTAGACTTTCTAAATGTTAAAGATTTGCACCAAGTATTATTGAAAGATGGAAGCATGCAATAAATGTAAGAGTTGGTAAAATCATAGTGCGTTGGATGCAACAAATAATCTTCGAAAGGAATATCGCAAACATTTGTGTTCGAAAGATTGACAAAAATGTCATTTCGGTAAGTAATAATGCTTGTGTCGAAATAGCTTGCTGATTGTTCCAAGTTGACGTTGTTTGATAGATCGATCAAACTTAATGAGTTTCTAAAGTTGAATGTTTGGTGAATCGGATATTGAATTGAACTGATTGAATTGCTTTTGAATGCTTGAACATTCTTGAATGCATCATCGTTGAGGATTGGATACAAGCTATAATTAAAGAAAGAGTTGAGTCGAATTTCTGAGATCATACCATTTACAGTCGAACAAATTCCTGTTGAACAAAGGTCGTTCAATGCTTGAAATGATTGTGCATTCTTTGGAGTGATTGAATTGACAGAGTAAACGTTCAACATTCGATTTTTTTGTTCAGACTCTAAATAAGCGGTTGCGTTGACGTAGCCATCAGGATAAAGCTGATCATCCATTTTCACATAGACTTTCAGCCATTGATTTTCGACATTCGTGTCCAATGAGAAACTATTCACTGTATAAACCACATTTACCTTCACTTGTGTGTCCGTGTGAAGTTTTATAACATTCCTACTCAAAAGAGAGTTGTCACCTTCTCCTGGAATAGACAGAATGAAATTCACTGGCTTTGTGACAGAAATAGAGTCATCCGATTGTAAAAAAGTAAGAGTGATATTAGCAGAGGAATAAGAGCCCATTGAAAATACAAATTCTGTCCATTCTGAAGAAGGAAGTTTGGAGGAGAAAGTCATCACTGCAGACAAAGTGTTTCTGCTTGTATTGAATCCATAAGGAGAATTTCCAAAAAGCTCAAACTTGGATGTATCGAAATATTGTGTCACCTTTGAACCCATGTTGTTGAAAAAAGTAGTGGTTACACGTTTGGCAGTTGTTGAGATTTCTGGATTGGTATTGATTTCACATGTAGTACCACTAAAGTTGACTCCATTGCATGTACAAACAGAATTTGAAAAAGTACCTCTATGGTAACAATGGCTTTGCTTTGTGATCATGAATCCAAACCTGTCATTTGCTTGTATCGTTTCGAAAAGATTTCCAAAAGTACTGAACCATTCAATTGGAACAATATTTCCCATGTTATCTGGCTTGTTCAATAAGCTGCCTGATCCAAAATAGGTCAGTCCAATTGAGGTATTGTAATAAAAGTTCAACTCTGAAGATTGTGTAAAGAAAAATACACCACTTTTCACTCCATAATGCACGGAAGGAGTTAAACCATAAAGTGGAACATCATTTCCAAAACCGGAGCAACCCTTCTTGTTTTTACCAAAGCAGTACCAAGTTTCTGATGTTTTTCCATTCTTAAGACACATGGTCGAGTGATACTTGTCAGGTATTTGAGAAATGTCAAAGGTTGAGGTCAAATTAAAGAATGGCAACAATCTCTTCACAACTCCCTTTTGATCATAATCATAGGGAATTTGAACTTTTCCACAACCAATAACTCCTCCATCCATGGTAAATATTAAGGTTGCATTGTGTCCTAACACAATTTTTTGTTTAACAACATCATAAGGTGAAAAGTCAACCACTGTTGGTATTGAGATTTGTGTTGTGGCTGAAGAATTGCAACATTGACCATGTTGATTGTTACCCCACGAATAAACAACACCATTCTCAGAAACAGCAAAGCAATGATATGAATTACAATTCACATAAACAATTTTGGTAAAAGCAAGAGAATCAATGGGTGTTAAAAAATACCTCGGAGTTCTGTCTCCTAATCCTAATTGACCAAATTGATTATCTCCGACACTGAACAATTTTCCATTTGCTGTTAGAACAATTACAAAATTTTTTCCTGAAGTGATGGATTTGAAGTTTTCTCCACGATATCTCAATGGAAGTAAAAGAATGTTGTTTGGAGTTAAGCCAATCAAGGGATTCTTACTGGCCCCTCCAATTCCATGCATTCCGTAGACATTGTCTCCCAAACTCTTGGCTCTAAAATCATCCTGAATGAATACAGAAAATGTTTCTCCAGTTGCATGAGCAATGACATTTGTGGTGACATTATTGAGGAAAATACTGGACGATCTTGCATCTCCGCCATTCAAGTATTGAGGACTTCCAAACAAATTCAATTCATTAACAATTGGTGTGTTTGATGAAGGAGGTGCACAAATATTTGGACCAATGCATGAGGTTCCATAATTGGACACACAATCAGTGTCACATTGGGTGATATTACAACTAGCTCCTGTATAACCTTCGTCACAAATGCAAGAATCTGTGGCAAGATTGAAACTTCCTCTGAGACATGTAATTGAACTTTTAAGAGAATTGGTAGGAACAACAATTCCTAAAATATCATTTCCCATGACAGACACTACAAGAGTGGTGCTGTTTTCTTGTGAGAGAGGTTTTCGTGGTGATGATGAAATTTGTGTGAATACACCATTTCTATTCTTGGTAATGACGATATCATTTCTAATGGTATAAATAAATTCTCCATCATCCAATGTGTTGTTCAATAATGTTGGATAAATCAAATATTGTTCAATCGGATCGATATTTAACAAATCTCTTCCCATCATGTACCATTTAAAATTACTTAATTGCAAGAATGTAGCTTGCTCGCTATTTTTAACATCCAAAACAGGCAATTCAACAAGCAGAGGAACAATGTAATCCTTAATATCCATACTATGTCCAAGACCTAACTGGAAATTGTTGTTTGAGCCAATTCCAAAAACAGTTCCAAATTGATTCACAAATAAAGTGAAGTTATTTGAAGGATATACTTTCGTCACTTTGCCATGAATGTTATTATTCCATAGAGAAACCTTCACTGGCTGAGATTCAAAGGTACCTCTCGTCTTGTAATCGCTCAATCCCAATTGATTGAACTGATTGTCAAACAAACCAAATAGAGTTCCGCTAGTGTCAATATAAAAACATGTTTGTCCAGAACAAAATAATGATTTGACATTGTTGGCAATGAACAGGATATTTGAACCATTCACAAATATCTTTGAGGTTTGATAGAGAGATCCATCATTATACAAGACCACTGATTGTTGATACATTGGAAATACTGCACTAATGTTACTATTGATTTTCAGAGCTAATTTTTCAAATAAGACTGATCGTTGAATGGTATCCATCAGCATATTTGCGCTTGCAATGCCATTACCAAACTGTCCATAGATATTATTGTTCGATCCAAACACATAAACTGTTTGCTTGTTCAATAAAGAGGTCATCATTGAGTGGGTAGCTCCACTTCTCAAATTGTTAAAGTCGAATAGTCTTGAACTTGGAGCAAATTTGGAAAGAAGCTTTCCTCTTGAAAAACTGATCACAGATCGAATCGGTGCTACGAATTGACACTGATCTCCATAATAACCTTCAGTTCCACAATAACATTGATTTGGACGGTTTGCAAAATTGTCAGCATTCGATGCATTGCAAACGAGTTGAGAAGCATTGTCAAATTGGTGACATGCAAATCCTGTGTAACCTGGATAGCAAGAGCATTTCAAAGATGAATAATTATAGTATCCTCCCAAAGTGCTACAGTAAGCTCTAAACTTTCCAAAAGTTGTGTTGAATCCAGTTTGATGCTCTACTCGTTGTAAGAATGATGCGGTGTCACATCCATTGCTGGATTGGCCGTTCACAATCACACACTTGTTATTGGTTTGAATTTCACTCAAAATTGGGTCAATATAAGTCAATGGAATGATTGTAGGCGATGGAAACACAACTTCACCTCCAACGGTGAGTACAGATGATAATTGTTTGAATTGATTCGAACCCCATGCATATGCAGCTGTGGCGTTTTGATAAATGACGTGAAAGAGTTGATAGCCTGTGGAAATATCAAAATCAGAAGATCGAAGAGTTGGAATTTTGGTGGGAGTGGTTACGACTACATTTTCATCCGTAATTCCCAAACCTAAAACAAATCCAACATTTGCACCATTGACATACAAGTCACCAGATTCTGTTCCTAAAAACAAGGCATAGGCAGTTGTTGTCATCTTGACCACTTTCAGTGGTAATGGAATTTGTGTGAAATGGTGAATAATGGGATCACTAATTCCCAAGCCACATTGATGATTTAAATTCAATCCAGCACAATATACAGATCCATCTTGAAAGAGTACAGCTGTGAAATTCAATCCAAATGAAAATGCTTTCACTGGAGAGGTTTGTTGAATGTAATTCGTCAGAAATGGATGCACCATTGGTAAGAGAGAATTTTGTCCAACATAATCCAATCCCAATCCTAATTGATTCACATCATTTCTTCCAAAACCAATGACTCTTTTTTGTATGGTAACAATGAAAACAGAGGAATATCCACAATAGAGAGTATCCACCCAATCACCATTGATCTTCAAGAGAGATTCCAAAGTGCTTAATCGAGTTGGAGAATTCACTTTAAAATTTTCATCGATTAAACCCATGGACTTGAAGGCATTTGAACCAAATCCATAAATTTCTCCATTCTTCAAAATCAAAAAACTATTTGCATAACATGTATGAATGTTCTGTAAAATATTATTCTCAGCAAAGTAGTGATAATTGACATCATCAATCGTTGGAACATTCCAATCCACATAGGTCATGGTCCTTAATGGTGACATGTTATTTTCCAAGGTTCGATTCGTCAACAAATTCTCAATTTGATAAAGTCGAACAGCAGATCCCCATTTGATCGTATAGGTCGTATTCGCCCAATAAGGACCATTTTTAGGATTATCAAACCGATCGATGGCCAAAGCTCCGTCAAGATTGTTTCCTTTTCCATATAACACTTGTTTCACAGTTACATTGTTACCACTGACACTACTTTCAGCACTGATCATGATAATATGGTCATAACCAACCATGAGTTTGTACATTGGATTTCCAACAAAATTGGATAGTCCATTCCTTGGACAATAATAACCATTGAAATATTGAAAATTCCAACCTGGTTCAGGATACTTGTGTGGATTAGGATAAATTGTTATGGTCTGTGTCGACAAAAGAGAACACGAGACATGAGAGCCTGAAGCAATGACTTGTCGGTCTTGCTTCATGATTTGTGTGGAGTTGGTTTCAGTGTTGAACTGATAAAGGGGAAGGTCAGCACCTTTCACCAATATGCAAAAGTCGAAAATGTCCATTCGTGTTGTGATGGTTGGTTCAAGAAAAATGTTCATGATGATAGAGAGTAGGAGGAAGGTGCATGCAAATAGAAAAAGAAGAAGAGACGTCAGGCCTGAGGAAGATAGGCTACCAATGCAAGAGCTTGTCATCCTTTTGCGTCGAATGTGGTTGGCTTTGGTTTGTTTCATTCCATTGAAGTTGTTGTGGGATGATTCATGGAGTAAATGAGGAGTTGGCATGCACGTGTAGAGCTCCGCAGTGTACCTGTCATCATCATGACTGCTGAATGACATTGTTTCAGCGTGTGTTGTCGGTGGTTCAAGTGGAAAGCCAGAAATATAAGGAAAGAGCGAAAGCAAAAGTGGAAGAAAGACGTGTTGGCTTCAAGATTTTCTTTTTGAGTTTCTGCAACCGGATTGGCAGCTGTGGGTGGATTCATCTTTGAGTTGCATTTTGACTTTCGGAAGCGAGAGAGAAGTGGAAAAACCAACCAATACCCATTCTCATTTTGAACATTGTAAATGATGAAGGGTGACGAAAAGATTTTTGTTTGGATGGTGACTTCCGACCAAGGCAAACTCACCCAGCGTTGTTCACGAAAGTTTGTCATTCACTGCTTCCGATGGCATTAAATACAGGATGTTCCAAAACAATCAATTATTTTAATCAAAACTTTCGTAAAGATCATGTTGGCGGAACAATTTTTAGTTCATTTATTTAAACATATTGTAGATATATTATATAAAATAGTTTAACCACATGAATGTCTGCCCGTCTAGCTCAGTCGGTAGAGCGCAAGACTCTTAATCTTGTGGTCGTGGGTTCGAGCCCCACGGTGGGCGAACTAAAAGAATTTTCTTTTATTCGTGGACATGATATTTTTCGTTCCAATTCGTCTGGTTGTTTATTTAGTGTTTGGTCGTTTGTCGTTAGCTTCTTATTTTAGCATTCTTTTCTGTTGTTTCACTTGCTCACAGTATCGTACATTTTCTTATCGTTTTTTCATTTTCATTGCAGCTTGGATGGGCTTTCCCACACCTCGCAAGCTGGACACATTTAACCATTTCATAACTAGTCTTGTCAACCGAGCTAAAAGTGACAATAAAGAGATCACATCCCACATAGATCAACGGCCTTAATCGATCCCCATATTCAGCATTTCCTAACGAGTCATGTAAATCTAATGTAAATGGTTTGCCCTGTACAGAGATAATGTGGCTACATTGATCCATTATTGTTGGTGTAAAACCGTCAAATCCAGGAACTGAATCTCATCAGCAACCATGTTTTTCCTGATGCTCCATTACCTGCAACCACCACTTCGATTTTTGTAGAGGTTGAACTTTCCATCAATTGGTTCAAGTTAAATTTCATAATTTCTCGTTTACAATAGTATCTGCATTTCAATGGTTTCACATTGTACACTTTTGAGGCCTCAATTAAATGTTTCCTAAAATCATGTGTTGCTGTTTCAATAGTTCTCATCTTCATCATGATGGTCTGTCCTTTTGTTCGACTGGAATCCCTAAATAGAGCCATTTTCGAATGATAAAAACTTTTCCACCAACAGTCCATGGTGGTCATTTGGCAAATTTGCAAACCTTTGCTTACTAAATGTAAATTCATTAAATCCTTGATAGATAGAAAGGAAAGAATGATTCGGAATATGTCTTGATTGAAAATATCATTCGAGAGAAGATGTTGATGATTGGATGACATCGATCTCAGATCGGAATTGAGCAATACCAAGGTTCTGCAACCATGACACGAGATGAATTTTTATGAAGTTCCTTTTTCATCATCCTAATTCCTTTTAATTGGACTCCACGAATGATCCTCATTAACAATTTGTGGATCATTCAAATATGACGACTGGGATTCATCATCAACGTCAATTTCTTTCCTCAGCTAAAGCACGACATTCGCTCAACGTTCAAAAAAAATTACTGCTCTCTCCCTTTTGAAACCTCACCGTTACGACTTGAATTTTTTCGTTATCACTTTAACAGCGGCAGAAGCAGTAACTTTTTTCGTCATCGCGTTGATACAATTTTATTCACAATAACAACAATAACTTTATAATCACAATTATTATTGGATCACAACAAAAATCCTACAACATTCGGAATGGCATCAAAGGGAGAAAACAATTCTAGGAACAAGAAAATTGTTGCCGATTTGTTAAAGTTGCCTGGAAACAAAGTTTGTGCTGATTGTAACGCTCGTGGTCCTCAATGGGCCAGTACCACTCAGGGAGTATTTGTTTGTATTCGATGTGCTGGTTTGCACAGAAAATTGGGTACTCACATTTCCAAAGTTCGAAGTGTTGGTCTCGATTCATGGAATGATGAGCAAACAAGGATGGTTGAATTGTTCGGTAACGAGAAAGCAAATGCCATCTATGAAGCCAAGTTGGACAAGGAAAAACCTAATCCAGATACGGACACAGCAACTGTCGAAAAGTTTATCAGAGCCAAGTATGAACGAAAAATCTGGATTGATAAAGAGGAAGAAGCCAGACAATATGGTAATTTAAAATTGGGCAACGATAGCGAGGAATCATCACCTGCTACTACTCCAAGCACCCCTCTAAGAACATCAGCCTCTACACAAAACTTTGCTTCAAAAACACCATCAACCTCCAATTTACGTTCAGTTTCATCACAAGATGAAGTTAGTTCGATGGCAAACTCCAACAGTAACAGCAGAAACAACATTAGTAATGCCTCTAAAACACCAACTCCAAAAATTCAGCCATCAACAAGCACTCCTTCTCTTATTTCTTTCGACGACAACAAGGATGACTTGCAACAATTTGTCATTAGAGATAATGTGACTTCACAAAATTCTAATAACACTCCAGTGGTCAGCGGAAAGGATAGCGTTCTTGCAATGTTTGAATCTCCTCCAGTTCAACCTCTTCGAAACGGTCCACCTCAAAATCCAAATCAACCACTCATTATTCCTGGAGGTCCACCACCACTTAACAACAACAATGGTATCAGAATGCCACCTCCAATTAACAACGGTGTCAGACCAACTGGCCCACCACCATACATGATGCCACCTATGGGAAGAGGTTATCCACCAACTACAGGATCACCTTTGATGAATGGTCCACCACCACTCAACAACAATGGATTTATGAACGGCCCACCACCACCAATGAACGGAGGATTTATGAATGGTCCACCACCTCTCAATAATGGTAATTTCATGATGAATGGCCCGCCACCAATGATGGGAAGGGGCTATCCAACACAACCAACCTTTAATAACCACAACAATGGAATGAGATATTAATTTATTGCACATTCATGCAGAGCTATGCATGTTCATTAGGACGTTTTTTTCAAGAGAAATGAGTTATTTTGAAATTGCTGACCTATTTAATTCATTCTCTATTTGTAGCATAATGTTGTAGAGAGAGATCACATATTTTCATCAATAACAACAATAATTTTGATAAGTTATTATTATACTCGCACATGTGTTTCAAAGGATGTTGTCATCCATTCCTTTCGAAGCAATATTTATCCAGCATGCTGCTGTCATTTCAGTTGCGTTGTGAATGCGTAACCGTGTAAGAGCTTTGGGAGTTCCAGAATCTCAGCACTCCCACAAAAAATAATGACCAACAATGGACGCCCTGTGCGGAATCTCAAGTCATTTCCAATCCTTCTTGCCATCATCACATTAAATTTTCTTTTATTCTTCTCTCACCAAAGCAATGACAACAACAATAATCGTTCAAGTGTATTTGTACAGGCACAATGGGTCTGGCAAATTTGTAAATCAGATTCCTATTGCATGAATGCCGGAACGTGCAACGCAGCAAGAACGGCCTGTGATTGTATGCCTGGTTTCACAAACGACCTCTCACGAGGAATTAAAAATTGTTCACTCATTGATTGTGTACATGGATCTCCCATTTCGTCGACAGTGTCATTGAACAAAGTAACTTCCTCATCACCAGTAGTGAATATTTCAAGTGCAACCACATTATCCTCTCTACTCGTTTCAAATTTTGGTGATGCAAATTCTCCAGTATGTACATGTCAACCTGGATGGGGTGGATTGGATTGTAGACAATGTACGACTGATGCTGTTTGCAAATCTTTATTGAACAATAATAACAGTGTTTGTGATATGACCTATATTCCACATAAAGAAAAACTTTATAGTTGCGAAGTCACGTCACAAAGAATGATTCCACTCATGGGAAATTACATCACAATTGATTGCATGGGCATGGAAAATAGTGAAACAGAGGGAGGTACATGTTATTTTAGAGCTTTTGACAAGTCAGATTCATCATTGGCAGAAACATTTTATTGCACATTTCATGATTGTGTCCTTTCTCTTGGAGAGGATGGTGTTCAAATTGAATACAAGTGCAAATCTACAAGTGGATGTAATTGTTCAATGATTAGTCCCAAATGTGAAAATCCTTTTGTTATATTTATCTTGTCTCACATGACCGGTTATGCTGATGTGACTTGTAATAATGAGACAAAATCTTGTATTGGTATGTTTTTGTCCAATTTATGAAGACATAATTGTGATTGAAATGAAAATTTAGTGAAACATGAAAATTTTCCTGGAATTATTGAAACATTATGTGATCATGCTTCTGAATGTCTCGGAGAATATATTCCACCACCCAAGCCACCAGTTCCAGATTACACTAGACAAATTGTTTCAGCAACTATAGGTTCCATAATATTACTGTTACTGATCTTTGTAATAATATTCAGTATTATTTACTCAAAATATCAAACACGAGTAATAACGAGAGAATACAAGGAAATGATGGAAACAGGCAATAATCAATTTGGAGCAAAATTGGAAATAAGAAACTTGACATACATGATCAGAACTTCAAAGAAATTGAAAACTTTACAAGATGTGAATGGAGTCAATGAAGAGGACATTGCCAAAGAAGAGAGCGAAGAAGAAAGAGAACAAGTACTTCATATTAAGACCAAGAATAGAATTACTCTCTTACACGGTATCACTCACATATTTAAACCTGGAAGTGTCACAGCCATTATGGGACCTTCTGGAGCAGGTAAGTGTAATGAGCTTTTTAAAGCATCACATGGACTTCACACGAATATTTCTGATACAATTGTAATTCTGTATGAATTTAGGTAAATCATCACTTTTGGATATTCTTGCTGGAAGATGCAAAACTGGAGATGTGAGAGGAGAATTACTCGTCAATGACAAACCTATTGATTATTCTCAATACAAACGAATGGCTGGCTACGTCTCACAACAAGATGATCACCTAATGGGAACAATGACTGTTTTTGAATCCATCATGTTCAGTGCTGAGCTTCGGCTTCCAGACGCAATTCCATACGCAGAAAAGAAACGAAGAGTTGAACAAGTCATGGAAGAGCTTGGAATTTCACACATTCGTGATCGAAAAATTGGTGACTCCATGACAAGAGGAATCAGTGGTGGTGAAAAACGTCGAGTCAGCATTGCATGTGAATTGGTTATTTCTCCTCAAATATTATATTGTGATGAACCCACATCAGGATTGGATTCTTATCATGCAGTTTCAGTCATGAAAACTATTTGTGAATTAGCAACCAAACACAACAGAACGGTCATTTTCAGCATTCATCAACCTCGTTCTAATATTTTTGAACAATTTGATAATTTATTGCTATTGAAGGATGGAAGAATATTTTACAGTGGAAGCGCTATGGGTTCATTGACCTATCTCTCAAAACTTGGCTATGATTGTCCAGCTCACTATAATCCTGCTGACTTTTTGTTGGACACCATGACCTTGCTCTCTGAGCATTCTAAATCATCCCATAACAAACATGATGAAATATTGCATCAGAATGCTGTCAATAACCATGAAAAAGATTTTACACAGGAAACTCATATTGAACAACCTATTTACAAATCATTTAACAGCAATGAGGATGGCGAAGGTGTTCCTCTCCTAAAAGCAGATGATTCAAAACCCATCTATGACAAGAAAATTGAAGAATATGCAACATCATTTTATACTCAATTATTTGTACTTTCTAAGAGGTGTTTTCAAAACTTTTATAGAAATCTCTATTTAATGCCAGCTCACTATGCAAGTGCGATAATCATGGGCTTACTTTTGGGTATTGTTTATTTCCAACAAGGAAATAATATTCAGGCATGTCAGAATCGAATGGGTTCTATATTCTTTATGTGTGCTTTATTGAATTTTGCTGCCATGTCCAGTCTCGAATTATTTATTACTGAGAGAACAATTTATGTGAGAGAACGAGCGAATGGTTATTATTATTCATTTGCTTACTTTTTGTCTAAGATTTTGTTTGACTTGATTCCTCTCAGAGTTATTCCTCCGATTTTAATGGGAAGCATTGCCTATGTAAGTATTAGTGTGTGAAAAATTCAAATAGGTTGTTCATTCACGGAATATCTTTGAAAATTTAATTTCACACACCACACAGTGGATGATTGGATTGAGAGAAATCAGTTCACACTTCTTCTGGTTCCTTCTTATTTTGATTATTTTCAACATTGCAAGTGGTGCGCTTTGTTATTGCATTGGAGCCATTGCACCAAATGTTGGATCAGGAAATTTATCAAGTATTTTGTTAATTCTTGGAAATATGCTCATGGCTGGATTTATTTTGAACATTGAATCTCTTCCTGTCTATTTGTCATGGATCAAATACTTTTCATATTTTGGATATGCCTATGAAGCACTTTTAATTAATGAGTTGCATGGTAAGTTGTAATGCAAGAATCTTGAAAATCATTTATTCACACTGAACTTTAGGTTTTCCAATTGTGATCGATCCAAAGGGTTTTCCATCATTCCCAGGAGATGGTGATTTCTTCTTAAAAGAATTAGGTTTTCAGTATGAAAACTTTTATGCAGATGTTATTCTTACGTCACTCTTTGCTGTATTCTTTATTGTGCTGGCAGGATTTTTATTGAGATTCTTTGTGAAAGAAAAAAGATAAAGAGAATTCCATGATGAGAATAATAACATATATAGCTAGATCAAGTTGTCGAGAGGCAATTTTTAAAGGTTTGGTGAATGGAATGAATTTCGATGACCTTACTTTTGTGAATATTAAAAAGTTTTTGAAAGCTTTTAGTAGTACCATGAACTTTTTTAACCTTCTACCCTTATTAATGTTCGCTCCTGAATCATTCTACTAAACCGTTCACTGAAGAAAACTAGCGTTTGGGAGATGGCTGTCATAAAGTTCTGCTGAACTGTCAAAATAGAAGATTACCTTTTAAAAAATTTCAAACACGACAAAAATTTCATCGTCGCACACCCTCTACCTCTTCGATCACTTCTCAAACTGTTTTCACCCTCATCATGCGTCTCAAAGTGACTGTTGCGAAAGCTTTCGAGTTACCTGCCATGGACAACAATGGTTTGTCTGATCCGTAAGTGATTGATTCATGAGTGTGAAATTGAATATATTTGATCCTTCCTTGACATTAACCATTGAATATTTGATCATGATGATGATGCATTTAAATTTCAAAATGTCTACGCTCATAACACATCACTAATTAGATTTGTGGAATTATGGGTAGTCAACTCAAAATTAAACAAATATCTAGAACCTCCTAAAAACCCATCCGATATTAAAAAAACAAAAATTATCATGAAAGAATTGAATCCAGTGTTTAACGAAACATTTGAATTTGATTTTCCTGTAAATCGAGAACAATTTAAAGCGTTGAAGAGTTCTACATCGACAAGTGAAGACGCCGTAGAAGAAGAAATCAATTCTGATGATGAAGATGAGAATGAGTTTAATAGTGATCCCATGGATGCTTTGTTGATGATTAGAGGTAAGTTACCTCTGCCACTACTGTGATTGTGACAGTTTGTGATTCGTTGAACTCATCAAATTACCATATTTGGTCTTGTGGGAAAATTATGTCAACCATGGTTGCTTTTTAAAAACGGACCATTTTGAAACTTATCGGCCAACTGTCCATTCGACCACTTATAGTGATGGATTGGGACAAGTTTACAAAAAACGACTGTAAGTATAATTGTTACAATTAAGAACTGTCTTTCATTTCACACTCTCTCTCATATATATTCACTCCCATCATTTCACAACTCTCGTGTTCCAAACAGTCATTGGTTTCGTCATGATTCAAGTGTTTGGCCTCAACTTGAAACCCAAACAAAAACAAAAACGTATCTATCCTCTTGTTGGCTCCGATCAAGGAAAAATTGAATTAATTTTCGAAGCCATTCCTTCTCCAGAAGAAGAAGAATTAGCTCGACAACATTCTCAATCCTTCTATGAAAAACCAATCACTCACTTGTTTGAGAACACACTCATGACTGTTGGTCCAGTCGTTGGATTTGTGAAATCGACAAGTGCAAGAATTCTTGTTGAATGTTCCACTCGAATGCCAAAAGAAGATCCATTACAAGTCGTTTGTTATCCAATTGCTCCAAGAACTCACTTGGAAAAGAGAAGAGACTATTTAGAGAAGAGATTTTTCCATCTTCATTTGAATGACACTCGATCCTCTTATCACAAAAACATTCTCAAACAATTACATTATTCCACATCGAGAAAGGAATTAGAAAAAGTTCCAGAGCATGAAATTATCAAAAAAAATGTCGTCATTCCACATGCAAATATTCCCTTTGGATTTACCATTGAAGGTTTAAAACCAGATTATGTGTATCGAGTAGAATTTCTAAATATTTTGAATCGAAGAAATAGATTTGCAATTGTGAAAACAATGGTTGATGATTCCATTGAAAATATTAGTGAAAGACCTCATCACTTGAATGTCTCTGTCGTGAGTTGCAATTTGATTGAAAGACGTATTCCAGATCGAGATATTTGGGAAAGAATGTTGGAAAGAGGAGATGAAATTGATGTTTTACTTCATGTTGGAGATCAAATTTATTCTGATTGTGGTCACAATGCATTTGATGAAGCAGTTCGTATTTGTGATGGAAGGACAAAATTGACACCCAATGAGGAAAATGAAATTAAGGAACTGTATAGAAAGTACTATCGGTTGAATTGGAATCATCCTCCCACTCGTAAATTGTTAGCACAAGTGAGCAATTTGATGATTTTGGATGATCATGAAATTCGTGACGATTGGGGAAGCGATGCATGTGATCGTGACAAAAACTCAGTGGAATATTACATTGGAACTCTTGCAAGGTATGTGTTTGTGTGACTGAGTGAATAAGTGTTCTAAATTTTGACGTGTGACTTTTCGCAATGTTCATGTGAATTTTAATCATGCCATGTCATGAATATTCGCGATTTTCCAAACTTGTAGACAAGTGTATTGGGAGTATCAAAGACAATTGAGAGATGAAGCGGATATTTATGATCCAACAGTGACAACACAACTTTCCCAAAAACATGAAGGATATTATCAAATTTATGGCGATTATGGAATTCTTTTCTTTGATTTAAGAGCTGCTCGATCATTTCTCCATGAACAAGCAGGTGACAAGGTGTTTTTAACACAACCACAATGGGATGATTTACGTGAATGGCTTTTTAATGGAGAACTTGCTGCTCCAAAAATTAAGGCATTAATTTGTGTGTGTTCTGTACCATTGGTATTCCTCACAAAGAAGATGACAGACACTCTACCAAAAATCACGAGCAAACTCTCAGACATGAGAGATCATTGGAATTATGGCAAGAATTATGATGAACAAATTGGAATTTTAGAACTCATTAAGAAGTGGAAACAATCACAACCAAATAGAGAAGCGTTGTTTGTTGGTGGTGATGTGCATATTGGTGGAGTGACTGAGATTCGTCATAATGATGAATTAATTTTCAAACAGCTCACCAGCTCTTCTGTCTCAAATAATGAATTTGACTGGGCTACAGGCCTCTCGATGGAATTCATGCTCAAGTTTAGTAGTGAGTTGAAAGATGGTTGGAGTTTCAAACATTTGAAATGGACAAGAAAAAGAAACTATGGATTGATTCATGTTGCCACTGGAGATAATCCAAAGCCCGTGATGAATCCTTACATTAACACTTATTTGAAGTCATATATTTACTATCAATAGTTGGGTATATCTGATCCGTTTATTTGTATGCGTAGTAGTCACAGTAACACGAATTTTCACAAGATTAATCTCTCATTATTATTCTTCTACATCCAGAATCAAGTCACCAAATCGTTCAGTTTCCTCTTTTTTCACATCACTGGATTGGCTATTTGAAGTCATCTTTCGTTTCTTCAATCTTTCGAATTTTTCACTTGCATTTTTAAAAGGAATGGCATCTGAATAATATTGTTCTGCTTTTTCCAACATGTCCAATGTTTCATAAAGAGATGCAATTCTTAACTTTTCATGTCGTGCTGTTTGGCCATATCCATTTTCGATAGCTCTTTCCAAAAACTTGATCGCCAATCCACCATTTTCTTTTGCACATTGTGACGCTAAATAAAACAAGGTATAACCATAATCGATCTGTTGTTGTGTTAAATTATTAATAATGCATTCCAAAATTTCCACTGATTTTTTCACATTTTTACAGACAGGGCCTTTTCCAATTCGATACATCTCAGAAATCATATACATGGATTGAGGCAATCCTGATTGTTCATACCAATACATTGCCTTTGAAAAATTATTCAAATGATACTCATAAATGGTTGCAACTTCATGCTTTTTGAAGGAATTTCCAGTCATTGCAATTCGGTCCAAATAATCAATACCAGTCTCCTCCATTCCGACATTCTTAAACATCTCGTAAGCCATTTTATCCATTGGATGACCACTATCTTTAAATTGGTGTTGATTATTCATAAATAGTTTCAATATTTCGTTTGTGGAACACAAGTCCCTAAAGTTATTAAGAGTTTCCTCCAAAGAATAACTCAAAATTCCATGCGTGATTGGATCCAACAATTCGTGAATAGCCATTAATGGGTCATTATGGATGATGTGTCTTAGAGCTCGTTCTCTTGTGCCTTGCATTCTCGTTTCGAGTAATTTCAATGCATACTCTGAAAAGTTGTTTTGATACAACACTTTCATGAAGAGAAATGGAATGTATTCTCTGGAAACTTTAGCTGTTTGTAACTCTATAAGCTTTAACAATGCATACTCTATACTAGTCTTATCCAACTGTTGAAAATTTAACTCACTTTTCAAATATTGGCAAAGTTCTGAATATTCTAAATAGTTTGTAAAAGTGAATAGTAAAATATCAATCGCTTTCATCAAATCTTTTGGTACGCCTTGTCCTTTGATGAACATGAGACAAATCTTGTTGTTCATTAGTTCGTCATGATTTGGCAAAGCGTGCACCCAATCCATAAGAGCATTATATTGTTGAGCATTATATAAATGAGAAGTGATTGTTTCCTTTTGAAAGAATGAAAGAGAATAGTTTGAAATGTGTTGTAATTGATAGAGAGCTTGCTCAATATTTCCCATCTTCATGCATAGAGTAAACAATTCAAATCGAGAAATACTTCCTGTCTCAAATGCTTTCTTCATCCAAAATAGTGACTGTTCAGCATTCTTTTCTTCAAGATATTTCAGAGCAAGATGATACTGAGCTTGAGAATATCCATGTTCAGCTGCCATCTTTAGAAAATTCAAAATCTTTTCTTGTCCATAAGGTATTGATTTTCGATCTTCATCATCAAGTGATGAATAAAAAACGCCAATCGCTGCTTGTGCCTCTGGTAAATGATCAACGATCTGATAGGAGGTCAGACTCTTCTGTAAATCTTTCGTATGGTGGTAATAAATTCTAGCAATCTTGAGAGCAACTCTTTCACAAAACTCATCTTCATTCAAATATTTGGTTAAATGTGAGAGAGCACTCTTGTATTTTCCATTGTAATAATCGATTTCACCAATAACCCTATTGACTAGTTTGTGACCTAGAGAAGCTGCTCTCGAGTAGGGAATGTAAGCACTTTCCATATCATTTTCAGCTTGGTATATTCTTCCAAGACAAATCCATGCATCTAAAATGGAGCAGTTTTCTGGTAATTGTGTCAAATAGTGTTTTGCTTTGTTGAAATTAACTTCAATCCCATACTCTCCATGATAGTAGAGCATTCCCAAACGATAAAAAGATTTTCGAAATCTCGCTAAATCATAGTAATAGATTGCCTTATAAATATCCTTCTCAAGAATTGGACTCATTCCTCGTTCATACCATTTTCCTAATCGATAAAAGGCCTTGGAATAGCGTCGTCCCACTGCAATCAGAAGATAGTGATAAGCTTTTTCTAATGACACGTCAACACCCTTTCCCTTTTGAAACATTTTAGAAAGAAGGTATGCAGATGCACCTGTGTCACATTGCTTAAGATAGGAGTAGGCGAGTTGGAACTCGTTTTCACGATAATAAATTTTTCCAAGTATTTTGTTTCTTCTATTGTCTTTTGATTTTTGTAAATGGAGCTTTGCTTTCTTCAATCCTTCCTCCTTGTAGTAGCAATATCCAATTTGATAATTTGTTGGAAGTTTGTTGCTATTATGATCTTTCTTTTTGTAATTTTTATATTCTAAATAATAAGATAAGGCCTCTGAGTAATCTTTTTCTGTGCCTTTTCCATGAAAATACAGTTCTGCAATTTCATAATAAGCATCTCTATACAAGCAATTTTTGAGGACTGCGAGAGCTTTTTGGTAGTCTTTTGTCAGCACATGCATCTTTCCAATTAAATATTGTGTTTTAGGAGTTTGAGATGCTTTCAAATTAATGATTGATTGTTTTTTAAAGAAGTTAGCTTCAAGAATTCTATTTAACTTGATGCATCTCATAAATTGTGTATAATAAACTGTTCCTTTGGCTTGCTTATCATATTTCAATTCTCTGAGTTGCATTGGAAATAGATCAGGTATACAATTATCAATAATACCATTATATTCATGGTTATTCAAGCCATATACAAAGTTCTGATCTGTAGATAAATAAATTATTTTTGAAAAATCTTCCAACGATTCATAATCGAAAGTATTTCCAGCAACATTTAAAAATTTTAACTTGCAACGTCCTTTCGAAATTTCATCTCCATTCATATCATTAAAAGCAATAGAGAGGATTTTGAGGGAAGAAATGTCTAGCACTTGTTGGAATCCTGTCTCAGAGATGGAGTTGTTGCTTAAATTTAAATAAGTTAAAGAAGGTAAAGCTGTAGAAATCATAAACTCTGCTGCGCGATCTGTGAGACAATCATTAGTGATTGCTAGTCCAATTAATTGGTGGCCTAATTTTTCTACAACTGCTCGAGCTCCATCATCTCCCAATCGATTAACAAGGAAACAAATAAACTTGACATACAAAAGGCTTCCTTTGAGTATATATTTCACACTTGTAAAATCTAAAGAACAATCATAGAAATATAATGCTTCCAATCTAGAGAAGTTCACATCTCTCAAATGATATAAAATTCCATGTCCTTGATTACAAAAAAGACGTCTTGCATTTTCAAACAATGACAAGTAATCTTTTGTAGAATTTGATGGAATGTCCGATAAGTAAATATTTGCTCCATGAACTAACTCGTGATCCTTTTCTGCCGAAAGATCCGGATAAAAGAATAGTGGGAATTCGAATGTCAGCACATAGGACAAGACGACTTGATTGGCGTGTTTTGACACAAGTCTCAACGACGATAGAACAAACTTCAATGATAAATATTGAAAAATTTCGTGTGCAAAGATATCATTGGTTAATTGAGAAAATATATCGACACATTCAAAAATATGGTTCGGTTTTCTCTTCTTTGTGGTGTTGTTTCGATTCATCAGCAAATTGTGTTGATGATCTTCCACAGGGAGAGGTTCTTCTTCCTTCAAAGTTTCGTTTTCGGAATCATAATGCAAGAATATACGAAGATCTTCATCGTCCAAATTGATAGCTGAATTCTCTCCTTCGGTATCGGAGGGTCGAAAATATCGTTTCATTATTTTTGATGTTGTTTCGTGGCTTTAACATATTCTAAATTTGTAAATAACTTAAATAATCGATAAGCAGGGTAATTGTTGAGGGTTTGATGTATCTCAATATAACTCTACTGTGCAATGAATGACCTCACTCTGTACATGCATTTGGTGTGTGATAAAAGGATTCATTTATTTTGAAGAGATATTGTGGCGGGAAACGGTTATTTTTGGTTCTGACAAGTGATGCCCTTTGGTCCAATTAAAATCTTGGACAAAGTTGTAAACCCTTTTTGTTGGCGCTGCCAAATCCAATCAAAAGATCATTGATTCTCTTTTCAAAGACCATTCATAACATTTTCGATCCCTTCTCCTCCTACAAACACAAACACACATTCCTTCTCCTCCACTCACTGCTCATTCCTTCAAATATATACATACACTCAAATAATACACGAGTGACCTTCAGATTCAAAAAAAACAACGGAAACAATCCAGTTGCACATTTTTAAAAAATCGTTTTTTTCAGTGTAGGTTTTTTCCTTCAAAAGCACACTTGCCTCATAACCTCTTTTTATCAACAACTCTCCAAATGAAATCGTTGATCCATACTCGTAACGTTTTCAAATATAAACATGGCCATCAACGAATTGGTGATTTGACTCGTCGACGTACATGATGATACTTGCTATTACGGATCATGCCATTCCATGATGGCGTTGATCACCATACTTATCAACAATATATATTGTGTTGTTCTTCTTCGTGATGATGATGGTGGTGGTGATGATGATGATCATCATCATTCCTCAATATGCCAAACACCACACAATACGATCATCTCTATCTGCTAATCCATGATGATAATGATGACTGTAAATAATAACTCCATCCTTTGCTACCGATATATAACAATAACCGTTACTTCTTCTACTCTCTGCCCAACCAACCACTGACATGATTGATCATCAAACAACAACAACAACAGAACACAAATGTCTAACCAAGAAGAACAAAAGCTTCCACAAGGAGGAACCGATGTCATGATGATGCTCCACCAACAAAACCAAGCGTACGTATGACTTTTAATGATTTTCCTGACAATAACATTGATGTACCATCACCTCAACACTTGCCGATAATGATGAATGCCATTGATCAATCACTGTATCCTCAACAAATTCCCTGACACTGACGATTGTATTTCATCTCAATGCTTTATTAATAACAAAACAAATTCCAAAATCAAAAAAGTGCAACCCAAATGTCTCAAGGAGCTGGTGCCACTCAAAATACTCAAGCCAACACTGGTGCAGGTACGTCATCAGGTGGTGATGCGGAGTCTCCACAACAATCAGGAAGCGGAACCAACTCAAAGAAGAGAGCAGGTCGTAGGAAAATCAACATTGAATTCATTCAGGACAAGTCTCGTCGTCACATCACATTCAGTAAGAGAAAGGCTGGTATCATGAAGAAGGCATACGAACTTTCGACATTGACCGGTACTCAAGTGTTGTTGTTAGGTATGTTGTAAATGTTGTAACATTTGAAAATTGAAATATTGAAACTAACTCGTGAATTGATCTGTTGATTCAAAAATTAATTTTAATACCATTTTCAAAACACCAACTCGTGATCGTACTTTCGAACAAACAGTTGCTTCCGAGACGGGCCACGTCTATACATTCGCTACACCAAAACTTCAACCTTTGATCACTCAAACTGAGGGTAAGAATCTTATCCAACAATGTTTGAATGCTCCAGAGGCCTCTCAACAACAAATGATGAACGGAGGAGGTGAAGAAGACGAGGAAGGAGATGAAGAAGAAGAAGATTATCAAGGAGGAATGATGCAAGGCGGTATGATGCAAGGTGGAATGGCACAACAACAAATGATGCAAGGAGGAATGGCACAAAACCAAATGATGGGACAACAGGGAGGAATGATGCAACATGGTATGCCACAACAACAAATGATGGGCCAAGCTCAACAAGTTCCTCAACAACAATACTCTTATCAACAACAAGGAGGAATGCCTCAACAACGTGTGATGAACCAAAATGCTAACAATGGTATGGGCCATTTCCAAGTTCAAATGAACCAACCACAAAACCAACCTCCACACCAAGGTAACTACTCATTCTAAGTCCAAACGATTGTACAAGTGCGTGTATAGTAGCTACTGATTAGCTGTCTTGACGAGAGACGAGTTGAGATGTAACAATTACGCTGTACTTGTTTCTCACTGTCCCTCTCTAGAAACCACTCCAACAATAAATTATTCTCTATTTATCAAGAACATTGTTATCCTGAACTACCTTTCTAATAAGGATTTGAGTTGAAATTTGGTCTAATCTCCGATTCCAATTTATATGTATGTGTCTTTCCTTATGAGCTTTAATTGAGCAAGATGCGCTTCCTTATATGTGCTTGATGTCATTATGGAGGAGGAAACTCTTGTAATTAACAACACGGGAAAAGATGAGCCATGTCATGAGATTTGGTTTTGTGAACTGTCAGGTTTGAATTCTTCAATGCATTCCCTGGGACTCAACGAACAACCAGTGTGTTAAGGGTGTAAAAATTTTAATCTCCAAACTCTCTCTTCTCCTTCTCAGCAACCTGTGCCCACTTTGATCGTTCTCTTTTCTGAAGGCACCTTCCATTCCTTTCAAACCAGCAAGGTTTGATGCTTTGAGCAAAACCGTTTCCCTTTCTGTCAAGTCTCTAGTTAAATTCATCACTGAGAACACACTAACTAGTAACTGTTGTCGCTCCTTTCTTCCCATAATAATCATGACCTTGTCTCTCATTGAGAGTGCCATTTCCACAGTCGACACAAAAAATCAAGCACCACCCCTTGCTTTCAAGATTTGTCATCTTCCACCAACAACTCCAACAACAATACCAACAACAAGAACAACAAAGAAATGGGACAAATCGAAAGTAAAAACCTCGAATCCATCCGTGAACAACACGATCAATTTGAGACCATTCAACGACAACGCAAACATTCCAAGTCTTCTTCTACCAACACTGAACAACAACAAGAACAACCACTTCTTGCAGATCATCATTCAACGTCATTGACAACAACTTCACCATCCTCTCTGTTTCCTCATCCCTTTACGAGCCAAACGAAGACCAATGAAACAAAAGGTTGTACTACTTCGACTGGTCAAGTAGGAGGAGCAGGAGGAGGTCTCTTTTGCAGTCCTTCGGAAAGCAGCTTCTCTGAACTTTTCCGAGGAGGATCTTCCTCCTCCTCTTCTTCAACCACAGCCAATTCCACTCAATTTCTCTCACTCTTTGGACACAACATTTTGAATCAGGTACATCGATGGGAAGAAAATGATGACTCTGAAGATGAAGCCATCTCCTTCTCCTCTTCGGAAAAGTTCAGAATTCTCTCCACTCCATTGTATGCATCCTTGTCAAATGATCCTTCTCAAATGAGTGAACCCAAGGTGAAATTGGCATTGTTTGGAACAGGTGGAAGTGGAAAGTCCTCACTCACTAAACTCTTAAAATTGCATTCGATGAATTATGTCATTTCAAATTTCGATCTCAGAAATTGGAGAACTCACTTGTTGAAGAATATTGCTTCTTCGTATTCGATTTTATTTGAAGTGAAACAAGCTTTGTTCCCTCATGTGAAATTTATTCATCCAGAAAGTGAAATCATTGCACAACGTTTGATAAAGCATGATGAAGAGAAACTGTCTGTTCCAATTGAACAAGATGTCGAAATGGCAAAAGCAAGTCTCAAATTATGGGAAACAGAACCACTTGCTCAAATTTGTTTATATTTTACAAATATTGCAAACAAATTCATTCCAAAATCCATGACGACTGTTCCCATACATGTTGTTCGTCACATGAATATTGAACGATTTGCAAATCTCTTGTCGTATTATGAAGATATTTTGGAATATGACGCAAATTCAGATAAATTTGCCGTTCGTGACACGAACCATGTATTTACTGAACTCATTCTTAGTTCCTATATTAAAACAACAGGAATTATTGAGATTTGGCTAAAAGGAGGATCAGATGTAAATGACTTGATTGGAATTTTCGACACAGGTGGTCAAAGAAATGAAAGAAAGAAGTGGAAACGAATCATCAATGGATCAAATCCACTTTCTGGAATTTTATATTTAATTCCTTTATCTGAGTTTAATCAATTCTGTTATGAAGATGATATGACAAATCGAACCTTTGAGTCATTACAATTATTCTCAGAATTTATCAATGATCCAAGTGTGGAATCAATTCCCATTCACGTCGTTTTCACTAAAAGAAATGTTATGGATTTCAAATTGAGAATGTATGACATGAGAGATGTTTCATTCACAAATAATATTCAGCTTCCAGAAGATTTGAAAATTCCAATGAATCTCAATCTATCACATTACGATCATTTAGTGAACTCTATTTTGAAACTAGGAGAGAAAGATTTACAACAATTAAGCAAACAAGAAAAACAATTATTGGAATTATTCAGCTCCAATCCCTATCACTCTCCTTCTGAGCTTATTGAAATGTTAAAATCCGAAGAAATTTCGAATCATTCACACGATGAAGAACATCAGAAATTTGTTGAAAAGAACATTCAATTCCTTACTCAACAATTTTTCAACCAGATTCAAGACCCAATAAGAAAAGAACAAGTTATAAGAGATTTCAAAGTGATTGACATTTCACAAATAGATGAAACCATGTCGACCATGAATCAATTATTCCAAAACTTTCTTCATCAATAAAAATATAGTTATTCGAATGGTATTGCATGAATCATTGTGTCAACAACAATCAATGACAGTTCAGGCAAGCATGGATCTTCATATGCGTAAGTGTTAAGCAACATGTCATTGAATTATCGAAAAGAATAGAACACAAGTTGAATGTCAAGACTTAAGGGGCTCACAAATCACGTTTATTTATATCTTTGACCTTTTCAAAATTGGTATAATTTTCATTTCAAAATTGGTATTCAAAATTTTGACTAGTTCAAAAAAATTGCGTCTGCAATTCATTCTTTATTGTAAAAATCAAATTTTCTATGTTTTCTGAACTTTCTGTTCTTTCTAAACTTTCTAAATTTTCTATTCTTTTTGAAAATTATAATCTTTCTTCTCTTATAAAACTTCTTTCTTCGAGCACAGACCTTCTTTCGAGAGAATTTCTTGCACACTTTCTTTCCTACATTTACGAGATTTAACGGCAATGCAAATCTTTCTAATTTTATGTTTGGTACAGAACTTTCTAAATTTGTGTTTGACACACATGACAAAAATGGTTTGCTGTTTTTATCACACTTGAAGAATTTCTTGTGTTTTAAATGATGACCTTTTCCAACAATGGTATACTTGTTACTGAACCTTTTACGACCAACGACTTTGTGTTTGAGACATTTTACACGGACGTATTTGTGAAGGACACATTTCTTACGACAATGTCGTTTTGGACGGTAAGAGTCAGATTCTACGACATAGACCGCTGCGAAGAGCAGTAAGGTGAAGAGTAAGACAAGTGACAGTTTGTTCATCTTGTTTTTTTTGTTGTGAAAATGCAAGTTGGATGTGAATGGGACACCTTTTTTTGGATTGTGAAATAATCTTTCAAAAAATGAATGAAATACTGAGCTCAGTTTTTAGATTCGATTGGGTCTTCAATTCTTGAAAATATTGGTGACATTTCCATGTGAAAAGTTCAAATAAGGAAAGACAAGTGAAGTGTGCCACAGGTTGGAAAAATGCATATAATATTTAAAAGAAATAATAACATACTTTTAAAGAATTTTAGTGTTTTGATTGAAATGTACTGAACATTTTCAATGGAAAGGAATCAAAATTGTTTCCAATCCAAACGACAATACCAGAAGAGAAATATGGAAATATGGAACACTCGACAAATCATATGCGGGTATCATATTGGTGTGGAGAACTTTGAAATTCGAACATTGAGAGTCCTTAGAAACGTTAAAGCTGTATTCAGCATGGAATAGAGAGTTCCGAGAAGAGCTATTTGATTCTATTTTGAAAATTAGCTCTGAGGACTATCAATTGTTTACATCAACTGAAATTGAATTGTTGGAAAAACTTTGTTCGAATCCAAATTACTCACCATCTCAATTGATTGAAATGTTGAAAAATGACAGTATGTCAGATGCTAGTTCCAATCCAGATTGTGAGGAGCAACAGAGGAAATATCCAATTTCTAACTCGACTATTTTTCTGAAAGATTTCAACAATATGTGAGATCAAAATTCTTGGCCTCTCAAATACCAAAAATTCTGCATGAAATTTTCAACAAATTTTCACCTGCAAACAAGATGTAAATACCATGAACCCATTAATGAATATTGTCATGAACTACAATCAGGATACGGAGTTCATCTATGTTCGATGTGTCACCCCAGATCAAAACGGGATAGATTTTAACCATCGTAAAGGCCTCTCTCTTGTTGACATAGATAAAAATTGGATTTCCGTCTTCATGAATCTAACATTTTACTTCAAATTGCTGTATTACTCATCATTTAAATACTTCCGAAAAGTAATAGAAGTAACTATTATTGATACAGTGTAGAATCCAACAACATATCTCACGATGAGTAAAATTGAGAGAAATGTAGTTTTATCCAGCAACAACAGCTCCTCCGATAATATTTTCAAATTCAATGCCCATATCATTAAATCTGTGCAAGCATTTATAATCAAAACAAAAAGAATATACACGCTCATCTTCCGACAAGCTTTGCTCAAAAGAAAACTTCCAACCACAACAGAAGCCATCACAAGATAATAGGAGATTAAAAATTGTGTTTCCATTTCTCCATGATTGGAATAATGTATCCGTTGTACTTGATCAAGTATTTGATCCTTGATCGCAATTCGGAGCGACTTGAAAAACATTAAAATGCTATCGTGATAAAAAGAAGAAAGTTGTGAGAACATTTTTTTTTTGAAAATGAAAAACTCTTTTGCAATTAAAAGAGGAAGTCTTCTTCTCATAAAAGCCTATTTCATCCTCTCTCATTTATCATCATGTACAAACAACAACAATTTGAAATCGTCAACGTGTTCATAGTATCATTCAAACAATTTGAAATCTTTTTAAAAACACAATAAAAAAATGAGTAGTGGACGAGTCTCGATCAAAATTCCATCACCCTTCGGGAATAGAATTCGGAAACAGGAGAGTTCTGCTTTTCGGACACAGGATAGCCTTGATGACGATGATGATTTAAATTCTAGTAGGGATCAATCACCTACTCTTTCATCGTCGTCCAGAAAAGGAGATACAACGACGACAACGGAAGTGAAATTAAATTCGTTGGTTGGAACGACGTTACCGTTTACAAATATTTCGGAATTGAAAAGAATCATTCAACAGGAAACAGATATGTAGGTTTTGTTATTATTGTTTTTTGTTTTGAATAATTATTTAAATTATTTTTTGTTGAATTTTGGAAAATGTCAAATGATCTATGAAAATACTAAATACGATAACAATAATTAATTAACACAATTTTAAAGATTAATCATTCTGGGATATGGAGTGGAATATATACAACCCACTAGAAAAAGTCTGGAGGCATTGCTAGACTATGGACGTGATCCTGGTGTAGAATATAAAAACAAAGTCAAAGTAGTTTTAATAGATCAAGAAATGAATGTACGTTATTATTGAAAAACTTGGATGGTCATTGTAATTAATACCATGTTCACAAAGAGAAAATTTTGTAACGAAAATAATCTTGTAGTGGGAACTCCAATTTTGCAAATGTATTACAACTCTAAAAGTGTTCGATTTAGATTTCAAGACAGTTTAGTGCAGGACACAAAGGATCTGTCTGACAATTCACTTTCATCCACATCTTCGACCAAGCCAAAAAAGAGGGAAAAAACATCTAAACATGAAGATGACGACTTGGCAGATTTTGATATGGGTGAAAAAGGAAGTTCTAAACCTAGAAATGTATTTATTTCACAACTACATTACTCAATTATTCAAGCCCTTGTAGTGCTTACTTTTGATGCAATAGAGGATATGGGCAACGATACATCGAATGAAATCATTGTAGATGTTGATATGGCCATACTTCGTGGAGATGTGGAACTTGATAGGGACGCCGAAGATAAATTTGATTCCACCCTTAGTGATGAAACAGATAGTGGAGAAGAGACGGATGATGACGAGGATGAAGATGAAGCTGCAAAAACCTTGCCACCAAGTGCTTCTCAAGCTCAATCCATGGATGATGGTGACGAGGATGACGAAGATGACGACGAAATGTCGAGAGCTACCAACATTAGAAATTAAGAATGCTTGTAATGAACTTTGAAAAATTAAAGAATGTTGGTTCGTTTTAATGAACATTATTGTGCTACTTTTGATAAGTAGAGTTCAAGAGCTTGAATTTCGTCAGCAAGCAAAGCACTCTCATCATCCTGGTTGGTGAATGTATTTACAATTTCTTCATCTATAATATCCTCCATAGTTTCATTGAAAACTCTGTCCAGTGGTGTATTGGGCTCTTCATCTTCCTGGTCGCTCTCATCGTCTTCACTTGTTTCTTCCTGTTCGTAAGGTTGATCGAAAATATTATCATTATTATTGTTATTTGTACTTTCATCCTCTCCCTCATCAAACATAGAATCTTGAGATTCGAGATTAGTGTTTGAATTGTTGTTGCCCCTTGTGGAAGCTTGTTCGCTTGTCAAAGTTTGATGCTGTTCCAAAATTGTATTTTCAGTCGATTTCTTGATAATGAAAGAAGCAAGAGAATTCAAGTCAGATGAGGGAATTCTTGGAATTGCTTTTCCGTTTACAAGCAAATCAATAGCAATCTGCTCAAGAGTGGTAGATGACGATTGTGATGCTGCTTTTTTAAGAGCAAAAGCTACGTTCTCTAAGGGAAATCCGATCATACACAGCTTGTGAACCAAGTTATAATTGACAGCACGTTTGTGAATTCTTGCTTCTGCTTGGAATGATAAATCCTCGAGAGTTTGCTCATTACATAAGAGCTGTGTGGATATCAATTCGTCATTATTAGATTGAATCAGAGCTTCCACCACAACCTCAATGTCGACATGAGGAAATACCTTTGATAAGGCGTCCAGTAATTTTAGTTCCAATAATTTTCCGTTCTTTGTCTTCTCATAAAAGAGCTGCTTTTTACGCTGTTGTTTTCGTTCCATTTCTTCCACTCGTTTTTGTCTCGCAATTTCTCTTTTTTCAAGAATGTATGATAAAGCCAATTCTACATTTCCGTCACAATTTCTAAGTGCCTTTCTGGCTTCATCCGAAGAAAATCCCATGTTTACCAATTGATCAACAAGAGCTGGATCAATTCTCAACTTGTTGTAATCATTCTGAGATTGCTGAAGATAAGTCTTTGCATTTTCCTTATCTCCTATTTCTGTACAAATAATACCTTTCAGAAGTGAAAGTTTTGCATAGAGTGCACGTTGTGAAAACCTTCCTTGTTGCAGATCGAGTAGTCTTTCCAAATTTTCTCCGTGAGCTTGCTTTAAAATCTTTTCAGCAAGTTGTAATCGTTGAATTGCATCGAACAGCATGCTTGGATCTTGCAACTTGTACATACACCAAACGTAATCGATCAGCAATGTTGCATAATTATCAACAATGGAAAGAAGTTGTGGAGATAATTTTCTGAATGATTCATCAGCAACTTTCAAACAATCAAAAGCATTTTCAAATTGCTTCTTTTTGAGGTATTCTTCAGATTTCTTTTGTAAAATCATTCCCATGACGAGAGCTTCACGTTCCCATTCAGGTAAATTGACCTTCTTTCCATTTTGATCTTCTAAAACAAAGTGATATTGTTCGTATTGAGAGTCTCCACCATTAGCTCTTTTGGCCATTTCGAGAGCAGCTTGTCGAACTTTTTCCAATCGGGAAACTTGTGCACTGTTACTGCTGGTGTTTGATGGCAAAGAGGCACTAGCACCAGATGAAGCTGTTGTTTTAGTTGAATTTGGAGAAGTGTTTTGATGATCCCTCGATGGTGAGGATGATGAAAGGGTAGGACTACTCATTTGGTTGTTACAATTACCAGCTAGAGCGTGATTTGGTGAAGTTGAATCGTTGGAAGCAGTTGCAGATACCTGGTTATTATTATTTCCTTCAGAAGATGATGCTTTCATATATATCAAAATGTTATTCTTAATCTTGGCGTCTGCAAGAGTCTCGGAATCATTCTTCAAAAACTTTCCTCCACTCAACAAGGTGAGATCAGACAAATTCCACTTCTCCGATGATGATGGTGAATGGTTGTGAGTATCAACTATTAATTGTCTAAATTCAAGCACAGTTTTTGAAAGATCAATCGCTTGAAACGTATGCGTCCATTTGGACTTGGTTTCTTTAACAGTAATGTCCATGCCGACGAGAAGAGATGAAGAATTTTTTCCTGCTTAAAATTGAACTTCAAAGTCTTGTTATTTTTAGAGTTGTAAAGTTCAAGCAAACATCACCAAACAACTTTACAGTTCCAGACCCAATGGAAGGATCTCAGGTTTCGATTAGAGGTGGGATGAACGTCATTGCATTCTTGGAAGAAGATGCTCGTTGACGACTTCCTTATCGAAATACAATTTTTTTCTTAAAAAAATATTTAACGAGAACCATAATCTCATGCTGTCCTTTCCTTGCTCGTAGATGGCTCTCGGAAAGTCTGGCTTTCTCATACATACTAAGAAACCGAAAAGTTCTTCTATTGCTGGTCGTGCTGGTTGCCTTTAGAAAATCACTCGACCCGTTCCCGATCAACAAGACGATTCTTGTGTTTAGATGCTTGGATTGATTGTCCGTCGATCGTCATTCCTAAATAGATGCAAGAAACATTGGAATTTTATTTTGCAATTAAGGGCGGAGGATCATGTTTCAAAAGAATGTTAGGGATGTTTGCAAGAGATAGATATTGTTTAGTTGAACTGGTTGAGTTTAAAATTGGAACATGAATTGGTGCTGCTGATGTGAATGAACAAGTTCAAATGGTTGTTAAAATATTTTTAGTAATGGACAGTTCATTCCTTGAAAATCCTTTAAAACACTTTCCAACTCTTCGTATCATTTCCAACATCAAAAAAACAACACAAAATGCAATTATTCGTTAAAACACTTACAGGTAGAACAATCACATTGGATGTTGAGTCCAATGACTCGATTGAGAATGTTAAACAGAAAATCACAGATAAGGAAGGCATTCCAGCTGATCAACAACGTTTGATTTATGCTGGAAAACAATTAGAGGATGGAAGAACTTTATCGGATTACAATGTACAAAAGGATGCTACTCTTCACTTGGTGTTGAGATTACGTGGTGGTATGCAACTCTTTGTGAGAACTTTAACTGGAAAAACAATCACTTTGGAGGCAGAGATGAATGACACTATTGAGAGTGTAAAGAGTAAGATTTTTGAAAAGGATGGTATTCCTTCGGATCAGCAAAGAATTATCTTTGCTGGTAAGCAATTGGAGGATGGAAGAACTTTGAGCGACTACAACATTCAAAAGGATTCCACTCTACACTTGGTTTTGAGACTCAGAGGTGGAATGCAATTATTCGTCAAGACTTTAACAGGAAAGACAATCACGATTGAAGCAGAGTCCAATGATACCATTGAGAATGTGAAGAGAAAGATTTGTGATAAGGAAGGTATTCCAGCGAATGTGAAGAGAAAGATTTGTGATATCAACAGCGCTTAATTTATGCTGGAAAATAATTGGAGGATGGAAGGACAGTTTCGGACTATAGTTTGCAAAAAGATTCAACCATCCATCTTGTTTTGAGACTGCGTGGAGGATCAATGAGTACTTGTAAATATTTGAACAATTAAATACCTTAAAACTTGCTTTGTGCAGAAGCTGTATCTATCAAAACGATTTGATGTGGCGGAACAATGAAAAATACAATGGATTTTAATTTAGCCCCAATTTAACTTCCTGAGATGATTCTCATGCGGAGGCTGGATGGGAAGGATATACAACTAGAATGTGAGCATTTCTTTCGCAATTTTCACAGAAAATAACAATGATATTGCCCAATGTAAATCATGTGGCGCCACACAAAACATTACCAATGCGACTGACAGGTTGTTAAGTCCATGAATGTTATTTCAAACACGAGTTCACATCATGACCTTACTGAGTTCCAAATAAAATTGAACACAATCATCCCTTCTCACATAATCAATACACGAGTTCACAATATGGTAAAAATCTCTCAAGAGTGAGGAAAGTGGTAATTGCTTATCTGTTGTGAGTACTCTTTTTAGAAGAGCAAATAATATTGGAAGGTGGGAATACTCAATAGTTTGTGAAGACTGAAACAATAGAATAATAAGCTGCTTGGTCAAATGTTTTTGAGATGATTCGTTAGCGTGATTAATTAATTTTTCAATTTGCTCAAGTGAATACTCAATCAATTTGGGATCCTTGATATGGTTAAAAATAAAGTGAAATGAATTGCAAAATATAGATTGAACGAGGGAGTTGGTACCTGAGTACTTCTTATCGCATACTATTTTGAGATAGTGTGGTAAAATTAAATTTCTAATCTTATAATTTTCAGAAAAGAAAGTAATAAATAAATGATGTGCTTGTTGCACAATCTGTTTGTTGCTATTCAGCAAGCATTTGAACATAAACGGAATGACATGTGGCTTGAACAAATCTTCATGATATTGCTTACTCTGTACCAGAGAGGTGAAAAAATTAAGGTAAAAGTATATACTGGATAAAAATACCATGTTTCCAGCAGAAGTGGCAAGTTGGGTTAGGAGAGGTTTGAAAATTGTGCTCGAGGAAATAAAATCTGAAATAATATTTTGGTGATATTGGATGATCTTGTTCAAGAACTGAGTATACAGAGAAACAGAGTCCAAATCTTTCATAAATTCTGTGTTGGCAAATATTTTGATAATTTGAATCACATTCTCAGAAGAAATCTGTTCATTCTTCTCTATTTGTGCTAAACTCTGCGAAGCGTTCATTAGTTTAGAGTTGTTTGAATATACTTTTAGAATAAATACTAGAAGCAAGCTTGATATATTCTTGAGGTGATACTTCAAATCTTCCATTGATACTAATTCATCGATAAGTGAGGGACCTTTGGATGTTCTATTTTTTGAAAATGCTTGTGAAAATATGTTGCTTAATTCTGAGGAAAAGTCGTACACAAAGTTAATATATCGAGAAGGATTATGTCGAGGAATTGTTACCAGATTATTCACTACTAGATACATGTATGAATATAGAGTTGATTTTTGGTACTCTGAAAGTATAAATTTCAGCTCATTGAGATCTAATTTCTTATTCAATGCATCAATTATTTCTGGAATTAAGAAGATTTTGGCTCTTAAAATATTATAAAGTATAAACTCAACATATTCATCACGTTTGTCGTAGGTTTCCATATAACTAGCAATTTGAACAGAAATAAGACAGTAGATCGTTGATAAAACACTATTAGGATGAGAGAATATCTTGTCTAAAATTTTCCAACTAATATCAAGGAGTGGCGTCAGTACATCGCGAGTAGGTTTTTCATGAAGTACCCAAGAAACAAGAGATGTCAGCAATGTGAAGCGTTCCGTTTCTTCTTTTTCATCCAGCTTATTCTGTGCATATTCTCTTAGAAACTCTGATATTAGAGTAGTGTTTTCTTCAATGTTGTTCTGTTTAGATTTTTCAAGAATTTGAGAGACAAACAAATAGATGGAAGAGCAATATCTTAATATTTGGTCAATAATTGATATTGATTGCCGAATATTATCTTTGGAAATGGTATCGAATTCTCTCAGTTTGAGGCTGTCAAATAATATGGATCCAGTAGTCATTACTGACAAAATAAGTTTTCGTTTCTGGTCTTGAGAGGCATTTCTGCACACAAATAAATTAGTTGTTGATTTTACCAAGCTATCAAAAAGCTCTCTTTGCATTTTGGGAGAGGAATGACTGTTAGATTGAGAATGTTCTTGCTGGGAAAGGTTTAACATTTCTTTCGCCCTGTAATCCAAGTATGTGCAAAATATTCGAAACACTGTATTAAAATCAGAGTCGTTCAAAAATTTGGCGCATTGCGAAAGTGTAACTAGTGTCACTGCAACCAATTTTACGTTGCCACTGTAATTGGTCAAAAATCTAACACACACTTTGTAGATTGATTGAGCATGAACAGTGATGTCTTTTTCGTTGAGGGACAAGAGCTGTCCATGGAAAGAGTGTGCCTGGTAATTTAAATACATTGCTACTATTTTTAAATAATAAATAAGCTTGGTAATATTCGCTCCATATACAGAATTAAATTTTGCGTGTTGCTCAATATGTTCCATGCAGTACAAGAAAAATCTTGCCAAATCCGATGGGTTATCACTGTAACTATTGTTCTTACTTCTTTCTAATAACCTATCAATATTTACATAAATGTACAACAAATACTTCAGCTCCAAATTCTGTGTTTCCGTTTGTTGGTGTCCTGATTGCTCGTTCAGTTGATTTCTGTTGTGATGAGTGGGGGTTGTGCTCGATGCCAAATTGGTCATCAAATAATTCATACACACCAAACATTGTTTGTTCAGCTCTTCTACAAGCCCCATTCCTTCGGTTGATGTTTTGAGAGCATCACCCATAATTCCGATGATGATAACTCTCTTATCACTTGCAGAAGGCTTTGAGAGTTCTTGCTGTGAAGAGGAATGGTCTTCGGGTGTTTGCATTTTTTGTTCCGAAATTCAAAAGGATTCGTAAAGCAATTCTCCTCTTTCCATGATTTTATTGATTCTGGTGAAAGATACCTAGGATCATGTAGTTGATAATTACCATTACAAAGGTTACCCTTCTCGTAGCCTTTTTTGGGCAAATTTGATGAGGTTCATCAAGAAAAAAATGAAAAGATCAACCAACACAATTGTTTCATTCGCAAAGCTGCAGTCTGTAGTGCCATTATTCTTGCACAGAAGGAACCACTCAATTTCCTTCGCCAATACCCATTCGGGAAAATGGTCGACCACACTCCTCTCACATTCCGAACATAAGAATTTTCATTCAAATTTAATTTCTACAACTGTACTGGAGAGCTCATCATCCTCTTTGAATGAATCATCAAGCCTTCATCAAAAGATACCATCCATTAAATTGGGAGTGCTATTCGCATGGAGTGGTATGCATGAAAGAATGCAAAGAACATTTGAAGAAAAGAGCCAGGAAATTTTAAACACTGCTGTACTTCCGAATTATCAAGTGGATAAGCAACATATTTTGTACATGACAAAGCAAAACAAGCCAAGTATTGAAAAACTGAAACAAATTTATCAAAACTGCAACGTATTGTTGGTGTGTCCAATGACAGGCGGAACAGAAGAAATACTGCAAGATTTGGTTTCATTGAAAAAACCAATTGTACTTTATGGAGAGAGTTATCATAATTCAATTGCTGCCTCTCTAGAACTTCGGCAATATTTCAGAGATTACATGCTTCCATCTGTACTTATTAACAAGATGGATCAAATTCATTCAAAGATATCTGAATTTGCAACTAAATACGAGCAGAGCTGGAAACATTTCCTAAGTTTAAGGCTAGGTCTTATTGGGGAAATTTCACCATGGCTTATTAACGAGAAGGACTTTGTTACCAAAGAATCGTTGCAAGAAAATGGTGGTCTAGAAGTTGTTACTCCATCATTTAGATTACCATTCACCAAGATATCATCCAAGGAGCTTTATGACACGTTCAAAGAGGTTTCACAGGATGAGGCTAAAGAAGTTGCCGTTCTAGTTCAAGAACTTCACGAGCAAAAAGTGAAATCAGTTTGTTGCGGTGGAAGAAAGAAAGATGCAACTCCTCAAACCAATGAGGATGCAAGCTGTCAAGGTAATGAACAATGTGGCTCAAATGGTAGTGGCTCATGCAAGTCAGATGATCATCACCATCACCATTCTTGCTCTGGAGAGGCAGTATTAAGCAAGGTTTCTCGGGAATCTCTTCCTGTTGTGCCAAAGGACAGTCTTATTGAGGCATGTAAAGTCTATATTGCCATTCAACGACTTCTCAATATGTACAAATTGGACGGATTTACCATTGGATGTTTTGATTTAATTGCTGACATCAAGACTACACCTTGTCTCGCACTTGGACTTTTGAATGGCATTTCACAACTTAAACTGAGTGATGGAAAACTATTGACAATGAAGGCAAGTGCATGTGAAGGAGAGTTGAATTCCTTACTTGCAATGGTCTTGTGTCAAAAGTTTTTAAACAAATCACCCTTTATGGCCAACATTGTCGATTTCACACCTTCACAAAACGGAATGGAAGACGAATTATTAATTGCACACTGTACAGCTCCAATGATTCCAGGCCTTCCTTTCGAGCTAACCACTCATTTTGAAAGTGGAATGGGTGTAGCAGTTCGAGTCGACATGCCAACAGTAACAGGTTTGAGAAATGTAAAATCAGGTCATGTGAACGGCAAAACTGTTGCCGCCTTAGGAGCCTCTTCCGCAATGGCCACCCTCATTAAGATAAAGAATACTAGGGATGTCATTATCGCTCCTGTAGTTGTTTACGACAAAGAGACATCATTGCTAAGGTGCAGGACTCAACTACGACTAAGAATGCAACGAGTGAACGATTTTGTGGACTCAACCTTTGGTAATCATCATTTATTGGTCTATGAAAATTACTGGAATGTCAAAGATATGTTTAGCGAGCTTGGATTTAATATTACTGAACACATGTAGTTGCTGTTACTTGGAACTATTGGAGAATGTTGAATACAACTATTATCCAACTAAACTAGACTTGTTACAACACAAGGATCTTGTTTGTTATTAACAAATTAATAATTAATAATAATTTGTTAATAACTACTATTATCCTACTAAGAGAAAAAAAATGAACCAGTTTTTTGTCTCGTCACCGCAACATCTTCATCATCAGAACCATAATAACAATAACGGTCGTATGGAATTACTGCCAAGTATTAACAATGGGAATGATCCGAGTAATGATATCAATTCCAAACCAACCACACAATTAACTTCAACCACTGCTACACCCAAAGGTCCACTAAAAGCCTTGGATGAAAGTCGAATTAAAGTGATCACGGAAAAACATTTGATAGGACATCATACCTACGAAATATTTGACTTTGGATTAGTAGATCCGATCGGATCCTTTAGTGAATCATCCATTCCGATTACATTACTGAAAGATTTAATTTATTGCAAGTACAAAATTCATCCCGAAAACCAAAAACTGTGGCTCTTTGTAACAAGAACAAACGGAACCTATCGACCGTTTGATACACTAGACAAGGAATATTTCGATCATTTCTTTTATGAGCGAGAATATGCAATATTTGTGGAGCAAGTTGCTGGTCAACAACCTCCAGAAAAAAAAGCATATTTCTATATTCGTAAAATACTATGATATCGACACTCAACAATTGATGTTCTGTGGCCATGCTTCATTAGAGGCGGACAAAACATTTCTTGAATGCATGAACACTTTCAGTGAGATGTGTCGAAAAAAACTTAACGTGATATGTAACGATTTTGATATTTACGAAGAAGTTTTTCCTTCCAGGATTGATATCTGTACGCTAACTCATCGGCTTGGACATGAGGCTGAATTAATTGATGGTGATATCTTAATTTTGCAAAGAAAAATCCACAACAGAGTTGACAATTCTCAAATAATGCTTCAAATTCCTACGATCGTTTGGGAATACATTAAGAAAGATAAATATTTGATCAAAAGCAAAGATGATGACAATGTAGATGAAGACCTACCAACAACCTCGTTTGATGTGAATTGGTATTATAGACTCTTATCAAGATGCGATCGATATTTATTAGGCTGCCTTACATCAGATAATAACACTGCTCTGGTAAAAGAGTTATTGAAGGTGAGATTGGAGTGGTTAGGAGTTTCTCAAGAATTTCCAATATTTATCAAGTAAGTTTCTATAGACATTTACAACGCTTCGAAAAAACATGTTCGTCAAGATATCGCCTCAAACAACCTATTTTGAGTATATTAGCTGAACATAATTGTATCCAGACTGCACAGATGCTCATAAAAGATTACAAAGCGAACGTGAATGTATCCTGTAAAAGAAGAACCAAGTCGAACGGTGTGTATTACTCAATTAATCCTCTTTATTGGGCTGCTGAAAAAGGACACTTGGAAATGGTGAAGCTATTGCTTAATCATGGAAGCCACAAAATATCATCATTGAAGAATGTAAGTTTCAGAAGAAAGTATTCGTTGAATATTTAATATTTTGAATTTAGAATCGTCATACTGATTCCAGATTGGCTGCATTAGAGCACCACCACTACGATGTAGCGAGATATCTTGAGATGTTTACCTATTCAAATTATTTACTGAAACGTCATTTCATAAAACCTCCAGACCAAAGATTGAGTGACATTGTAATTTTGACAGAGAATTTAGATTAAGTAGATTCCATGAAGAATATCAAGAAATCAACAGGAAATCATGTGTTACACCTTTCAATGTTCAAAAGAAGCAATCTCATTTGAACAATAGCTTATTGCCCTTTTTTTCATTTAGCATTAGAAAAGAAAATAGACTTTGGAAATGTTCTGGGAGAGGGGCTGTCACCATAATGTTTGCTCCTCTGTATTTTACATGGTCACGTTACCTCTCAAATAGATAAATCTCCAACAATTACTTACTTTGAATCTAAATAAGGGAGAATCATGGCTCTGTGATGCAAATGAAGACGTTTCAAACAAACGTCAGGAAGCACATGGATGAGCGATTCTGGAACACCCTGGCCATATTTAAAGTCTCCAAGAATTGGGCAACTTATTCCTGTTGCACAATGAACTCTGAGCTGATGTTTTCTGCCTGTAACAGGATACAGAGCTAGCCAAGCCATTTTATCTGTCATATGTTCAATTGTTTTGTACTCAGTGATGGACGTTCTGGCTGTTCCAGATGTTTTATCATCCACAGGCATTACTTTTTCAAATCCTGTTTCATCCTTTTGGATATCAAGGGCCATTTTGATTCTAATAAATGCAATCGGAATAGTCGTCACAAAATTTTGATAATGCTCTTCCACTTACCTTCCTGCGGTTGGTGTAGGAGTGGCTGTCGTAACGGCCCAGTAACATTTCTTAAGGGGAATTTTAGTATCATTGAACCATTCTTGCATCCTGGTCGCTCCAATTCTGTTTCTAGCGATAATGAGCACCCCTGTTGTGTCTCGGTCAAGTCTATGGACGAGTTTGGGCCTAACTACGAACCCATCCATTGTGAGCGCATCTAAAATAGCATCAATGTGGAAATTTTGATTGGTTCCTCCTTGAACACAAATCCCGTATGGCTTGTTAATGGCAATAATTTCATCGTTTTTAAACAAAATCCAACTTCTAATCTCTTCAATTTGTTCCTCCGTCAATTGCAATTTAAATTGGCGTCCTTGCTTTTTGTAAATAGGTTCTCCAAGCAATAAGGAAGAAATACTGTCCATCTCTTCGTCTTTTTCCATTGTGAGAGTATTTTCATTTCGATTTGACTTATTGAATTTTTCAACCTTAGATGGTTGTGATACATTTTTAGCTCTGTTGGCCTCAATTTCTTCCTTCCTCTCTGAGCTTACATATTCCTTTGCTATTTTCACCATGTCTCCAGCAAAAACTCGTTCATTGTGCTCCTTAACAGGAGAGTCGTTCTTCCATATTTGTTTTTTTCGGATCACTTTTTGAAGAAGACCAAAGTTAATTGCTAACGTTTTGGAGAGAAATCGATCGAGTCGCATGTTGTCATGCTCTTGTGAAACAGTGATCGCATAATATTCCTTATTTTGCTTTTGGGTTGCTTGAGGGGTATCCTGCTTCCTATTGGGTTGATGTGTTGGTATTTCCTTAGTGTGATTTGACATATTAGGTGTAACTATAGTAGGAATTGTTTCATTCGTTGACGATGCTGTTGTTGGGCTCTTTTGGTTGTCTGCAATAGATGATTGGCAATTATTTTCCAATTAATAATAATATTTCGAAAGATAAAGATAATAATAGAATATTATTAAATCAATCATTAATAATAAGGAAGAAGTTGTATGTTTAATGAATGCAACAGTTAAAAACAAACCACATGATCATGGTTAGTTTTAAAACCCACCCTTTCCAAATGGAACTCCTTTCTTTTCGGCCTCTCTTGCTTGTTCTTCAAACAGTTGTCGTTCGTATTCGTCTTTAAATTCATTTCCGCTCCATTCATTTGCAAATTTACCCAAATCATCCTCATTCAAATCAAATTCCGCTTCACCTTTTAAATAATCAAACAAGGCTTGTCGTAACAATTGTTCATATTCTTTAGAAAAGGCTCTCTCTTCAGCAGGAGAAGGTAAATTATTTCCTTGAGAGATATCTTTTGATGATGAACTCTTGATAACACTTGTTGAGAAATTGCAACAACAGATATTATTTACGGTCTTTCTCGTTATGAGTGCAGGAAAACCGTTTCGGAACAGAATTTTGGATGATGAGTGGAGAGAGACTGCTCTGGTGAGTTGTTTCAACATTTTTTTCAAACAAAAAATTTCAAAAATTGATTGAATAATATATTAACGAATAAAGAATTTGTAATAGTAATTACATCCTATTGAATGATGATTATTCAATGACAATACACTAATACTACTCGAGTAGTATTACATTACAAAACATCATGATTATTATTCAATGACAAGAGAGAGTGGATGAATGAACATTAATTCACCAACACTCTCGAAAAGTATCCTTCCTGTTGGAACAATGGCTCAACGTCTGTGTGTGTCATTCACAATAATGACAAGACTGTCCAATAAGTTCCATTGTTTCATCTTTTCAATGTCACAACAAGATGGATAATTCACCCCTGTCAACCTTGTCTATCGGTTGAATAGATGATAAGATGAACGATTCAATAGGAAGTATCCTTATTCTTCTCTACTTCAAAAATAGCGACCTCATTGAAATTGGTAATGATAATGAATGAGCATTATTACCATAAAAGGACTGTGTGAGAGTTGATCTAGATTTCCGTTCACATCAGAGAATTCTGAAGAGATTAAAAAAAGAACAACAACCAACACTCACCATTTCAACTTGTCGTGTATCCTCATATTCACGTATTCTCATTCACTTACATCGTATCTTCATCATGGGTGAATCTCTCTCCAAGTTTCATTCTTCCTCTCGAGATGAAGTGTACAACTTGAAACATTCTTCATCCTCGTTAGATGTGGTGACGTCGTCGCATCAGATGCCTATGAATCACGTGATGCTAGCACGTCCATCTTCTCCTCCTTCTCATCATCAGGATCAACCACAACGTAAGGGATCATCCAACAACGGATCCTCTTCTTCTTCCTTCTCATCCTTTACTTCTGGAGAGACCAATGTGGAAGTTGGAACAAATTGCTCTCCTCGCCGTCGAAGTAACAGTGCGAATAGTAACAATAGTATGAACAGTAACAATAGCATGAACAGTAATAATAGTATGAATAGTGGCAGTAATAATAGTAGTAACAGTGGTGGCGGCGGTCGAAAAAAGTTCTTTTCCTCTTCTTCCAATTCTTCTCCATCTTCCAAGAATGCATGGTCTTCCTTCTCTTCTTCCTCGATGACCTCCTCTCAAGAAACCATTCTCTTTGTAGGATGTAAAGAATTGACCTCAAAATTTTTCACACATTACAAGAAGAATATTCTCACAAGAACTTCCTCAGCCATGGCACAAAAGATTTCTGTTCATTCCAAAAACAAACAACAACATCCATTGGCTACGTTGGGAAATGATGTATTACAATGTTGTGTGGTCTATCAACATTTGAAACTCAAGCTCAAATTGGTAAATGTTGAAATGGAGGATGAGAATCAGGTTGATGATGTGGCCACTCGTTGTGTTAGTGTGTTGAATTCTTATCAACAACTACAACCAGCGTGTCATGGATTCATGAACTCCACCACCACTACTTGTCGATTGCAAAATTATGTGAATCTTCATCCAAGTTTTGTTGTGTTATGTTTGCCCAATGAATACTTTCAAGATTATTGTGAAGATGTGAAATCAACGATTCGTCAATATCATGCATCGGTGCAGTATTTGAGTCAATTAATGTGTGAATTGTCGATTTTTGGGAATATTCCAGTATTGTGTGTGGCCCAGAATTCACACACCAATTTTTCCTTTGTCGTTAAATATATCATTTCTGCATTTGGTAATTATCGAGGTTTTGAACAAATCCAAAAGGACAATCCTCAACATTATATTGATGTGATTGAGAAAGTAATTCCAAATATACTTTTGAGCGTTCGTTCAGAAAAGGGAAGTGATAAAATTACCTTCGATTCCATTAAGCCCTATATTAAGCAATCGAATACACAAATTGATGGAATCACCTTACGATTCTTAGAACCTTTCAATCTCACCAATGATCTTGATTTTTGGCATTCTCTGAGACAAAATAATCACATCAAATTCATTGATTTCAACACTCATTGGCCATGTTTTAGAAATTCTCATCAGGAATGCAATCACGTGATTGATTACTTTAAAGAAGATCAATACCATTACCAACTCTTTGTACTATTCAATCATCCTACTCTGAGAAATGTTTACATTCATTGGTCTCAAACTGAGAAAATTGCTGCCTGTATGCCACGAGACTCAACTTCACAATGTGATTTCAATCCAAAATTCGATCTTCACTACTTTAAATATTTCCTTAATGGTTTCGTTCAATTCCGTTCTTTGGTTAAGAATTTTGCCATTTACATCAAATTGCAAGAAATTGACTTTAAGCAACTCAAACTCATTATTGAATGGATTTTCAAGTATGTGAAAAGTGGAATGTTCTCCTCAAAAGCAACACTCACTCTTGAAATTGGAAACATTCTATCCTCTTCAAAACAACCACTCTCCAATCTAACATTGAAATTATACTTTTACAAAGTATTCCAATTGATGAGATCCATGAAACATCGAATCAATTTTGATTATGCTGAAGGAAAGAAAGTATTCCATCATTGGATCGAGCATCGAGAATTGTATCCATCAAGCATGCATGATATTGTGCAATTTTTCAATTACATTTCTCTGAATGGTTATTCACATCAATTGTGTAGTCTCATGGTCTCCACTCTCATGGGTTATGATGAAAATGAAAATCTTCTCCATAGCAAGACTGTCCAAAAGTATAATCTTGAAAAAGTTCAAACCATGTTTCAAGAAATGGTTGCTCGAAAGAAAAAGGATTTGGAACGAATGTTCAAAAAAGCTCTTCACAGACTATTGTGGGAATCCTTCGAAGGAGTTGAATCTGAATCCAGAATGATATTAAGTGATATTAATTGTGTGACATTACATTGATTCACAATTTGATTGTTCCCAAAATCTTTGTAAATATTCAGAACATTAACGAATTTTGAGTTGAGTACAACATCATGAGCTCATCGATTGCGATGATTTATTCTTTGATAACATTACATTCCACCATAAATTCTGGAAAAGAGTTAGAGATGTGAATTTTCCCTTCCTTATGTACTTACTCTTAAGGTGATTCGTTAATTCTCGCAATCCAAGAATTTCTCTCAAACTAATGTCACAAGAATTTAAATAAAACAATATTTTGTGAAGCAATTAGCACATATGAATGGTTATTTGAATGTTACGTACTCATTGTGACCAGCATTCTTAATCCAAAGTGCTGGATAGGGATTTTTCACATGCTTTGTAATATAAATTCCATGATCGACTCTATGAACAATAAAAAATTACGTGTTGAATTAAGGTAACAATCAATTACAGTTGAATATGGTCAAACAACTGTGAATATGATCATGTACTTACGGAACCAACTGTTAAAAATGCACATCAACCATGTGTGACAAATGCAAGTCATAATTACAACATGCACATTTTAGGAAAATGAGTCATCGAGTGTATTGTTAATTTTTGAACCCATCCAAAAATATGGAAATGAAACCATTTAGGTCATGCCAAAATCATCATGCAACAAACCTACCTCATCATTCTCTCCATGAATCACAAACACTGGTGCATCGATAGCTCCAATTCTCATATAGTTGGGGAATATATCAATTAATCGACCTGCAAATACATTTGTCACAGTTCTTACAATGCTCTCGAAAGGACTCTCCAGAACTACACCAGCAACCTTTCGATGATGTGCAGCTAAATAAATGGAAGCAGCAGTTCCCATCGATGTTCCATAAATAATTATACTTTCTGGAGGAATATTCAACGTATGAACGACATAGTTATAGGCAGTAAGAGCACACTCATAAACGCCTTGCTCAGATGGTTCTTCAATGTCTTGCAAAACTCCATAGCCGAAATACTATTTGTTTCAGAACCAATAATAGATTTGTGTGTGATAATAATAATTATATTGTTTCAGAACCAATAATAGATTTGTGTGTAATATTAATTATAATCAATAAATAGTATAGGTATGAGTGAATCAGTGAATCACACACAATCACACACACACTCCATCAATTGTAAGTCATTTCAATAAAACACAAACCTCATAATGAACCACATTCACATTGAGTTTATCTCTTAGTATGGTCAGAAAATCATAGCTCATTCCCATATCCATTCCATTTCCTGAATGCGCGTTGTGTGTTTGGATTTCGATCGAGTTCACCATATGAAATAACAATCATCATATTTAGTACAAATTTGAAAATCATGAGGAATGATCAATGATGATAGTGTTGTTGTTATTGTGAAACATTTGATGGCACAACAAGGAAATAACAATTATTTCTCGAGAGAGGTTTTGATGGTTGTCCGAAATAACATACCATGACTATAGAGAATGGTTGATTTCACATCTTCTGTTTTTGCTTTTAAATAATACAATGCTACTTGTTTTCCGGCTTTCACTCCTATATTCAATAATTATTGAAATAAAGATGTGGTGATGAAATAATAAAAAAAAGGAAATGAAAAGGCCGATCATTAATTCTTAAAAATTCATCGTGTCCAAATTACCTTCAACAAATGTGACCGGATACGGTTTTTCAGCATTATAACTTGGTGGTTTAGGTGGTTGGAAGGTCAGCGATGAAACGATAGATCCCATATCAACGATTTGACAACTGACACAAGGCGATGTGTTTGATTATTTTTTGAGCGCTTTATTAGGGTGTTGTTTCTGGGATTCAGTGAATCACTCGAGCAAGACAAGCTGAAAGTGTTGACGCTTTCACTAAGCTTTCTTACGCTTTCACTTGTTCATCATCACCAATGCCACTTCCAACATTGATCGGTGGTGTCATGACAAATTGCGCATTCTTCAAATCCAACACTGCAAGAGGTTGAAACTTGAAAGGTAAATAATATTGTGAAATATCTCCCTTTTCTAAAAAGATTAAACGATTATTTGGATTGGATTTCAACTCTTTCCATTTCACGATTGGGAATAAGGGAGAAGTGAGAACAAGATTTTGAATAAGAATTGGATCTCGAGTGTCAAACTCTTTCCATTCAGAAATTCCTTTCACACCCATTAATGGTAATTGAACTGGAAGACCTAAAAGTGTTGTTTGAACGCCAAGTTTAAGAACATTTTTGATTCCAAAGGATTGAACCATTTGAATGGCACTTTTCAATAAACTCCAAAGATCATAATTTAAATTCAAATGCATTTGGTAATCCAGTGAAGAAGTGACATCATCATCCTCTAAAGTTGGGATATTCAACTCGACATGTTCAATTGCATTCATCAATGAATCTCTCTTGTAAAACATTCTTCTCAAATACTTGTCGACACACAAATATTTTCTTCCAATGCGATGAGTTTTAGTTCCATTGACAAAGGTCTTTAACAGTTTGGCAATTAAATTTCTATTGAAAAACTTTGAATAGTATTTTGTATTGATCGAAAAATCCAAAACCAGATCATGTATTAATATATTTTAAAAATTAATTTTAAATTTTCCAAATCAAGATCTCAATTTCTTACCATTTCATTGAAAATACACAATTCATCTTGACAGTTTACACTTTCATTACTTCCTCTTTTTTGCAAAAGAACTCCAGGAATTAACTCGGCATAGGAATCGGCCGATGATTCCTCATAGAATACATTTCCAATAATGAGAGGAGTCAAAACAGGAGGATGATGATTTCCATCCCATGCATTATTCTTGATTGGTGATGATGATGGAGCAGCTTTCACAATTTTCACAGGTTCAAACTCTAACTCATCTTCACATTTGGAAACATCTCTTTGTGATGTGTTGTTGCTGCCACACTTCTCTTCGATCAGTAATTTCCGAACGTGATCATAATCAGCGAATCCAGAAATATAGAGCATGTGCACTCGATGTGTATGAAAAGGTGTCACATTTCCAATGCGAGGATAAATTTTAAAAAGAGAATTGGAATCTTTTGTGGATGGTGGTGAGGGATGAGAAAGAAAAAGAGATGCCACCACAAGACTCACGATCGCCACAAGAACGGATGAGAGGAGAGACATTTTTTAATATTAATTACACGTTTCTCATATATTTGGACAACATTGGATTCGCATATATTAATTTTTTAATAATTTAGTAAAATTATGTTCTGAAATGTTGATAACACACACACTTGTGACCAGGTCGTTCAGTACAAGTGTTGGATTACTCCTTTTCAGAAATGACAAGAGCTTCATCCTTGCTGTTGTTCTTGTCTTGAGAAACCTCTTCTTCTTTCTTGTTTTCATCTTCTTCCTTTTTGGCCAACTTTTTCCTTAAATCTTCCACCTCTTCAAGATATTCCTCTACATGCAAAAGACAATCCTCAGGTTCATAAATAAATCTCATCAAGTACGTTTGAACTTCAGCAGTCGTGAGTTTTTGTTCAGGTAAAAGTTTGGAAATTTTTGAGGCAAGTGTTTCATTCTTAAAGAATCGATTGGCCATTTGATAGATTTGACCACTTGTGGAATATTCAAATTCAATTTTCATATCAATTCTTCCTGGTCGAATGAGAGCTGGTTCCAATCGATTGATATGATTCGTAGTCATGAAAATAATTCTTGGAAATTGCGAATGTGAAGTAACTCCATCCAAAGCATTCAATAAACCTGAGAAGGTCACTCTCTGAACATCTTCAGAGGCCTTTCGATTCTCATTAAAAGCAGCATCAATATCCTCCAAAAGAATGATACCTCTTCGTGGAATTTGAGTGATCAAAGCCATGAGTTTCGTGTCATCTAAACTTTTATCACTCAAAGATAAGGTGAATACTGAACATTGCAAATAAGCAGCAACTGCCAAAATTAAGGAAGTTTTTCCAGTACCTGGATGACCATAGAGAAGATATCCTCTTTGGAAATTCAACCCATTTTCTCTGTAGAAATGTTCATTGTTCATGAATCGATCCAAATCTTTCAATAAATTATTTTTCACCTTTTCATCAATGTAAACGGTGTCAAAGGATCGATTGGGACGATCACACAATTTTTGCCAATCACTGTAATAATTATCAGACATGGTGTAAATGGAGGTGACACCCTTCGCACTTTGGAAATAGGCCTTCACGGCCTCCTCGACAAGATCATGAAGAACTTTCTTTCCGTTCCAAGCATTCACAGAAAGAACTAACTTTTGAATATCTCCCTTCTTGTTGTTACTATCTGGATCGTTGTCATTGGTTGGATCTTGTCTTTGAATAGTCACTCGATAGCCTTTATAATTCAAAGTATGACTGCCAGGACCTGGAGCAAGAACAAGTTGGACATCACTCTCATGTTGTTCCTTATTACGATAAGAATCAGAGAGATCACATTTGGCATGAACTGTAAAATGTTTAGCTGATTCAAAGTTTGGATTCTCACTCATCCATGAAATGAGACATAAATAAATGGTGTTGTAACGATAATTTTCCTTTTCCTTAATTTCTAATGAGCATACGAAAAAGTCTCTAAAGAAGTAATAAATGACGTAAAGCTTGTCTTCAATGACCTTCCAAATAGAACTTGCTATTAACAAGGCAATTCCTGCAGAGAAAATTTGATTACCCAAAAAGAAGAGGAAAAAAGAGGAAAGGAAGAATTGAAATATGGTTGAATTCACCAAAAACGAAGGCAAATAATTCACTATCATATATTGTACTTGATTCTTGATGTATTGATCTGTCCTATTGCCACTCCAGAACAAGGTGTCATTTCCGGACAAGACTGAAGAAGCAGAGAAGAGGAAGGATCCCATAAAATCATGAGAACCACCTCCAGAGCCTCCGATATTGTTCATGACATCACCTCCAAACATTGTAGAGAGAGTATCGATGGGATTTGCAGACATTTTGTTTGGACTTGAAATTTGTTGAAGTGGAAGAATTGGCTTTTCTAATTTTCCAAAGTGTGTTACCTCTATTTTTAGATGGAATTTTTGAATTTTCAAATTCAAGGTGTTGGGTTGTCCACGTTGCAACCACGCACGTTCCAAAGAAGCAATCCTTTTTCGGTGTTCGTTGGTTTCAAAGAGTTGACTATTGTAATTTTTAAATCAATATTGCACAAGCGATTACCAGTCTGTCTGGGCTTGAAAAAAAATGAAGAAATTTTACTCTCTGTCATCATCATCTCTTGTGTCCAAGAGTATCATTTTCGGAAAACAATTCTTCCAATCAAGCTGCAGCAGAGGTTTTAGCATTTCAAAGTGCACACTCAAAAACGAAAAGAAAAGAATATTGTTCTTTGGATCGGATGATTTTTCATTGAATACTCTTAAATTGGTTCATTCGGAATTTATGAGAAATGATTTGGCTAATATTTGTGTGGTATGTCCACCTGATCGTAAAACAATCAGGAGAAATTCTATAACGAACGTCGAATGCGTGGTTAAAACCTTTTGTAAAGAGAATAACGTTCCTTTTGTTCATCCCATAGAGAAATATAAAACTCCAGAAGAACGAAAGAAAATTCAAAGATTGGATCTACAGGACCTTCCAAGAGACCCTTTATTGTTCGGTGAGGGTAATAATCATGACTTTAATCCAAAATTCGATCTAGGAATTGTGGTGAGCTTTGCATATTTTCTTCAACCTGGATTATTGAACCAATTTAAATCGCCAGATGGAAGAAATTCCAATATATTTAATATTCATCCTAGCTTACTACCTAGATATAGAGGCCCGGCTCCAATACATCATGCTCTTTTGAATGGAGATTCCGATACAGGTATTACAATAATGGAATTGGATGATAAGGAATTTGATGTAGGACACATTGTAAAACAAAAGAGAATTCCAATTGAACCATCAGAGACGTTTACTCAACTCCATGATAGACTTTCCAAGAGTGGAGCTGAAATGATGGTTGAAATGATTGAGGAATGCAACTTTAATTTCTCCAGCTTAGAGAGATTAAGGCAATCTGACATGACTGAAACAATTAAACCCACAAGAGCACGAAAAGTCAATTTTGAAATGGGAGAAATTGATCTCACGAAGGAAGATGTTCTTACAATTTATAACAAGTGGAGAGCTCTAGAAAAGATACATGTACCATTTCATGACCATGGACATGACACGAAATTGATTCTTAAAAATGTGTCTTATCCAATTCTGGATGAGACCATGACAAATTATGAAGATATTGGAACCTTGTTTATTGACAACACGAACTCTCTATGCTTGCAATGCAAGGGAGGAAAACTAAAAATTAATATCTTACAAGTAGAAAAAAAGAAGGAAATGAACAGCAAAGACTTTATTAATGGTAATAAGAGCAAGCTTCCCATGAAGCTTGTTTCAACATCAGAATAAATTCAAAGTTTCAAAGTCATACCTCGAGGTCATACCCAGCATGCAGATTCACATTACAAAATGTCTTTGAAAAAAATATTTTCTCACCTCTCATCAACAAGAAATGTCCAACGAAAGAAGTGAGTATTAAATTGTTGAATTTATCTTTGTATTGAAATACATCGTGATTCAAAGCTTTCATTGCCTTGAAGCCTGATGCTGTCCAACGTGGATTGGTCGGTACTATCATTGCTAGATTTGAACAAAAGGGATTCAAATTGGTTGCTTTGAAGCTTATCACTCCATCTGCTGATTTGGCCAAGAAGGTAAGTTTATCATACAAGTTATAATACAAATTGCTTTAACTATTATATATTAATTTTCTTATGACTTTTTTGTTATCCTGACGTACTTGTGTTTGCATTGTCTCGATTCATGAAAATTCTTGTTGTTATTGTTTTCATCATGCCGAATCCGTAACAGCACTACGCTGAACATGATGGCAAGCCATTCTTCAATGGTTTGGTTGAGTTCTTGACCAGTGGACCAGTTGCCGCTATGGTTTGGGAAGGAAAGGGAGTCGTTGCTGCTGCCAGAAAGATGATTGGTGCTACCAAGCCATTGGAAAGTGCTCCAGGTACCATCAGAGGTGACTTTGCTATTGATGTTGGTAGAAACATTATTCACGGAAGTGATGCTGTTGAAACTGCCCAAAGAGAAATTGCTTTGTGGTTCCAAGATAGCGAATTGAATGAATGGACTCCAACTCAAAACAAGTGGATCTATGAATAAATTATGATCGTAGCAATTACGTTACGAGTGAGCTTAGCTTCCTTGTGTGCACATATCAAGCCTAGCAAATCTATCAGTGTTTTTCGATCGATTGGGTGTTGCATCGTGGATCGATCTTCTAATTCATTATTTCCTCTTCCGAGAAGGAATTCAAAATAAAAACGACAAGACTCACTTCACGCAGCTCATCATCAAAGGCTTTAAAAATCTTCAACAAAAATCAAAAGCCTCTCTCTCTGCATTTTCACTTTCTTCGTAATCATCATCACGAAAACAATTAATTAACCAAACACGTGGAGATCACACTCTCTCCCCGAGTCAGCACTCATCATTCACCTTCTGAAAGTTTATCTTATCCGAATTTATAAATTTGTAGTTTATTGAATATCAAAATAATAACATGTGTGAATATTCCGACGAACGATTGCAAGAGATGATCGATGTCAAGATCAAGCTCAATGGAGAGTGGTTTAGTGAGAATATTGACGGAGAAATTCTTGTAGAGATTAAACCAACTTGCAAAGCAAAAATTCGTGTCAAAGACATTACGCTATTTCTACAAGGTTTAGAGAAATTGGAATATCAGGTAGAGGAAAATCGAAAATTAGTGTGGAAATCCGATGAAAACAAGGCTCTGCAGCAGGAAATTTCAATTGCCGGAGATGGTAATCTTCCTAAGGGCTCTTATGTTTATTCCTTCTCTGAAAAACTTCCTAACGGTTTACCTGGCTCTTTCTTTGAAGAGACAACAATTCTCGGAAAGGAGATTAAGGCAAGAATCTCATACTTTGCTTCATGCGTTGTGGAGCTACTAATTAATAGGGAAAAAGAGTCACAATTTGTGACAGTTCATCAACAATTTGAGGTCTTTGAAAAAGTTGGTGACAAACTGGCAAAAAACTTATTTGCAAGTAGAATTAATCAAGCCTGTGGTTTATTATGGAAAATTTCATGTCAAAAAGATATTTTCTGCAGGAAAGAAGCATGTAGATTTTATTCTGAAATTGTGAACGAAGGACAAATTAGCGTTTCAAACATTGATGTCAAATTATTCCAAGTACTCTATTTGAAAACACCGAATACTATGGGAGGGACTCCTGAAAGAATAATGATGGAAATTTGCAAAAAGAATTATACTGGTGTGCTGTCTAGATGCAAAGATATGAGAAATATTGCATTTATACTTAGTCCCACTTTGCCAAATTATTATTTATATCCTCAAACGACCAATGGAACCTTGATAAGAACAGAATTCGTGCTACGATTTTCTCTTGACAATTTGGTAGATATTAATGTACCTATTCAAATTGTTCACAAGCAGGACATTCGTGTCAGGCCTCAAAATGTAGGAAGTATAATTCTTGCAGATAATGTTAAATCCAACAACAAACGAAAGTCTAAAAGTTTTTATGGAGAAATTGAAGATTATGAAACAGATCACTTTAAAAATCCAAAGGACGATGATCACTATCATGAAGTAGTGAGCTTGGAAAAGAAAACAGGTTGTTGTACCTTGCTATAAATCCAAGTCAAGAAATATTTATGACAAACTTTTTTTCACACATATTCCTTGGAGATGGAGCGGTACTTGCAGAATTTCGAAGACAAACCAAATCTCTGACAGCTGCCAACAAATCCTTTTTGAAGACTTTCAATATGTTACTCGGCGAAAGGTTGATACAGCTCTCAGCATTTCCAACCGAGATTTCCACATGCTCCTTCTCACTCATTTGAAACGCTGTTTTGATAACCCTTAAAAGGGAAAAGTAGTTCACTAATTGCTTGAACTGAAATTCTAATTCTTTGCATTCGTTTGTACTCTTCAACACACATTGAATCATAAAAGTCTCTTTTGAAAGATCCACTTGATTTCTTTGCGCATTCTCTTCGTTTCTTTTCCTTGACATTAATTCAGGATAATCTGTTTCAGGCAATGGATCAAATCCATGACTCACTAGCAATTCATCCACTTCATATTCAAAACGTTTTCTTAATTCCAAATCTTGAATGTTGATCATGGAGATGTCATCCTCGAGCCGAATCAACCTTTCTCCGTCAATTTTCTTTCTCCTTATGAGTGGCTCTAATTCACTGAGACCTGAATTTTGCAGCCATTGAACCACATCTTCAACTTTCCAATTCAATAACTTGTTAACATCACAAAGATTATATTGCTTTCCATCTTCGTTTGTGACTAAATCTTCAATATATCCTTGAATTCTACTTGCTGAAATACTTTGGCGATAATTTCGCTTCAATTCTTTCAATTGTTCCTTTGAAGGTTTGATTTTTTGAACAAGTGCATACAATTGTTCGGATTGTGAAAAGTCTCTAAAACTTTCGTTCTTAATTTGTACATGAAGGAAGGATTCAAGGGATCGAAGTTCTTCCTCAAAAGTTTGTAAATGTTTTGGAATATCTTCCACGATCATCGATTCTAATGATTCAAGAGAATGGGTATTGGATTCGTTCAATGAAAAACCTGTAGATAATGGTGAAGTTCTTGGTGATGTAATGGGTCGAGGAAGACTTCCATCGGATGCATCTCTATTTTTTAAGGGTGAATGTGACATCTGACAACAACTCATCACATTCAGAGAATTCTCATCCAAGCCACATTTTCTTGAGAACTTTCTCCAAAAAAGCCACCACTGCATTGTATATTTTGTTTCTTACATGTTGTGGAAGATTCAACTCTTTTGGTGAGTTGACACTTAAAAAAGTCAATGACAAATCTTGCACTTGTGTCAACAACTTTCTCATCATGAGAATTCCTGGCTTTCGACAAGTTGCATTTTGTGAATCAGATATTGTCATGGGTCCATCCTCCTCCGAAGAAGTGCTTTGAAACAACGTAATGGGAAGTAATGACTTGTTTGAAACATTCTTTTTCGACTCTGATTGAGCATCAAGAAAGGTGAAAAAGGAAGTGACAGACTCTTCATCCACAAAATCACTCAATTTCACTTGACCTCTTCGAATTCTTTTTAATAATTTCTTAATCTCTTGTTGCAGAGTTCTCAATTGCATGACACATTGCAACGATTCGTCATTTTGATGTTCCTTCAAATAAGTCTCAAACAATGCAAGTGCTGTCGGATCAGACATGATCCATTCATAGGAAAACATGACAATGGGAGATGTGGTAGTTGTGGAGGTTGTGATGTCATTTGTAAACAGAGGAGCAAATGCTTGGGAGGATATTGCGGAATGATTCAGTTTGGAGAGTGCATTCAAGAGAGATGTCTCTTGATCGAACTCTTTCACAAGAGAATTCGTTTGTTGTTGTTGAGGTCGTAGTTGAGGTCGTGGTGATTGTTGACAGGAATGTTCAGAGTGCACGAGTGGAGGAGAAGGAGGAATGGTCATTTGTACATGGTGCTTTGAACTCTTCATGTTGTTGTTCATGTTGTTGTTAGTATTCTTGGATATCTCTCTGTTCATGTTGTTGTTGTTGGTGCCACAACTTTTGGCAAATGTCATGAGAGTATCTGTTGACAGAGAAGGTCGTGTCCTCTCGAGAGGAAGTATGCTTTTCTTTTTTGAAGGTATTTTGGAAGAACGAGATATTTGACGAGAGAAATGGATTACATCCTTTTCAATTGCCCAAAATGGGAAATTTAAGAACGCCCACACAAATTTGAGCTTGACAGTACCAAACTTAAAGATTTCAAACATCATGCTACAGAGAGCTTTTGAATAAAGTTTATTTTGGAAATGATTGGAGATTCAAAAGCATGTAAAAGGCCCTCATGAAACGTTAAGAGATATGACAATGATTTCTGTGGTGAAATGTCAAAATATTGACGACCGTCATTCTTTCCATCTTATTATAAATAATTGTGTTTAAGTAATCCAACGATTAAAATCGATTCGAGAAATCTGAGTTTATTCTACCACACGCACGTAGGATACATCAAACATCTTAGCATCAATCTACCAACTCCTATTTCTCTCACCAGGCGCATTCTGGTGTAATATATTAGTAGTGCCATGAATAAACTTCTATATATGCTACTAATCCACTACTACTAGAAACATAAACGACAATTAAGGTCATAACATTGGTCTTTCCCCGCACCACCTTCAGGAATCCACCATACGGTAAAACTACCAACGTTCTGCAAGTGTTTGCTGTTCCTAAGTAATCATTGAACAATTAGATTTGCATTGCCGTTAAATCTCGTAAATGTATTCAAAGAAAACATTTCAAGAAATGAGTGAAAAGATCGAAGGGAAGAAGAATTTGTAAGAAATTCAAATTCAACAAAGGAAAGAAAGTGTGCAAGAAATTCTCTCGAAAGAAGGTCTGTGCTCGAAGAAAGAAGTTTTATAAGAGAAGAAAGATTATAATTTTCAAAAAGAATAGAAAATTTAGAAAGTTTAGAAAGAACAGAAAGTTCAGAAAACATAGAAAATTTGATTTTTACAATAAAGAATGAATTGCAGACGCAATTTTTTTGAACCAGTCAAAATTTTGAATACCATTTCGAAATGAAAATTATACCAATTTTGAAAAGGTCAAAGATATAAATAAACGTGATTTGTGAGCCCCTTAAGTCTTGACATTCAACTTGTGTTCTCTTCTTTTAGAAAATATCATGCACTACAACATAAACGTATACAGAGGTGGTATTGAGAAAAAAAAAATTAAATTTCCCGTCCAGCCAATTTTTTTCTCCTGGCTCGAGAGATCTCGTTACCTGTCACTCCCACCCTGTATACGTTACTGGGGTTCTTATGTTGTAGTGTTTACTCAAAGGAGCATGTAGAGATGAAGTAAATCATGATAATGATTTACTTCATTCATGGAAAATGCCAAAGAACCAACCAATTAAATTCCGAAAAAATATTCAGCATGGAACAATAATCTCAACAACAATAACTTGTCTGTTGTGGCCGATATATTCAAATAATGACATTTCTACACCTCCGTAATTGGTTGTTTTGTCTTTCAACATTTTCCATACACATGAAAAATTCATTGAGGGTAATAACAGAAAGGACGCTTCAATCAAGCCAAGATGACATTATTGGGATGCAACATCTTGTTGCCGAAGTGAGAGCCTGTTCTGAATGAGAATTGTTAATTGAGATCTAATTTCATTGATAGGTCAAATACTCTTATTGGAAATCAAAGATTTTATTTAGAGTCCAATAGTTGTTGTGAATCATTAAGAGTTGTACTCTCGTTTTGCTGTTCGAGAGGCTTCTCTTCATGAAGTTTGGGCGTCGTTGTTGGTTTGGTTGTTGATGAGTCCAGTTGTTGTTGCTGTCCTTCTTCATCTTCATGAAGATTGGAATGTGGTTTTTCATTGTCTGAATCTGAGTCGAAATCTAAATCCACATCAGAGACTCTTACTAAGTGTCCACCTCTTGGATCATTGAGCTGTGTGAGTGGATACATGGAGTTGGCATTGGTGTGTGATCCAAGTAATAAAAGTACTCCAATAAATTGTAAAAACCATCCCAAGAATAAAAGTATAAGCTGTAAAACAGAAGTGCCAGACCATTCTCTGAAAATTAATTCACCTCCACAAACAGTTAAGAAGGACATGATAATGTAATACAACACATTTGAGACAGCTTCAACAATATGAGTTAAAGGATAATTTAACAATATACATACTAAATTCATAGGAAACAAGAGTTACTTGTGTGAAATGGGTGTGCAATATTGTGTAGAGAATGGATAGCCCCAAAATTAAATAAGTTTCCCAGTGCACAAATTGATTTTCATTTGTTTCTGCAGAGGTTTTCACAAGCTCAATAAATAATTTGAAAAGAATAAAATTAGAAGCAGCAAATCTGGATAATGTCACGATGCCAAAATAGCAATTTTTCTACTGAAATACATACGATGATGAAATGGATGTACTAAAAAAAACATTCTTAAAGGGTCGGAAAACACTCAACAAAATGAAAATAAATGGCAATACTACAAGGAAAATAACAAACAGGATAGGAATGTTAAAATCAATTATTTGTGAAGAGATGAATGAGATAGTAATTGGATGCAATGGTTGATACTAATTCCAAAATTATAATTGGTCTGATAATTTCCAATAACATGTATTGCTACATACCACCTTGTCAGAAAATATAACAGAAATAATAATTCCAATTGAGGTGATTGCAACTCCTATTTGATCTCTCCTCGTTATCTTTTCTGCAATATACCAAGCAGTATAAAATACTCCAATAAAAACTCCAAACGATAACACGGAAACCACTAGTGTTAACTCGACAAATGCGAAAGAAACCATTTCGCAAATCCAACTGTTGCAAAGATGATTAAAATTCGGAAATGCTTTTCGCCAAGACATACCCAAATATAAACATTGTAAATAGTGTCCACCATCTTGTATCCTTTAAATAATGTGTTCTATATTCCATCACTTGTTCGCTGTTTTTCATGTGTGCATATTTTAATATTGCCAATCCTAGAAAATAAAACACGCTCCCTCTGATGATTATTAAAAAAGTATGTTCAATTAATAATAATTCATCGGAACAATTCAAAGATCATTCAAAAATATTATATGAGAATAAACATCAATCCCGAATACAACTGGGTTGTGATCCCTTCAAGTCTTGTTTTCAAAACACCTACACAAGCGAAAATACAAATCCGACGTAGAATTTGTAATTGGCGAAATTAGCCAAGGCATTGGCAATCATTTTTTTTCTATTGTTATCCTTTTATAATTTAAAACGATCCATATATGATTGAAATTGCACAAGAATTCAAATGTGGCAGAACAAGTTGCAGGGTGTTTCTACTGAGAAAAAAACATTTGTTTCGGTCTCTGAAGAATATGTTTATTTTGTAATGGTCAAGAAAATACTGGAATCATGATTTTTTCACCATTCAGTCGCCTAGGATTGCTTTATACTGCAGAAAAGAGAGCCATCAAGACGACGAACACACCAATCATTATCATCCTCATTGGACTCGATCCATACATTGAAAATCCACTTCCAGAACTTCTCGTCGTCTGAGCTGTAAAGATTCCAAAAGGAGATTGCTCACCAAAAGCCTTCACATAACACACACTACATTGATCACTATGAGTAGCCTTCCAAGAATTCAAATCAGCTGCATCCGAAATCAATGCATGAATCTTATTCTGAAGTACAAGATTATAAGGATCATCACTGAGAGAAGTCACTCGGATCTTTTGAGCGAGAGGAAGAGTCGTATTGGCTGCCATTTCATAGACAGTGCTTGCATAGAAAGCCACAATATAATTGGGAGCATTCAATTGGGACAATTCATCAATTCGAGTACCATTGGCATCCAAAGCAGTTCGTAGGAATCCACTCGTGGAGGATCCATAGGCACAAGTTGCAAATTTAACCACAGCAGCTCTCTCAGTGGTAAAAGTGGTATCGGAGACAATGACATCGCACGAACCAGTATTTACTGCCTTTCGTAAACTCTCAAAGTATCCCAATTCAGTGGTATTGATGGCTTTGTAGACAGAGGACAATTGAAGTCCATATTTGCTGTTCAACTTGTCAGCGAGACCTGTGGCTACCTTTCGATAGACACTACTCCAGTTATCTTCTGTTGGTTTATAGGGACCACAACAAGTGAGAGTTTTAACGTTGGAGGGTATTGGTGAAAAGGATGGATAATTGGGTCGCAGGTTACAATATGGAATGGAGTAATAGGGAAGTGCTTGTTGAATAAAGGAAGTGAAAGTCGATTCACTTTGCAATTCAGCCATGGCAGAGTCAATGGCTTGATTGAATTGAATGGATGGAAGGATTTGAGCATGCACCATCGAGAGCATTGTGGTTGATGAGGAAGAAAACAGTGCCATAAATAATAGACACATCAACCATTGATGGACAGGAAGGCCTGTCGATCGAGCAATAAGAGAGAAAGATGTCGCCATTCTTTAAAGAATTCTGGAGTGTGAGTGTGTTTAATTTTTTACTAGTGAAAAGACAGAACACCTTTGCTTTTAACTCTTTTCGTCGTCCTGTTGGATGCGCACAATCAAAATATAATTCATGCATACCAGTTCTAGAAGCTAATCTGCCTCTAGAGCGAATCAACTCGCTCTTGACACAATCTCTCATGAGATTCTGACATTGAGAAATAGAAACACTCTTCTCAAGGTGAACCTCTCTTCGCGACTGAACCGCATCAACACTTCGATCCATGAATTGACTCTTTTGACAATCCACTATTTAAGGAAGTCAATGGGCAAAAATAATGCGCAGAATCTATCCTGTTGTTGTTGTTTTTGTGGGGCATGGTGTTCATGTCAATGACAGTAGTAGTACTCACGTCATTCAGCAGAGGTTCGGACATGTTCAATGATCGGAACAGCAACTTCCGAGGTGGTTCTTCTTCTTCTGGTGCATCTGAGTCGAATCGTCATGAAATAAAAGATTCTGAATTTCAAAAGGAAGTGGATGACAAGAAGAATGGTGATCACTTCAAACTTCTCACCGAATTGTTCAGATCCATTTCCGAACGTTTATTTCATGATTCAAAAAATCCTGACCAACCACATGATGAAGAGGTGTCAGCGCTGAATATCGATCGTGCTGCAACAGGAACAACTGTTCCTTCTTTACAAGAAAGAATAGCAAAGACTGCCAAATCAGTGAGAGACAAGATTGGAAAAGTAAAAGAACAAGTTCTCGATGTGAAAACCAAGTTCAAAGGAAAAAGGAATCTTTCCAAGCATTTATGGTGAAATGCAAACAATTTGCGATACAGTACACTCCCTTTGTTCTTGCCGTTATCCGATTCCTTAATTCGGTTCCAATTCCTTCAACCTTAATTTCGTCCATTGTCGATGAGCTGTTATTCAAACTTTACGTGGTACTCACTGGTATTAAGATTGGTTTGGTTCTTTTTACAGTTGCCATTGGTGTGGTCACTTGGTTGATCTGTGATAAATTATTTGGAATCAAATCGCGAGTCAAAAACTTATTCTCTCGTGGCCAAAATTGAACAATAGAGTCTAGATGATTATTATTTATTTTAGAGAGAGGTAATCATGCATTCTGACACTGCAACTCCATACAAGAATTTCTCTAAATCAGGCTGTAATTGCAAACCCTTAATAATATCCAAAGATAATTGATGGTCGTTTTGCTCCTTGACAGTTTCTAATTTCTGTATCAATTCCTTTGTCTTTTGGCTCACTTGCTTAATAACATGAGTATTTTCCATTGTAGCAATTTCCTCACTTGTAACCACTTTAAGCAAATCCTTGTGAATTTTAGTAAATTTAAATTCATCTGTTTGAGACTCGTTGACATTTGTTCTTTTAGTAGTTGCATCCACAAATAAGTCATAAAACTTGGTATTGTTTCTCATATTTCTATCCAATGTTCCTGCACAATAGAAATTGGATTCCTATATATTCATAAAGAATTTAAGTATTCCATTTCATGTCATATTTCTTCACTTACCGTTAAATCTTTAGTCTCGATTGGGCTATCAAAATTAACGAATGGTCTAATGAAATCTGTTTGTTGTCGATGCAAGACAAGAGATGGAATTGCTGACATTATTTCCAAAAGTTCAGAGATATTCTCATGATAAATCACAATTCGTTTTTTCAGCATAAGAGCTGACCAAATACGAACACTCTCTTCCCCAAACGACTTTATCAGCATGGATAGATTACCAACTTTAGCTGCTCTCGGATCAGAAAATAAATCAGCAGTGATTTGATCCTTGTAAGTCCCCTTACTGAACAATCTCAGATACACTTCCAACATTGGTAATGGAGAGAGTTGGTTTTCAATCAATACTTAAAGATTGGAATGAGAGTTGATATTCCATGTTTGAATTTCAATATTTTGAATTCCGAAAATGAAAATATTAATTTTCAATCATCAAACAGATGTCCATTCCAATAATTTCAGTCCTACCTACCATTCATCATCACTTCTAAATATTTCTCATATTTCTTCATCCAGTATTCACCAGAAACAACCACCAAATTGACATCGGTCACACTACTATTCACCAGTTTCACTTTTCTACTCATTGAATAAACATAACAATCATCAAATTTAGAGCAAACAAAAAGACTATTATTCAATGATAAATCAGAGTATTGTTTTGATAATACCGTGCTGTTTGAATTCAACGGAGATCGGTTCATAATTATTGTTTTTTGATCATCGGATAGGATTGGAAAGGACCAAACATTCAAAGTATCCAAATTAGTGTCCTTTTCAAGGATACATATGGCTCGCATTTGAGAGGTGAGAGAGGAAGTAGAGGCAGCACTCACGGAGGATGTGGCAGACATGGTGGATTTTTGTTGATGAAAGATTTTTCATGGAGAAGACTATGCTTGTCTTTTGAGAGCTTTTTACCTTCAGATTTGTTGCGAGAGGTGCTGAACAGGACAATAATTGCTAATATTACTCATGGAAGAACAAGTATCATCTCACTTGCTTTCCGAACAGAAATTGAAAAGGCTTGCTTGGTGAAGAGTATCAACACTCGAAACAAAAAAATGTTTCAACATCATCCTTCTTGTCCCACATCCACGATTGGCAAAGAAGATACTGAATCTTCATCACCGGGATCATCACCACTCCCGTTAATAACAACAACAATAGCCTCGTCTTCATCGCTTTCTCACCTCCGAAATGAAAATGATCACTCCCACCATCAACGTCATACAAATACTCTGATGTTATCCTTGAATGATGAAACGAAAATTTCATCGCCTTCTCCTCTTCACCCAAAGAATGAAAGAGCTCATAAATTTCATGCCTTAAATGAACCACAGCACACGAAATCACGAATTGCACAGTTAAAATCGTGTTGTACTCGATATAACAGAGTCATTGTAGTCACTTTTGGATTTTTAATTGCTATCCTACCATTTATTATGTGCTTGTTTTATAGAAATTTAATATTACTATCTATATTCGTATTATTGGTTCAATATTTAGTGACCTTGTTGATGTTCAATATGATGGAACGAATGAATCAATTTATTGACCAAAATGCGATTTTCATTACAAAACCAAATGTTATTGACATCAAAATTGTATTATCAATTATGGAAGATTATTTTAAAGAAGATGTTAGATTTTCATCTAGAGCAATGATTCTTGGAAGCATGGATACTTTATTTGTATATAGTTCATATAGATTTTTGGTATTTTGTGACAGAGTGTCAAGCTATGTTTGGAAGCCATTTTTTGGTACAGATATTAAGCAGTCTGTCAAATGGGAAACCGATTTACATTTGACATTATCTATTCTACATTACATCATTTCAACATTTTTGACCTATTTAATTTTTACATCTCAATATGCATTGAGAGCAATGAACTTAAACAGAGAAGACTCATTCAAATTACTGTTTTGGATGTCGTTGCTGATGCATTCTGCATGCACTCTATTTCACACATTTAATGCTTTCTTTTTTGGAGGCAAAGATGCTCTTGTGAAAAATTATCTAACTCTCACCAAGGTTATTCCTCTAATGGCTAAAATATTTACAAAGCGCAATGAGGATGATGACACAGATGAAGGACATGGTGGCAATGGTAGCAGTCACTCAACTTTAATTTCCTCTTCTCATCATGAACAACCCAACACACCTCTTCAGTACCGGTTAACTGTGTTTGAGTGGCAATCTTTGAACTTTCTCATTATTTTCTCCACATTCACATGCATTGCCTACTTTACCCCTTTGAGTCAATCCTTTGGATTTTATTATATTTTTCAATTTATTATTGGTTTGATCATAATGGTGTTACAATTTTGGATTTCTCAAATTTCAATTAGTACGAAGAAGTACACTGTAATATCCTTTGTTGTTTTATTACTGAGCTTGATTTTCCTTAAATTTTTTATGGGAGCTTTTGTGATGCAGTACCTGTTTGCCTATGCTTTGATTTTGTTTGGTTTGCCATTCGAGAAATTCTTATTCAAGTCATTACCAATGTTTGTGACAGAGAAGGGACTTAGATATTTTGCGTTTGTGTGGTTGACTTCACTGCAATTAATAACTGTGCTTGTGTTTTTTGTTAGAGGTTTCCTTTTCTTGTACTTTTACCTGTAAGAGCAAATAAACAATGTCACTACAACAATCGATCAAAATGTCAGAGAGCTTTTCTTAAATTGCAACCAACAATAAAGGGCAGATTTTTTGAATATCTTTTTAATGATATCTAAAAAACAATAAGAATACAAATATATAACAATATATATAGGCATTAGGTGTTGCCTCAAAATTCCATCATTAAACATGTTGCAAATTTGAACGATGCACATGATGGTGGTTGGCAACAGAAGCAGTTGATGATGTTTCCATCATGTCAGCATGGTTAGAAGAGGGGGTAGGGTTTTGAGGATTTGACAACTTCTCAAGTCTCTCCAATCTATTGTTGATATCCTTAAGGGTCTTGAAGAGTTCCAATACGAGATCTTGATTTGGATTCTCTTTTTGAGAAATGAGATGAGAAACAACAGCAGTAGCAACACTATTTACAATAGTAGGGACAGCACGAATATTCAAAGCACTGATTTCATCATCATCAACTACTTGAATGGCATCACGTTTAACCTTCTTGGTAGATGATTCCAAAGATGACTCAACCAAAGTTGGAACTGGAGTTGGAGCTTGGACAGCAACAGCAGATGGTTCCATCTCCTTTCTCTTCTTTCTATTGTGTTGAGTTGGAGAAGTGGCAGCAGAAGAGTTTGGTGAAGATGTCTCAGTCTTTTCCTTCTTGGTTGGTTTTCTTGCAAAGACTCTGAATGGTGTAGAAATAGTTGAATAAATTAATCTTTCAGTATCTTGAACAGTGTAATACTTCCAAACCAATCTAAAAGCCTTTCTATCATGATGGTATGATGAATCAGTGAATTGAATCTTGGAGTGCCCCTTGAAAACGGTAGTTTCAGCATTTCTCTTTTGAGCAGTCATTGCAATTTCTAAATCACCCTTCAAGATGACTTGATTATTCTTATTCAATACTTGAATTTCTTGATTGTCATCATAAACAACAGATGGTCTAACAACAATGATAGCATGTTGATGATTTTCAAGTTCCAATTCATGCTCAAATTGATAAATAATTGGGCTGTAAAGAGAAGTGTCCAAGTAGGTAGCAAATGGATCTAATCTAGTCTTCCATTGGATATCAACACGATGAACCAAAGGAAGAGGATGGGAGGAGGTTGGTTGAACGGGTACTACTCTCCATGCTGGACTTGATTCACGAGAAGCGTTTACAGAGTGAGCAACACCATCATCCGATGATGAAGAGTAATCGCTTTGATGATCAGAATTTCCGTCCATCATGATGGTGGTTTGAGTAGTGGGGACAGCAAAGGCAGCATTGAGCGGAACAGAAGCAGTTGATGATCCAGCAGCAGTGGTAGTTGCTGTTTCTTCAGATGATTCCTCAGAAGAATTTCCAGCATCTGATCCAGCAACGGAATTATTAGTAGCAGCAACAACAAGAACAGCGCTCAAACCTGTAGTTGTTGTGGCCGATGGAGTTGTTGTTGTTGCCGGTTTATCATTGTTACTATTTGGAGTTGAGAAATATCGCTTTGCGAGGCAAGGGTATTGAAGTTTCTTGTTCATTTTGCTTGTTGTTGAGAAAGAAGTAAAGACGACAGAGGAGTCTTGTGTTCTTGGTGCGGTTTTGTGTGTGCTTGTTAAAAAAGCTTGATGAAAATCACCACGATAAAAATAATACTAATAATAATTTTTTTGATTGAAGAAAATTCTAAATTTTCGTCAAGCTGGATTTTAGAAAATTGCAGTGAGATATTTTTAGCCTTCAAGTTCAATTTCGAAAGGGAAATATGACTTCTGGCAGAAACATGCCAATGAATTTGAAAATTGAGTTCAACAACCCAAAGTTGAGTTTTGTTGGGAATAATCGTTCACACAAACACCAACGAGTGAACATGTAACCTCTTAGAGAATGAACGAGGTTTTCATTGTCATCTTCTGAACCATGACACTTTCAAGTCTCACATCCAACAAGAAGACTTGTGAGATCCTCTAAAAACATGTCGCTCCCACCTTTGATTAAGGTTGAAGTTTTGTGCGTACGTATGTGCGTATGTGATTGATGAGATTGTTTTTACAACTCTCGATTACGGAGAAGATCACACTCCGACAGGGACTTTTTTGTTGCGTTCAAAAAAATGTTCAAATCCTTGCTCATTACAACCTTCCTCGTGTTGGGTGTTTTGATTTGCACCAAAACCGACATGGTGCTTTCAGACATTCCAGTTCACTGTCTCTTCCATCAAGTCTTTGGTATGTTTTATATAAAGTTTTATTCTTTTTTTTATAATAATTGTTCATCATCATTCTAAATTATGATTCATCGACATTTTCATCATCAACAGGCGATTGGAAATTTACTTTGACTCCAATGCAATATTCCAATGATGTCGTTCATAATACTTGTTCCATGACCTCTCCTTTGCCAAACACCGCCAACACAACGTTAAATTTGAGATTGTTGGCTCCCGATGTCGTTTATGATGAAAAGGGTAATCAAGGCTTTTGGACTTTGATTTATGTGAGTATTAGTTGAATTTAGTAGTATGAGTGAACAGTGTAATCATCATGATCAATGTCTATGATGTATCACCTTTTTCGCAACATGAATGCTAAAATCATTTATAGGATCAAGGAATGGAAATTTTCATCAACAAACAAAAGTACTTTGCATTCTTTAATTATACACAAAAAGGACAAGTTGTTACCAGCAATTGCGGTCAAACTTTCACTGGATGGTATCACGATGCTGTTATTGCGGCCAAACGTGTAAGTATTTTCGAAACTCTCAGGGTGCGGGCTCATCTCTGTGGATCTTTTTCTATGATGCTTTTTGGCATGATGCAATGTTTTGACAACAAATAACTGTCATGTAGTTTGGCTGTTTCAGAGGTGTTCGAGTTGGTGCCCCTTCTGAATCTGTGAGTACACATATTGAGCCAGTTAGAACCAACTTGCATGAAAAGGTCTTTGTGAACAATCCAGAGAAAATTAATAGCATTAATAAGAGTCAAAAACTCTGGAAGGCAAAAGCTTATCCACAATTTGAAGGCAAGACTTTTGCTGAGTTGAGAAGAATTGCTGGTCGTCATGTTCCTAAATTCAGAAAGGATGCATTGAAGATTCAAAAACAAAAATTCCAATCCATGTCCCCAACTCAAACTCGTCAAAGAGGTCAAAAGAAAATTATCTCTGAGGAAGATATTAAGGCTCTCCCAACTGAATTTAGCTGGACCAATGTCAATGGAAAGGATTTTGTTGTACCTGTAAGAAATCAAGGACAATGTGGTTCATGCTATGCCTTTTCCACAAGTGACATGTTTGGAAGTAGAGTTCGAGTGGCTACCAACGGTACCAAGCAACCTGTGTATTCACCACAAGATATTGTCGACTGCTCTGCATATTCACAAGGATGTGATGGAGGTTTTATGTATTTGGTATCCAAGTATGCTGAAGATTATGGTTTGACTCTAGAGAGTTGTGATCCATATCTTGGACAAGATGGTACTTGTCGTAATTACTGTCCAGCCAGTAAGAGAGATTATGGTACAAACTATGCTTATTGTGGCGGTTTCTATGGTGCCACCAATGAAAAGAATATGTAAGTATCATCTTTGGGATATGTCTGAGTGACACTGCTGGTGTGAATTCTTGTTTGCACATGCATTGGAATGATTTATTGAAACTTACATTTTTTGAAACATGATGACAGGATGTATGATTTGTATCATGGAGGCCCTCTTGCTATTGCATTTGAAGTGTATGATGACTTCTTCAATTATCACTCTGGCGTTTACACTCACAAAACAGCTACTGATTTGAAGATCAATGACCCTCATTGGGAACAAACCAACCATGCTGTGTTACTCGTTGGTTGGGGAGTTGAAAATGGAACACCATATTGGCTTGTGAAAAACTCATGGGGTGTTGACTGGGGCATTAATGTAAGTTTTTTGTTTAATATTTATTCAGCTAGAATTACTTATATTATTGTTTTTCTAAATTCACGTTTTCTTAAAATAGGGTTATTTCAAGATTAAGAGAGGAGTCGATGAGTGTGACTGTGAAAGTGAGGCTGTAGCAGCAGATCCAGTTCTCTAAAGGACGTTTTATACACATCAATCCTTCAATATCCGAAAATAAAATCAAATAAAATCCAATAACAACCACATTGATAAGTTTTCTCTATTGAGCATAGATGCTCTGACTCAGATATACTGTATGAACAGGACGAGCAAGAATTGCAATCACAAGAGAAGCAAGAGTTGCAACAAAAGAACAGCCATCAGAAAATTCTCCAATGTGAATGAAGGACATTGATGAAGGAGAAGAGAAAATGGAAGTTATTTCGATAAGTAGCCAAGAAGACGATTAGATTGAAGAATTCGAAACTACTACTACTACCACTCATTGAAAAATCCCTGACACAATTGTGTCTAGGCTTTCATCGAATATTCCCCTTATGTGGTCCATATATTTGGAATGTCATACCTGATGTGAAATAAAGCTGTTCAGATTGATTAAGTCATGGTGGCTGCTGCTGTCGATAATAAATATTTCACTCTCATATGACATGCTGTGATTAAGGATTCTTTCATCTTGTCCCATCGCCACAAGTAATTACCTGTAGTGACACCTTTCTCATATTGAAGTTCTCCATTTTCTAACGGATAGATTAAATTCTGATAATGCATATACGCATGAAATAAATCATGTTCTCCGACTCGATTCGAAAGTAAGTTCCATTCGTAGCCATTCGGAAAGGCCAATAACACAGCTCCCTTCTCGAGAAAAATTGACATGAAAGAGGGTGATCCAAATCCACACACATAGACATCGGTGTCATACATGGAACGAACTTGTTGCTCTCCACTGCGGATGGGATCATCATCCAACATGTCATCAAAACTAATGGCCCTGACTTGAATATTGAAAACGAGACCTGTTTCATTGTGAGTGAATTGTGTGAAATCAGATTCAATCTTTTTCAACAATCCAGGAACGTCAATGATACTTCGAAGATAGGCTCTTAATCCTTTCTTAATATAGAGAGTAATTTTCAACGTTCTAGAGGCAAGCTTGTCAATAGGATGTACAGATTTCAAATGAAATCGTTGATACACAAAATCTCTAAATTCTGAAATCGTTCCACCAAGATTTTTCCATCCAAAATCATTAAATAATCCATACGCTGTAGATCCCATCACAATGCTTGGCCAACAGACCAGACTAGTTTCATCTTGACTCAATTTCCGAATTAATTGATTGGAATGATCGGAAATAAAATGTCCATACATTCGAACGATTTTCTGACAGATTTTTTGCTTCACATCATCATCAGCAGAATCAGTGCCACATGTCAATACATCATTGCGACAATCACATTCTTCATCTTCTTCTTCAGCAAAAACTAAATAATTATCTCGAAAACGTTTTGGTTGTTTCAAAGGTATATCATTATAGAAAATTTTCAATAAAGTAAATGCAGGAAATATAGTTTCCAAGAGACAATGACCAGCATTGGTACATCGATGTCTCTTCATGAGAATAGATTTCTTATCCATCCATTTCACATGTGAAATTTTGTGTTCTTGTGTGAAATCTGAAATTGTTCCATTTCTGACAATGGTTACAAATAATTTCTCACGTTTGGGATCCTCTGTGTTGACTCTTCCTTCTAATCCTCCCATCATGAATAAATCTCCTTGTGACATGTTTTGTGAATTAAATCCTCGTCCATCATAAAGAAGTGGATAATTCACATTCTGATCATGAAAATATAAATATTTTCCTTTCCAATAACACAAATTATAAATCATACAACTTCGATATTTGTCACCAAAGAAAAATCCAAAATGATGACGACAAAAGACTCCACTGTATTTTTGAAAAGAAAGATTTTTCACAACTTGTTGAATGAATGAACGATTTTCTTTGTTGTCGAGAGGTGATGAACGATTTGGAGATTTGGTTAAATTATTTTGAGAGAAGAATTGTTGATTCAATTGTGTGTTAGGACGATGATTTAGTGTTGTTGAGAATGGTTCTTGTTGAGAATGATGATCATGATTTAAATTATTTTCTCTTGTTGGAAATTCTTTGTGAATTTGATTCATGTGATTGAAATGTGCATATTGAACCATGATGAGAAGAAGGACAATCAAAATGACACCAATATGGATCAAACCTATAGTGATGAGAAGATGATTCGGTCGTAATGTGCAACAAGTAGTTTCTTGTTCCTGAGTGTCTGACTGACTCGTCGGTAGGGTTGTTGGATGCGCCATTTTTTATTTTTATTTGGGTTGCATTATGTTCAAATCTTCTCCAATTTAATTCATTCCATTCCTGTCAAATGTCACACAGTTCCATCCATGACTTCTACACATTCTGTGGATTTCTTCTTTCTTCCAATATTCCACTCACTGCTGTTGATTTCTTGGTTCCAATTCTAAAGATTTATCCCACAAAGTATCATCATCCATTAATTGAACACTTCCAAGTGAGAGCATGGATTGAATACTTGGAATGGTACAAGTTCCACTCGTATAAAGTTTGTAATCTTCAATACTTGCAGTTTGAATTTGATTGATCACTCTTCTCATATAATCAATTGTTTCAAATAAGAAGGGAGTATTTTGATTCACTTTGATGGTTTCTAAAATAATTTTCGAAACTTGTCTTCTCTTAAAGACATTAATTAAACCATCTCGAATATTATCAGCATTACCATCATTAATAAAAGTTAAATCTTTCAAATACATGCTCAATGGTGGAATACAAGGTGGAGTGGAGAGTTGAAGTGCTTGTCTCATATTCTTATTGGCTTGTTCTTGAGAACATAATTTTCTCAATTCTTCGTATCGAGAAATGTATTCAGGTGGAATGATGGCCCATGTCTTTTTCAAACGATGAACCGATACATTTGAGAGTCCACACATCATCTCTGTCAATCCATGATAATTATTCATCTCTCTCAGTGCTTGAGCAATTTCAATGAATTTGAGAAGATATTTGCGACGTTGTTTCATGTCGGACTGCGACAAGATGGCACTCGCCACAAACTGAGTCATCTTGTTCCATCGATCGGTGAGATGTGCAATGTGAGGAGCTTCTTCGTATTTGGTGTGTTTGGTCCATGCACCAGAGAGCCATTCTTTGGGCTCAATCTTTTGAAAATAATCATATTCAATAAGAGTTAATTGACGTGCAAATTCAATGGGACTCCACTCCAATAAATTGAAAGCAACATGTTCACTAAAGTTTTCAGGAAGAATGGGTTCAGGTGCTTTCTGATTGGTCGAATGTTTCACTGCCTTATTGTTGTCTTTGATGAGTTTGGAAGAGAGAGATTTTCGTACGAGATTGCACGTTTGTTCGACTTCTTTCACAGCACATGAAGCAGAGTCCAAGAATCGAACCAATCGAATCAGTAACAAGTTATCAAAATCATGAAAATGTTTTTCGACCCAAATTTTCATCGAATTTAACACTCGAATGAGAATTTTGAGAGATTTTTCAGACCATACTTCTTCTTGTTTGGTTAAATAAAATCGATCCATCAACTTGTCCATCAAGACATGTCCCGTACAAAACGATCGATACGTCAAGAAGAAAATATCTCTAAATTTGTGATCCATATCGGTGTAGTGTGTAATTTTTTCGACCAATTTGTCCAAAGTGGCTGCTTTGATTTCATTATTCTCAATCACAATATTCTTCTCAGAATCTTCTTCAATGATTAACTTGTCATGATTCTTTTCAATTTCTGCCAATTTTTCATCGTGTGAACTCAAGAGACATTCCACAGCTTCCAACACATAGGTTTCATTGTCTGCTTTGGAAAGAGGAAATGTACACACAGAGAGAAGAGTTCCCAAAGCCCATTTCCATCGATCATCATTCGGATCAATACTAAAGACAGGAACTAATTTTTGTACAATGGTCACAAAGAGTGGCACTAGAATGGTATTGGTGAGAATGGGATCGGTCTTTTTTTTCATGTCTTGTTGAGTTTGATTGAATTGTTCCATATATTTCATAATTAAAAGTAAAACTTCTTCAATCACGATGGAATACTTTTCATTTTCCTTAATCATTAATTCCCATTTTTGTTCAATGAAACATGTCAATACTTCGAGTACAATAGTTTTGATCATTCTTCTTGTAATTCTCACATTGTATGAAATGTGATTATTGATTGCAATGGATAATAATTTAACAAAGCTCACCAATACATCCGGTGATTTGTGATTCCAAAATTCATGTAAATCTTCTTTCTTTCGATTTCGTAAGCAATGTAAAAATGAAACTGCGAATTGAGATTGTAAAGTCATGTCCATATTCTTTAAAAGTTTCTCCACGTGAGCAATATCAAAGAATAAAGGTTGTAAGAGACGTGAAATTTCATTTCGAACTTCAGGAGATTGAAATTTGGTGGAATAGTCCAATTTGGTAATGAGTTTGTTGATAATTTTCACAGTCATTTCACGAAGATTAGGTTTTGTAGCTTTCTGGAAAATTCCAATTATAAATTTCATCAAGAATGGAACTTCACTGCACATGTTCACTTCAACAAACATGTTGTAATCCACAATGACTTCAGCAAAATCAAATTTAAGCGCCACTACTACTGGAGATGATTTAAATTGTGTGGTTAACACATAGTCATTGAGAGCTGTCTTGACAAATTTTCTAAATCTTGTATCTTCACGCATGGAACTCATGAGAGAAATGTCCAACAAGTCACACATGAAAAGAGCAAGATGACGGTTCACAGCTCGAACGAAATTCAATTTGATTGGATCTCCTGAAGATGTTAATAATCGTTCCATAAATTTAGTTTGTATCGATCTCATCTTGGTATAAAAGGCCTCAGTAAAGACTGCATCTTTTTGTCCATTGAGAATGTAGAATTTCATGGCCTTCACTAGAACATCAAATAAAAACCAAGAGAGCTTTAAAGAGTCTAAAGCAGTGAGTTCGTCCTCACCAGTAGATTCAGAATTCTCATTGTTGTTGGAGGAAGTTGATCGACTCTTTGAGGAACGTTTAGAACTTTTCTTGGAAGATGAATCTTTAGAATTGTCACTTGTTGTTGTATTGGAACCATCCATCATGGAGGTGGTGGTAATTGTTTGTGTGGTCGTCTCTTTGGCTCTTTTTTCAGTCTCTCTCGAATGGCAAGCTTTGAAAAAGTCTTCCCATCGTTCACACAGTAATAAACAAAAGTTGGCTGAGGCCGATGTTGGAGGTATTTTGAACAAGTAATAAATATAGGAACTTAAAAAGGCATCTCTCTCATAAAAATCAGCCTTTGAATTCAAACAAATTCCCTTCACAATGAATAAAAGAGTTTCAAATGCCACAATGGAGAGCGATGAAGTGAATGATGAACTCGTAGTTGTTCCTTGTTTCAAAGTTCCATTATTATCACTTGGTTTGCTCTTGGATGTCAACGTGGCTGTTCTCTTTCTGAAAAATCCAGTAATTCCAAACGAATTTTGATTCACGGAATTAGTCTCTGCAGAAGAAGGTGATTGTGAAAGTGCACTTGCCTTTAAATTTGACAAGATGTAAAAGATTAAATTTAACACGATGGGAGTGTGATGGAGAACCAGTGACCAACTTGTCTTTTGGAACATTTTGAGTAAATCTTCACATTCGGATGAAACAAATGCCTTATTGAGCTCATTCAAGAAGGTTGCCTTTGGAACTTGAGAATCTACCAGCAAGTTTGATTTAGCAATGAGCATGGCTGAATTCTTATCAGGTGGATACAAACTCGATTTGTTAATAAGATGAAATCTGAAAATAGTTTTTCCATTCGCATAGGTTTGCATTCCTTTCGACATGTAGTAATTTGGAAGTGATGTACATTTGAAAATGGGTAATTTCTTTAAACCATTGGTAAATCCATCATCATCGATTAACTTTAAAATAGAGTATCCAATGACAGTCGTTTCTGCCTTTCCTAAAGGACCATTCATTTCTAAACTTCTTTTTGTTGAAATGTGTCGAAATTCAAATACCAAGTGATGATTTGAATTCACTGGAAGAGGTAATTGTATCTTAATTTGATCCAAAAATTGAGGATATCGTTCATGATACGTGACACTTGTCACTGCTTCATCATCCATGATCATTCCGCCTGGATAATTTCGACTTGCATCTGAAAATATAGTACTAGTTCCTACAAGAATACCACCATTGTGTAATTCATCGTTATCTCTCAAGAAGATTTTCACTGCAACGGATTTGAAGGAACTTGGAAGTGATGTTAAATTACAACAATCTGGTAAAATGTACAAGACATGTGAAAAATTGAAATCAATTCTTGGAACTAGTGAATTCAATGCAACTCCTCTCGAACTCTGAGAAAAAGTATTATAAGAAAGACAAGTGTCATCATCACTGAATGTGAAAGTATTATCATTGTCATCGGTGGAATTATCCACACTGTTTGTAGTAACAATAATGGAAGGTCTAATTTCATGTACGCCCGTATTGAACAGTGAGTGAATGTGATGATAATGGTCATAATTTTCATGAGTGACATTTTTCATAAAAACAGAGAAATGTCCTGGAATTGATTTCAAACTGAGAGCATCCACTCGAATATTCGATTTTTGTTGTTTCAATTCCCTCTGAGTCTCAATGAATCGACAAATATTAAATCTTCCTTTCTTACCATCCATATGAGGAACTATATATAAACGTTCAAATAATAAACGTCCAATTCTTATGGATAGTTCTACATTGGATTCATTAATCGTATCATTCACTTTGAGTTCATTCGAAGTGACAGATTCTCTCTTCTCTTCAAAGAGAGGCTCAGCAGAACAAAGAAATGGACTTCTCAAATGATCGAGAAAGGCATACATGGACTTGAGTTTCTCTGTGATTGATTTTTTCAGAATGGATTCATTCTTTGAAGACGACGACGACGTTGTGGTGGTGTTGTAGAAATCATGAATCGAACCACTTTCACCACCACTGAAAATTCTTCTCAACCACAACACCAAATAAATATTTGGATTTTTCTCTTTCAATGAAAAGACTGCTTCAAGTTTTTTAGGATCATTCACCATGATGAGATCTTTGGGGAATGTTTTTTCAATTCCCAATTGTTTTAAAGTGTTTGGATCCGTATTGAGAGTAAATTTAAATTCTTCAGAGACTCGACTCTCCTTCTTCTTGTCATAGAGATACAAAGAACCATAGAGTGGTTCCAACACTGTGTTGGTGGAAAGATAAAGTCCATTCACAGAAATGAGAACTTTAAAGGATTGATCAGGTTGATGAGGATGCGTCGGTGTCTGAGGTCGTTTACACACTTCCTCTTCAATGGAACCAATTCGAAAGAATGGATTGTAGACAGAGGCCACTCGATGTGTTGTCTCTTCATATATCTTTTCTGAAATTTCTCTAAAATTCAAATCTGTATCTGAAAAGGTTTCTTCTTCTTCATCTTCTTCAAAATCTACTTCAGTGGTTTCCAAATCAACATCACTTCTTCTTCGATCTGAATTGATTCCTTCAGCAGCAGCATTGGAGAGAAGAAACCCACCAACAGATGTTTTACTCGAAGAGTAAATAATATCTTGTTGGATAAAAGTACCAATCGCAGAGAGCGATGTTTGTGAACTACCACCAACACCACCAACACTACTACTACTTCCTAATACTACTAGAGGTGACATGATATTTGTTGGAGCAGAGGAAGAATTATCAATGGTGGCCCTAGCAGTCATACTTCCATTGTTGTTAGTATTTCCAGCGATCATGGCATTTGGTCCCAAAGTATGACTTCTTGGTTTGTTAAACTTTTTAGATTGTGGGGTCGTTGATTGTTGTTTTCCATTATTAGTGAGCTCATCAATTCTTAATACAGGTTGAGATTGAGTTGACACAACGTTTGATGAACCTTGATTATTTGGATCGGATCCATTGAAAGCACTTGTGAAATTGGATATGGAACTAGAACTTCCAATAGAATCCAAAATCATTTGTTTGGTTGCAGAACTACTTAATCCCACTTTGGATGAATTTTCCAATTCCCAATCTAAATCATTTTTCACATGCTGTTGTTGTTTCTGTATGGTTAATATGGGTTTAGTGTCTAAAAATGGTGCAGTAATGTATTTGAGTGCGGGATCTTGAATAGCACTGCATAAAGTTGATCGAATTTGTTCATGAAATTCTTGAACTGATTTGTCTTGAAGGTTTTTTTGATAAATGATTCCTCCTGGTAGAGTTGCCACTGAAACATCTCTAAACTCTCGTTGAATGTCGGAAGTTGACATTTGAATGAAATCTGAGGAAGGTGTGAAAAGTGAATGAGGAACAAAATCATCACTTTGTTTGGCTTTCACCAGTGTAGGTTGTTGTTGAGAAGGAGGTGATGATTGATCTTTTTGTAATGATTCCACAATCATATCCGTATTTTGTGTTGTTGTTGATGGTGGAGGTGTCAACTTGGAATCACCACTATTAGTTGTTGTAGATGGATCCTTTTCTGTTGTCATGGCAATATCTGTTTCATGATTCAATGAGTCAACAATGTTGTTACAGGTGATATTTGAAGAGGTTGTGAACATCATGGATGTATTCGTCGTGGAATCTTGTTGTTGTTGATCCTTTTGTGTGGTGGCCATTACTCCTTCCACAACAGTCGTCGTCGTCGTTGTCTGTTCAACCACAGAATCCTCTGCACCGGCAATAGAGATGACGCTAGTAGATGTCGTACTGTTGTTATTGTTGTTGGGTGATGTTGTTGTTGTTGTTCTTGCTGAATGAGGTGGTGAGATGGAGTGGGTGTGTGGTGGTGGTGTGGATCGAGAGCTACTAGCACTTCCTCCTCCTCGAGGTGTTCTCGGACCACCACCACCACTACTGCTGTTGGGAGTTTCAAATCGGAGAGCACTCGGTAACTTTTTCAAAGCACTCATAGGCTCATAGGAGGATCCACTCGATACTACGACACCACTCGAGTGGTGATGACCAAGATGGTTGCTGCTGCCTGTGGGATCTAAATGGTGGTGATGACTAGTGCTGCTGCTACTGGTAGTAGTAGCACTCTTTGAAAGGCTAGCCATATTGAGTTTGAAAGAATGTGCGGAGGATGAGGAGGAAGATTTACTGCCGCAGCCAGTACCACCCGTAGGTATCGTGAGAGAAGAATAGAGTGATACAGATTGTTGTTGTTGAGAATGATCATCATCATCATCATCATGATCGCTATCAGTTTCAATGTCTTGTTCTGAAATGATGGAGGTATGTTCTTCGGATAGAAGATCTTCTTCGAGAGCCTGTTGTTCCTTTTTTCTGGCATCTACATATTCAGTTCATGAACAAACACCATTCAAGTGGTGATGATGGATCATCATGTTGAATTCAATTATTCAATTAATTGGTAGCAGAATTGAACAGAAATATTCATGTCATGGAATAACAATCAGACATAGGTGAGTGATAACAAGAATGATGATTGGGTCAGGTGAACACGTTTTTGATGTGTAACAGTGGTGATGATGATGATGATGGAATTGACATTGTAACACACACTTACCTGCAATTTCCGTGACTGTTTTGAGAAGAGCAATTGGAAATTGTCTCAGAGCATCTAACAGCTCTTCCGTATCAAAAAAAAGATTGTGTGAATTCTCGGTGGTGGTGATTGTGATTGTATTGTTAGTAGCAATTGAAAGATCGTCCGCTGTGGTAAGAGAAGCATGGAACATTTTTTTTGGATGGCATATGACATTTGTTCGCCAATCAAGGAATGCTGATGATGGGGCTGTGGTGGAGCTCAATGCAATGAAAAAAGAGGTTACAATAAAACTTCAAATCTTCTTTATGAATTTGAGTTTATTCCTCCATGAGATAGGAATGTTTGAAAGAAAATTGAAAAGCGACAGGTGTTTTGTTCTTAGTCTCGCCTTTGTGAACACAGAGCTCGAGATTGGAAATCGAACGTTTGATGCGTTAGATGTCATGGCATTTTCCGAATTTCTTTTCATCATATCTCAGACAGTGTGTTTATATTGAAACTAGCACCAATGGCCACAAAGAATCGAGGAGAAGAGGGATGGCCATTGCTTGAACAGGCGAGCGGGGAATGACCATATGAATGTTTCAGCTTAATAAGAAGGTTCATCCCGAACGGAGTAATACTTTATCGCTCACAACGCAATTTGGTGTTTCTTCTCGATCTTTGCGAATCAGCATTGTGAATTCTCATCTCTGAATACGCTTGTTGTTGTATACATGGATGTTACTTTTATCTCTTCATCACATTCCAAGACGAGTCGATATCACACACACATGGTCGCATTATTAAACTTGAAGAGCTTTGCGAAGGGGTGTTTCACAATTTTCTTCCAACTCGAGAGAGTTGTGAAGCACCAACGGTCCTTCGGATTGCGAATAATCTTGCGTGTGGGTGAAATTTCAAACGAATGTTCTCGGTAAGCTCTGCTTTGAAGCAACAAAAACCGAAACTCGCCGTTAATTCGCACACCACCTCATCTTCAAAAAAATACGAAGATTCATCACCACCTCATCTCCACCATCATCTCTTTCCCGCTTTTAACTTAGGCTTTATTTTGGATTGTCATCATCATCATGTCTGTCCGTGAATTTTCACCACTGTTTTCTTGGGGATTCAGCCTCCGTCGATCAAAGTGGCTTATTCCTCTCTTCAACAACAACGTTTTCAGTTTCGGTACCAGTGCCGTTAATGACGGTCCTTACGGATACAAGAAGAGCAGCAACAATCGTCGAGAGAAGTCCACAAGCACAGTCAATCAAAAAGAGTCTACAATGGTAAGAACGAAGAATGAACCAAGCGATTTATTTGAAGGGTAAGTATTGTCATCATCATTGCCTTTTATAGCTGAATCTCGGTACATGTACCTTTTACGTTTTTTCATGCTGTGATGTCAACAAATCGTCTGTTCCGTGTTCTTATTCTTGTGTTCATACATGGCAGCATTGAAAAAATTCAAGTAGTGACTGAGATTGGTAATAATGTGTGTGCTGTTAGAATCGAAGAAACCTCAGAAGAAGCCAAACAACGAGAATTGGAACAAAAGAAGAAGGAACACGAAGAAGCAAAGAGAAAGGAACAAGAAAGATATAGACAATTATCTGATGGAGCTATCATTGATTTATTAGAGAATGGAAAGCTCGCTCTCTACAATCTCGAAGATAAGCTTGGAGATAAGAAGCGTGCTGTTAAAATCCGTAGAATGTTCCTTGCAGCAAAAATCAATCCACAAGATGAAACAATACTAGATACACTTCCTTATGCTAATGATTTAAATTATGATCATGTGTTTGGAGCTTGTTGTGAAAGTGTGGTTGGTTATGTTCCTTTACCTGTTGGTATCGTTGGTCCAATAATAATTGATGGTAAGCCATATCATATTCCAATGGCTACTGTTGAAGGCTGTCTTGTTGCCAGTACTCATAGAGGTTGCAAGGCTCTTTCGAGCTCATTAGAAGGAGGAGTGAACAGTGTCATCCTCTCAGACGGAATGACTAGAGGTCCAGTCGTTCAATTCGCTAATGCAAAGAGATGTTATGAACTCAAACAATACATTGAGAATCCAGAAAATTTCCAAACCATTTGCCGAGTTTTCAACAGTGATTCTCGTTTTGCTAGATTATTAGAAATTAAGGTCGGTATTGCTGGAAGAAAGGCTTTCTTGAGATTTAAATGTAGGACGGGTGATGCCATGGGTATGAATATGATCTCTAAAGCCACACAAAAAGCATTGAAATTTTTGAAACACGAACTCTTCCCTGATATGGATATTTTAAGCTTGAGTGGTAACTACTGCACAGACAAAAAGCCATCAGCAATGAACTGGATTGAAGGAAGAGGAAAATCTGTGGTTGTTGATGCTACTATTCCAGCAGATGTTGTGAAATCAGTTCTCAAGACTACTGTAGACGAAATTGTGAGTCTCAATGTGAGCAAGAACTTGATTGGAAGCGCTATGGCTGGCTCTATTGGTGGTTTCAACGCTCATGCCGCTAACATTGTGACCGCCATCTTTTTAGCAACTGGTCAAGACGCTGCTCAAAACGTCGAAAGTTCGAATTGTATGACAATAATGGAAAAGACTCCAGAAGGACATTTATATGTAAGCGTGACTATGCCATCCATCGAAGTTGGAACTGTTGGTGGTGGTACTCACTTGGATGCTCAAAAGACCTGTCTCAAGATTATGGGAGTTGCAGGCGCAAATATGGAAAACCCAGGTCAAAATGCTCAAACGCTTGCCAAGTGCGTGGCCAGTACCGTCATGGCAGGTGAACTTTCTTTAATGGCTGCTCTTGCTGCTGATCATTTAGTTTCTGCCCACATTGCTCACAACAGAAAGAAGTAATTTTCCCTCCTCTTACATTTTTGTATGTACCAAAACATAAACATATCCCTCTAATTATTATTCACCACATGATGTTGTTTAAGGAGAATGTGTATCTGCAACAATAAGCGAAGCCTTTTGCGCTCCAAACTCTCCCATAAAAAAATGAGCACCAACAACACCCAACAGCTACCAAAGAAGGATCTGCTCGAAAGCCTCCGCAAGTACAACAACAAACTGCTTAACCTTAATCATATTAAGAAGAACGATGCTGGAGATTCTTCTGTGAATCAGCATGTAGATAACGATCATCATGACAACGATCATGATCACTTTTCGGATCATGTCGAAGGTTACTTTACTCCCGAGGTGGTTATTGAATCGATTGAGCCATCATCGTCTAATTCTTATTTGGACACTAATGATTTTCTCAAGCATAGTGTTTCTCCTGCCAAAGCATTCACTCCCAACAGAGAAGGACTCTTTAATGAAATTCATTTTGATGCTCATGAAGAAAAAGGTCCCACAATGACACCAGCTGAAAACGAACAATCATTGATGATTAGCCAACCAAGATCTCTTAGCGGCAAATTTTCTGAGGAGAGTAGTGATTTGCGTGAGAAAATCAATGACAGACTTGACGAAAATAATGAACTGAGAAAACAGATCGAAGAATTAGAAAGAAAATTATCAGAGGGAACTCGCTCCATTAACAAGGCTAATGCAAGTATGAATGATTCACAAAAGTCTTACTTTTTTGATAGATCTCATATGGACATAACTGATTCGTCATTTAGTTTACCTAAAAGTCGGGAAGATAGCGACCTAAAAAAATCTTTTGAGATTATTGTCAAGCTAAAGAGCAAGCTTACAAAAGAGAAAGAGCGATATGATTCATTAGAAAGAAGAAAAGATGAGTCCATCAAAATGATGAACAAACTTGTAGAGCATTTCAAAACTGAAAATTTAAGACTATCTCAACAACTTGATTTGGTCAGAAAAAGTTCTGATTATGATGTTGAGGAGCTTAATCAACAAATACTCGAGCTGAAGAATACCAACCTTTCATTGATTGAAGAAATCAATTCTCTTAGAAGCTCAAGAGGTCAAGAACAAGAAAAAAATGATTTGGAAGTAGAAAGACAAATCAAAGAAAAAGTGAAATTGCAATCGGACATTGTTGAGCTAAAGAAGGACAACTTGTTACTGAAGGAAAAAATTCATGTGCTTGAGGAAACCGTAAAGGACATTGAATCTAAGCGCAATGAGCTGATACATCAATATGAACAGCAAGAAATACCCTCTTGGAGAAAAAAATACGATGCCTTAGAAGTCAGTGCAAAAGAACTGCAAAACAAATTAGAAGAATACAGAAACGATAAAGAAAAATCCTTGAATGAAGTGAAAGAAAGATATAAAACCAAAGAGCAAATGCTTAATGAGAACATTAAACGTCTTGAGGAAGAGCTTCAGCATCAAAGAGAACAACACAAGCAAGCAATAACATCTTTAATGGAGGAAAAGAAAGATGCTGAGATGCAATTGCAAGAACAAGTCAATATAACAGATGACTCTCGTGTGCAGCTGTTGTCTTTAAAATCATCCTTAGAAGATATTGAATCCAATATTTTAAATCATTTATTACAAGAGCAGGAACAGCTAGCAATGGATTTATCTGAGTTCGAGTCATTTGTATCCGATTACTGTTCTAACAGAGCAAGAAAAGAAATACAAAAACTCACAACAGAGCTTATTGAATTGAGGAATCAGATCAGTTTGGCAACAGAACAGAGCGAGATACTCCGGAAGCAATTATCTATTTCTCAAACGGAGCTTGAGGAGACCAATGCAGCTTTTCTCAAATGCGATCAGACATTGTCTCAGATGGAGTCACAACGGAAAGCACAAGCTGAAAGACATAAGTTGGAACTAGAGGAGGTGAGAAACGAGTTCAAAAATCAGATATTCATTATAAAGTCAGAAAAAGAAAGTTTGGCTGAAATGTTAAATCAGACTAAGAATCAGCTAAACAGCGTTCAAATCAAGTCAGACCAATGTCAAAAAGAAAAGTTAGAGATACAACAAGAGATAGTCTATCTTAGGAAGAGAAATAATGAGCTTGAGGCGACGTTTAGCACGATTGACTCTGAGAGACAACGACTACAGTCAGAAAATGGCGCTCTTTCGAGGTCAGTGGAGCAGTTGAAGGAAAGCATGGAACTTAAGAATGAAGAATATAGGGCATTGATGGAGCACTCACGATCTTCCATTCAGGCATTACAACTGAAGTTAAATCGGGAGCAGCAATTATTCCAAAAGTACGAATATGAAAACAATTTGAAATTTAAAAACTTGAATGAAAGTATCGTACAAATAGAAGGATCAAAAGCAGATTTAAAGAAAAAACAAAAGGAAGAGCTGCAACAACTCAACAATGAAATTTCACTCAAGCAACGACAGATTGAAAACTTAAATGCAGAAATATCGAAAGGAAAACACGATCTCAACGCAGCTCAGTCCCAATTCCGAAAAGAACTGGAAGGAAAAGAACAAGAGATTCAAAAAATCAAGAGAGAGCGACAGCAATTAGAGCACAGTTTAGTGATCAAGGAAAGAGAAAAAGAGTCCTTAAAATTACGTCTGGAAATGATGGAACGAGAATTGGAAAGAACAAAGAGTTTGCTCAATAAATAATCTTACCAACGAGGTTTATCAGCTATTGATTTTCATTTTTACTGAGGTGTGAAGTTTTGATAGCCGTGGCAAGCAGTTCTTTTAAACCAGCAATTTCAAAGTTTTTAAGCTCCACTCGTTTTCGTTCGGTTATTAACTTTTTCCTTAGATACGTAGGGTTTTTAAAGAATGGCACACCTTGAGAGTGGGAAAGTGGCTCTCCGTCTGTTTCTTCATCATCTGTCTCGAACACTGCTTGGTTTGAACAATCTTTCAAGGAAGATTCTTTCACAGGATGCTTAGACGTTTTAACAGTTATGGAGGAGTTATTGGAAAATGCAGGTGATTTCTTGTTGCTTGATGGCATTGCTTGTGGTGATGACATGTTACTCACGTTCGCTGCTACATTTGGTGTGGCACTGTTTACATTCGAGGTTGGAGATGAACGAGTCGATTGCCTTCCAACGGATGAGCTTCTCTTTGTTGTTGGTTGTGTGGAGCCGTTGTTAGCGTTGTTAGGTGTTTGGTACTTGATATCCCCTGACGAGGTTTCTCTTGCTTCCCCTCGACTGATACTTATCGATGTTGGTCTTTTTCCTGTGGAAGTAGGCGTCTCATCCATACTCGACATCTTATTTTCATCTTTTAATCTCTCGACTTCCTTTGTTAATAAAGATACTTTCTCCACAAGTTTTTGCTTTACCTTTTTGTACTTTTCCAATTTTTCAATCATCTTTTCGTATTTCTCGATAAATGTCGAAAACTGTTGTTTTGTTTGATCGAATTCTTTGACAAAATTCAAAAGATCTTTCTCTTGATGCTTGATTTGTTTTGATTTTGCTTGAATTTCCTTAGTTTGCTTTGTGATTGTATTCTCAAGTTCTGTAATTTTGCTACAAAGTTCTTCCTTATTTTTCTCTAATGAAGATATGGTTAGGGCTTGTTGTGATATTTGATCGTTGGCTGATTTGATCTGATCTTTGGATCGATTTGTCTCGTCTTCGAACGTTCGTATCGAATCCATGAGCTTTCTATTTTCTGAAGATAGAAGGTCACATTGTTGAGACAATGTTTGATTTGTTTCAGTTAGAGAGTCAATTCTATCTTTAAGTTCTTTCTTTTGATTTACAAGCTTTTTGTTTTCGGAAATCAGTTCATCGTTTTGGTACTTGAGCTGTTCTGTCAACGATTTTTCATTGTTATACGAGTCTTTTGCAATCTTTTCTTTTTGCTGCCATGTAATAAGTTCTTGTTCCAAATTAGCAATTCTTCTCTCTAAATCTCGGTTCTTCTTTTCAATTTCCCATTTCGACTCTAAATCCATCGATTTATAGTTATCGATACTAGTTAGTTCAGCAGACTTATAATTTTTACTCTCCAAGTCAATCGATCGAAGTATTTCATTGTCTCCTTCATAGCCTTTGAGTTCCGTTTCTTGCATTTTCAAAGAGCTTTTTGAAGGTGAGCCTTGTTTCAGAGTATTATCACCGAGTGAAGGGGTGTTACTCACACTCGATTTGTCTCGTATTGTTAATTTAATATTGTTGAATGCTTCACTGGCCATGATAGCAGTTGAAGAATCTTCCTCGTCTTCCATGATCATAAGAGTATCAAGAATGTGATCATTGTCCCCTTGTTGTTGAATATTTCTCAATGTAGTCACAACTGATAGAATTTCTGATCTCTCCGATTCAGTACTATTTCCAGAAGAATTAAATTGTTGAAGAAGACCATGATTACTCAATCTTCCAACACATTGTTTCATTTCTTTTAAGTCATATTTGAACTCTGAGAGATCATTCTCACCATTTCCTCGTATTCGTTGAGATCGACCGAGAATGTCTTCCAATTCAGTATCATCATCTTCAGATAGAATTGAGGTATCATAGGTGGTATTAAAACTGTCATCCAATGTGCCTCTTCTTGAAGTGTTGATGGAATCTTGATTCCGAGGATTCATTGATTGGCTGTTATTATTATTGTTAGGAACAACATCCTTCTTTGAGGGCGACGTTAGCGTCATGTGATTTTTCACTTTTTTTTGTAAGTTTTTTGCCGCGAAATTCCACTACAAAAATTTGGCGGGAGAACAAACCTAGATGCATCCTTATGATTCCTCTCCAATGTGGGTTCCTCCACCTTTATCCCCATTTCCAATGTTCCCCAATGATATTCAGCCTGTGTGACACAACCAATTAATTGCAACCCATTCAACAAATCTCGGCAGATCATAAACCTCTTCAAAAGTAATCACTACAACAATGTCCATATGTCTATTAATTATGATATGAACGTGATTTGACATCAGTTTTTCACTATTGTTATACTTCTACTTCTACTACTACTTCTATTACTACTTCTATTACTACTTTTTAAACAATTCATAGAGTTTCTTTGAGAGTGCACGACCTACTTTTCGTGTGGGTACTTGAGTAGCATTGTCAGTCACAATAGGTACATGTTGAAGAGCATTCTCTCCATGTTTTTTAAATGCATGTTCAAGTGAGGAAGGTGTTGGATAGTGGAGAATAATTGAAGAGGCAATTCGAGGAGAACACCCTGGAACACTACTCGCGAGTTGTCGAGCAAAAATAACTTTCTTATTCACTCGAAAACTTGTCTTTTGGAATGTGGCATTGTATTCTTCAAGTGTTGGATTGAAACATTCAAAGTGGTGGTGATGATGGTGATGATCATGGTATGAAGAGTAGTAGTAGTAGTTTGGATTTAAATGAATATCACCACCACCCATACCAATATCACCACCGAGAGCACCACCACTCGTCCTACTATTACTACTACTACCAGGACTGCTCAGACGACTTTGACTATTGACACCACCACCACCACCAGTACTACCACCAACTGTACAAGATGCTGCAATGTTTGTTGAGCTTGTTGTTGTTGTTCTTACTGGAATATTATTTGATAGGGAACTATGACTTGACGATTCAAACAGTTGCAGTGGTGCTGATTGACCTCGTTGTGGTGTTGAACGGTCATACTTGTTGTTGGTATACTTGCTATGAAGAAATCCTAACGGAGACAAAGCAGTGGTGGCACTCACACGATCACCACCACTAGTATCATCACTCCTATCACCACCAATAGTATCATCACTCCTATCACCAATAGTATCATCACCACAACAATGAGTGGTGATGGTCAGGAGTGGTGGTGGTGGTGGTGGTGATGTTTCAGATGAATTCATGACCGTCATCATCATCATATTCGAACTAAATTCATCATCATCATTCCAATAGTAGGGTACTCTCAATTTGTAGGGTTCAATTCCATTCTCTTCCACCAATTGAATAATCATTTCATTCATTTGTACAAGAAATTGAATGGATGCTTCTAATGATACGGTATGTTTCACTTGAATTCCTTCTTGAATGAGTTTGAGAATAGTACTTTCTATTTGAGGTTGAACATTTGATTCCTTTTCAATTAAATAAATAATATTTGAACAATGGGTGTGTTGGAGTCTAAATTTTTGTTCCTCAAATCTTCCATCGATCAAACTTGCTGATAAATCATTAATTTCCTTTCTTTCAACAATAAAATTAAGGACATGACTCTCTGAATTGTCATTGCTACATTTTGTGGCAATCCAAATCATATCTCCAAGAGATAATTGATGAATGAGAGCATTGACATGATTTTCTTTGAGTGTTTCACAAATCATTTTAAAGTCGTTTTTACCAGTACGTTCTCTCTGATCCGCAATGAGATGAATTTTGTAAAGTTGTTGTTGATGTTGTTGTTGTCTTTGGATGGATTCCGCCACTACTACTCGTTCCAAAGTATTGTTGTTACTGTCTGTTGTTGTTGTTGTTGTTGTTATAGTTGTTGTGATTGATCCATAATGATCAAAGTCAATCACATCCATTGTCGACGAATTCTCCACAGAGTCTTTCAAAGAGTTTGACATGGCAGATGAATGATTATCAGTACTAACACCACTACCACCACTTCTACTTGAAGCATCCATCATTGAACTTTTCAATGATGTATTTTGATTCACATCATGTCTTTCTGTCTTCGTGATTGTGAGGACATGTGAGGAGGAGGAGGATGGAGGTGGCATTTCTTGTGTATCATTATCACCTTCATAATTTTCTTCATCATCTAGTCGATGAGACAATGACAAGGAACATGATGATTCTGGTATTTTCTTTCTCTTTTTTGATGGTCGTGATGAATTGAAAGTGGTGGTGAAAGTGGTGGTAGTAACACTGTTGTTTGCCTTATTTAAATATAAGGATGGATCATAATCAGACTCATGTACACAACTCAATGACTGAGAGGAAGATGCAATCTCCATGGAATGAAGATGACTTTGTGTGTCTAATAAGGTCTTTTTCTTTGGTAACAATACTAAAGAGGAAGAATCTACAATGAGTGAATGGAGTAAATCATCCACATGTTCAGTACATCTAGATTCTTTCACAAGTCCAGTAGCTATTTCTACGACTATTCTTGTATTACTACCCTCGAGAGTAACAACACTATTGTGATATTCTGGAGGTGAATCAAAGATTTGTTTTTCTAAAATGAATCTATTTTGTGGACATGAAAGGACAACTCGAACCATTCGACACAGTGATCCACTACTTCGATCGATACTCATTTTAGCCTTATTCAATGTCATTGTTTCTTTGAGATGATCATCGACATAAAACGCCTGAATTCCAAAACTAGAAAAATCGATTTTACACGATTCGATATCATCATGGTCATCAACAATGAAAACTGGAGTCGAGAAAGATGATGAAATGAGGTTGGTCGTTGTTGAAATCTCAGAATGATCTCTTAATGTGCCAGTCGAGTTTGGAATGATATTTACATTATTTTGAATCTTCTTATTTGATGGAAACAATTCCATATCTAGATCAGGATCAAATTCTATAGATGAATACAATTCAATTTGTGATGTATTGGTGTTACTTGTTGTCATTTCCGAATGTTTTGTTATGTTTTTTGATGTAAGTGCATTATTCTTCGATTTTGTTTGTGGTCTTTCGTCCTGAGATGAAGAACTATTAAACTCATCTTCAGATTCATTCCATGTAAATGACTTTTCAGTCAAATCTTTTTCTGCAATGTGAAGTCTTCTTGCTATCCTTCTTCCATTATTTGTAAGAGAATAATTTCCTTTTTTCTGAGAAGAAACATATCCATGATCTAAGAGAGTTTTCATTGAACTCCATCCTGTATAGTTAGATCCATTAGTACTCTTATCCATTGGTGTATCTGATAGTTTTCTACACGATTCAATTATTTGTTGCTTTGTGACTGTTTCACAAGTATGTTCTTTACAAAGTCTATAAATAGATATCATTATTGACCAAGCAGTAGATTTAAATTTTGGAATGTATTTTCTTTTTTTCTTTCCTGTTTGAAAATTGAATTCGTTATTGGTATCAGAAATATCATGATGAACAGTATTATCTTGTTGATTTGAAATATCTTCCACTGATGAAGATACTCCTAGATCAATATTATTGTCCTTTAAATATTTATCAATTTTAAAAGCAGTTTTATCTCCAATGCCCTTCAAAGCCTTCGCTTCAGTTCCATTGTTAATCTTTTTTGGATGCTTTTCAATAGCAGTGATGGCATTCCGAAGGGTACGATAATAATGATTAGACGCTGAAGGTTGTCCACATCTTTTTAATTCATCCTCCAAACATGCAATAATGTGAGGATTGAGTTGTCGACCGATCGGAATGCTCATCATCGACGATGCGGAGGAACAACAGCCTTCTTCTTCTTCTTCAGCACAAGAATGCGTCGGAATGAGGAGTCGACGTTTTGGAGGCATTTTTTAAAGTATGGGAATCTATTTTGACTTTTGAATGCAGATTTATTAGTGTGATCTCTTCCAATAGGGTCAGAAATACAAGACCTCTTCGTTGGACAATGCCACAATTTCTATTATTTTGACAAGAATACAGATTGACTTTTTTGTCATCCATTAGAATCGAATCAATTGTTCGCTTGAAATTCGTACATCCTCAAAATTTTTTTTATTGTCTTTGTTCTGGCAATTTTTGGAAGGGCGTTCATGAGAGTTCTGTAAGAGTTGATTGGTGCAGGACTGTCGTCGGAAAGCAGTGTGACTGCTTTGAGATTTTAGTTGGAATCCTGACATTAATGTAATCTCACTCTTCAAAAACAAAAATAATAGTACAATATCGTTTTAACAAGAGGTGATAATTTATTATTAAAATAATCATTATTAAAAAACATTTAGCCGTCAAAGCTTTGATGGCTTTCTCCAAGTTTTCTCCTTGTCAAATTGAGACATCTCGTTACCTGTCACTTGAAGGATTGCCAAAAATACCAATTTGGTTCAAAAAAAATTTACTCAGGCACGCACACCCATCTTCATCATGCCAAGTCTTTCACACCGTTTCTCTTTTTTGCTCATTCTTCTCGTTCTAGCCATTAATATTCTTTTCGTGATTCACACCATGCGTCAACAACAATATATGGAGAAACAAGTCGAATTCGATAATTCCTGCTTTTTGATTGACACCCAACAAGAACAATTCATTTCACAATTAAACACTAATCATTCCATGGAATTATCGGAATTACAGGCAAAAGTAAATCAATTACAACAGGAACTTGAGAATACTCATACTTTTTACAAAAACTTGACAAGTTCCATCCGAAAAAAAAAGAAAGTATTGACACTTCGTCAAAGAATCGAACAACAATTTTACTCAAATTTTAAAATACCTCTCCGAGTGGAATGGATGAAATCCAAAATCTCACATTCTCTTCCACAATGGCTCGAAAGCGGAATTCTCAATGAAAAGAAATTTCTCTTCGAAAAATCTCCAAAAAAGAAGATTTTAATATTTAATTATTTATATTCATTGGGATGGAATGGAATGGGTGTTCATCCACGAGGAGAACTTTCTCAATGGACCGATTTAATGATGGCACTTTCTCTACAGAATTATCATGTCTATTACGTTCATGATTTGAATGAATTCGTTCAGCAAGTTCTTCCACAACATGAATTGCAATCTTTTGATGTGATTTTTACAGATTATTCAGTGTTGAAAATATTCTTTTCCAAACAATTGAATTTAATTCAACAAAAAGATGTAACAATTTCCACAAATGGTAATACTGCCAATTCTCAACAGACCAACAAAAAGATGGAAAGTAATAATTTGAAATGTCGATTACGAGTTTTGGATTCATTTGGAACAACCTCCAATTACAATTCAATGAATTTATCAACTGTAATGAAAAATAATAGAAATATGGGACCCTATTGTTGTTGGAATTTGGAAATGAAACAATACTTAACCTTTCAACCAAGGAAAATTCCAGATCCAGTCAATCAATTTTTGGGAACTGCAATTCCATTCTCTTTAGAAAATTTAATGGATCCATCTTTTGGGAAAAAGGTTAAAAATTCCAAATCTGGAAAGTACAGAGCGTTGATTTGGGCCAAAGAAACAAGATACTTTGAACATGTTCCATCGAGTTATTTGGAAATCATTTCTCAAAAATTTGAATTACTAACCACTCTAGCACCCACCGATTTCCAAAAAGTGAAATCAAAGTTTCCCAAAATTGAATTTACCAATTTAGGAATTCTTCCATCTCATCAACTCTATGTCGAAGCATTGAAAGAGAGTGTCATTTATGTGGGTCTTGGAGAGCCACTCATAGGTCCAAGTTGTTTGGAAGCTCTCGCCTATGGAGCAGTGATTTTCAATCCATTCATTAACGCTCAAAAATTGAGTGACATGGGAAAACCCTCCGATGAAGTCTACACCAGTCAAGCTCCCTATTTGGAATCTATTGGTGCACCAAATGCGATTACTCTGAACATGCATGATTCGGAGAGTGTCTCCAAATATGTGAATGAGGTAGAACGACTGTTAGTAGAAAATCGAGGAGTTATTCCACCTTATATTCCAAGTGAATTTACGATACAATCCTTCTTTCATAGAGTCTACACGATTGTGAATTCCTATAATTTTTGTGAGTGAATAAGTCTTCTTCTTGTTTAATGTGATTTGAAGTTTTTTTTGTATTCATGGTGTTGTTTGCGAAAGAAGCAGGTGTAAGGTCAAAAGAGAATCATATTAACAGCATGAGATTTTTTCAACATAATCCATCATTGTCGTTGAGGGTATAGTGGAGGAGAAAACATTTGAATTGCCAAAATGAAAGACAGCGCTTGACGTTTTCTGAGTTGAATCCAACTTTAATAGACAAGACTTTTTGCACTTTCCATATAATTAATAAAACATATTAAAGCATACTTAAATTTCCCTTTTTTTATAAAGATATATCATACACACATTCATACAGTTGTCGAGTCGAATGTGATTCATGTATAGAATTGTATTCCTTTCATTAATTCATTCAATTAATATTACCTTAAAACTTAAACACATTGGTTTCGTTGTATCCATTCTCTTTCAAGAGACCAGTCACTTCACCTTGTTCTCGTGGATTCTTCTTTTGACCACACAACAAATCATAGAATGGTGGAGGACCACATACACTCACTAAGACATCACTGGAAGGTTTTGGAAATCCCAATTGTTCCAACATGGCTTGATTTACAAAACCTCTTCCTTGAATTGTTGTATCAGCACTACGATTTGGATCAGAATCAATGGTATAGAATACTTTAAATTGGTTAGGATGTTGCTTAGCAAGAGTATCTAATTCCTTTTTAAGTAAAATATCTTCTGGTGTTTTGTTTGCATAGAGAAGAGTAATTTTAGTGGAATCATTCTTGGAATTGGATAGAATTTCTTGAATTAATTGATAGGATGGAGTGATTCCTGTTCCAGCACTCAAGAATATCAATTCTTTTTTCATGTTGGGTTTATAATCATATTTCAATAATGGTCCTTTAAATTCGAGAGAATCTCCAATTTTCATTTCATGAATTTTTTTGCTTAATTTACCATTTGGGTACTTTTCAAAAAGGTAATTGTTCATTCAGAAAGAATGGTTATTGTTCATTCAGAAAGAACAGAAGGATCAGAAGGAACAATAGTAATAGTCGTCATCGATTTCAAATGGAATCCAGAACAAACCCATCCAATCTCAGTGTTCAATCAAAACACACACACACACTCACTCACTCCAGAATACTTACAGTCTTAACCAACAAGTTCATAAATCCCACATCTCCATTTCGATTGATTGGAGTGTAAGGTCTCACAACAACTTCATCTCCAACATTACCCTTCGCCAAGATACAACTCGCAACAGGTAGATTTAACTTTTTCTGAACCATCCATTCATCTTGTTTCTCTTCCAAAGCAAAGGTAAAAATAGAAGTATCATGACTGATTGGTTTCACCTCTTTTAATTTATAACTTTGAAACACTTCTGGATTCAAAGCATGTTCATCAACCTTTTCTGTATTGAAATCACGTAAATCATTCACGAATTTTTGTTCATTATCGGGAATTGGATTTCTCCAACGATTCACACCAGCAGCAAGGGCAGTACCTCCTCCGATAAGAACGAGCAAACGTCTGTACATGTATGGTTCGAAAGATGTGTTCAATAATTGTGATTGGGTTTTCAGCAGTGATTGCCAAAGCTTGTGTCGATGGGAGTTTTGGAAACGATGATTTTTTTCAGCGCTGTGGATCCACGAAGAGTTCAAGCGCTTGTGGATCTAACTTGACCTTCTTCATGATGATGATGATGGACTTCTTTACAACATACATCACCCCACACATAAAAAATGGGTCTCTTATCTTGGAGTGATTTGATTATCGGATTTACTCTTCTTCTCAATTCTGTTGCTGTTCTGAATATCAATATTCTTCCTAAAGAGCAATCATCATCATCGGTAATGGAAACAATCAAACAATTTATTTCGGATGTACAAGCCTTGAGAGTATTTATTGCCGTTTGGAATTTTTTGGTGATATTCCTAATGCTTGTTTTCTTCTCATCGTAAAGGATCAAACCATCATTCTCACGCACATTTCACCTCTCAATTCTGTTGCTGTAATGATAGCATCCATCTTCTCTCTCCGAACGAGCGTATCCAATTTTGAATCATCCTATTTCTCACGAACACAACACTTGATCATCTATGTACATACAATATGGTAATTCATTCCTCATGCACGAAATGTAATAATTATGCACAACATAAATAGGATAAGAATTTTTATTTAATATGTAATTTCAGAATATTAGGCTAATCGCATCATCTCATCAATGGTATCAATATATTCTTTAAACTTGTCCCATTCATCCTGACTCATAGCAATACCCTTTTTTGTAGGCTTATCTTCATAATATTCTCGAATATGAACATATTTCTGTCTTCTATATGTATTCACTGTAATTCTCTTTTTTCCTGTAAACATAATGACATAATCTCCATTATCTGCTTTTACATATTTTGGAGCTGATGTTTCTTGTTTTGATTTCTTAGTGACTGGTTCGTCGGAACTAGTTGATGGTGCCACTTCGGAGTGAGTTCTCTTTTTTTCTTCTTCTTCTTCTTCTTCCTTTTGGTCTATTTCTTCTTGTAGAATTTTCTTTAATACATCTTTTTGTGACGAAAGAGAAACTCCTAAATCATCCTCTAATTTTTCTCGTACTGCTTTCATCGACACTTGATGTTCATCATCTTGTTCTTTGACAATTTGACGAACTTTCTTTCGCAGAATTTGTTCACTCACGATCGTTGGAGGAGTCGATGATTGTTGTTGAGAGGAATCTTTGGGCATTTTTTTTAAAACTGAAAATTCTTGTTGAATTCAAGGGAAAAGGGAAATTATTAGTTCGTTTCGAACGACACCAACACATACCCAGCAACTTGCTCTGGCATTCCTTTCATTTGGTCAACAATTCTAGTTCAACAATCATGATCACAACACCTGGTATAGAGAAGAAATGAGAGCAACAATTCAACATCAAAGGTCATCATCAGAGGTGGTTTAATAGATACACAGTAGATATTCACAATGATCATGCAGAAATTCAAAAGCACTCGAATTTCGTCTGGAGTGGGAAGCTTCCATTCCTTAAATGACAAATTGTTTCCTATCAGAAATCAATTCATTTCTTCCATACCACTCAAATTCACCAAACAAGTTATCAAACTTGCCTAATTGCAAACTTTGCAATCGAAAGGTCACTCTTGGTCCAATTTCATTAATTTTAACTCCCTTCGTTACAGTGACTGTCTTTTTAGCATGATTCTCCACTCGTTGTGAAATGTCATCTTCATTGGCAATTTCTTCATCCTCTTCATTCATGTCATTCTCAGTGTTCTCTTCATTCTCTTCATCAGTGTTCTCTTCATCATCACTTTGTTGAATGTCCATTTCATTATTCACAACTTTCAATTGCTTGTTCAATTTTTCAATTTCTTGTTTCACATTTCTTGCCAAATAGACATCATCTCGATCATATTCTGAATGATCATTTCCCTTATTCTTTTCATCTACATCATAAAATTGATAAATATGATGTCTAAAGAATATAAAATCTCGTTGATTGTGAAGAGTGACTACTCTTCTTCCTGTGAAATTAGGTTTTTGAGGAAACATGGCTTGAAACATTCTTGCCACTCGATAACCCAAACGAGTTGTAAAATTGTTCAAAATTAATTCTGGATAATATTTTTGACAATAATCTCGATCAATTTTAGCAGGAGTGACATTTCTTAAATCTTTTCTTAATTTTGGAAATGATAATCTAAAAGTAGCGCTTGGACCATGAGGTAAATGAATTAACAAACAAGAGGATGGTTTGTTATTTCTCTCACCAATGACCATCACATCGGTGTAATCATTCTTTTCAGCATATTTCAAAACATCTTTCACATAATATTGTTTTCTTTTCATGAAAATACTATTCGGAATACAATTCAATAATTCCTTAATAAATGTCATGGTAAATTTAGATGCTGATTTAGCCTTATCTAACATGGCATTGTATTGAGTGGTAATTAATATTTTTGGTTCTTTTCCATTTTTGAAATATTCTTCAAATTCATCCATATTCTCTTCTTCTGCCAATGTTTCTTGTTTTGCTTGTTGAACTTGTTCATTGAAATTCTTAATATATTCCAAATCATTTTCAGGATGATAATTAGTCTTGTATGGAGTAATAATGGATGGATCATAAATTCTTTTATCTTCTTGTGTTTTTGGTTGTTGAATTGGAACTCCCAAATTTCGACGTTCTTTTCTATTCTTACTTTGTAAAATTCTTTTTAATTTACGTTGTTTGGTCACAATTTCATGTTTTTGATCTGAATTTTTGATTGTTCTTGGGTTAATTCTCAAGAGAGGATATTGATCAACTAATTCAGCAGGTTTGATGTAGGGTTGAGTTGGAGTCACATCGGGAATGATTTTAGCCACTTGATGAATATTCTTTTTGTGTTTTTTTTTGAGAGAAGAGTTGTTGTCATCAAGGTCTTGTTGCTTCATGTATTTTGAAATATTGTAATTGGCACGTTTGGTATATCCATGTTGATTCTTATAATAGTGGTCTTTCATTTTGTACAATTGATTCACATCGGTAATGACCTGAGGTTGTGTTGCTGCTGCGGATGATGATGCAGCCTTGGATTTGGTTCGGGATGGCATGTGGTTGTTGTTATTGTTATTGTTGAGAGAGAACGAACCAGGAGTGCGTGTTGTGTTAAAAATTAGAGTGAAGCTTGCAGAGAGAGAGAGAGAACAGGGTGCGTCAAAATTTTTTTTGAAAGTTGCGTTGAGAGAGTCACAGCGTGCGTGGTTTGTTCAACGCAAATGTTGATCTTTAGGAGTGAGAGGTGCAGTCAATGAAAATAATTTATAAATTTAAAGAAATAGATTCGACATGCTAACACTAAATGCTTTCAATTGTATATATTTTCGTGAATGATCATGTGTGTTGCATGAATCTTTAGGATTCTCTGCATGGTGTGGTGATCGTTTGAGTCATTTACTATAAATGTCATGGGAGTTTGGGATCGAGTTTGGATGCCAATGATATCACAGAAAATCTATTGACCAAAACCACTCCAATTCTTATCTTGAAATTGCACTAATCAAGTGGTGAATCCCTCAATACAATTATTGTTGTTGTTTTGATGATAGGTTTTAGGATGACGTAATCGACAGGACATGATTCTTTTCACGAGGTACTCTCCATTATTCAAAATGGAACATTTACTTTTGCATGGACATGAGTGGTCATGAATAAAAAAGGAGGTTTCTTCTCTTTTTGCATTCTCTTTGAGTTGTTGCATCAACAACAATAAGAAGAAGAACTCTGTTCGGGTATGGATTGAAGTAAAACGATCATAACAAGTTGGTAACTTGGTTTGGATGAAACTCCTTTGAGTATAGTTTGTTCACATGCCCTTTCTTTGAAAAAACAAACACGGATTATATAATTTCTATATTAAGAAATTTCCTTAAATTACAAATTACCTTAAATACTACCTTCCCTTTGGAATGGTTTCATAGCTCGTTTTCTGACTTCAAACAACCATATACACTTATATAACCCGTTTTTTCAAACGGTTGTTTTCTTGAAAAGTATAATTGTTTACTCACGTGTTTCTCCTTCCACATTCGAAGAAGCAACGAGAGTCTTCGTACGAATTGCAGATTCGTGTTGCAATTATTGTTGTTGTTGTTGTTGTTGTGGCTGTCAGTCATCGATTCACAACGTTCATTCGTTACCACCACAACGACCACCACCACCACCACCACCACCACTGTGACTAAGAGAGCCAACAATTTCAATTCTCTCGTCGAAAAAACAAATCACACACAACATCCCTTCTCTCCTTCTCCTCCTCATACACAGTGAGAACAAGAACCATTGTAATCTCTTGTTGTCTCCCTACCAAATATTATCACATCATTAGTATCATCTTGTTGCATTCACATCATCAACACTCCTCAAGCAGAAGAGTCCGAGGGTGAACACAGTGTGAATTCCCTTCTAAGATAAAAGCTCTTGTCTTAACCGAATCACATTCCTGTGTGAACAAGAGGAGTGCATTGTAGTGCATTGTATACACTCATTCCCTCTAGTACTTGCCATTTTAATTGAAGAATCTATTTTTACACCCAACCGAATTTTCCAACCGCCAAAGTATTCCAACTTCTTCTCAAAACAGCAAATTGGAGAAGATTAGAACCTAAGAGAGAGTCTCTCATTGTGTTGCTCAATCTCACATCGTCGTCGTCGTCGTCTCTTCATTCCACACACAAGAAAAGACTCTTTGCAGTCAGTGTCATTTTTTGCCAAAACTTCACGGTTACTATTTTAGAAACCTCAACCAATATACAAGGGAAGCCACAACGAGAGAAGAAATTCTTGTTGTTGTCTTTGAAACGTCCAACAACAAGCGCTTGTGTGGATCAACTTTCTTGTTCAACCGAGAAATCCCACACAACGAAATTCCTGCAGCATTGAGTCGTCTCGTCTCGTCACACACAAGAAAATGTCTTCTAACAACAGCCATGACGAGGTGACAGTACAACTGAGTGGTGGTGGTCCAACAACAACAACAACAATGAACAACAATCACCATTCTAATTCTTCCATCACGACGATGATGATGAAATCCACTCATTCCAAACCAAATGCTACACATTGTGTGTCAGATCATCAACAACAACATCCACAACAATTATCAAAATATTTCGATGGAACTTATTCCGTGTCATCACACCATCCAACAATCATGAATGGAATGAATAACAACAATTCTTCTCATGGATTTCCTCCATCCTCGTATTATGCCTCTGTCATGATGATGAATGTCACACCATCACAACCATCCATGATGGGAAGTGTTTACAATATGATGATGATGAATCATAATACTCCACAACAACAACAACTACTTGGTGATCAACAAGTCTCTAAAAATCGAACCAATAGCTATCTAAATCACAATAATTCTAACTTGATTTATTCTTCCTCTCATCCTTCAAGTTCTTCTAACTTGCATTCAAACTGCTCCTCCTCTTGTTATGATCATCCCAACAACAACAACAACCACACACAACACCCTCTCACCACTCATCAGCAGCACTTGCAAGAACAACACACACCTATGGTACCATACAACTCACAGAATCATGTTTCTACTAACCATGGTGGTACTGCTACTACTCATAAGATCAACAATAACACAAACCCTACAAAACAACAACCTCAACCTCAACCACCACCACCACCACCTCAACACAAACTATTACAACAAACCAAATCTTCTGAATCTTGTCTCTTCACCTCCTGCACTACTACTACTACTTCAACCACCTCAACCACCACCCTTCCAAAACAAATGGTTCAAAACTTTGAATTTGATACTCCAGCCTCACGTTACAAAGTCACAGATATCATTGGCAATGGAACGTATGGTGTAGTGGCCATTGCAATGGAACAAGAAACTCAAACTCAAGTGGCTCTCAAAAAGAATATTCGAGTCTTTCCAAATCGAGAACACACCACAAGCTCTGATAAATATGCTGCTTTTAATAACAGTGGTAAACTCCATCAATTGAGAATGTTGAGAGAACTCAAAATACTTCATCATATGAGACAGTGTCCATATATTGTATCATTGAGAGATGTACATGTACCAACCAGTATGGATCAATTAGAAGATATTGAAATGGTCACTTCACTCATGGAGGCTGATTTACGTGATATATTTGATAGTGGACAATATTTATCTCCCAAACATATCAAATGGTTCATGTACCAAATTGTACTTTCTGTGTATTACATGCAAAAGGCTCACATTCTCCATCGAGATTTGAAACCTGAAAATGTGTTGCTGAATTCTCAGTGCGATGTTTCCATTTGTGATTTTGGTTTGGCGAGAGGATTTTACAACTCGCGAAAGCACCGCTCGAATTCGAACTTGAACTTGGCTTCAACTCCCAACAACAGTTCAACTGGTACCGGTAGCAGTGGTGGTATCTTTACTAGTGTTGTTGTTGGTCATAACAATCCTACTACTACTACTACTACTAGTAGTATCATCACTTCAACCACCACCTCAACAACAACAGATCCCATTCTTCTCATGGAGAATAACACTCGACTCTCTTCCAATTATGTCGTTTCGAGATGGTATCGACCTCCTGAACTCCTCACCAATGCTCCACACATTTACAACAAGACTCTCGACATGTGGAGTGTGGGTTGTATCATGTATGAACTCTTATCAGGCACTGGTGAAGTTCTTTTCAAAGGTACTGGTTCTGTCGATCAAATCAAGAGAATTGTCAAACAATTAGGAACACCCAATCTAGAAGATTTCAATGGATCTGACTCTGCTCGTGATTTTGTGTTCAACAAACTTCCATTCTATCGTCGAAGATCATTTACAAAGAGATTACCAGCCAATACTTGTCCAATGGCCATTGATCTCATGAAGAGAATGCTTGTATTCAACATGTATAAGAGAATTACTCCTGAGGAAGCACTCATGCATCCATACTTTAGAGAATTCTATGATGTCAATGATTTGAATTTGTGTAGTGATATGAAACCCTTTGATACGGCATGGGAAGATGACATGCTGACCAGTGAAGACTTGAAAAGAGAGGCCTATCACACTCTTTGTGAGATTAAGAGACAAATCTTGTTCGAGCAAGTGCATCAGCAGCAGCAGCATGCTCATCATGATGTCCCTCACCAGCAACAAGAAGAAGAAGAAGAGGATGGATCGCATCAACAGGAACAACAACAACTCCTCAACAATCAGCAGCAGCATCATGGTGGTGCTTCTCCTCCTCAGGATCATCTCTGTCACGAGAATGATAAAGACATGGATGATCATCATGAATTTGATCCTCACTCTCATCCATTCCTTATTGAATATTCAAAAGAGTCATTGTCCTCATTATCATCATTGCCACAGAATACGGAGCATCCAACATCCAATAATGCATTTGAAAAGTTTTCTTATCCAACAACACCCTCCATCCACGATACAATCATGATGATGGATGGTGGTACAAGTAATGATGGAGGATTCAACAACCATGGTGATGCTGCTGTGAATAATCAAAATTTCAACAATCATAACACCATGATGACCACCACCACCACCACCACCACCACTCCTACGACCACTCCTCCAGGCAACAACAACAATCATTATAATACCACCATGTATTGCAATGCAATTAATGATGGCCAATTATCATCTTCAAGATTGACTACTAATCAACCTGACTTTTCTGTCAAATTTAATCTCTTTTCAAATTCTACTCTCAATGCGATGAGTGGACTTGGTAGTGAGAACAATGATGATCACGATATTCACATGAATGATATGATGACATTCTCAAGTCCTTCTGTGGCATTGGATGCCATTTCCTCACTGACAACCTCAACAACTACTTATCGATTCAATACAGCAGCATCAACTACTCAACATTCAATAAGTGGTGGTAAACCCAATGGTGGTGTTTCCTCTAAACATTCCATTCACCGTGGTGATGAATTAATTGAGAACTCTTGTGCAACATTCTCGCCGCCTACTGTTGTGAATATTTCTTATCAGACCACTCGAGTGTGAACATTAGCAATTCAATTGAATTAATAATAATAATTATTGAATAAAAACATTTACCATCCTGTACTTCTTGACCCTTCAGTCTGCAGAAAACAACAACAACAAACGGTGAACTTGATTACAACACAGTTCTTCCACCAACACAAGGCACTCTAAAAAAAATCCATACGTCATCTCTCTTTTGCCGACTCCACCATCATGCCTTTCTTTTCAAGCATTATTGGCAAGACCGATGCCAAGAAGGATCTCGACAAAATGGAGAAGGGTACTACCAGCAGCGGTAGTGCTGCTAAACAGGAAGCTCCTGATTTTGAGACCAAATGGAAATATTTACAACAAGGCTTTAACAAACTGATTGACTTTTTGAACACCAACATGTCCAAGCCTTTCAATAACGAAGAATATGCCGAGTTATATACGTAAGTAGTACACTACTACAGAACAAAAATGTAATCGGTAATGATGATGATCAATGATGATGATTATGACTCGGTGATGAACTCTTAAAATCTATTTTTGATTCCTAATATGTTTATTTCAAAATATTGTTACTTTCTCAATGATCTCTTTGTAATGGACCACTGCTAATTGTTACTCTATTTCTTCCATGTTTCCTTCTCAACACGATCTCATGTGTTTATTTCAATAATAACAATTATTTTTGATCGATTTTAAATTTGTTGCTATCCTTTGGTAACACCAACAAAAACCATACAATTCCATCATATTCTCCATCACGGCGATGGATGCTCAACAACAACATGTTCCATACATACTTTTGAACAACAACAACAACCTATAGTACGGTATTCAATTTGTGTACACAAAAAGTAGATACCAACAAGAAGGGAGGTGCTACCGAATTATTGTACGATCGTTATAGAACATGTATCAGTGATTATTTGAAGCAATTGGTGGTTGTTGCTCTCAAAGAAAAAACAAGGTGATGGTCTCTTGATGGAAGCAGTGAAGAGATGGCGAGATCACCAATTGGTTGTTCGTTATATGGTTAAATTATTTAACTATTTGGACAGATACTATACTAAACATAACAATAGAGACGATCTGAGAAGCGTTGGATTGAAATGTTATCAAGAATTGGTTTATGGAAGTATCAAGAAGGATATGGCTCATGCTTTACTCGATAAAATTCACAAGGAAAGAGAAGGAGATTTAATTGATCGATCCATGATGAAGGACGGTATTACTTTGTTCATTGAAATGGGATTGGGAAGTTTGAATGCCTATGAAGAAGATTTTGAACGTAATTTGTTGTCTGAAACACAAACCTATTACAATATTCAAAGCTCAAAATGGATTGCTGAAGATTCTTGTCCTGATTATATGAAAAAGACTGAAGACAAATTAGAACAAGAAGAAAGGAGAGCTGTTTCATATCTTCATCAAAACACAAAGGCTAAATTGATTACTAAAGTTCAAGATGAACTTATTAGAAAGCATCAAATGACACTTTTGAACATGGATGGTTCTGGTCTAGTTGCTTTGTTAAAGGCTGGAGACAAACAAGAAGATTTGTCAAGAATGTATAACTTGTTTGATAGAATTGATTCATTACAACCAATGGCAGAGAAAGTAAGAGATTTCATCACTGAAGAAGGTGTTAAAATTCACTCCAATCAATGTCAACAAGAAAATATTGATGCCAAGGCCTATGTGGATGAATTATTGAAGTTACACACAACCTATTCTAAATTGGTTACCAATGAGTTCAAACAAAATCCACTATTTTTGGAGGCTTTGAAAGATGCCTTTACTCACTTTGTTAATCTTGAAGTGGTTACAGCAGGTGAAAAGAGTAGAGCTTCTACTGCTGAATTGATTTCAACTTATTGTGATGCTGTCATGAAGGAAGTTGATAAGGTTGGTGAAGAAAACTTGGATGCTCTCTTAGAAAATGTGGTGAAATTGTTTGGCTACTTGAAGGATAAGGACATGTTTATGGCTTTCTACAGAGAACATTTGAGTAAGAGATTGTTGGTAACCAGTCGTTTGAACTTGGATGCTGAAAGATCATTCATTGGTAAACTCAAGATGCGTATGGGTATGTCCTTCACACAAAAGTTGGAAGGTATGATCAAGGATAAGAGCATTTCTGAAAACTTGAGAAATGATTTCAAGACCTACACTTCCAACAAGTCTATTGCTTTACCATTTGAATTTAACCCTGAAGTTTTGACTCTTGGTTGTTGGCCACAAATGAAAACAGACAAGATGACCATTCCACAAGAATTAGGTATTTGTTTAGATGCTTTCAAAAAGTTCTATGATTCTATTACACAACAAAGAAAGTTGGATTGGATTCACTCTCTTGGTACAGCTATTGTTACAGGACGTTTCGCATCAGGTACAAAGGAAATTTCAACAAACACTTATCAAGCATGTATTTTGTTATTGTTCAACAATCAAGCTGAAATGACATTCCAAGAGATTCAAAACTCTTTGAATTTACCACCAACAGAAGTTAAGAGAAATTTACTTGCATTGTGTGCAACAAAGGCAGCAAACATTTTGAACACAGATGGAAATAAGAAGGTAATCAATCCACCTGATAAGTTTTCTGTCAATGCTGATTTTGAAAGCCCATTGAGAAGAATTAAGATTCCAAACGTTGTTGTTCAAGTTACACAACAACAAAAGCAAGAAATTAATCAAAAGGCTCAAGAAGAAAGAAAGTATGTCATTGATGCTGCTCTTGTCCGTATCATGAAGGCCAGAAAGGTACTCAAATATCAAGAACTCATGACAGAAACTATCAAACAATTGAGTTCACACTTCCTTCCTGATCCAAAGTTGATCAAGAAGAGAGTTGAAGATTTGATTGCAAGAGAATATCTGGAACGTGATGCCAAGGACAGCAGCACCATTCAATATGTTGCTTAATTGTACAACAACTGATGAAATTAATTTATAAAGTAATCCTTTAAATTCAAAATAACTGTGGTTGATTGGAGTTACATTTGAAGGTATGTTGAAGATCTGATCTTTTGCTTGTTAAACAGTCTCTGTGTGCAAGCGCCACCTTGACAAGTCCAATTTTAAATCCACATCAAATAATTTTTCATGATTTGCTGTCTTCATGATATGGAGAATGAAATGGTAACCAAAAAATTGTCAGAAAAGTCATAATTTGATGGCTTGGAGAATAATAATCAAATGAAACGTTTAGAGATTCACCCATTGCTGCTGTTGATACGTTCGTTCTGTGAGTGATGATGGTGAAACTAGCAAGTAGATTTGATTAATTTAAAATTATTTGATTTTGGACTCCTCCTCTTCACTCGAATCATCATCACTCTCGTACATTCTTTTTCTTTTTAATTCTTTTTTTCTCTTCTTTTTCTTTTTTTCTAATAATCGCCCCAATCGAAATAACAATTTTTCTTCCTTATCTTTGACAAAATTAATTAATTCATCATCCGAAGAATGTCTACTAGATTTATCAATTTCAGCATATTCTTGAATACCTTCTTGGAGTTTTTTCATAAATTCTTCTTCTGTTGGAATTTCATCATCATCAGTATTGTTGTTGTCAATTGTTGAAGATTCTTGTGGATCATCTTTTAATGAGGATTGTTTGGGCGATGGTTCAGGCTGTTTGGATGATGAGGTGGTACTCGTTCCGAGTGATGACGGCTCGGCACCACGCGTGAGATTCATAGGTGGAGATACTTTGGCCAATTCATTCATTTTTTTGTTCCTGAAATTTTGAAGATGAGCTTCGGAGATCATGGTTCGAAATCTATCGATGTAAGAGTTTTTTAAGGTGTTGCATCCCTAAAAGAAATTCGTACCAATTTCACTCACACTTCCATCATCAAGATCTTTCCGTGTTGATTTTTCGGCACGAGACGAGCGACGAAACTGTTTAAAAAAAACATTACAAAAAAAGACTTGAACCTCTACCACAAGAATTGTTCTTCGACCTCTCCAAAACAGAATGTCCTCGCTCTGCTCCTCCTCCTCCTCCTCTTCTGTGGATCCATCTTTGATCCGATTTATTCCACCCTCCCGACTTGAACTCATTGGTCCCACACCCAACGTGGCCAACACAGTGGAGGGTCTCTCTCATGAAAGTTGCATGTTGGGTGCAAGTGCAGATCATTCCACTCCTCAACGTGCTATCATTCTTCACTTCTCTCGTCCTTATCTTTTCAAATTTATTGAAATGAAACCTCACAAACAATTTCATTGCTGTCAACAACAATTTAATGGAATTGATGTTTATTACAAGAGATGTTTGAATACTCCTCAACATCAACAACAACAAGGAGAAGAATGGGTTGAAATTGCAACTGTGAGTGGTGCCAATTCGGATGATTATTTGTATCGGTTGGATTTGGGTGAACATGGAATCTTCACTCAAAGTTTTAAATTGACACGTTTTCCAAGAGAGAATGTTTCAGTGGGAATGATGAAATGTTATGGAATGATGGATGAATCGATGAATCACCATCACCACCACCACCACCACCTATCGACGACGATGACAACATGTGGAATTGTCAATCCTATGAATGGTTACTACCAACAACAACAACAACATGTTGGTCAAAACAACAACAACACTCTCATGTCGACTACGACGAATGATTCAAACATGTTCATGCCACATTGGTACAACAATTACAATACAACTCATCCTCATTTGGTTCGTTCCACCAATGTACTACCAACACCAACACCACCTTATTCGAATACAACAACAATGCCAACATCAACTCTTCATCCTATTTACCCTACCCATAACAACAACAACAACAACAACCCTTACATCAATACTACTACTACTACTATTACTACTCATGGGAATGTACTTCATTCAGTCTCATCTCAATTCATACCATCACCACCACACTATCATCACTACCCTCCCTATCAATAATAAAAGATTTGATTTGTAATGACATTAGCCAAATTTAATCTTCCAAAATCAAAGACGAAGTGAAAGACCTGCTGAATCTGCAATTACGACTTGTGCTCTCACACATTAACGCACTACAGATTCGCACGTGACCATTTTTCCCTTTTCTGAATGGGAATCACTTTTATATGTTTTAATTCGTCCAAGTAAGGTAATATTTAGAGGCTTCCATATTTGGCGAAGGAGAAAATAGCCTCACAGACAAGAGAGAGAGTATGCAACAAAAAAAAACATTGTTCAAATTGACCCTCTTGAACCAACCCATTCAGCAGCACTACTATTTGAAGATATCGTCATGGGCAACCAATCATCGTTACCATCTCGTACTTGTCCAAATTGGATTCGACGCAAGTTATTAAGGAGGAACAGAATTACATTTGAAACAACTTATCGAAACGAGTCGAAACTCGATACGATGGATGAACCATTCAATCCTCCTCCAACACCAACTCTTCTTTTCCCTTCTTTACATGAATCATCCTCAATGTCCACCACCACCTATGAGCAAATTGGTGATCACTGTACCGCCACCAATGACGCCATTATGTCCCTATCCACAGTTTCCTCAATGGACACGTTTGATAGTGAGATTTTTGAAAATTATACGAGTTATTCCATTGTTTATTTGAAACATTCACTCACTCAACAACATACAGATTGCTCTCTGTAACTTGAATGTTTATTGCATTTTTGGTCAACCCCCAATGTTTGTTGTCCTCTCCAAGAAGATGCATTGATTTCAAAGAAGAAAAATTGTAAAGAAAGGGAGTGCCTTCCTTAAAGAAAACCTCTCAGCAATTGCAACTAATTCTGCTTGATAAGGCAACCCAATTTGGAAGTAACCCACAAGCATGAATTGAAAGTTTGACTTTGGTCCCAAAGTCACTCACATCGGAATCGGTCGCCAATTTCAACAGGCCTGTAGCTCTACCTGAAACCCCAATAAATAATCAAAAGCGAACATTCGCACTTGAACACCAAACACAAAAAAAATGGCCACCACTCGTCTCGAGTTCTCCTCCGAAAATCCTCTTGGTTCTTCTTGTCCAGGCTATGTGAGTAAGCCTTTATCAGGAACACCAACCCCAATGGGAGTCGTTGTTCTTCAAGAATGGTGGGGAGTGAATGAGCAAATTAAAAACAAAGGTATTAAAATTGCCAATGATCTTAATGCAACCACCATCGTTCCTGATTTGTATAGAGGAAAGGTTGCTATTGATCGGGAACAAGCTGGACATTTGATGCATGGTTTGGATTGGCCTGGTGCTATTCAAGATATTTTGGGAGCAGCCAAATATTTGAGAAATGAAATGGGATGTAAGAAGGTTGGAGTCACTGGATTTTGTATGGGTAAGTGAACAAAGCGATAGTGCCCGTGTTGATTGAAACATTGATGTATTCAATGATGATATTGATATACATTGTTTTCATTTGAATTGGTGAACAACAAATCATGTTGTACTCTCTCATAGGAGGTGCCTTGACATTGGCTGTAGCAAGTACACAAGATGGAAGTGAATCGTCACTCATCAATGCTGCATCCTGTTTTTATGGAATTCCACAAATGGATGTTTCGAAAATTAAAATCCCAGTCATTGCTCACTTTGGTGAGTTGGATGATGCTGTTGGATTTTCTGACATTGAATCTGCCAAGAAATTGCAAAAGAGTTGGTCTGAAAATGGTGTCAATGGCACTGTGTATTTGTATCCTGGAGTTGGTCATGCTTTCACCAACGACAAACGACCAGAAGCATACAATGAAGAGGCTTGCTCATTGGCCATGCAAAGAACTTTTGACTTTTTCAGACAACATTTACTTTAATAAAGTATTAGAGTATTATTATAAAGTATTAGATAAGATTTATTAAAGTATTTTAAGCTTTAATATCTATTGGTTGATCCAGATGGTAAAATCAATTTCTTGTGTTGGTTGAGAATGTGGTCATACGTCTCTTGTAGAACACTCTTTCGACGCCACATGTTGTTGTTGTTGTTGGTAGTATCATCACTCAAAGTATCACCATCATGATTGACACCACTCTCTCTCAATACTTTCACACATTCAATATGGTCATTGGCTCTCTTCACCAAAGAACCCAACATGGAATATTGCAAATCAATTTTCATTTCATATCTAAATCTTTCCCACTCGAGAGGGAATCTTTGATCAATCAAATCCACAGTTCTTTTCATATCATTGTAGATAGTACTAAGTTTTTGAACCTGTTCTTGATATTTTGGATTATTACTATTATTGGCTTGTGTGGTAGCCTTATTTAAATCATTTTCATAGACACTCAATGTGGTGTGATATTCTTTGGATAAATCTAAGAATTTCAATACATTAGGTAATAAATATTTGGTATATAATAATAAATATTGTTCAAATTGAGTCGTAGATTCTTGATGAGAATTAATACTTGCTGACTTCATGGTAATATCTCCAATAGAATGGAATATATTATGAAGTGTACCACCTGTATTGTTGTGATTCATATTGGTGGTAGAAGAGGTGTTTGAAGGAGTACTTGTAGTAGTAATAACACTATGATTCATCATTTCATTAAAATTATTGTTCGCTTCAAAATTTCCATAAACCTTCATGGCACGTCCAATACTATCCAATTCATTTAAAAATGATTCTTGATATTTCTTTAGAGAAAGACTTGCATTTAGCAATGTTTTCAATTGTTTTGATAATTGATTCACATATTCACGTTCCTTATCATGAGTGTTGTATTTGATTTTCATCTTTTTAAGAGAAAACAAGAGACCACCACCACCACCACCACCACCAGAACTAGAAGAACTCGTTGAATGACTTGAGGTAGCACCACCACTCTGACCACTCAATGCTGCACTCTCAGTCTTCTTCATGGTATGATTAAATTCATCTTCACTTGCACTAATAAAATCCCAAAAGAGATAACTCTTACACAACACTGGATGTCTTGCACAGAGTGTTAAGAAAATGGAAAGATATTTTCCTTTAAGAGATTTGTTATCAGCACTTGTGTTGATGGTGATACTATCTGTAGTACTAGCAGCAGCAGAATGAATGTTTGGATAATCAGAAGTAGTAGATGTACTATTGGTAGATGTACTATTAGGAGTAGTAGTAGTAGTAGTAGTAGTATTCATTGTTGTTGTTGGTGTGGATGTGGTTGCAACACTCACTTGACTCGAAGAATACAACTTGTCAATATTCGTCGTTAATAGTTCTTTGGGTGGAATTAAACATCCAACACAATCCATTTTCAAATGATCATAGAGCCATTCAAAATCTTTTAAAACACACACACATTAGACACACATATTCAACACATATTCAACACATATTCACACAACATACCTTTCATCTTTCTACTCACAGTCAATCCAGTCTTTTGAAACAATGGATGATCCTTGTAGAGTGTTTTTTCATGACTTTGAATCATTTCAGTGATATGAGATTGTTCTTCTTGAACATTGACACTTGTAATGATGGTAAAGAGAGGAGTACTATAAATGTTGAGTTGATCATAAATCACTTCCACATTGGTGGTGGTGAATGAAGAGAGTTCGACAAAGGGATATTTTGAAGATGAGAGAGAAGAGTGATTCATCGTCATCATCATGGATGATGGATTTGAATTCAAGTGGTGGTACGAGTGGTGATGGTGGTGATGGTGGTGATGGTGGTGATGGTCAATGTGGTGATCATCATCATGGTGATCCTTCTCCTCCTCCTCCTCCATCATTTGAGAACAAGTCGTCTCTTGTTCATGATTCACCATTACTGCAGGTTGTTCTTGTTGTTGAGGAGGAGTTGTTGTTGTTGTTGTAGAATGATCATGGTCCTCCTCATGAGAATGGAGTGGTGGTGGTGGTGGTGGTGGTGATGAGGATTGTAAGGGATGGAGATGATGAATCCCTTCTTCGGAAGTGGTAGTGTCAACAACAACATGAGAAGTCGACTCGTGTGGTTCTTGTTGTTGTTGTGAATGGTCATCATGGATGTTCAATGATGAGGACGACACCACGAAATCACCAGAAGGGGAGGCGGATTCAACAGATTGTTCTTCAGCCATTTTTTAAAAAGAAAACGATGATGATGAGATGAACCACAGAACAACCACTGACAATCAATCATATGACAGTCAATCATATGACAATCAATCATGATTGGCTCTATGAGAATTGACACTTCATCCACCACCGCCACCACATCCCGTCATGATTGAATTAATTCAAAGGATATGAAAATGTTTTATTCAATCCACCATTTCTTCTTCCACCACTTCGATCATGGGTTGTTCATCATTCTTGTCTTGTTGATCAACATTCAAAGAGTGGTAATATTCGTCATCATGATTTTCAAGATCCCGTGAAGTGAATTCAATGGTATATTCATGAGAGATGTCCTCATCTTCGACTTGTTCAATCATCTTTTTCAATTGATTCTTCTTTCGATTGACAAGAACCATGGCTTCAGGATTGTATTTGGGTTCATGAATGAAGTGTAAAAATAAATTAGACAATCGTTTCCTTAATCCAACTAAACTACTGTCCTTTCTACCTCTATTTAACAAGTCTGCTTCTCGATCAATCAGTTCAATAATATCCTTTGAGAGAGAATCCTTTTCAAATTCTTTCACTGTCCATTTGACATGCATCAACACATCTAATCGTTCATCAATGGATAACATTTCAGTGTTGAGTCCATAATACAAATCTCTCAATTCTCTTGCTCGAATGGTGTAGGGTGTTTCAATTTCAGTGTAATTAATGTTACTTTCATCAGTAGAAGTGGAATGAGGGATTGCTCCTTCTTTCAACGCTCTTGCTCGATTGTAATTGACTCGTGTTGTGTTCATTCGAGAGATTCTTTTTGGTTTTGCCATTTCTTCTAAATCTCTTTGAATTTTTTGTCCCATGTTTTGTTGTCCTGCAACAATTTTCAATCGATCGATCGTTTGGAGCAGTTTTGTTTCCTTTCGAAGCAATTCTTTCATTGCTTCTTTTCTTTCTTTAGATCCTGGAAGAGCATTTGAATTAATATCTTCTGTCTCCTTTGTTCTCCATGCTTCTAACTCGTCGTACATGATTTGAAAATCTTGTGGTTTTCTTGGGTGCATTCTTCTTTTAATCTCTTTATACTTTTTATGATTTTCACTCATTTCCTTTTGTTTCTTTGCTTGTTCTTTCATCTCAATTTCCTTGTATTTTTGTTCTCTCATTCGGTCTACTTTTCTTTTCGCAATCCACCGTCTGACATTTCTCTGAATTTTAATGGCCATCTCAATTTTTAATGATTTTAACATTTCAGAATCAAAATAATTAGAAGAGGGATAAATAATTCGATCTTCAGAAGTGTCTATGGTAAGTCCTGGTTTTTCCATTTGAGTTCCTTGTTCTCTAAGGGTTTGTTGTCCCTTCGTCGTAAATTTTTTAGTTTGAGTTTCTCTATGGAATGATTTAATAGTTGGATCCTTTTGTTTCTGAGAGTCTGTTTGAGTGGCTGCATGATGATACATGAGATTGGTAAGAGTGTTTCGAAATCCACCAAGGAAGGGTTTTGGATTGTTTTCATTATATACATTGATGATGATTGTTTTGTTGGGCATTCCTCCTCCATAGTAAATTTCTAATTGAAGTTGATAGGATGGCTTTGGTTGGAGATTTTTAGGTCGAGGATGAATTTTAAAAGGCACTGTTGTATTAATACCAGTTTCAATCTTTGAAATGTTGTCAGTTTCAACTCCATTTGAAGAAAACTGCAGGTTGTTGTTCGTTGAGACCTCTTGAGGAATTAACTCTTGAGATCTCCGAAGATCATAGGAATGATCCGTGTCCAATTCATTCTCTGAGTTACTCGGAACAAGATCTATACTGCTTCCATCCATGTTTTCCTGATCATAATCATTAAGAAGCCTTTCTCTTTGAAAAGTGCTGCTGTTGTTGAAAGAACCAGTATCACCAGAATGATCTGACATTTTTTTTGATTTAAAAATAATCTGTAGATGTAACGATGGCGGGAAACAAATTCAACTAAAAATCAAACTGTTTGTTGTTGCAAGTCAAAATTTCGTAATTGGAGTCAAATTCGAGACCACACAACGCCCTTGCATTCGAATCGGTCAATTCATCTTTCCACAAAGTGAAAGACACCCCACGACACCAAACACCCTTCACTTTCAGAATCCCTCTATGAATGCCTCCAACCACACACAAAGCTTGGCTGCTTGGAGTAACCTTACATTTCAAAGGACCACCAAACCAGCACTAAAGAGCAAGGTAACAATACACCTGGTGAGGATCTTCACCAACTGCAGCATCTAGGTCCACACAGCACCAGTGTTTTGAAAGCGTAGGAAATCACCAGGCTGAAAGAGAAGCATCTCGAAGAGATGCAAAAACAACAAAAAAGAATGGATGATGAGAGAAGAGAGGCCGAAGACAAACGTATAAAGGTTCAACTTTCGGAAGAAAACTATTTTGAAAGTGCTTCTCTTACAAACATTCATTAATTGCAACACAAACGCTTCGAAAACAATAAGGCCCTCATCTTTCATGAATGATCTTGTCCTTCAGAGAATTATTAACCCATCTGTATTTACCAATTATTGTTGAGTAACAATCAGAATTGATACTTCTTTGGAAAAAAACAGAAGTGTTTTGTAACGATTACAATAAAGGGAGGTTGATATTTCATCACATACTACTAATCATCAATCATTCTCGGGACAACTGTATAACAAATAAAGCTTGTTGATTGATATTCCATCTCCAAAAGTGGTAGTTTGATTCATCCATTTAATATATTTTAATCATTCACTATTCTTTTTAATTCAAGAACTTTGTCGGGAACTATTTTTCATAAAGTTACAATACTCACCAAAGGTTAGATTAATACTATATAAAACTTCTAATTATCAGAAAATTGTAATGATTCCGTATAATAATACTCTTATAATATATTTATGATAAATCGACAAATAACATAATATTATGTATGTTTTAATACTTACATTAAGTATATACTTTGAAGAATATATGGAATGTATAATAAACAATGTTAATTTAATCATTCAACAACCAATATCAATGACCAGTTTTATCGAATACAAAATTATTTATAAATTTATATTAGTGTAATTTAAAAATTTACATAAGTATGATGTTACATTATTTATAAAAACAATAAATATAGTTTAATAGCATAACTCAACATTACTTTGGAAAAGAATTGTTCCTTAGCGACAACAATAAGTGTTGGTTGCCAAAATAAATACAAAACAGTGCTGTAAAGGGGCAAAGTGCACCACCAGATAATTACAAAGAACGGATTATTTTGCTAATACACATCTCAACGAACTTGAGGCCAATGATTGTTTTTGTAACGAAAACAATAATTTATCAACTTGGGTGACTATAGAGTTGTTCATTCTTCTTGCTGTCGTTTTAAAAAATTCTTGACACTATAAAACTCTAAATGTTCCTTCTCCAAGAAATGGACATCCTTATCGGGTGCACAAATCACCAATGAATGTAATGGCTCACCCCAATCTAATTCTCTCAATTCTTTAATAGTTCCATAAACTACTTGTTGGTCACGAGCACCCACTCTTGCCAATCCCACACACAGCGTTTCTTCATTGTAAACTCCTTCTTTTCTCAAATGTTCAATTTCCAATAATTCATCAATGGCTTGATTAATGGTCATGAAACGTGGTGGCATGTATTTCTTCAAGTGTGGTTTCAATAAACATTCTTCTGTTGGTTCTTTCACTTTGATATCTAATAAACACAAAGTATGCAATCCACATTCACGATTCTTTTTAATTTTATCATAAAAAGAATCTGGTTTCCAATTCTCTGTAAAGAATACCAAAGACACTGTAATACCAAATTGATAAAGTTGTAAACCACAAACACCCACTGCATTCATAATTGAAGCATTGTGAATGACTTCGACTTGAATATTCATTTCACGAGCTCTCACCACCATATCGGTATGGGTGGTGGCTCCGAATGGATCACCGACCACAAGAAAACCGACACACTGGGTTTTGGCGCGTTCCAAGATGACTTTCTCACACTCCGATTCGACACAGTAACGATCAGCCTCTTCAATTTTCTTGCCATAGAATTCTTCTAATCGGTCTTTTTTAATTCTTGGAAGGATAGAGGTATAGGATTCAAGAAAGAGAACATCACAGGATTTTACTGCTTCTAATCCCTTGACAGTAATGTCTTTTTCATCACCAAGTCCGAGGCCAATAATGTAGAGCATTGAACAGTAGAGAGGAGTGTGATGATGACGGTGTGGTGAATATTTTTTTTGAACTCTCTGTGCCCAAACACACACTCTCCGAGCGTGCAACATGAACGGATGTCATTCCGACGATCAACAACGTGGTCAGATTGACCCATCCAACATACAGTTGGGTATGATAATAATCGAGTCAACAACTTGCTTTCATATCTGGTACTGTGCCCAAAGAGGACTTGCTCCGTTTTCTCCAACGAACACACGCCAAGAATAACCGATATCACTTAAGGCTTTCATTCAACCTTCTCTCTTTTCAAAAAATGACTAACTCTGTAACCAACCATTCTTTCTCAAACAACACCTCACACAACAACAACAACAACAACAACACCTCAAGAACACAACAACGCCCTGAAGAACCATCTTTAACGGTTCATGAGCCCTCCATAGCGACCATCATGAAAAGAAAACAATTAAGGGAACATAATACGTTAAAAACATCTTTACAGCTCTCGCCATCCTCAACGAGAAGTGGTTTGCCCATGAACACTTCCAACGATTATCATCCTCCTCAGCACTCTCTCCAACACAATCCGAACATGGGCATCCTTGCCTCTCCAATTGCTCCTCCTAAAAACACTTTTCTTGCTGATGACGATATGCTCTTATTAGACTTTCATGAAGACGAAGGTGAACTTCATCATGAATCAAAAGCCTTTGAGGAAGAACCTTCTCATGATATTTACAGGGAATTTAAAAATGTGGTCAAGCAGTTGGATCGACATCAGTCCAACAATGGGCCTCGACGTCAACCACATTCTGAGTCCAACGATCATCAAACCCTTCATCACCAAACAACAACAATAGATCATCTTTCACCATCCGCTCAGGAATCAAACAAAGACCTCCGAGATGACAATCCAATCCCTGAAACAAGGTTGAATTCAATTGACAATTTTACTACTGGAAACATTTCAATCAATGAAACAAACACCACACTGAATATGGTGTCAAATGATCAAACGTTGAATTATGGTGATGAACATTCTGTTGCAAATTCTAACCTTGACAATTGTAATATTATTCAACAACCTGTACCATCAAGAGCAATAGGATATTCGAACACTTCTCTCAATTCACTTCTTTCATTTAAATGTAAAGAATTGTATTTGTTGAATAATGAATTGTCAAGTCGATTATTACAAACACAATATGAAAATGATGAAGTGAAATATCAAATGAACAAGTTAAAGAATTTATTTGGACCACTCAATCGAAGAGTGAAAAAGGAATTAGAAATTATTTATTTTGGAACATTGAAAAGATTAAAAGATGAATGTGACTCACTTAGGACTATTATAACATTGACGAGGGTAGGTGCTGAGAAAATTCTCACATTTTCTAAAGTTGTTGTTTTTTTGTCATTCACAGGAAAATCAAGAAAAACAAATGAATGATTTTCTTTCAATTATCATGTCCTCTCATTACTACTCATCCATGAAGAATTCATTACAAGCTTCTTCTCGTGAAGAATTTCAAGAACATGATGGTTCAAATTTGAATGTTAGAGATTTGACCATATCTCAATTGAAAGAAGAAATTGAGAAATTAAGAGCACTACATGATCAAGGTAGGTTTTCAAAAGTAAAAACACTTTTAACACACTTTCATTCAGAACGTGAGCAAGTTCATTCACAATATAAATCTCAATTACATGACAAGAATGAACAAATCATGAAACTAACCAGTGAACTTCAGTTAAAGCAAGTGCAACTATTGGACCTTTCAAAACAATTAGAAATTCAGAAATTGTCATCTCAAGATGGTGCTACTACTTTAATTCATGAGAAATACAATAAGGAAATGATGGATCTTGTATCTTCTCTGAAATCTCAATTACAACAAAAGAATAATCTCTTAGAAGAAGTTAATCACAATTTGAAATCCAGAGAAAATGAAATCAAAGAATTGACTTCTAAAAATCAGAATCTAATCTCAGAATTGAAAAATAATGAACAACAATTTCAATTATTTGTAGAAATGAGCAAACAAAAGATGAATGAGATCAAACAAGAACATTTAAATTCATTGAATTTAATTGAATCCTCTCATTTAGAAGAAATTGAATATGTCAAAAGATTGGGTGAAGAAACAATGAATATGGAAATGAATGCATTGAAATCTCAATATGAAACAAAATTAAAAAATTTAGCAGAAAATCATTCTCAACAAATCGAACAGTTGAAGGTTCAACAAGAGAATCTGATTGAAGATTTAAAGAAGCAACATTTGAATGAAATGGAGAATATTTCAAAACGCCAAATGAATGAAATTCAAGAACATGAGCAATTATTGACCATTCCTAACATGAAAGAGGTTACAACATTCTCACCACCAAACACTCAACAAGAGTCTCGAAATATATTACATCTTCACGCACTTTCACCACACACTCAAAGTGAAGATTTATTGAATCTATTGAGAGAAGACTATGAATCGCAAATCATTCAACTAAAGAAAGACTATCAAAAAGAACATGAATTAGAAATGCAATCTCTTATTAGTGAATATGAAAAGAAGATTCAAAGTATTGCACAAGAGGGTGATACCATTCTCAACAAGACACATCAACAATATAACAAGGAAATGAATGATCTAAAAACATTATTTGTTATGAAACATGAACACTTGAAACATCGATTAAGAGATTGTGTCTCAACATGGAAGAATCTTATCAATAATGAGGACAATAAGGATGAAAAAAACAGAATGAGCGACACTACTACCACTTCTACTACTACTGGTATTGATATTGGTAATACTAGTTCCTCAACAAATACTACTAGTCCTATTGCCACCAATGACAATACAACCTCCATCAAAAACAACACCACCACTGCATCCTCAACCACAATAATCGATTCATTCCATTTCAATACTACTACTACAACGCTTGATCATCAAAACACAAGTATCACTACAGTACTCGAACAAGAAACCTTAACATTGGAAAAGATTATTTCAAATCTATTCAATTCTTTCATTCATGATCTCTCACATTTGAAAGCTCATCATTTAAGAAGTATTGAAGAGAAAAATAGACAAATTGAAACTCTAAGATTTGAAAAGATGCATTTAGAGAAACTTCAATCTCTCTCTTTGAATCATGATCAAGAAAGTATCAAATTGTTAAATGATCGAGTGAATCATTACAAATCAGATATGGAAACGAAACAAATTGAAATTCAAGAATTAGAAAAGAAAGTCTATGAATTACAATTGAAATGTAACAAATTAGAACATTCTCATCAAGAAATGATTGAAAGTATAAATGCTGAACACTCCATCCAAATGAAGAATTTAGAAAACAAGTTCAATGAATTGCAAATAGACAGAGATTCTATTCAAAACAAGTACAATCAATTAGATGCATTACATCAGGACACTATCACTCAATTGAATTATACTCTCACTAAATTACAACATTCTGAGAGAACCACAAGTCTTTTACAATCTGAAAAGAATGATGCACTTGAAAGATACAAAAATTTGGAACAAGTGATTACAAGAGATGTTTGTGATCAATGGATTGGCATGTTGAACAATTATTCCAGCAACAACAACATTTCAACTATACACAACAGCTTGGAATTGACCAAATTGGTGGAATGGAATCGTGCAACGAGTACTACTACTACTTCTACTACTTTGAATCATTCCATTCAATCCAGAATAGACACTCTTCACTCTACCATTCAAAACACATTGAAGAGATTTAATCAATTGCAAGAAATGAATCAAACTCTCACATTGAAACTCGGTCAACAGTCTGAAATGCTTCAAAGAAATGAAATGAAAATCAATGAATTGTTATCAGAAAATTCAAACATGAAGAAATCAATGAAACAATTTGAAGAGACCAATCATGAACTAGAGTTACAATTGTCCAAAGAGCACTCCAATCAACATGATTTACAATTGAACATCCAAACATTGAAAGAAGAACTCACTCGCTCCAAAGATGAATTACAATCTCTGCAAAATCAGAACAAACAATTACAAGCATTGAAAAATGATCCAAAGATACTCTCTCAACAAACCAAGATCCAACAATTAGAAGAAGAGAATTACTCTATGAATGTACTAGTCACAGAATTGAAACAAAAGAATTTGAAATTACAACAATCTCAACAAGAATGGATGGAACAAGTATCGAAATATCAACAAGAAATCAATACTCTTCAAAGACATGTATCTCTTCAACAAGATATCAAACAAATGACACAATTAGAAGAAGAGAAACAACAAGTCATACAATTAGAAGAGAAACACAAACAACAAGTCATACAATTAGAAGATAAAATATCAGAATTGAATGATGAAATATCAGAACAAACAGATGAATTACATCATGCTGCTCTTGAGGTTATTAATTTACAAAAGATTAATGATTTCCTTTCTAATGAATTGAAACATGTTCAATCATTGAATAGACAATTGAAAGATGAATATTCCAATTCAATGACAACAGAATTGAAAAATCTTAAAGATTTGATTGAATCCACTAGAATTGATTTAATAGGAGTCAAAGATATTAATGACAAGTACACCAAGTATTACAATCAATCAGAAACGATCAAACAAGAATATGAGAAATATTTAAAACAATATTCAGAAGTTGTTTATCGAAATCAAGAATTAGAAAAGATTTTGAATCGAGTTCAATTATTCCTTTCTGAAAAAGAATCAATCAACAATAACGCATCCTCTTCCTCCTCTCAGAAACAACAACACACAGAACAAGTTGCTCAATGGATTCAAGAGTTAAGGAATGTCATGTTGTTAGGAGGACCTACTGATCACCTTACTACTGCGACTGTGAAAAGAATCATTCCTTTCACTCATCAGCAACAGACCATGAAAGAAAAGAGAAGAACTCTGGCATTTGAACCTGGATCTATATCTTTTGATTCTATGAGTTTAATGAATGATGATCCTTCTATGAGATATCTAAGAAGTGATAATGATTCTTCATCATTGCTGGGAATTGATGACAACAATAATGACAACGATGGAATGGATCAATGGAAATCTTTGAACCAGAACAACAACAACAACAACAAATTATTCAATCATCGATCCATGACCATCTCTTCATCCTCATCACCATTACTGAATTCATCTTCTCCATCATCTCCACAACAACCACAACAACAACAACAACAACGTGATTATTCAAGACAAAAGAGTTTACCACCTTCTGCCATACTCCAAATTGCTCCACATTTACAATCTTTAATGAGTAGTAGTCATGGCAATAGTAATCGATCGAGTCGAAGTAACAGTAATGCAAGTAGTAGTGGTGGTGGTGGCAACAATCATGTATTGCCAACAACCATTGGTAGTCCTTCTATTTTAAAGACTCGTCCTCATTCTGTTACCTTTGATACCCACAATCTGATCATGGGTGGTGGTAATAATAATTCCTACTCTTCACCCTCATCAGGTAGAAATACACCAACCCATCCTCACAACATGACTAATAGTCCTGGTAGAGGTGGTAGTAGCACGAGTGGTGGTCAAAGTGGTGGTGGTGGTGGTGGTGTGAATAGTAGTAGTAGTAGTAGTAGTGAATTCATCATCAACCATACAACATCATCTCAGACTTTGGATCATCCCTTATTCAAAGTCAAGAGTTCACCCAATCTTCAACACTTTGACAGCAGCACAATCGATGACAACAATGCTGATGACAATGTGAGTACTCACAACATGACTAATAGTCCTGGTAGAGGTGGTAGTAGCACGAGTGGTGGTCAAAGTGGTGGTCTGATGCAAATGACCTCCTTCAACAACAACAACAACCTGAATTCAAGCAACTCCTCATCATCGATCAGTACGAGTGGTGGTGGTGGTACGAGTGGTGGTCTCAGAAGATTACAGCCACCACCCATTCCACCACCAAGAAGACTCCAATAAAAAGTAGAGCAGAGCTTCATACACTCTCTATTGTAGGCTGTTGAGGTTGTTCTTCTCTCTTCTTAGAATGAAAAAAATGTACATTCCAAACCTGTTCAGAACACCATTCCATCTCTTCTCTCAACAAGAATATTTATCATCATTATTATTTCAATTCTTCAATACTTATAACAATGGTTGGCTCAATCAATGTGGTGATTATAGTGTCATTTCATCAAATGCTCCAAACAATGCTGATTTTTGTGCATGGATTTCCTATTTCTATGTAAGTAGAGAGTGTTACACTCTATATTCGGAATTATTGAAAATTGTGGAAATTGTGTGATTGCAATGATGATTCAATTAATTGAAACAGTTCATTCTCATCCTTGTGGCCATTATTGTAGTCCTAGGCATTGTGTTTACACTCATTTTAGGAATATTTTATGTCATGAGAAGAGTGTGTGGATGGTGTGGTTCAGCAAAGGCATCTCAAAAACACTATTCATCTCAACTTGTCATGATTGTGATTTATATGATTCCATCACTGATCATTGTGTTGACTAGTTTGGGTGGAATTGTATTTACAATTACTTATGGAATTGGAAGTAGTAGTGTCATTTCCACAACATTTCATACAATTTCAATGACCATGGATAAATTTACAACAAGTGCTAATGAAATGACAGGTAGAGTACTCGTATATTGGTTTCATTGGATATTATTTAAATTGATATTAATTAATATTGAAATTATTTAAATTGATATTATTTACTACAAAAAATTGATCCTTAATGACACACAATTTGACACACACTTATGAATACCACACACATACACACACTCTTATGGTTCAACTTACACACTCAACACACACTCTTATGGTTCAACTCATTTTCTGTACAGGTGGTACTGAACTTGCCAAAGAATTTTCTCAAAATGTAAATCAATTATTTAAAGATTCTATCAATTCTACCATCCAAGTTCATACATTAATGATGGATTTACCAATCTCTCTTTTACAATCACAATTAAGTGATATCAATTCAATAGTTTTGAAATTACAAAAATTGAATGAATTAGAACAAGAAATCATTTCATCCAATAAGAATATTTTAGATACATTGAATTATCCATTTCAATCTTTGAATACATCAAGTTCACAATTGAAACACCTATTAATATTTCCTGAACAAGTATTTCAGTCCATGAATCAATCCTTCTATTCAACATTATATCCTACCATAATGTATCAAATTGGATATGAAATGATGAATCACATATTACCAATTGCAAATGCTTATGTTTCTATTTTAAGTAATTTTAATAATACAGAGAGTATATTCACATTATTACCACGTCAGTTAGGTAAGTCAGAAACAATGAATCATATTGAATCATATTGAATATTTAAATGAATCCAACATGTGTGATAATCATATTAAATATACAACACTCAGAGAGGGTCATTGGAAATGATACTCTTCAAACAAATGTATCCATCTTTGAAGGAGTGAGATTGAGTGTGATTGGAATTGGTTTTTTATTCATTCTCACTCTAAATGTCCTCTTCATGGGTTTGATCTATCAAAGAAGAAATCCAAAAATTGTTGCCAAATGTTCCTCCTGTTGTTCTTTGGTATTACTCTTTTGGGTCTTTTTATTTGTAGCTGCAAGTATTTGTGTGTGGATGGTAATTGTTCCATCTTGTCATTCCATGAATACCATGAATACCATGAATACCACCACAACCACATTGGGAGGAGGTATTATTGATCTATTGGATCCACAGAGACTTCCCACTTCTCTTCAAAATACATCCTTTTCGATGGGTTTGAACATGACAAGAGGTTTATTGCAATGTCAAGAGGATGGAATTACCACATGGATGGAAGTCATTGTGAATGCAGTAGCAGCAACAAGAAGTAGTCGAAGTATTGGTAGTATTAGTATTGGTAGTCGAAGTATTGGTAGTATGATCATGAATAGTAGGAGTATTGGTAGTAGTAGTAGTAGTAGTAGTAGTAGTAGCATGATGAAGTATGAACAACAATTACCAACAACAACAATAACAACACCACCATCATTCCATAGGCCCTTCTTCTTCAAATTTGGAAACATGCATGCTCTCAATCAATACATTGATCAAGTGAATTCCATCTTTCAAATTGCCAATTCCACATTATCCACAATGATACCTCTATTTGATTCTCAATGTCAGGAATTCAACAAGACACAATTACTACTCATTCAAGACATGTTGAAGAATGGAATTGAACAACCCATGAAAGATATTTCCAATCTATTTCTATCAAAACCAACAACAAGAACAGTTTTGGATGATTTGAATGATCTTTCCACTTATTCCTCTCAATTCAATTTGAGTACTTTCAATCATCTCATTCAACAATTGAATGCAATCACAAAGAATATTACCACCCAAAGTGGTGGTGGTGGTGGTGGTGGTTCGAGTGGTGAATCTTTTTATTATTATTATTACTACTATGATGTATTGAATATTTCCAAATTTTCACCCTTTGAATATCCTTTCAATAGTTCTCAACAATATTCTGAATTGATGAATGTGTATGTGAATCAACATTTATCCACAAATATTACTCTCTATCAACAATTAACATCGATTCAATCTCAATTACTACTCTACACTCAAAACATGATGAATCTCACACAACAAACACTCAAAACAGTCGAATCGGTGGTGAATTCCACTCTTTCCAATACAAGGAATGGTATGAATCGAGTCATTTCCAATCTCTATGAAATGAATCAATATTTGTTGAGAGTAATAGTAGAGAAAGGTGAAAATAACATGGTGATTGGGAATCCAGTGAAAAATTCCCTCCAAACATTCACTCAATACTTGAAAGGTGTCTTTTCCAATGCATTGTGTGGTTACATGTCAAGTGCCATGTCCTCCATTCAAAACAATGTATGTCAAGTCATGCATGTGGGTACAATTGGAATGAGTGCAAGTGCCATTCTCATTGCATGTTGTCTTGTCTTGTTGTATCCTATTGGATTGATTGCATCGAAACGTTTCAATGAAAGATTCCATCCAACCAAATTATGGTGGAACAAATCACCACATGGTGCTAATGGTGCTCGTAATGATATGGCCATTCAATTACTAGAAGAGAGAGCCAATGAATTGACCATTCCAAAAAAGGATCATGATGCATTGCGTGGTTTTTCAACCACAACAACAACAAATGGAGATGCTAATGCGAGTGTACCATCAACAACAACAACATTGACTGGAGTATCTGATTCGACAACGACTCATCACTCTTCCAACAGTAGATTCAGTTTGATCAAAGGTTCTAAACAGAGATATGCTTATTCTGGTGTTGGAGAGGGTGATTCTGATGATTCTGGTGAGGATGAGGTGAAAACTTTTCGTAAATCAAGAAATTCCAAGAAATTTTAATAAATTATTCTCTCAAAATATTCGTCGGGAATTTCGGCATCAGTAATGAAAATAATTGGGATCATCCAGAGGGATCCTTGTGAACTCCTCCTCATAAATATTGAATTCAATTTTCGAAAAATAAATTTGAAAAAAAAATTGTTGCACCTTCTTGTTGAAGGACGGACACTCGAAACAAACTTTCGGAACACGCTCATCATCCACCCACCAACATTTCGTACTTTCAGAATGGTCAAACCCTATTATCGTATTGTACCTGAGAATATTACAGGTATGATTGCTTCTCCTCATGCTTCGATCCATTACTATTACAATCATCATCATGGTACCATGGTTCACCCGACATCAACAACAACAACACGAGAGTCTCATCGACTCCTTCACAACAACAACAACAATAACACCACTCTACCTCCACTCTCAACATTTTCTTCTCTCATTCTCTCTCCTCTTCTCTATCAAATTGGTATTTGGAACACGAGAGAAAATTCTCTTATTCAAACCATTCTTCCACAAGATGAATCCTATTATGGTGGTTCTATTCATGAAGGAACTATGAAATATAGTAACATTACTTGTCTTTCCTATTCACCACCATTCATTGCAGCAGGATATCAAAATGGTAAAATATTAATTTATAATTTACAAACTCAACAACAAGTATTGTATGCAACTGGTCATTCAAGTAGTGTGACTTGTTTACAATTTAATAAGGATACTTCACTGCTGATGAGTGGAGGTGATGATACAGACATTGTGTGTTGGGATGTCACTGCAGGTCAATCCAAATATAGATTAAGAGGACACAAAGGTAGAATTACAGGATTACTATTTTTAGAAAAGTCCAATGCACTCATTAGTAGTAGTAAGGACATGCTCATAAAAATATGGGAACTGACTACATGTCATTGTGTTCAAACATTGATTGGATCTCGTAATGAAATATGGTCTATTTGTGTAGATCCATTTGAATCTCGATTATTTGCTGGTAGTACAGATAGTGAAATTAGAGTTTGGAATATTCAAGTATTCCAAAATAAGAAATCCCAATATTTTTATGAAAATGATCCAATCTTTATGGGAACATTAAAGAGAAGAGATGAAAGTAGAGTATTACAAATGAAATTTGATCCAAGTGGAACTCTATTAGGTGTCATTGGAGCTGATTCCAAAATATTGGAAATCTTCAAATTGAGAAGTGAAAAAGAAATGGAAAAAAAAAAGAACTCGAATGTGACCTCAACAACACCAAATATGGAATACAAGTGGTGGTTACAAGTGAAATCCAATTATGAATTGAGATCTTTTGATTTTAGTCCCTATGAAAAGTGTTATGATTTAAATCGAGAAGAGATGAACAATGAACAAGAAGTGACTAGTACTATGGATTCTACTATTGATACTGAAAGTACTACTAATTCTACTACTAATACTACTGATCCTACTACCACTACTACTATGGATACCACCATCACCACCACATTTAAAAATCCATATTCATCTCAATTAGATGATCGAAAACCATCAAATTTCAAATTAATTGTCTCTACTCTGCGTAACACGATTGAAGAGTACAACATTGAACCATCCAAACTTGTCAAGATTCAACAGAATGACCACTCAATGATGGATGGTATTTCATGCACACACATCATTGAAAGACAAGGACATGGTACACCTGTTCGTGCCATTGCCATTTCACCCGATGATCCAACCATCTGTTTATCATTGTCTTCTAAAGAATGTCATATTTGGAATTTAGAGACTATGAAATGTATCAAATCATTGAATGATGTTGAACATGGATTATGTGCTCTATGGATTCCATCGACGAATCATCGTTACTGTTTGATTGGTACTAAAAAAGGAAATATTCAAATTTACGATGTGAATCTTTCGGAATGCATTGAAAATATTCAAGCTCATTCAGCAAGTGTTTATAGTATTCAATTTATTCCTCCATCTCAAGAGAATGATTACAATGGTGGTATCATGAGTGCAAGTAGTGATAAGACTGTAAAATTCTGGGAATTTGAAATGAAAACAATTAATAGTAGAAGTAGTATTACTACTACTACTCCTCACAAGAAACAAGTTCTATCATTGGCCATCAAAAATGTCTTGGAAATGAATGAAGAAATTATTGCCATGACCATTTCAAAGAATGGTAAATATTTGGCACTCTCTCTATTGGATAATACTGTGAAAATATTCTATTTGGATACCATGAAATTCTTTTTATCCTTATATGGTCATAAATTACCAATCAAATGTTTAGACATTAGTAGTGATGAACAATTGATTGTAACAGGAAGTGATGATAAGAATATCAAGATATGGGGATTAGACTTTGGTGATTGTCATCGATCTCTATTGGCACATGAACAAGGTATTAGTGCCATTAAATTCATTCCTGACACTCATTACTTTTTTAGTGCATCCAAAGATGGAAATGTGAAATATTGGGATGGTGATAAATTTGAATTAATTCAAGTGGTGACTAGTCAATACATTTCAAAATCACCACTGTGGTGTATGGATGTTAGTTCTGATGGATTAAGAATGGTTGTATCAGGACATGAAAGAGCTCTTTTTATTTATAGACAATCACAAGAAGATTTACTATTTTTAGAAGAAGAGAAGGAGAAGAGATTTGAAGAAGAACAATTAGAGAAGGATTTACCACACTCTCAACAATTTAAAGATTTATCATTACCTGGAATGGAAGTGACTCATGCTGGACAACGAAGTATGGAAACCATTCGAGATGGTGAAAAATTAATGGAAAGTTTAGAGATTGCAATGAATGAAGAGATTGAATCGATGCAAAACAACCATTCAACAACAATTTCAAATAATCCTCTTTTACTTTCTCTCACCATTGAAGAATATGTTTGGAAATGTTTAACACGTATTGCTCGATCAGATTTGGATATGGTACTTTCAATTATTCATTTCTCTCATGCCTATTTCATTTTAAAACAATTGGACAAGTTGATGAAAAAGAAATCAGTAGATGTTGAATTGAGTACACGAATCATTTTATTATTAATTCACATTCATTACAAACAATTAGTTCAAAGTCAATCCGATCAAGATACCTTTGATTTGATGCAATCCTTGCATGAACATGTGAAGAGTGCATTACAAGAACAATCTCAAAGAATTGGATTTAATATTGCTGCTTTGAATTTTATAAAGAATCGAATGAAGAATGAACAAGAATTATTTGAATTTACAAAACAAGCCAACGTGAATGACATTGTCAAGTCCTATCGAGAGAAACAACGTGAAAAGAGAAGAATTGCCAAGTATGAACAAGAACAAGCCAACAATAAGAAGAAGAAGATTCACAAGAGAATGAGCAAATTTAAGGGACTATTGGAGAGTATGATTGAAAAGATGGACAATGATCCAACCAAACAAGTCATTTTTGAGAGTAATGACCCTTCATTGAACAACAAACAAAAAGAAGGATTGAAGAGAAGGCTCAAAGATTTGGAAGATAAGAACACGAAAAAGCTAAAAGAAATGATTTATGATCCAAATGAAGAGGAGGATTTGATGAATGAACTAGCCAGTTGGGATTAACTAGAACTTGAATAATATATTGAGACTAGTTCAAAGTTTTTAACAAACACAAAGTTTTCCTTTTTTTTAACTTAGAAGTTTTTTAATCATCTTTTGAGTCAAACCAAACGTTAACACTCAAAACATCCAATCCAATTAGTCACCGTGTTAAACACCAAAATAATAACTCCATTCGTTCTCTGTTCCTCTTCTTCAACAAAATTATTGGTCAGTGTAATTTCATAACACAACATGTCTTGATGATGTGTCTTCTTCAAAAATACCTTCTTCTTTTCAAAGTAATATCGAATGCATTCAATAAAGTTAAAAATCCATTTCTGTTGAGAGAGTGTGAGTCTAGAAAGAGATTGAGAGGCAGTGAATAGATTTTCAACATTCAATTTCTTGCAATGAACACTGTAATTTGAGAGAATACCTGTTTTGGTCAATTTGGAAGTTCCATATTTTTGTCGAAAATGTTCCATCACTTCCTGTTTAGGTATTGAAATGGATGCTTCTCGATTCATTGCGTCCATCAACATGTAAAAATCATGCATTTCTTCCACTTGAAATGAATCTCTCTCATAATACAATAATGGATGGTAATCACTATGAATACTACTACTGCTACTACTTGTACTCATGGTCGATGATGTAGAAACTCTTGAAGAATCACCCTTCTTTAGAAATGAATTTGTTTCAATTAATTGTCGATGTTCCAATCTATTTTGAGGATCCAATGCAAATATTTTGAAATAACTTGGTTGAGTCCAACATTTAGTTATATATCTCCATGATAAATGATAATCTTCATCTTGTAACATTCTTTCAATTTTTCCTAATTGTGGTAATAAACTTGAATTGATATTATGTTTAGTAAAATAATGATAACACACACGTTGCCATACACTTTCACATTGTATGAAATTCTTTAAAATCTCTGTAGAGACAGCACACAAGGTATTGATGGTTCTCATTGAAAATGCTCTAAAACTTAGAATGTGAATCCAAATGTCCATACTGAGAGATTCAAGAGTGGAGATTAAGAATTTGGTGTGTGTTAAAAGAAGAATGTGTGGAGGATTAGGAGGAGTAGTAATAGTAGGAGTGGTAATAGGACTAGTACTACTGATTTGAGGAGGATTACCATTAGGAGGAGGAGGAGGATCCATGGTGTGACTAGGAGTGGTGGTGTTATGATAGGAATGAGACATACCAGCAGCAATCCTCACATGCCCTGTCATTGTACTACTCTTGTTATTACAAACAGGATGATTCATGTGGTGATTGTTGTACCTCGTTTGTCGAGCATCATGTCCACTACTACTACTACTACTACTACTACTACTACTACTACTACTAGTACGACTAGTTGGTAATAAGGTGGTGGTATGTCTCGCACGATAGTGATGATGTTGGTGGTGATGTTGATGGTGTTCTTTCATAGTAGTAGTCGTAGTAGTCGTCGTAGTAGTAGTAGTAGTATTCACAACACCACTCTGACCACTCTGACCACCACTCTGACTACTCACACCACCGCCATTACTCGAGATGAATGGTCTCTTCATCACTTTTTTGACCAATATGGATTCATTTCGAATGGCTCCCTTCTCTTCCAAATAGTTCATAATAGAATGACACCAATGATTGGAATTGCTGAACAACAATCGTCCATACAAGATGTGTAACAAGTGAAGTGGTGTAATACAATTATCATTTTCATGATTAATAAAATTGTGAATTCTCTCTACACCATAGACTTGTTCAAATTTAGAAATGAGTATTTGAACAAGTGGATAATGACAGATTCGAATGGCATCAAATAGAATGTGTTCTCTTCTCTCAAATAATTTCATTGAATGACAAGTAAATCCTCCAAAGATTTGTTGACTCCAATGTTGTTGTGAATAATTGTGTTTTTCAATAAATCGAGAAATGACATGTTCATCATGATTCAATAGAGTTTCAATGTCTTTTCTTTCAAGAATTGTTGTTTCAATGTCTTTTTCAAGAAGTGATGAGGATGCATCTGATTTGATATCCATATGTAGGGGTGGTACATTGGTTGGAATGATCGTAATTGAACCACTACTTGCAGCTACTTCCTTAATGGTGGTAGTAGTTCCTGTTGAGATTCTTGTTGAGGTTGGAATGGTTTCCTCTTGATCATGATTCAACACAAAGAACAAATGATCAAATTGATCCATGTGTTTCAAAAATAATACAAAAAAGATATTGAAAGAGGATTGTACAATGGGTTCAATGATGAGACGAGTTGGTGGTGGTGTTGTGTTGGAATGAATCATTCCATTATTACTATTTTTAGTATGATCACGAGTATGATCATTAGTAGTATTTTGATGATGACTAGTAGTAGTAGTAGTATTAATATTTTGACTAGTAGTAGTAGTAGTATTAATATTTTGACTAGTAGTATTATTATTATTAGAATCTTCTCCAACACAATCTCCACTATAGATACTTCCATCTAATTTACATAATAAATGTACCAATTGATTACAATTTCTCACCAATGTATGTTCTTTCCAATTCAATCGATCTTGTGACAGTGATCCAGAATAGATTAAATAATTTTTTTGAGAGAGTTCAATAATTTTCAATAGTGTTGAATATTCTTCTTGTGGTGTTCGAAGATTGGATTCTCTCGAGTGATCTTCTGATAATCGAATAGTATTAATAGTATTATTATAAATAGTATTATAAATAGTATTAGTATTATTAGTATTATTACAAATAGTATTAATAGTATTATTATTATTACTATGAATAGTATTATTATGAATATTTTGGGAGAAGGAGGAGGTAGATGGTTGTTGATGAGAGGGTGGTGGTGGTGTTTTTCTTTTAAAAGTAATCATTCGACTTCGTTTCTGTTGTTCTTGTTGCTGTTTTTTCAATTCCTTTAAATTGTTTTTCATTTTACAAATCTTTTTAAAGGTGATATTTCCTAACAGGTAGGGTCGAATCATTTCACAAAATAATACAAATGGATAGTATTGAGTATATTTAAAGAACATAAAATGTTCAAATATCCAATTCTTTAAATCATCATGATAAGGTTGTTTGATTGTACTCAATCCAAAACTAGTACTCATGACATGTTTGTATTTTAAATATCGTTTCACATGAGTTTTAGTGAGACGTAACAGAAATGGAAGAATTCGAGAAGGAGAGAGACATGAACGATAGGAGAGAATGGAAGATGGTTGTTGTGAATGAGAGGATGTGATTCGTTGTGCATGTGCATGTGGTTGTTGTTGTTGATGATGATGATGCATGGCAATTAATTTAGCACTTAATCGATTAATTGTTGCATTACTACTACTACTACTCGTACTCGATTCCATGTTGTTGTTGTTGTTATTTTCTTGTCGTCCAGTAGTAGTAGTAGAAGTCGTGGTCGTGGTGGTGCTGTTGCTATTGGTGGTCGTGGCAGTGAGGACCTCTCTCAAATTCCACTTGTACACATGAACTCCCGCTCTCCGAACTGTAAATTTGTAATCTTGTGAAAACTTACGACTCATGGATCGATGTGGAGACGATGGTGAGGATGAGGATGATGCATTCATTGCAGTCGTCGTCGTCGTTGTTGTTTGAGGATCCACTAGTGGAAAGGAATGTGAGGTTGGATGTATGTGGGGTGGTGATGATGAGGCTGACAAGGATGATGTGGATAGACTGTAAGGTCTTGTTGCACCATCACCACCACTACCACCTCGTCGTTCCAATGTACTACTACTCATTTCCAAATCAATAATGGCATTATTTAACAAATTCAGTAAGATGATACATTTTTGTAAATATTTAGAAATACATTGATAATCCAATGAATTCAAAGGATTTGAAGAATAGTTAGAAGATAAATGATGAGGTGAGGAGTGAGAAGAGGATCCAAAATCCAATCGATACATTCCATAGTCACCACCAAATACATTCGAATCGAAATCATCATCAGCACCACCACTACTTTTAAATAATTGTGTACTACTATGACCAGTACCACCGTTACCACTACCACTACCACTACCACTCGAATTCAAGCCAGAGCTGTGATTCATGTTGAGTTTTGAATTTTCAAATGGAGAATTTCCACATGAACCATTCTCTTCGTCATTCCCAAGGTGATGATGATGATCATTCTGATGTTCCGTACAAGAGAACAAACCACCACTACCACTAACACCACCATAATGACCAGTATTGTTCATATATGAAGGATTAAATATCCATGCAAAATTATCCAATAGTTGCAAATGAAAGGGATGACTTTCACTAAAGACAAATCCATTCAATGAAAGTGTAAATTCCACACAGACATGATCGTATTGATTGGATTTTTGTTTTTTCTTGTTTTTCAAGTATTTGAATGGAGATGAGATTCCAATACCGCCATTGCCACTATTGCCACCACTAATCGGATGTGAAGAATTATTCTCTTGAGTGGATTCAAGAATTAATAAATATTCATTGCTGTATCGTTGACTCTGATGAGTTGAGTAGTTATTGTTGTTATTGTTGTTGTTTGAAGACTGAACAATGGAATAGGTGAGTGTGGGTGTCACTCCAAAAAACATGTATCGATCCAAGATCGTTTGAATATATTTCTGTATTTGATGAATATAGGTTGGAATCATGGTGGTGTCATAATTCAATCGTGTGCATCGGTTAATGTTCTTTAAAGGAGGAGGAGGAGGTGATGATGATGGTGGTCCAGAATGGATGGATTCTTCTCGGGTGTTGTCATGATCGTTGGTGGTGGCATGACGATGATGATGATGGTTTGAATTGTGATTGTTGCTTAAAAGTGTTTGGTGAAGAGCAGTACTAGTGGTGGTGGTGGTGGTGGTGGTTGAATAAGAGGAGGATGAAGAAGAACACGAACTACATGAAGAGACAAGTGAACGATGTTTGTTGTGTGTATCAGTAGTGTTGTTGTTGTTATTGAAAAGAATTGCATTCATTGTTGTTGCGTGAAGAGGGTTGGAAGTCCTGTTATTATTTCTTTTTGGAAATCGAAAGATCATCATCGACGTCAGGGAAATTGCTGGGTCAATCACTTCCGCATCAGTAAAAAATTCAACCAACTGCAATCCTGTTCGAAATTGTTACGGACCGTATTGGTTGGAGCACAATTAATTAATTAAAACGTTAGCTCGATCCAAATCATCGTCGTCATCCTCATGAACAATAATATAAACGTTTGGATGTTCTTTCGTATCGTTGAATTGTGCATTGACATTCTGATGGACCAACACTGGCGCCAAATGAGTTTACGGTTGCAACTCGATTGTTGGTCAAACACACGACGCTACGACGAGATTAAAAAAATATGGATGTTCTCTCACCGACCACACAGGTGGAGTCCATTCCTCTTGGGGAATTGACTGTAAAGGTACCACCCACTAGTGCAATGAGTAGGTATCACGGTGTCATTCAATGATCCGACATCATTTTTATGAAAGTGTTCCAACCCGACAAAAGAAAGAAAAAAACAAACCAACTTCATGAAATTAGAGTCAAAGAAAGGCAAATGATCGAAACTCAAAGAAAGAAATTAGCTTCAAAAATTGATCGTGGACTAGAACGAAAACGCTTATCATCAGCATTCACTCATGCAAGGAAAGAAGTATCAAATGTAAATAATGTGTTCAATATCAAATCTCCGAGAGATTTTTCATCCTCATCAATGTCAAACAACATTACAACCAAGGAAGACGAGGAAGAGCAAGAAGACGATATATTATTCGGACGAAAATTTCATTTTGTACATATTGTGGAGGAAGATGTCACAATTACAAAAGCATGTAGCAGGGCTTCAACTGCAAAGACATCTTCTCGAGAAAAACCTTTAAGTCAAACTTATTTTGTTCCTTCACTTGTTGAACTTTGTGCCAGCGCTATCGCTAATAACTTTGAACGTACGTAATTTGAATGGTCTATTTTTATACTCATTTCTTTTTAGAAAGACCAACCTTTGAAAAAATTCCTCAAGAACTTCAACAATTAATCTCAAAAAAGCTTCCTGTAGATCTTTCCTTACAAATTTCAGTACCCTTAATATCCGATGATGATTATTGGAAAAAGTGTTGCATGATGCGATGGACATTGGGTCAATTAGGATCTTATTGTCGAAAAGATGGAAATGACCTTTTTATGGAAGAACATCCTGGATATGTTGACGATGTAATGATTAAAGGAAGTTTTAAAAGTAGAGTTAATGCAAGAAAAAAGACGTCCAAAGCATCAACCATAACACCACAAGGGGACGGACAAAAAGAAAAAACAAAAACTTGGAAACAGTTATATCTAGAAATCAATTTAGATGAATTCTTCGAAACCATACAACCTCAAAAAACAGTTCTCCAAGAGCTAAAAACAATTTTTTTACAACCAAAGCCTGAAGAAAAAACCATTCAAAATTCCGAACTCTCTACTCTTAGAACACTCCATCAAATTAAACAAACTTTGAATGAAGAAAAAACACTCAAGGAGGAGCTTACCAATATTTTACAAGAGCAACAAAAAAAGAAAGGAAAAAAACAAAGTCAGACAGACCAAGAAAACACAGCAGAACAGCCAGAGTCAAGCTCTTTACTGAATATTTCTCATGTCACTGAACACAAAGTTGACAACAGTGTTTCAAAACACAAGTGTTTGCATTCCCATTTAATGAGACCTAATGTAAATTATTATCTCCTTCATTGTAACACTCTCACAGAAGAAGAACGAGAACAATATCCTATTGATAAATTCAAAGCAAAGTTGAAAGATTTGTTTGACGGAATTCAAAGCCAAGGCACAAGCAGACTTGCAAAGATAACAAAAGATGATGACATTTTCACGTTTTATGAAAGTGCCATTCAAAAGAAAGAACAAAAATTTAACATGAGCAATGAATCTAAAATGCAATACTGGCTTTTAAATAAGAAAGAACAACTTGAGGAAACCGATGAAGAAGTGCAACAAATGTTTGAATTCATCAGGAAGAAGAATCAAGAGCACTTGATGGAGCTTTGTGAGTTGTCAAAAGACTTTATCTCTGAAATTAACATTCGAGGTTTAAAAGAGCACGTTGATTTGCAAGAGTTGTTTGACGCATTGCCGAATCTGGAAATAGTGAGAATGGAATACTCTGCAAGAAATGTCGGTATGACCTTTGACACTCTAATGCTCGGAATGAAAAAGAGAGATTGTCAAATGCTAGCCAAGATTCTAAGCGATCCAAAAAAGGCTATCAAACTTCATAGCTTGATTCTTTCTGAAAATTTAATCGATGATGAGCAAACCAAAATCATTACCAGTGGATTATATCAAAACACAAGAATAACCTTTTTGGATTTTTCTCACAACAAAATTAGTGTGGAAGGTTGTAAATCCATTGCTGCCATGATGAAGTGCAACAAATGTTTAAAGACACTTCTTTTATCAGACAATGAAATTCAGACGGATGGAGCCTTGTATATTGGTTCTGGATTGAAATTTAACAACACGCTGACAGAACTGAATTTAAGTCTTAATAAGATTAGTGACAGTGGTGCTGTCTCGATTATTGCAAACGCTAAACACCTGTCAAGGTTAAACCTTTCAAATAATGTAATTACCGATGAAGGTGTTTTGCATTTACTCAAAAAATTAGAAGAATGCAATGAAACAAAAGAAGATCCATGCATTCCAAAGGTGTTAGATCTTTCTGGTAATTTCATTTCTTCTCAAACATGCAACAAGCTCACCGATCTTGCTGGTCCATTCGTTGAAAGCCTTGACATGAGACAGAATCAAGACATCAAAGAAAGAATTTCTCTGTAAAAATGGATGATTATCTTATATATACTATCATAGAGGTTTTTTCGAGAATAGTTCTTTTGACGACTGTCACGATTAAAAATTTCGAGCCATCCACCCGCCATTTTCTACAATTTTTTAAAGAAAAAATGTCCTCAAATCCTCCTCCACAGCAATCAACTACTCCTCCTGCAAATAACAACAACACAGCATCTCCGAATACGACACAACCATCAAACAAACCTCCTTCAAACACAAACGCACCACCATCGAACACTCCACCAAAAAAAGATGAACAAAAGAAAGTTGTTCAAAAATTGGGTAAACTAGTTTCCAAGTTCAAAATCAACCCTGAAGGAAAATTCAAGCTAGGATGGGATGTCTTTATACTGATCATGTGTATGTATAACTGGGGGACGGTTGCCTATCGTTGCTCCTTGTACAAATGGGACTATTATTGGATAGCCATCGACCTTGTGGTGGATATTATTTTGTGGCTTGACGTTTTATCTCGATTTCGGATCACCTATCTGGAATTTGGCCTTCCAGTAACAGATGCAAAAGCAATTGCAAAAATTTACGTAAAAAGTTTTGGATTTTATGTCGATGTCCTAGCTAATCTCCCTTTCGAGTTCATTGGGTATTGGGCCACTCCTCGGTTCTGGGTCTTTTATCGAATGAATCGATACTTGCGAGTGTACAGATACAACGAAATGTTTAATACTTTTGAAGAGGGATTTTCATTTATTCATCCTGCATACATGAAGCTGATCAAGTATATTTTACTTTTCATCATTGCTCACTGGTGTGTGGCATGTCTTTATCTCTGGGTGTTAGAAACTGAAGGAAATCCATCTCCTGACTTTATGCTCGGAGACATTGCCGACAGTGATGGAACTCAAATTCTAAGAGCAATATTTTGGGCTGTGGGCCAAATGAACGGATATGCAAATACAAATCCTATCACTGACTTTGAAACATGGTGCATGCTTGTTGTTACAGTGATTGGATTGTGTCTCTACGTTGCGATTGTCGGTACTGTCGGTGCTATTTTGGGAGATTTAAACGCCCAAAAGGAAGTGTTTGAAAACTTTATCGACGCAATTAAGGCTTTCATGAATTACAGAAAACTGTCGTCAGATCTTCAGGGAAAAGTGATTGAATATTACACCTATTTGTGGAAAACACGTAAAACTCTTGATGAAAATCAAATGTTAGATGAGTTACCTGAACACTTAAAGATTGAAGTATCACTTTTCTTAAATAAGGATATTATCCAAAAGATTCCTTTTTTCCAACATTTAGAAGAACAATTTATCAATTCACTTGTTCTCAAACTCAAGCCTAAGGTTGCTCTACCCAACTCACTCATTGTTAGAAAAGGTGATATTGGACGAGAAATGTTTTTCATCAATAGAGGATCAGTGGAGGTCATTGGTGAACCCAATGAGGAAGGTGTCATTCCTGTGTTTGCTACATTATCAGAAGGGCAATTCTTTGGAGAAATGGCCATTATTAACAATACCAAAAGAGGTGCCTCTATCAGAGCAAAGGGTTATTGTGATCTTTCGGTTCTCACGAAAGAAGACTTTAAATTTGTTATGGAAACATTCCCAGAAACAGTGAGAGAGGAAATCAATGTGGAGGTCAGGAAACGACAAGCCCCACCTCCGTCTGCAGGATCTGCTTCAAGACCTGGAACGGCAAACCAATCGAGACCAAACACAGCAAACCAATCATCAAGACCCTCCACAGCCAACAAGCGGTAGGGAATGAGATGGGGTGAGGCTCAACCTCAGCCTCAGCTTCACTCAGCTGTAATAAACAACCTTGTCTAGTTTACAATAGCAGATGAATTTGCTGAGAGTCTCTCGTGAATTGAACGTTGAATAAATCTGAGAGAAAACAAATTTGGTGAGACACTGATGCCCAGACCACCACCACAACAGCAACAACATGTTCATTGACGACCACTCGTATGCTCGACTTGTATTCTCGAGTACAGAAAGAAATTGCCACCACATCTCCCTGACATCACCCACCAGCCACCATCATCAGCAAACAATGAGCAGTACAAGTTTCAGCACCATCGGAATTGGAGGAGAACTTACGAGCAGAAATACATTATCTACCTCTCATGTACCAATGAACAATGAAGAACATCGAGTGCTTCTGAATAGTAATTCTTCAAGTAATGACGATGAAGAATTGTTGTCCATCAAAATTCCTTCTTCTTCTTCAACAACAACAACCACTATTCCCAACAACAACCAGAGCATGATGAACCATCATCATCATCCTTTGAACAACAATAACTTTTTTGAGACAACAACACCATCATCATCATCATTCTTTTCGGAGCAGTTCATAGCCCCGAGTAGTACCAGTAGCAGCAAGATGGCCAACACCACCACCACTTCGACTACTGATCCACATCAAGCTGCCATCTCCTCTTATGATGATGATGAGAAATATCATGGTCTTAAAGAATCGACCAAATTATTATTCTTTGATTTGACACATTTACCTTCATACATTCAATTCATATTACCTGCTTGCTTTTTAACTTTTTGTTTCATGGTTTCTGGTGTTACACAAGAATCAATATTTACCACCTATAAGGGATTTGATTATGGATTCTTTTTGACTCTGTGCCAATTTGCTGTTTATGCATTCTTTGGAGCCATTAATCGGAGATTGTCACTTGTGAATTCATCTTCTTCCAGTATACTACCAGTACTAAGGAATGATGATGCATCTTCTCCTGTCATGAACAACACTGCCAACCATCATCCATCATCACTCACTACACCTCAGAATGAAGTATTAACACCATTATCACCTGTGAGTGCTCATGTCAATCGTTTGGAAGGAGACGACATGGATGTAGACTCTTTTAGGACTACTTCATCCAATTACTTGAAATATTCAACACTTCCAACCTATCAAAATAACACCATTGTGGTGAATCACATTTATCAAACACCTCCTCCTTTGAAATATTATTTCATGTTAAGCACTTTTCAAGTCATTGGAATGGGATTAGGAAATGAATCGATGGCTTATCTGAATTATCCTACAAAAATTTTATTCAAAAGTTCCAAATTATTAGTGACCATGTTTGTTGGAGTTTTATTATTGAAAAAGAGATACAAATATTTAGATTATGTTGCATCTTTATTCTTAATATTTGGATTACTCACTTTATATGGAACTAATCAAAGTGTTTCTAATATCAAATTTGAAAGTATTGGAGTTTTACTCATTACAGGTTCTTTACTCTTTGATTCCATTTCTTCAAATTTACAAGAAAAGATTTTAAGAGATTTAGAACGAAGTGAAACTGAATTGATTTATTTTGCATACATGATTGGTACCTTCTTTCTAGTATTTATTTGTGCCTTTACCAATCAATTAATTCCACCCATTGCATATTGTATGGAACATCCATCTATTTTAATCATGATTTTTATTTATTGTTTTATTAGTTATTTAGGTTCAGTCTATGTGAATAAGATTACAAAGAGATATGGAATTCTCATTACTCTCACAATTACAAGTACTCGAAAAGTATTGAGTATTATATTGAGCTATATTATATTTCCTAAACCTATTCATTTCAATCACACCATTGCAATCATGTTGGTATTCACTGGAGTTTTCATTCGAGTATACTGTAAACAAAAGAAGGCTATTGATCGATCTTTGAACTCTTTCATGAATCGAATGATGCAAATATTCAATACTACTACTCGTAGTAGTACTAGTAATGGAATGATCAATCATCATGATCGATTCTTCTCTCATCGTTATTTCAACAATGGTAGTATTGGTGGTATTGGTAGTAGTAGTAATATTGGTACTGGTACACAGTCATCCATGGATAAATGTGAGGTGTGAGATTAGTGCGGTTAGTATAAGGAATCTCTCCTTCCACTAGTTATAGGTCATGACACTCGAGGTGCACCTGGTGTTCATATATTGTTGATTTGTATCTCTCTCTGTTGAGGGACCATTCTCTCCATCATGGAGATCAACGAGATTGCACATATCAAGTCCTCATTCATGAAAGGTATTTTTGCATTCGAATGTACATTAGAGTGTTTTCACTGTGTGTGATCCTAGGATATAGAAAGATCAAGAGTTTGATTGAACCTTGAAAAGAAGTGAGGACAAAAGGGAAGTTTGTTCTTCTTTGGAGATGGTGATATTCTTGAAATTGAATGTCTGTACCACCATTTCGCATATTCGGTACTTTTAAGGATAGAGGTAAGGTTGCACGCACACTTTTCGGTGGACTTTATTTGGAAACATGAATTGCTTCCCTTCGACCGTCATCATGCTAATTCTAGACTCAAGATGCACAACATGAATGGATTGAATGAGTGATTTATTTTGCAAACTTTGAATCAACAACGATGAATCCCACAATTCACTCGAACAACAATAGAATTTTATTATTCCATTTCAAGTGTTGCTCTCGTTGGCTCAGCATCTTCAAAAAGTCTATCACCCATGTGCTTAATAAATTATGTGAGGTACTTCTTCCTGGGTTCAATTTCATTTCGCCAGAAATTTTTTGGAGGCATCAATTTGTGCTCGTACAAATAGCATTGTACGCAATGGCGGTCGAATCCAAAAAAGACTCGCCCGGAGCATAGCGACATTCAAGCGATCAGGGATTGCTGGCACAACAACAAAAAAACCAACACCGAATTCCTTCAACGCGTTTTTTTCTCGCTTTCTTTGGGTAGTCGACTTGCATCTCTACTACTACTACTACTCCTACTACCACGACATTACTACAAAGGTCAGACTATTAGCACGAAATACAAAATTTTTTCAAATCTGCTCTCTCCCTGTCAACTCCAAGACTAACAACTCTAGGCTCTTTCTATCGTTATTTCTTCTTCCTCTTGTTCGGATTTTGTGAATTTAATTTTTGGTAGGTAATGAATCAGAATAATTAACCTAACTTTTCATGTGTGTATTTTCATGTTGTTGCATGAATTAATTCATGGAATCTCAATCATGACTACACGACATGCATGTTGTGATGGTGTTAATAATGGTGATTTGATCATGTTGGATGATTCTGAATATATGTGTGTGTTATCTCATGCATGCTCTGGCGGCGAATACGGGTAAACACTGACCACACGATCATCTAGTAACAACTACCACCACTTTGACCACCACCACTACCACCACCACTACCACCACCACTACCACCACCACTACCACCACTTTGACCACCACCACATTTACACTTTCTACCTCAGTCCATAAACACATAAACAACAACAACAACAACAACTCACCCGATCCTGAGAGAAACACACTATTGTTGATTCATGCATGAATGCCTACATCACCGAACTACCACTACTATTGTCCGCCAACAAATGAATGCAACAACATGGATAACACTAGCCACAACCAATGCTCAACATTGAATCATGTAACAACAACAATATTTGCATCAATGGATAGTGGTAGTACTAGTGGTAGTACTAGTAGTATTAATAATCATAACAACATTCATCCTACTACTACAAATGTTCGTACCAGCACCAACACCACATCCGCACATGCACTCCAACCAAAGAGTGTTGTTGCAAGCATGCATTCAAGCATGATCAACAACATGTCATCATCGAGTATTCAACAACAACACACTCCTCCTTCCAAGAGCTGCAACAACATGTTGTCATCCCCTAATACATTCCAATCACCACAATCCTCTTCATGTGTTGGTGGTGGTAGTGCTGAAGAGCAGCAGAGACGACCAACTCAACAACAACACATGCGTTCGAACATGCATCACAACAACAACATGATGATGCATCCACCTCACCAACAACAACAACAAGATACAAATGTTCCTTCATCATCATCACCACCACCACTACTCTCTCAACATTCCGATCCAAATGGAAAATCCAAAACCAAAAGAAAGATCCACCCAAAGAAATCTGCAACGATCAAATTTCAAATCGAAAATCCATCAGATCCCAATTATAAAAGTATCACACAAAAATCAAATTATAAGGAAATTACATTGGAAGAGATGAGTCAATATTTTCAGTATGTTTTTCATTGTTCTTTAAAAATATTGAACATTCATGTCACCATGAATTTGTGCATGCACAAAATAATTGTCAATCCTTATGCAATTTTCACATTTGATTTCATGCATAAATAGTTTCCCTCAAACACAAGCGGCAGAATTGTTGGGTGTGAGTTTAAGTAAGTAATTGAATTTGTATCAATGAAATTTTACACAACATTATTTCAACAATAGGTACTCTTAAGGTTAGTATTGAATGATCTTTTGAGACGAGAATGTGAGTATTTCACATTCAAAATCATCAAATTCTTTATTTTTGAACCAACAGCGAAGGTTAGTTCTTTTGACCCGCCTTTTCAATCAATGTTGTCATCTTATATTCCTCAAATCATATCTTTAGATTTTATTCATTTGGAATTGGAAGATGGCCAAGTTATGAAAATACGACTGCTAACAACAACAACAACAACATTAGCAACCACCATCACAACACGAGTAATCATCATGCAACTATATCACCACCACCATTACAATCATCTCCTCCTCAATCCTCTCTGCCAACATTTAATGAATTCAATAATGGAATGTTGCACTCAAATGTAGTAGTATCATCATCACCAACAACAACAACAACCACTCAACATGGTCCCAATACGAAAGAGGATTCAAGAGATTATTTTCATAACAATAATAATAATAATAATTCAACAGCTTTGTTCCATTCTTCCAATGCAACAACATCCTTACGAAATACGTCAACAACAACAACAACAACTATATCCAATCAATTATTTTCTTCACCGATTGGAAATAGTTCACAACACATCCATTCCAATAACTTTTCTCGAATTTCAATTCAACAGCCACCACCAAATCCATCCTATTTGTCATCATCTTCTTCTGCTGTTCACTCTCATTTGAGAAATACACTTCCACCCTTAACAACAACAAGTATTCACCATCATGATTCGACTCGATTATCTCCATCCATTCAATTTGATAATTCTTCAATCGATTATAGCAATCCTATCTTGAGTCAAAGGTTTTCACACTCCACTCCTAATTATTCAAACGATTCAAATAGATCTTCCTATTCAAATTCCATGATTGGAAATTACCACCACTCTTCACCAACAAGACCTATTCCAACAATGTCACAATTTACTTCAAATGATGGGTCAATGAGACTTCCAACAACAAGAGGAATGGTCACAGATCATCATTTGCATGACTCATTACCCAACTCAACGCACCCATCGAGTTCCAATCATGGACAATCACAAGGAAATTCTCAATCCTATCGATATCATCCCTATCAACGAGTGCCATCACCACAACACTCTTCCTCCCTTATGAATGATCAGAAATTCATTCAAAGAACACAAAGTGATAAGAGAAATTTTAGTTCTTTTCAGAATGAGCAATAACATGTTTTACTAGTAATACCAAAAATTCAAAGAGACACTCATCGATGCGTGTTGTACATGATGCCAGTATCCTTTTGGTAAATAAACTAGATCACCTGGCTGAAGTATAAATTCACATAACAATTGAGCTTTTTGGAAGAGTGGAAATTTTTCAGCATCCACTTGATCAATCTCTGGAATTTGTGAAACACTAAGATTGATGAGAGATGGTTGAAGAGAGTGTTCATATATACCGTAGTAGTGATTGTTTTTTTATCATTTCATACAATTTTCAACAAGTGGTCAATCAGATGTTCAAAGTAACTTGTACTTACTGAGAGTACTTGGTGTCAAATCCAAAGGAATAAAAATTCACACCCTTATTAACAACAAGAATTCAATAGGACATGATCAATGTTACAAAATGACCATTTCCACATTTAATCATGCACAACAACAACTTACTTCTTGTGGTTCATAGAGTTTCCATATTTTCTCTCCATAAATTTGTAAGAACAAGTTATCAACCAAAGGTCTAATTGGTGAAATGTATAGATACATGCACTAAGATTAGAATTAATACAATTCTTATAACTTTCTCTTACCTATCATAATGAAGTGTTGTTCTTGTATTCGTTGTTCCTAGAAAGAATGTATTTGCTCCTAAAATAGAATAAGGTGATGCATCAAAAAGATTTGGAATTGAATAATCATTGGTAATTCCAATTAAATCACTGGTTGGAACTTGTTGAACATATAACCACTTGGAATTCACTGCTTGTTTTGTTTCCTCTTGAATTCTTAAATGATCAATGACATTTGCAAAGTTCATTTTCTTTTTTCAAGTTGTTAACATGTCACATCCACCAATAATGGAAAATAAACTCGTCCAAATATTACAAATCTCTCTCACTCACACACACTTACTCTTTCATAATTTGGTGGATGAGATAATCCATTTTCTCTCAATTCACTAATAAAAACATCCAAATGTCCAAATCTCTTTTTCCAATATTCTGTCATTTCAAATTCTCTTTTTTTCATTTCCAAACATATTTCATCTTGATCATTTAAATGTTCACAAATTCCTAATTGCCATTCTTGTTTTACTACTTTCCAATCATTATGTGTTGCATATTTTAAATAATTTTTAATGATGACTGGTTTTCTATATTTGATATATTGATCATGAAATTGTTGAGGAGATGGCATTGAAGAAGGAATAATATCATCATCACCACTAACACCCTCACCACCATCATTGGATGATTCTGAACTGGTGGTGGTTATGGTTGGTGTAGCTCCTCCGAGATCAATAATTTCAACCTTTCCTTTCAATAATTGAACCATTTCACCTTATTGCTATCTTACTTGGACCAATAATAGTGTCTAATTGTTGTTTATAAAAGAAAGAACCAAGCAGATCGAGTATTGTTGGATTCTGCAATATAAAATATTTAATTCGAATGAATGTGAAATGGAGAGATGGAATTTTTAAAGATTTGAACTTTGAAAAAGTGAAAAACAAAGGAATGTTTTTACTCGATTCGTCCTTTTTCAAAAAATCATTTGAAATTTGAATTTCTCCAATATATTATTATTCGACTTTGACAGCATCTCATGTCCTCTCTCCAGCTGAGTCAATCAAAAAGACTTCAGCACATAACGGAGTACTTTTCGGAAAGAAGGAGTCTTCAGAATTTGCATCAGAATCCTTCCTCGTCCGACGTCACCCAATTCTCCTCGAATTTCTAAAGAAGAAGAAATTGCCCCAGAAGTTGTTGTACTCCTGTCTCGAGTGAGAATTTGAATATACATTATGTTCAACTGAATAGGAGGATGATGATAGATTTGGAACCAAAAAAAATGTCCTCCACTCCAACCTCACAAGTTTCATCGCCGCATGACCACCACCACCAACAACAACAACAACAACAACAACCAACAACGGAACAATCATCACCACCACCTGAACAAGACATGAATTCTCTTGATGAAGCCTGTAATGACCATTCAAAGAAGAAGAAGACATTGTCACATTCCACACAACCATGTTGTGATTGTGTTCACAATAAGAATGCTCATGAAGTGAGTGGTTGTATAACAACAACAAATTCTTCTTCTTCACTCCGAGTGTTCACCTTGCAAGAGACAAGTCAAATGTCAAGAGAAGAAAAGAAAATAATTTTTGAAAATTGTGTGAGGAATATGTTAACATTACTAGGTGAGGATATTGAAAGAGAAGGTTTACAAAAAACACCATCTAGAGTTTTTCACAGTTTTGAGAGTTTATGTAGTGGTTATCAAATTGAGGATGTTAAAAAAGTGATTGGTCATGCCATGTTTAGGTAAGTATTAATGTTTTGATTCCATTACTCTCACAAAAGAAATATAGTTCACAAAATTCACAAATGGTTCTCATTAAGGATATTGAAATTTATAGTTTATGTGAACACCATTTACTTCCCTTCTTTGGAAAATGTAAGTGATTAGTATTGAAATTCATTTTTGACATTTATAATGTATATGTACCATTCTATCAAATAATAATAATGATGATATGTTTGTAAATGCATAATTCTTTCAGGTCATGTTGCTTACATTCCAAATGGCAAAGTGGTTGGACTTTCTAAAATTTATCAACTTGTTGATGTTTTTGCAAAGAGATTACAAATTCAAGAGGAACTCACGGATCAAATTGCCAAAGCTTTAGAAAGTGCTGTTGGTGCATTGGGTATGTAGAGACAAATTAATTTTAAATAATTTTAAATAATTTTAAATAATATATATTAATTTTAAATAATTAATTTTAAATAATAATTATAAAATATTTATCCAAAATAATACATTGGATAGGTGTTGCAGTCATGATCGATGCTCGTCACATGTGTGTTGAAATGAGAGGTGTGAACAAGTACAATAGCAGTACAGTCACAACTAGTTTTCGAGGAATCTTTCAACAACAAATTGAAACGAAAAATGAATTCTTTAAAATGCTTGGAAAATAGAATCTCATTCAAATCTATGAAAACATGAATTTCTCACATGTGAGGTGTGTTTTTATAAAGTATTGTTTTCATCGCGTTCGACCTAAAGTAGATTCTGAAAGTGAGTTCAAGTTCTCGCTCGTGTGTGTGTGAAATATTGCTCCAAAAAAAAATGAAAATCTTTCTCTCTTCCAAACCATGTCACAAACTCAACAACAACAACAACAACACTTCCATCTCTCATCTTTCTCAAACAACATATAGTAGTGATCAGTCGGATCTTTTTTTTGAATCACTTCAAGATGTTTCATTCATTCCTATTGAAATACCTCTATTCACAACGAACGATCAAAACAATAATAATAATGGAATGATCAGCAACAACAACGCCATTACCACCACCACTATTCATCAATGTATTTGTTCTGGACCTTCTTCCGAAGATTCCAAATGTAGAATTTTATTGGGTGATGGAAGAGTTTATAAAATTTCATTTTCAAATAATATTCAAAATAATTTACCAGAAATTAAAAGTCAAGGATATTTAACAGAATTTGGAACTAGAACTCAAAAGATTGTGAAATATATGGATTCTTTCACAAATGGATGTATATTTTTAGTGTATGATGTGAAAAAGCAACGAAATGTTTTATATGGAGAAGGTTTGTATCAAGATGATTGGAATGAAACTCATCCTATTTCAATTCATGAAAATTTTATCAACACGCGATATCGTGCGCACACATGATATTATTTATACTTGATGAATGACATTTTTGAATCCTCTGAATGACATTTTTATGAAATCCGGATTAGAATCAAATTATTATGACAATTTGGGAAATAGTGATTCAGATCAAGTTCGACTCATCTTTGATCCTCACATGATGATGAATAATGATCATTTCCATAGCTCTACATCATTATCAGTCACTCATGTCGCATGTTGTTTTTCTTTTAGTGTTTGTGTGGTGAATCGAAGAGATATTCGAGTATCAGGACAAGATTGGATTGATGCTAAATATCCAACCATATGGAAGAATTCACAATTTACAACGCCCTGTGATGTGAAAGATATAAGAGGTGGTAATTTCCATTTTATTTGTCTCTTGGTGGATGGATCGATTGTTGCGGGAGGATCTTTTTCCAGAGAACACTCTCTTTGTGGAACCACTCAAGGTAGTATTCATCATTTTACAATTCCGTTTCGAATTGAGTCATTTTCATGTTCTTCATCTCGCACCTTAATTGAACTTGAGAATGATCAATCCTCCCATAATGATTTTTTATTGTATGGATCGAATACATTTGCTCAAACTCAAACAAAGGCCCACTGTCTCACAATTCCAAATCGTCCTGATTTGAAACCTAAAAGTGTGCTCATGTTTCGAGAGACCTTCGTATTTAAATTGAGCAGTGATCCAACAAGGTTGATCGTTGCCACAGATTCTAGTAATATGGGTCTTGTGAAACTTTCTGATTATTTTAGTATCAGAGACATTTACAGAGATGGAATTGGCATTAGTTCCTACACCAACGCCTTAGTGTTGTTTTGTAATCCAGAGCATGCAAGTCTCATGCAACGAAGACTAGAAGATCTCATTTCGAAACGAGGAGAGGCCCTGTCAGATATTTCCATCTACTGTCGTTCGCACTGGTATTCGGGCTGTGACAATGAGTAGGACTTAGACTAAAGTTTCAATGAAAGCGAGTGTTAGAACCACGAAAAAAACTTATTTTGGCTCGATAAGCAAATAAATATTAATAATTTAATTACTCCCAACCACCTGCATTGGGTTGAGTGGTTTGTTTAGCTTCATAAGTTTGACACGAATGCTTGAACGCGTTGATCAGCTTGACCGTATCTTTAAATTGTCTGCTATTGTAGTAGTAGCCATCCGGTGTAACTGTGAAATACTTTTCTAGCACTGTGTGTTTGCCAGGTAAGTAATAGAAATAGAATTTGGCTGGCTTTGAGGTGCTCATGACAATTCTGTAAGGAATAACTTTAGGATTTTTCTTCTTTTCTTCTCGTAGAATGTTTTTAACCTCATCTCTGTTTCCATCAAAGTATTTGCTGCTTGTTTTCAATTGATTTGTATAATCCATCAAATTTTCAACACAATAATAAATGACTTCATCCAAATCGGAGAATGTCTTTCCATTGACCTTGAGAGTACTTCCAAGAGAATTAATGTCTTTTCCCTTCTTCTCTTCCTCAACGTCATAATTAATGTAGAGATTATTTCCAAACTTGAATGTAATGGCCAAGTGATCATAACCCTTACTACTAGGTCTGATGACTAATTCACCTGGTGCTTTATCAGCCAAGAAATCTACAGCTTGGGCATAGTCAAAATCTCTAAAGGCTGCGTGATTGATTTGTCTGTGGAAACGCTTCTTGGATGAAACACCTGTCTTGATGTTAGCCTCTGCTTCTTGTTTATGTTTGTTGAGAGGAGCCTCTGATGCTATTGGAGCAAGCTGAACCTTAAACTCTCTGTACACCAGTTGCTTGATCTTAAAGTATCTTTCCTCCCCAACTTTAAAGTAATCTTGAAATTTTTCAATATAGAAATCGACGTTGACGTTAGGACGAATCACCACTCCATAGAGACCATTATCGAGTTTACAAAATACAATGTTATCTTGTACGCCCACAACAGTAGCTAAAACTTGTTTTCCAATAGGAAGAGTAGAATCATTTTCGTTGGTAACAAGCTCAAATACTCTCTTGTCCTCCGAATTAATGGACTTGAATGATTTTCTTGGGTCTTTAAAAGGATATTTGAGCTCTTCCTTAATATCCTTCAATGTAATATGAGTCTTTCCGTAGCCTCTCTTCTCAAGCTCGTCGGCATAGGTGTCTAAATCCAGTTCATCGAGTACAGAAGGTTTTTTAAATATTTTGTGAATCTTTTCAAGTTTCAAGTTCTCTGTTTCAAGGGCATCTTCCACAATCTTTTTAGCAAGATGATAAGAGAGCAAGTGAACACGAGTAGCATCAATAATCTTGAACTGTCTAGCTTGATCATCTTCAAATGAAAGGTTTGGAGGTTTACGAATGATGAAGAATCCTAAACAATTCAGAGCAACATTCTTTTGATCTGCAAGCAGTTGAGTAGAAGCAGACTCTCTATCTACAATGTATGGCTCATCATGTTGTTGTTTGATTCTATTCAAAATCATTTCTGCTTTTCTTGGACCAAGACCACTCACAAACTTGAGCACTGATTGAAGTGGACCATGATTGATGATTCTGTTAATTTCAACTCCAACACTATTCACAACTCTAACAAAAGATTTCTCTAAGGATCTCACAAGCTGTTCTTTAGGAATGACATCCTGTAAATCATGAAATCTATAGCATAGTATTTCTTGTTTGTTAAAAAAGCCAGCAATCTCTGTTAGGGGATCTCTCAATCTACGTCCAACAGAGATAGCTCTTTTAACAACATTGTTCTCATTGGGAAATTCTTTGTTACCACGTTCAGAGTTTTCATAGATTCTTGCCAAGTCATCAGGAACAATCTGAACGTCGATTTGAGCTTCCTTGAGAAAGTCTAACCTTGAAGGATATCCATCACAAATGGCCTCTCTAATTTTCTTAAAGATAAGACCTCCACAAGTTGCAAGAGCAATAACCTTAGGATGGTGAGCGTTAATTAAATCTTTCAAGTCTCTCTTCATGGAATCTAAAACTTCTTTATCGTGCTCACTGGTTTTTGAAGTTTGGAATGGATGACCAATAGGCCAGATCTTCTTATCAATCATGTTACCATTCTCATCTAACATAACCCATGTTGTTCTTTCTTTTTCTTCACCTCCAGGTATACAGCTTAAAACTTTGCACTTGGTTGGTCTTGGTTTAGCATCTTCAATAAATTCTTTGTAATTGAATGGTACTTCCGATTTGAGGTCATAGGGACCTTCCATCAACATTTGAGTAAGCTTGTCTTCGCATAATTCACAAATTTTCTCACAGGCTTTTGCTTTTAGGTTATTTTTTACAGTAGAATTGATGGATCTATTTAGAATGCCTTTTGCTTCTTCAATGATCTTAAGCCTGTGATCATTCCATGATGTTGCCAGTTGTGAATGCTTTTGGCTCAAATATAGGTCACTGGGTTTGAATAAGTCGTCAAAGTGTCTATCTTCTAAATACAGCGACATCTTGAGAAATCCTAGAGATTCATATTTCACAATTCTCAAATATATTTCTGGGTCCTCGTTCAAATAATGAATGTGAGTAGTATATTCATCATTTTGCTGAGTGAAAATATATTCTGAACGTCTATCACGTGCTTTAAATAGAGAAAGGAAGCTTGATTCTACGTCCTCAGTATCTTCCACTGATTTGAGAGCCTTTCCTCTTTTAGTTAACTTGATTTTGATGGTTGCATTGTTCTCAAATTTTGAACGAACAATTTCACGAATCTTAGGTTCGTGCGCAATTTGATAGGCACAGTAATGTCTAGTAGCAGAAAGAACACTCTCTGCCGAATCAAAAATTGCTGTTTTAAACTCTTCAGCTGTCTTGATAGGATCTTGCTGATAATCCTCAGGTTCGTGAATGGTAACCTCAGATGAAAGGTTTTCTGCATACTGTTGAGAGGATAGAGCCATTCTGTTTGCTAATACCGCTAATCCCTCACGCTTAGCCAAAGAATATGTGTCTTTCTTCTTTGGTCTTTTGTATTCACCGATTTGAACCTCCGAGTCTTCGCTTAGAATGGAAGTAAAATGCAATTGAAGGTCATTGATAAGATCAATGCTATCACAATAATCTAATTGAGAGAAATAATAGGGGTCTATGAGCGATTTTGAACTATCGTAAAGGCTCTTTAGCTTTTTCCTTTTTTAGATTGAAGGACACACCATTTTTCATCCCATTCAAGTATTTTCCACAAATCTTTGTCGTTAAATTTACCATCCGTACGTAAGACATGGGCAAACTCTTCTTTCTTATATTGTGAAATGTAAGGAATGTCATATCTCATTTGGAGAATAAACTTAAGAACCTTGACAATAGTTTCAACAAATAAATTTTTGAGATTGTCAAATCTGTTGGAATCATATTCAATGTACTTTCTATATCTTTCCATGTGCAATTCGGCATCGCTTTGAAAAACTTTTGAGTAAATCCAACATGCTTCATTGTACAACTCATCAGGATCTAAAAGTCTAATGCCTTGTCTAAGCGAGATTCGTTCCGGAACGTCTTCGTTTCGTATGAGTTCATCCTCTTCAGTTAAAAACTTTTCCTTTAATAAATCGGCTCCAAATATATCTTTGAGAGTATATTTACGTTCCTCTTCATCCTCAACAGGTTGAAGATAGTCCTCTTCCTCTTCGTCAGTACCGAAAATATCATCCTCTTGATCATCTCCGTCAATAAATCTGTCATCCTCATCCTCATCTTCTTCACCATAATCATCTTCCATGTCTCCAGCTTCTGGTTCGTTTTCTTCTTGTTGTTGTTGCTATTGAATAGTTATCATTGTTAATATTCAATTATATTCAAAACAATAAATACGTACAACAAGATCGTTGACTTCTTTGGTTAGAAGGTTTTCTTCACCCTTCTTCAATCTCTTGAATTTTCTCTTTTTCTTTGATGGGTGGGTTTTTCTTTTGTGTAAGTTAGACTCTTGATCGATTGGAGGCGACACTTGCTCTCCTTCATCAACTTCGTCATCATTCACAATAAAATCGTCTTCTTCGAAGGCATCAAGATTTTCTGTTTCATCTTCCTCCTCACTATCCTCATCATCATCACGTCGGAGTTGGTTTTCTTGCAATTCTTCCTCATCCAATTCGGCTTCCTCTTCAATAAAATCTTTGTAAAGTTACAACCAATAGGATCGTCCAGTTATCTAATCAACATAATTTTGGTTACTTACTGCTACTCATTGTGGTTGGTGATGTGTGCTTGAAGGATTTGTTGTTGTATTCGACTGAAGAAAGAGATGTGTGATGGTATTTTTTTTTGTTTAAAAATATCAAACAGCAACAGTTTGAGCTTCTTTATTTCAGGTTGGTGATGGGAATATCAATGTCTCCATCTGGTGTTTTAATATGAATCAGTGAGGCTTTGTGAACTATTAGACCCAAATATTTGAGATACCATGTTACGATTTGTGTTACATAATAATTGAAATCGACAATGTTTCCTGCAATATCGCTGTAGCTATAATCCTTAATATTATTGATGAGTCCACCTTGTACAGACTCCAGTGCTCGTTCTTTAATTTGCTCTGCCGTTAAATCAATCAAATAAGCAGAAGCTCTATACAATGAAAGTGTTACGTCCTTTTCAGAAACTCCAACAATTAAATCTAAAGTTATTTGAATTTCTTTTCCATCTTTTGAGAAAACTTTAAAGTCTTCAAGTTTTAAATTAATCTTCTCTTCTGTTACATATCCAACATGTTGCCAAGGATAAATGAATTTTCCAACTGGAAATGGCTGGTTATCTGGAATGGTATACAATGTTCGAATTATATCATTATCTCCTTGCTTGGGTCCTTCAAATTTTCTATAAATTACTAACACTTTTCCTGGTTGAGAGCTCTTAATTCTCCTCAGAAAATAAAATCTGTATAATGATAATCCAGCCACACATCCCACAAATGCAGGGAGTACCATCTCTAAATTTTAATTTTTGACAAATTACATCAATTTTGTGTAAAAATATAAAAATTCATAAAAAATAAAATAAAAATTAATAATCATTATTTCACACACTTGTACGTACTCGATATCTCCAAATTAAAGTCCTTAATCATCATCATATATTTACTATTTTTTCGTTCTTCTAAATAATGTTCTGGATTGAGAGGATCTTGTGTTTCATTCGGATCCGATTCCAGACATTTTCTTCTGTACAAGAAAAAACTCTTTCCCGGCATGTTCTTCACTTCAGTATAGATTTTGTAGGCAACAGGACTCAGACCTCCAACAGTGACTACTGAAATGAAAAACATGAATCTCCTAAACTCGGATGTTTTGACAAGTGAGCCCCAATCCATGATGATGATGTTTTTGTATTTTTTGAGTGTTTTCATTGAGGACAAATTTGTTATCTAGGCGACTCATCATACGTGCCGACATGCATGAATGGTTTATTTCGCACAAACAACATTCAATTGGATTGTGCTTCATTATTGGAGAGATAGAGAATTGTGTATTGTAGGGATTGTGGTGGAATCGATCCTATTCATTGGCGTAACAGTTAGTTCATTATTTCTCTTCCTTTTTAGTTTTTGGAGAGAAGAACAATGTCCGAGCCACACTTTCTTGAGATGACAATTTCAAAGGCGACGATGATGACATTTCATCAAAATCAATTGTTTTGGTTTTTTGTTGTTGAGGGGAGGGTGTGAGTGGCGTTGGTCTTGAACGAAATTGTAACTTCTCTTTCGCTACACCTACAATAATATATTCAGTTTGATTATTCTGTGCGTTGATGACTTTCCGACAAATTAAAAGAGGCTTTTTCAAAGCAATTTTCTTTCCATCACACTTTTGCCTTTCGATGGTCAAAGAACATCGATCTTTTGATTGGTCACTCTTCTCGGAAAAGGTCAGAGATCCCAAAGTTACAGAATTGAGAGGTTTGTCTTTCTCTGGTCGGGTCTCTAGTGAGCCTTGCAGGTCTATCAGTTGCAAACATTTCACATCGTTCGATTTCCTCAACGGTATTTTGAACATTTTTTGAAAGGCGGCAAAGAGCAATCTCGAGTTCAGAAGCAAAACAAGACAATCACTAAAATAATTAAAATTTAAAGGTTTATGTGTTGATGATTTAAAGTTGACCTGATAACCAATCCAAACCTTCAAAGAGGCCTTGTCCACTGATAGCACAACATGGTTGAATGAACCAGTTTCTTTGTCTCAAATTGTGAAGAGAAAGTTTGTCAGTCATTTCGGCAGCACTCATAGCGTTTGGAAGGTCTTGCTTGTTAGCCAAAATCAAGACAACACATTCACGCAATTGGTCATCACTCAACATCTTTTGTAATTCGTCTCTTGCTTCACCAATACGATCTCTATCGTTGCTGTCGACAACGAAAATTACGGCGTTTGTATTGGCATAGTAGTGTCTCCAGAGAGGTCTAATCTTGTCTTGACCACCGACATCCCACTGTTGTGTGTGTTATCATCATCATATCGCCAAATAAAATAATCAATACCATCAAAAATCATCATCATCACGAGAAACAATTTTTTGTATCCACGTTGTGTTGTTCATTATTGATATTATAATGCGCGTTATTATTGTTTATGTGTATTAGAGTTTTCATATTATTGTTCAAATTACATACCATAGTGAAGTTAATCTTTTTATATTGGACAGTTTCAACGTTGAAACCAATGGTTGGGATGGTAGTAACATTTTCATCCAACTTGAGTTTGTAGAGAATTGTTGTCTTACCAGCGGCATCCAAACCGACCAACAAAATTCTGGCTTCCTTGTTCTTGAAGAGGTTTTCGAAGAGTTTAGCAATTGACTGACCCATTTTGTGCGTCTCTGTAATATACAAATTTTTTCAGTTGGTGATGAAACCGAGAGCGTTTTTTTGCGATTTTTTTAAATGACGAAAAAAAATTGTAACGAAATTGAGTGATGAGCAAGTTGTGTGAGCCACCTTCGAAGCAAGCTTGAGGCGCCAAATTAACTCGTCTTCCCGAGTTCCGATGACGATGCTGGTGACGACTTGAGAGGAAGGCGATTGGATGGCCAACGTCATGCGAGAATCTCTCTTCAGCGTGCTGCACGTGATAAATTTAGCAAATAAATGGGTAATGGGTTGCTACCTTGTGGACATGAATGGATAAATTAACATTGGTGGAAGAAATCGAGTACTCGTGCGGTTCAAACTATCTACACTCTCCTTCAACTTTATCTAGTGAATAGATTCTCTAGTGCGTGCAGAAGAATGCCTTTTTGGTTCGTTGTTTCGTACCAACAAAGTGTTCGAGGTGACATATAATGACATACATACATATTTCAAATATGCCGTATAAATTTGGGTAAAGTGTTCGTAAGCTGACCTCTATAGGCCAGCAACTTGTTTTAAGTACGATTGGTGTGACATGTTCACACTCTATAACCGCCAAAATTTACTGTAACGGCAACAATTCTCAAAAAATTAAAAAATGGATCACAACAGCAATCACGGAGAAAATTCATCATCTCAACAACCACAGAGAGAGAGTTCAACTCCTAGTCCCGCACATTACACGCCTCAGGTAATGATGTCCCATCCGCCTCCTTCTATTAATCACGATCATGAACGGCGGGCAGCAAAGGCTTCAAAACCACTTCATTCTGACCCCTTTATTCCTTCAGGAACATTTTTTGAAGAACGATACTTGGGATTACCTCCCGCAAAGGATGATCTATATAATAATGCCATTGCAAAGATAAAATTTGAGCAAAAAGCTCATAGTGATGATAATGCACTGGTAAGACATAAGAAATACCTTAAACAATTACAACATCAAAAAGAATTGGAAAGGATGGAGCGAGCAGAGAAGCAAATAGAATCGGAAAGAAAAAAGCAGCAATTTACCGAAACTCAATCCAAGATAAGGAATGCTTTGATGAACGATTTTGAAATGACAAAGGAAAAAGTCGAGGAATTGATGAACACAAAAAATACAAACACTAAAGAAGTTTCAATGGAAGAAAAACCAAAACAAAAGGTATTTTTGTTTTTTATTTGAATAATTCAAAATGGTTAACTATTATTATTAGAAGAGTAAAAAAGAAAAGCCTGAATGGGCTATGACAACAGAAGAAATTGAAAAGAAAGAAGAAAAAGAGGTTGAAGATGTTTTGGAATTCATCAATAATCTTGATTTTGAAGAATGTAAGTTGGAAGACCGTCTCTTTTTTATTGTTTGACAATTGTCAAAGATATTAATGATTTTGAGATAAAGGAGGCTCTGTCCATAATTCAAGAGAGAGTCACGGAGCTTCGAGCGAACAAGGAAAAGTCTCCAACCGATCAATCGTCTCAGGATATATTGGACAAGACTGCAAACCAAACAGCAGCTTATAAAAAAGATGACGATGTTTGTTCGGTAATATCATCGACCTCTAGCAGGTCAGATGGCTCAACAAAAAAGCACAGACCCACCACCGAAAGCAGCATCCAACAGGAAAAAGAATGGAATTCCTCAACAAAAGTAGAGGAAGGATCAAAAACGAGAGTAATAACCATTACAGCAGATTCTGAAATGGCTGAAAATATTGCAAAAATTCATTCAAAAGCATCCCTCGGACAAGTGGTGCAAAAAGCGTCAATATGTACGCCATCATACAGTATTCCAATCGTGACACATCATGAAAAACACCACGCTCAACCCACTCTTCATTTTGTAGGAGAAGTAATTTCTACAGACGACAGAGGTAATCAAGAACGGGTACTCGTTAAAATGAGAAAAGACAAGACCAATGTACAAAATTTACCTTACATGTATAGATGTCCCTCAATATAGATTAAGTTATTGTTACATTTAATTGTTGAGTGTTTGTTACTTTTAATTATTAAGTGTATCAATCATCACCCAATTTTCTTCAGCACCATTTATACTTGGTGTTGGTTCATTCTTTAGTCTTGACTTATCATCAGGACTTAGCTCTACCATATCTTCTTGAATACTTTCATTAATAACTTCGTCATCACATTCTAAAGCATTGAATGAGGTGGCTGAATACAACTGTTGTCGTCTACCTTCTGATGAAAGTATTGATGCAAAACGCCTGGTAGATACAATATCGCTTCTCAAAAAGGATGTACACACAGGTGTTCTGGCTTCCTTTTGAGCTGCAGTATTCAACACGGTAGAAACGTCACAGGTTGGATCAACAAATGGATCCAAGTAGGGAGAGAATAGTACAGAAAATGGCTGTTTTTTTTCACTCTCAGAAGATGTATCCCGTATAAATATCCACTTGTACAATTGAAATTCTTGCGGAAGCTATATCATTGAATTTCAGTAAAATTGTCAATGAACTTGTAAACATACCTTCACAGTAGCAAGATCCAAAAACTTTAAACCTTCAATCAAGACGCTAGAGTCTTCATCGTCAACAGTTCTCTCGCTAAATATTTTCATGATATCTGTCATGATCATTGGCCACCATTTTCGTAGATTGTCTGTAGTTATTCTGATGATTAGAACTCTATAAAATAAAAGAACACTCGACAATAAAGTATTGTTACTATGAGCAGATCCATTCACTTTAAGGGATTCCACAATTTTCTCTACTATTGAAGGAATAAAGTGGTTGTAGTCATTACTTCTACCAACAAATAGCATGAATGCAATTCTCTTCATTAGTCTTGCTCTTGCATAAGCTTCTGTGGTACTTGATGTTAATAAACTTGAAGTAGACGCAAACCTGTTCAATAAATCTTGAACCAAAGATGTGTCCGTAGTTTCCATGTTTGTAAATATTTTCAACCAATATTTGAATGTAGAACTTTGGCAGTAAAAAAAATTGTTATCCAACACGGATTCCCAAATTTCCTTTTTAAGTGGCCTCATGTTCAATATGGAGCTACTGAAAGTGGAAATCAGTTTAACGGCTTGTTTCACTCTTTTCAGGTTTGTAATTTCCCTATTGTTAATGATTACAAATAAAGGATATAAAATTGAAATTATTAATGGTTGACCTCCGAGATCTTTCTCTCCATACAAATGAGTCATAATATCATTTAAAATGTTGCCAAGTAATTTGAGAAAGTTTTTGGCTGAATCTTTCTTATCATGGATAGTTTTTCGGAGAATGAGCTCTTTTGAATTGTCTAAATTTTGAAGATTGTTAGAAGACGATATTTTCTTTAAATCTTTCACAAGATCATTCCTTCGATCTATCATGTCCTTGGTACAGGCCGTAAAACATATCTCAATAAGCTTTTGAGTGCTATCCCTCATGGAGGATTTGGTTTTCTTATCAGTTTGAATGTTTGTACTCCACCTGGTTAAAAATTGATGTACTACTCGTAACAAGACTGTGAGAGTTAAGAGATCAATATTCTTTTCTGAAGAGATGCTATTAGTCAATGAAATAATTTTTTGGGCTATCTGCAAGTGATTTTCACTCATTATACATTTCTTCATGTAGTAGATGAGAAAATGGAAAGGTAAAACTCTGTTCTTTTCATCTTCTTGTTGATTCATATTCGAGAAATTAAGAATAAAATCACAAACACTAGAAATGATACTCTCTGGTACTGTGCTATCACAACTATTTAAAATATCGATCAAGTGAGTGTCTAGGCTATTTTCAACGCAATACATGGATGACGAGGAGCTTTCATGCCATTTTGTCCATGTCATTAGTATTGATATCACTAATTGATTTGGAAATTGTAATATCAATGGATCAATAAACCTTAAAATATTTCTCTCAATATCAAATCGTGAATGTAAAGTTCCAAACTCAGGTACACCGCTCAAATTGACATGTTTCAATTTATCATGCAATGGAGAGAGATTATTTTCTGGAATTCCAATAACTAATGCACGTAATGATTTCCACACAATAACCATAGACTCAATAATGGAGGGTAGTTCAGCCATCATATTCTTCCTTGCTTCATAGTCAGGTGAGGTAATTATTGAAACTTGATCATCTTGTGTAAACACATCTTTCACAAAGTCTGTAAACATTTTGAAAGGAATGACAATTCCAGACGTATTTTCATCATTATGTGAAGTTGGTTTAGGAATATTAATCTCTCTCAAAACACAATACTCTAACATTTTTCTTAACCCTGTTAATAAGCTATTAATCACTTGACTTCTAATGCTATCAATTCCTTGCAGTGCATTGTCAGTAATAATTTGACAAAACGAGGGAGCTATAAAAGTAACAAGTTTTGGTAATGTAAAATGTAAATAGGGTAAAAATAAAATAATACTGTCTATCCAATAACTCAGTAGTGAAAAGGAGTGAAATGTTGATAATACTTCAATTCTGCTAGATGAAACGAGACCTTGAATAATAGTTTTTAAAAATGTTGGAGAATTAATCAAAGTGTATATAGGAGAAGATTCTTCAGAAGCTACTTGTGATGTTGTACCTGCTTGCTGAGAAGATGTTAAGGTAGTAGTACTCATTGGCTTAACAGTATGACTATCCAAATGTTCCATGATCATTTGAACCATTCCTAAGAGCTCAACTTGAAAAACCACATCATTATTATCAATGGCAATTTGTAAGTGAGAAAGAATGCATTCACAAAGAGCAATACAGAGACCTGTTGTCTTAGCAAATTGTTTACCATTTAGCAAAATGTCCTTAATGAAAGAGGCAGCGCTTGTTCTGATACATTCATCGAGTGAAGATTCATTAGAAACAATATTCTTGTTTGCAGATAAAAGGTCAGAATTCACCACAATGCCACATTCCATCAATTTAACACAAAGCACAGCTAGTAATGAAAAGTAATCTCTTCCATCGAATTTCAATTTGGATGAAGGAAGTGATTCTTCATTCATGTAATAGGGTCTTCCAAGAATGAATTTTTCATACACATTCAACACTTCATCACTGGCCTTCATTTTCAAAGTTTGTTCAATAAATAGTTCTGGAGAGACATTCATAATGTTTCTCAAAAGTGATAAAACGTATTTGCATCGGCTTTCATCAAATAGAGTCTTTCTTATTGATAAGGTTTGCAAACTTCGTTCCGAGTTGGAATCTGTGCTCGTATCACTCATGGATGAATCGGAGGATTTCACTCTTGTATGTTTAGAAAGTTGTTTTAGAGATTCCTTATCAACAAGAGTCAACAACAAGGGGTCTAATATTCTATCGATATGTGAGAATGAGGAAAGAAGCCAAGATTGCGACACGAGCTTTAACGAGGATTGATCATTGCTTATAGCGTCTAACATTAAGTAAAATCCGTCCTCAAAGATTCTATTCTTAATGTCTAGATCATCCATGAGTCTCCAGATCAATGCAAAACGTCGATTTCCTTCTAATTTCTTTTCAATATTTGAGTTTGACATGGCATCTGAAACAACAGCGTTGCAAACTTGTCTATTAAGATTGTACAACTCTACAATTAGTCTCGTCACTTCAAAATGAAGATATGAATATGATGGTGTGAGCATATCCCATAAACGGGTTGTAATCGCCTTCAAATAATTGGACTCTTTCACAATATATCTTTGTTTAAATCGATCCAATCCAGATTCTTGATTTGAAAGAAAACCTAACAAGGTGTTAAGACTGAAAATACTGATATAGGCATCTTGAGAGAAGGAACACGAGAATAGAGTTTTCATAAATGTAGGAATTATATCAGTAGGGTTGGAAGTCAAAGAAGAAAATTCTTCAAATTGATCCAAGTGTGAATGTTTTTTTCTAATGGCGTTGGTCAAAAAATCACAAGTGTTTCTGAATAATGTTCGATATTGAAATATGGATGAACGTTCAATAGAGGTTAATAGGTCATCTCTGAAATAGTTTGATGTTACTATCTTAAAGAGATATTCTGTTTTCTCATAGAGGATGGTCGCAAAGTCATTAGACTCTTCTACAATCTGTTCCAATAAATATTTACAAATATTGATGTTTCGCTCAATAGAGATAACATTTTGATAAATCTTATTGTTCACTTTGTGTGTTAGAGAGTCTACAAAAATTAGAAACAATTGTGATATTTCCGAAATGAATGATCGTGCCGACTTTTGATTGCACATAAAGGAGACTGTACCAAGAATGATACTATAGTTCGTGGTTTCGTTTTCTTCTTTCTCAAAGCAATTTTCTATAATTTGCTTCAAACTTGTCCATAGCAGAGGCATAGATTCAGTACTAGAAATAAAATTAGAAATACTCTCCTTGACAGAATTGTCGATGTGATCACTACTCAATAGATATATCATTTCTGTAATAATGTTCTCCATAACGGATCTTTTCAAAGAACAATGATCCCCAATTCTTTCAAAAATAATATTCGCTATTTCAATAACTTTGACTATTGGAATGTTGTAGCTTCTTTCAGTTATTAATTGTTTGAGAGATGATGAAATAATAGATATTGAGTGTTTAGATATAAATTCAACATCAGTATCACTAGATCCAAATAGCCAAGAGAATATTCTTCTGTTAACGGAAACATCTCCCTTTAGTGTAAGTATAAGAGCATTGCTGCATAGTATGATAAAGGATTGATCATCAAAAATATAACTCTCAGAACTATCATTGTTCCGTTTGTCAAGAGTTAAAAAAGATGATAAAATCTCTAAACAGGCTCTCTGTGCCATAATATTATTATCTCTCAAAGATGCAACCATTGCTTCAACTACCAATTCTGGACAACCTCCAAATATTGGTAATTTGTAGGTTAAAGGTTCTTCATTTTCTGAAGGCAGAGGTTAATTTGAAAAATAGATATATAAATTCATAACATACTTTTTAAGCAATATATAATATGGTTTAAAGCAGAAACTCTGAATTGAGGTGTTAGTAATATTCCTTTCCACAGGGATTGAAAGAAAACGTTTTCATCACTAATAGCTCTCAATGTAATCATTACTTTCAATGTCTTGTAACATTGTTGTCAATTTTTCTATTCTTTGCATACTTACTTTCTTAAAAATGTCACTACCTTCTTCTTCTAATGAGGAAAGGAGCGCCAAAACTAGTCCTGGAAGGCATGGAACAAGAGCCTTTCCCAGCGGTAAATAATATTTCTCGAACAGATTCAAAATAACAGGCTTTCAAAAATTGTATCAAATATCAATGTTTAAAAACTAACCTTGATTTGTGAAGATGCACTTGGAAATAGAGTAAACAAACCAGAACTATACAAGTGAATATCTCTGGCAAGTCTTTTTCCCTAATAATGTGATGAGTAATTTGAAAAAAATAATTCATAATACTAACTGTAATTAATTTAAATATTTCTTCAAAAGTCTCCAAAGTTTTTAAATGAACACCACTTGGTAAAGCTGGATTTAGACATTGTGCTAATCGTTTACTGACAGTAATCTTCTCAGGTAAAATGGGTAGAGAGCTATTTTTGATTAACACTTTCTTCATCTTTTGCAAACATTTAATTAAATCAGCCCATTCTCGAGTATTATCGAATGATTTTAAAACAGAGATTATGTCATCTCGATAGGATTTGAATTTACTTTTTTTCATAATTTCTTCATCTTCAACATCGGGATGCTCACTCTCCGAATTAATTAATGGTACTAAATTGATATTCAGTGCAGGAGATGAAGAAGATCCAATCAAGGACGGAGACGAGTTTGTCGTTACGTGATTATTAGTGTTTGCCGTTGTGAGAGATGACATGGTCATGGAAGATGGTTCTAGACTTTCGGGGCTTTCTACCAAATCACCAAGACCAAGATTTTCCGAGAGACTTTTAAACATTTTTTGTGAACGTGTTTTGACATGAAATAGAATGTTGGCCAACGATACTGTGTATTGAAGAATCATAAACAATACAAGGTCCATACACGAACGCTCTTTGCCAATTAAAGATCATTGTGGAAAATGACCAATGGTCAAGTGTTGATAAACACAGACTCTGGAGACTGGTTTTTCTTCGACGTTGTAAAGTTATGATTTTGGTTGACTGTTTTTTTTAAAAAATTTGATTGAAAAAAATACGCCAAAACTCATCATCATAATGTCTCTCGTTGTAACCCAAGAAGAGAACTTCAAGGAATTGTTGCGTCTTTTCAACACCAACATCGAAGGTAGAAGATCTATTTTATATGCATTGACCGCTGTTAAGGGTGTTGGTAGACGTTTCGCCGGTATTGTCTTGAAGAAGTCTGAAATTGACCAAACCAAGAGAGCTGGTGAATTGACTGAAGACCAACTCAACAAAATCCAAGATGTCATTCAATCTCCTGAAAAGTACAAGATTCCAAGCTGGTTCCTCAATAGAAGAAGAGACTGGAAGACTGGTGCTACTGAGCACTTGGTTGCCAACTCTGTCGATATGGCTTTGAGAGATGACTTGGAAAGATTGAAGAAGATCAAGTCCGAGAGAGGTTTGAGACACATGTGGGGCTTGAGAGTCCGTGGTCAACACACCAAGACAACTGGTAGAAGAGGAAAGACCGTCGGTGTCTCAACAAAGAAGAGAGGATAAAATGTTTAAACTCAATAAACACAAATACAATAATACTTTCAAAAATTATGTTGTTGATTGTGCAGCTTGCAGAAAGAACTTTTTGATGATCCTCATTATAAATTTATTGTTAGTGATTCTACCATCCGTACAATCCTTTTCCTGCTCTTACTCTTTCCATGTAGTCGCCAAACTCTTTTTTCACATAAACTGGCATAACACCACGCATGGATGCTTCACTGTCGAGTGTTTTGAGTTGATCTATGCATTGGAAGAAAGCTGGAATGACATTCAAAATGTTTCTACTTCCATAAAGTCTGACAGAACAGTATTTAAGGCCAAGATATGCACATAGTTTTCTCAAAATAGGGTTGGCAGTTGGTTGTTCTTTGGTACTTGGATGAATTCTAATTTTTGATGAACCGAATTTTCCTTCAATTAAGTGAGAACGTGGAATGCATGCGCCAGGTTCAATACTTCTAATGTTCTTATATGCTGCCTTTCTGGCCTTAGCCTGAGCAACAGCAGGGGATGCAGCTGCTCCAAAACCAACACCACACAAACCACTATAGCTTCCCACCAAATACAAGCAGTTGTAAGATTCAACTCTTCCACCAGTCGTCATTTTACAATTTCTGGAAAGTTTTAGAACCTTTTCTTCGAAAGAAACATCTGTAATAGCATCCTTTTGGCCATGATAGATTTCAGGATCTTGAATATCATCAGCAAGAGGAGGTGTGACAGGTGGTTCTCCATTGTATTCATAAAGTGATTCATCCCAATCAGCATCAATATCAACATCTCCAAAATAGCCTTTTTCAACTCCAGCGAAATTGTCATAAGTAGGTTGCAATTGCACTCCAACTTCATGCTTCAATGGTCGCCCTTCTGTAATAGCTTGAAGATTTTCCATTTGTTTAGAAACTTGTCTTTCATCAAATTGATAGAAAAAATATGGTGCGGTAATGTCATCCCTTTCTTGTTTCAAAAGTTTTTCACTCAACGTTTTGATTGCGTCCTCTGACTCTTGCTTTTCTCTGCTAAATCTCTTTTGTTTAGGGGTTCCTAATTGAGATAGGTCATCAGAGGTACGTTCAAAAGTTTCAATTGGAATGACCCTTTCAGGATCTTCTTCAACCTTCTCACGAACCAACTCATGGAATCTGATATAATCTTTTTTAATCCTCAGAGCATCAAACATTTCATTTTCGTTAATACTTTCTAATTCATCATGAATATCCTTGAGGTTATCATCAATGTGATCATCATCATCATCCAAAGAGTCTCTCATGCTGTATTGCTCCTCTGTTTCATCCTCATCAGTCTCTCGTCTAATTTCGACATCATCCTCGACCATTTCATCCATATCATCCAAATCTGCTTGACCTTTCAATTTGCTAAAGTCGTATAATTGTTTAACTTTGAATCTATTGAAGGCACTATCCGCAGGTTGAGAGAGAGTGCTTGGAATCATACCAAAGTTGATGTATTTGGCCCAAATTCTTTCCTTTTGGATTGCTCTTGGTAATTGAAGATTCATGTTGGCTTTGAGAAGGCTCATACCAATGAAGGCTTCTTTAATCTTTCTCACTAACTTAATTTCCTTCTTTTCGGTGGCTAGCCAATGTATTACTTTTTGTCTCTTTTGTGTTGAAAGATTCCTTAGGTACAACACAAGAGTATCGAACATTTCAGAAGTAAATTTTGCTCCTTTTTGCTTTTCTTCAATGATAGCAATGAACTACATGATAATGAAATAAAACAATATTATTATTGTTATCATTATTTCGGCTCAACAAAAGAAAACCTACGTCATTGTCATTTGTTGTTGAAGGAAAATTTAAATCATCCGATTTTTCATTGCTAGTTTTGTTGTCTTTTGCGTCCTCTCTTACCAAGCTAAATCTTGATGAAAAGCATCGTTTTTGAATGAACGATGGTGATGATGTTTTGCAGAGAACTGATGATGTTTGTGATGTAATTACAGACAGAAGCGTCTTGTTGTTGGCAGACGCTTGTAAACGCCGCAATACCCCAAGGTTTCTCATTTTTTCGACGAAAGGTTTTCAACGGAGCAAGCAATGTAATTCGAGCTCGGTTCGTTCAAATATTGCTTGATGAATTTATTCTGTACATCTTCAAATTAAAGTTGTTGAACATCATCTGTCCAGAGAAAACACATTCTCCAAAGTAGAATTTAATTAAACAAAAAAATAGCTTATTTGCTAAATAATATTATTACTTTTTAAAAAATAATTATCGAATCAAAACACAACTAAACATCATCATGTACAACGGAATTGGATTACCAACACCGAGAGGAAGTGGAACTAATGGTTATGTTCAAAGAAATTATAGCGCTATTTCTCATCGCAAAGAAAAGAGAAAGGATCATAGATCATCGGAAAAGAAAGACTTGTCTAAAATCAAAACAGAAAACCAAGAGTTGAGATTACACGAAGAAAAGAAAAAAGTAGAAATTGAATTGTTTAAATTAAAATCTGAATTAACAAAAAAAGGAGAATTAACTCCCGAAGAAATTGAGAACAAAATTGCGGAAGAACGTAAAATCAGAATTAATCGTGTGGAGGAAAGATTTAAGTCGTCCAATACAGATCAATCATCCAACGAAACCTCAAAAGAATTAGAGAATAATGCCTCACCTAAACATCAGAAAAACGAACATATCAAAAAGGCTCTCAAACTAGATCAACATTTCAAAGAGCATGGAATTGAGAATGACCAAGATGCTCAACTTGTAGCTTTTGATTCAAACGTTCGAGAGATGCTTTTAAAACGAAAAAAACTCGAGAAAAGTGTGACTGAAAAGAAAAGGAAGCGCAAAAAATCGGAAAAGAAGGCCAAACAGTCATCTAGTTCCTCTTCAAGTAGTAGTGACAGCGAGTCTTCATCATCCTCTTCCGAAGAAGACAACTAAAATCTCGTTGATCTGAGATTGGTTTCGTGTTATTGTTACCAAAAACAACCACTCAAAAAAATAAATTTAAACCTCTCGCCGGCCAATCGTTTTCATCAGCCAACTCTCGTTTGTCGTGTGTGCCACAACTTCCAACCACAAACAGACAAGCGCACTAGCAGTCCGTATTAATTTATAACAACAAAGAGCACACCTGTCTCTGTACACGAGACTCTCTTCATATAAATCAACAACAATTGTGCACCATCATCATTTACCAACATACGGCTATTCAATCTCATCATCGGTGTGGTATGACCCCTTCTCAAGACAACAACACGCCCAATAATACCACCTCTTCTTCTAAAATTAACTCCAATAGTGGATATATAGATTATGATGACATGTTTTTTGATGCAGGTCGAGCTGCTAATTATTCGGAACAATACACTGCATCATCACACCAAAGATTGAAGACAGGTGTTTCATCGGATTCAAGCGGAGATGTTTCTAAGAAATTATTAGATAATAATAGTAACATTTCTCTTAACACACCTCTCCCACCTTTGAATTCTTCTTCGACTTTTAATAAGGCTGCTCAGTCTGTTCTTTCTTCTCCACAATCTCTTGCAAAAACTCCATCTGATACTCTCAAAAGTTCAAACTTCAATATTTCATTTATTGATCAAGATCATTCTAAACAACAGCAAGAATCAACAAAACAACAGCCCTTGGGAGGAAATAGTCTTACTCCGATATCGTCGTCTTCCCAAATCAAAGAGACCTCATCACACGGTTCATCTCACCATTCCTCCGCCACTATCTCTTCGTCTTCCAGTAACAATCCTGCACTATTACCCACCCTTCAATCAATCATCAATTCATCTCCACCCACACCTTCCCAAAAATCACTCCCAACACTCACAAGTCCTGGTGTAACAGGTGTTCATTACAAGGATCGCAAAAGAACAATTTCATTGCAATATTTGGCAGAAATCTCTAACTTTTCACGAAAGGACGTTCAAGGTATGTTTACGCAATAAGAGACTGGCAGCCTTTCCTTAATGCCACCACTACTTTTCATAGATGCAATGATTTGTAAAATTGACAACGAGACTGGAGAAATTTATGGAAATATTCCTGATATTGTCGTTGGCATGAAGTTTGAGTCAAGAATGGACTTGTTAGATTGCAAACTTCATACAGATCTTCAATCAGCTGTGTGTACAAATGTCAATTATTCAAAACCTGCTCCTTCACTAATTATTTATGATTCTCAAGAAGAACACGAGGATAGAGGAACTGTTGTCTTGTACTCGATTAATTTTCAACCAAATGACCTCCAATCTTCTTCTCCACCTTCTGTTAGAGGAACAGCTGCAGAAGCTTTAGCTCAAAACTCGACATACAAAATTCCTGTGAGAGTGATTCGTGGAAGATATGAGTCGTCTATCGACAGAGAAGCACCACCAAAAAATCTTCATTGTCCTTTACATGGTTATCGATACGACGGACTTTACTTTGTTGGCGAATACTTTTTTGAGCCATCCATCTCATCTTACATTTTCAAGCTCATTAGAATTTATGGACAACCTGAACTGCCACATACGAGCGTAACAGCGGAATCTCCTTCAAGCTCTCTTTCTTTCTTACCTCCTCAATTTACAAGTATTTCCACCCCTCAACAATTCAACATTCCATCCACAAATAATGCATTAAGGCCATTAAGCAACAGTTCTAGCAGCAGCACAGAGAAATCAGTGTTTGGAATTCCACCGCTTGTTACACAGAAAATGCTGTCCTCCTCCTCTTCACAACAACAACAAACATACTCGAAACAGAGCTCTCAAAACTATCACGATTTACCATATATTCCAAATTTACCTTCGAACATTCCTTCTCCCAACTCTCAAAACACTACTTACAACCAACATGTACTTCCCTCAATACCTTCTATTCCATCTATTGTGTCTCGTCCTCAATTTAATTACAATAATGAACCTTCTGTTCCAACACCAACCAACTCTAATACCTCCACCTTTAATAGTATCAATGCTATCACAAGATCTAGTTCACAAAATCAGTTTTATAACATCTCGAACAGGGTTGAAAATATAGGTACAGAAAGAATGAATCTTACACACAACACAATACGACAGATGATATCTAATTTAAGGACTCAAAACAGCAAATTCAACGAACGAATTCAGCAATATTCGTCAAACATTACTGATCTCAATACCAAGGTGGAGGATGTTCAAAGATGCTTGCCAACTGGAGGAACGAGTTCCAGACAATTAACCTCGAGAAATAAAACATTCACTTGGAAGGTGGGTGTTGACCGAAGCAAATACTATGTGTATGACGATGATGAGGACGAGGGAGAAGACGAGCAGGGAGAAGAAGAACCCACAAAAACAGAACAACAAGAACACAAACGTAAGAAGCGAAAAAAGCAACAAAGTGTTTCTGCAAGCAGTAGTAGCACAAGTGTGGACCAAAACAATAAATGATTTGTAATCTAGAATTGATAACGCCTTGTTGTGAGTGGTTGATTCTAAAAAAGAAAAATGCTAAACAACATGATGACCCCTTCATCCCAACAAGACGAAGAATTTCAACTCGTTGTCTCTAAAAAGGGCGGAGGTCGAAGAACATTCAGAGGAGGAATGAACAACAACAACAAATCCCGAAGCAACAAGAACAAAAGGCAAGAAACATCCGAGCCTCACGCAACAGGGAGAAGAAAAGAAGACAACCTTTCTCAAAGTAGTGGAAAGAAAACTGTGGCTCTATCATCATCATCAGCACAAGTTGTTGTAGGATCCTCCTCCAACAAGCAAGCAACAACAGAAATTGTTGGCTCTTACTCAGCCGCCGTAATATCATCATCACCAACTTCTCAAACCAACGCTGCATCGTCTCCTCAAAAGGCTTCTCCGACCTTTTATGCCTCTCATCCCACCACTAGCCATCATTTAAAACCGCTAGGAGACAAAAAGAAGAAAAAAGACTTCAAGAAACCATCTGCTCACTCAACAACTCAAAAAGAAGAAAAACCTGAGAAAGTATTTCCATCAAAAAGAAATGAAAAACATCAACAAGTAGTGGCACGTCGAGGAGGTGGCAAAACTACTGCACAATTCTTCATCATTAGAAAACCATTGAACCAAGAAATGATTAATTATTCTCAAAGAAATAATTTAAAACCAATCATTCCTAAAGAACCTGAAGATGAGATGGGAAAGTCTTTTTACAAATGCCTGAAGGAGTTTGTAGAGGATGAAAAGGCCCATGTTTTTGATTTTTCAAACACTTTAAATCTAGCTCAAAGAAAGAGAGTTCATTCTCTTGCAGAAGAGTTTAATTTAGATCACTTTTCTAGAGGTTCAAACCCTTTCCGTTATATTTGTGTCTCTAAGAGAAATCTTAAAATGAGAGACGAATTCCAAGTAAGTATTCAATGATAATTTGAGAATCCATAAATTGTATGAAATGATGGATAGTATTTTGGATACATTGGATTGTTTGGTCATTCAATTGATGAGCTAGTTAAAAAATACAACATTAATCCTGATATATCAGAAAACCAGCCATTATTGCAGAAGCGAATTAAACGGGACGGTCCTATTCATCATATAACGGTGATGACCCGACCTGAAATTAATACAGCTTTAAAGAATTTAGAATCATCAAGAGAATTAGAGCATTTATTTAACGAGAAACAAAAGCAATTATTGAAACAAGGCTCGGAAGAGGAAAAGATTGAAATTTTAATGCATATTATTTCCAAAGTTGTCACCAACGATTATCAAGCAATTGGACTCGGTAAGGTTTCTCAAGAGGAAACAGCCCATTCAAATGATGGACTTGCATTGCCTTCATCACAATCAAACTCAAAAGATCAAAAACAAAAGAATGACGCATACTTTGTGATCATTGATTGGCCAAGTGCTCAACGCTTGAGAGCTACACTTGGATTGGAACCTTACCATTTCCACATCACTGTTGCCTATAGGAATGGAGATATTCATGGAGTTGTGAAAGATAGATCAACAATGGTTCCTAAAGAATCTGTTTTTGAAATTAGTGACGAATATCTTGCCAGAAAAGAGTCTGAAATGGCATCATTTTTGGAATATCTCAATGTAGATCCTAGATATGCTCACACTTTCATTTCTCTTGGTTGGTATAACTTGGATTCTTTGGATGTCTTAACAAGAGACAAAATGGATTTGAATGATGTAGGAGTTCTTGAGGACGACCAACAAAAGGTTCTCGCATTTCTCAAAGACTTTTCCAACAATCTTAAGAAGTACAAATCTTTGCGTGGACACTAGGTTCTACAAAGTATTCAACATTAATCAATAATATTAATAAATCCCTAAAAAATGGATCAACTCGCCAAATATCTGAACAGTACGTATCTTGTGATGATTCAGGTTCAATCAAATAATATATAAAATAAATATATTATCATGGAAATATCATGTTCCGAATTATTTGTTTTATTATTTTCTATCAATATTAATTAATAATATATGCAATTATTACATTAATATTACATTATAATTAATTCACACAATGTCATCATTTTTGTCATCATGATAATTCTAATAGATACTGTGGCTGTAGTCACTGTTGATGGACGATATATTATGGGAGTTCTTGAAGGCAGTGACCAACACACAAATCTCATCATTAGAGATTGTACTGAGAATAAATATGATCCCGAGCAGGGAGTTGTTCAAGAGAGGCTAGGATTGCAAATACTCAGAGGAAATAATGTGTAAGTGGAATTATGAAATATTTCATTGCAGGACAGTATTTATTTCTTGATTTCAGAGTATTCATAGGTGAAATTGACGAGGAGTCTTTTGTCAACATGAAAATCAATAGAAAGCTAGCAATACCTCTCAAGAAATGTTCCAAGTAGACATTCAATGTCACCACCTTATAAGGCATGGTGAATTGGAATCAAGAACAAGCGTTGTGATACATCGAACGAATAAACTTCGTCACCATCTATCATGCCAATTCATGGAATTCATTGGTGACATTGAAGTTTATTCGCTCGTAGATAATTATTGAAAAGGAAGAGTAAAAATTATAGACCTTCGATCCAATCTTTATTTCCAGTATCAAATGAAACAATATTCTTCTTCAAAGAAGTTGGAGATGACGATGCTTGATTAATGCTGCTGCTTTCTATTCCAAATCTTGCTGTTTTGTAGTAATTCGTAAAATTATCAAGCTTTGAAGTTTGTTCTGCTTGCAACAGAGATCGATCAGGTGTTGAGTAGTCTGTATAAGTTCCTGTACTGCTAGAGTTTAAGCCAAAAGTGCTCAAGCTATCGACATAACTTGTGGTACCAAGTTTGTTCTTGCTGCTAAGCATTGCATCGATTGTGAATTGAGATTGTTCCACTTTCTTTAGAGCTTCTTGCAGTTGTGATTCAGATTCACTACACTTTTGTTGGAGAGCTCGCACATTGGATTCCAACTCTTGGATGGTGTGATTTCGTTTCTCAACGGTCTGAAGTAATTGACTCTTCTCTTGTTCCTTTTTCTTTAGAGCATGTTGCATTGCTTGCATTTTCAGCTTTCTTTCTTTTTCTTTTTCTAGCATAAAGTCTTCTCGTTCTTTAAATCGTTTAATAATTTCGTGACATCTCTTAAGGTCAGAGCTCTTCTCATTGATATCTTTTTCTTGTATTTCGACCTTTGACTTGAGCTCGGCAATTATTTCTGCTTTGCTCAATTCTTGCTGTTCCTTTTCTTTAAGATGTTCGTTGAGTGCTTTGAGGTTCAGCCCTTTTTCTTTCATAATTTCTTCATTAAGTAATAGCTTTGTCTCCAACTCTCTAATTTTCTTTTCGTGATCATAGCGCAAAATGTCCAATTCTCGATTTTGTTCTCTGAGTTTCGTGACTTCTTCTAAATATGCTTTTTTTTCGTTTTCGAGAAGAGATGTTTTGCTTAACTGTTGTCTCAAATCAGCTTCCAAGCTGAACTTTGCAGACGTTAACTCATTGTTGTTGTTTCGATATTCCTCAAGCTTTGTTGTGAGCGCCTTAGTTTCGCTTATACGTTTGTCTTCGGCCTCTCTTCTCTCATCATCCATTCTTTTTTGTTGTTTTTGCATCTCTTCGAGATGCTTCTCTTTCAGCCTGGTGATTTCCTCTTTTAATTTGCAGGTCGTTCCAGAAATTTCTTTTTCAAATTTCACTAGCAGTTCCTGTTTCTCTTCTTTCAATTCTGCAATGATTGATTCATAGTGCTCCAGTTTTTGTTTGGAATCAGTGTCACAGCTGTTGAATAACCTTTCGTTTTCTTGGGCAATTTGTTTCCAATATTTCAGCTGATTCGCTAAATATTCTTTTTTCTGTTCGTTCGATCCTTCAACGAGCTCTAAATGAAATTTTGAGCTCTCACTGAACATGTCAGCGTTAATAATCTCCATGACAGATTTTCCTTTTCCTTGGTTCACAGTTAGTTTAATATACCAGCTATGAGTGTGTTAGTATTTCGTGTCACAACGCTCGCTACTTACTCTTGTTTGTTTTCAGTATGAGAGTTGTTGCACATTTCAAACATTTGCTCCAGATGAGATGAAAATTGAGAGAAATCAGTTTTGATGCGCTGAGACATTTTTAAATTTCTGTAGCTGCACTCATCGATTTGGGCTGTGTACAAAAAATAAAGATCATTATCATCAGTAAGGGTAAATATGAGAGTATTAAAGTTAGGTACATTAGGGACGGTGGTATTGAATGGAGACTTCTTCGATGAGATGGATGAAGCTGATGGCAATACAGTCGAGGGTAAACAGGTAGAATTACATGATATTGTTATTTTTATCATGAATAGTTTTGCCTCGCTATACCCGTCATTGCATGTCGAGGTGTTGGTGCACTGATCCCGAAATACATATACAGGCAATGTAGCCTCATAGAGGGACCTTACTTCAGTGGCATTGACTGAGGATTTGTTGCTGTTCGAAACAGCTGATGATGGAGGAGAGGATGTTTTTTGCATTTTTTTGCGCTGACGAAAAACAAACTACAAAATCTTGGCGGGCTGGTGAATTTTTGGCGCTCGAATTATTTAATGTCCTAATTATTACTAATCTTCATCATCATCAGAGCTCAGTGGTGCATTGTTCAACAGGTTAGAAATTTCATATGCGAGTTGTTTGGTTGAGGATTTTCGAATGGGTGGTTGGGTGGATGGCTTGAACGATGACGACGATGATGTCGTGGCTTCAGGAGATGCAAATGAAATCTTCTTCTTTGGTTGTTCGGTCACTTTTTCCTCTAAAATACTATCACCGTCACTTAACTCTTCGATAGTGTCTTCACTGTCATACATGTCGTTGGTTTGTGTAATGGATTTTCTTCCTGATGAAGGTTGTTTAGAAATGGATTTGCGATTGGGTGTTGCTCTGATATCAATTTCTTCTTCATCTTGAGGTGTGAGAGGAGTGAATGGAGAAGTTGCTTTTGCAAGTTGAATGGGAGATTCATTGATTGTTGGTGGAGTTGGATATCGATTGGATTTGGTTTGTGTGGGAGTTGAGAATAATTTGGTGCGTTCTTCACCTAGCTCAATTAAATTCACTCGAATTTCAGATTGATTAGGATTCTTTGCACGTTCTTGACGTTTTACTGTGTCAGGAGTCTTTGAATGCTCAATATGTTTTTCATCTAACGCATCCACAAATACCTCAAGTTCCATTTCAATTTGGCTACGCTCTAATTCAATTTCTGCTTCAATTTTTTGTTCCATGTTGGCTGTTTCGTCGTCATCTTCATGATCTTGTTCCTCTTTTGGTTTCTTTAGGTTTTGCTTTAGTGTTTCAATATATTTTTCCAAAGAGCGTTGTGTAATTTTGTTGGAAATCTTTTCTCGTGCCATTTCTAATAGAGCAATGAGTTTCTTGATATGATACTTGTTAGTGTTGTAAATCGAGAGTGAGGAAAATAATTTGCAGAAAATTTGAGATTCTTTGGAGCTTGGTTTCAATGATATTTCGAAAGCTAACGCAATTCCAATATTTTCATGCAAACATAGAGTGTCTACTTTGATTTCTGCCTTCTGTTTGTCTGACAACTTTTCTGGATTTGTAAGCTCCAACATGTATTGACTTAAAGTCTGTATGTTGATTTTAGAAAGGGTTGATTTCTTATCGGCATGAATCACACGTCGTAGAGTATTCATAAATACAGAAGCCATTGTTTTCATATTATTAGCAGACTTGTAAGTATATGCTGGAAAGAATATTGTAAGACATTGACGCAATCTATGATCTTTTTCTGTGGCCTCATTAAACAGCAACAATATTAAATCAGATAAAATCTCTGCAGAGTCTTGTTCGTAAATCGTGTTGGTTTGAAGCAATCTGGCAAAGCCCTCACAACAAGTGGTTCTTACTTGTCGGCTGCTTGAAGAACATTTGTCTTTCATCTTGAGCATGATCTTTTTGCTTTCTTGTTGAGTCAGAAGTGCTTGTGCAGAATGAATTCGGAATATATCGAACAAGGCTTGTAACACTTCATTGATACAATCATCGTTTGTCTCTTGAGAAAGAATATTAACAAGAGTTCCAATATGCTGTTTGGCATCATCAATATTTAAAGAACAAAATTGGCCGAGTGTTTTGATGGAAAGAGCTCTGAGATAGTCATAATCATGATTTAAGGTAATTAAAATAAGATCATCTAGAAGATAAATGAATTGAGAAATATCCACTGGTAAATAAGCTTGTAGGATAAACTCATACGTAGTTTGCAACGCTCTTAACCACAAACAAATTTCTTCCATGTCATCTCTCACTTCATCTCTTTTAGTTATTTCAGCCTCAATCTCTTTCAACTTGTGATGGAGCTCCATAATTTGATCCAATTTTTGTTTCGCTGCCAAATACTCTTCTTTTTGAGCAAGAAATGTTTTTTCAACGTTTAGTTGTTGTATCTTCTTCAATATTTCCTCTTTGGTGAGATTCAGTTGTTGTATTCTCTCTTTTTTCTGCAATTCCAAGTGTTCTCCTTGGATGGTTCTGTTTTTGGATACGGTTAGAGCTGCATTTCGAAGTAAATCTATTCTATTTAGAATAGTAGATTGAAAATCTTCAGGATTTGGGAGAATACATTTTAAGGATTCAATTATTTCCTTTACATGAGCCTCTGGGTTGTGGAACGAAGAAAGCATCTCGCTCAATAATGAATGAACGTTTGATCTTCCAACTTCATCACTGTAATCAAGATACTTAGAGATTATTAGTAGTTGTCTGACAATGAATTCATCATCTTGTTTGACATGTTCAATGATCAAACGTACAAAATCAGTAATAGAAGAAGGAAGCAAATCATCCAAATCCTTTTTTTTGGATGCTAGGTATTGACATTTGCATCTCCAGAAAAGAGCTTGTTCTGGAGTAAGTGATTGGAAATCAACCTTATCTCCAACGATGGAAATCTTGTCTGACCTATCCAGAATTAATCGAATGATCTTTTCACAGATGGGTTCGTACTCTATAACATCTAGAATGGTCAAAAACTTATTAATGTCAAACTTAAAATCAGAGAACCATTTCTCAATGAATAAACGTTCAAATTGTTCTTTTACATTGGGGTCTCTTTCCTCCAATCCATAATTGATCATTTCAACTCTTTGCTGAATAGTAAAGTTTTTCATCTTAACTGTCGAGAAAATCTTTTCATATGCAGCACTTCTCACGTCCTCCTTTACATCTTTTACTTTGTCAAGAACTGCACGAAGCGTTTGTTTTAACAAAAAAATTCGCCTAACTGTTTCCTTTCTAACGTCCTTGTTAGGATCTGAGCTCATCATTCGCAGAAATTCTGACATTATTGTACATTGTGAATGAGGATCTTGAAATTTAGAAAGAACGCATACAGCCATTAATCGAACAGCTGGAAGTTTGTCTCGTAGTCTTGGTACAAACTTTTCTTTGATTGAATTGACAAAATCTTCGTCAATCTCCTCCGTCATAGGACTCTTTTCAATGATTTGGCTTGTGATTTGTGCTACTCTATACCTTACAGTTTTGTTTGAAGCGTTGGCATAGACAATCAAATTATCAACAAAATCAACAGTAAAATCATAACCTTGCTTTGCAGCATTAGACTCAGAAGAGAGCTCTTGTGCCTTCGCAGCAGCACAAAACTTTGCAATCAACTGAACAATATTTTCAGCTGACTTCTCGTTCTTGGAAATGATCAACACGGGATGTATAATTTCAAAAAATTTCTCTAGAAAGAGTTCATACTTTTCATTCATAATTTCCAACAACAAAGCAATACATTTTTCATGAGAGGCTTTAGATTTTTGAGCCTTGTTAAATTGCTTTGCAATTGCTTCCGCAACGGCATCGTGATTTGAAACCTTCTTCTTCTTTTTTGAAGGTTCCGACGTTGTCGCGTTCTTGCTGGTAGGCATTTTTTAATTTTCAAATTTAAGCGGGTTGTGAAACGCTTCCAGCGGCAACAAGAGCCAACACGGATACTCTTGAGCGGAATATTAGTTTTTGAATAATGATCAACCTGGGGTTAATCATAATAACTATCATCATAATCTAATAGTCAACACATGTGTTCATTCGATTATCCAAACACTCATTCCCATTAAGTTTCCCACCACACATTTACAACTTTCCATAAACTGAAGGGCCCGTAAAACAATTCAATTAAAAAAAACTACCCCTTGTTCTAAACCTCCAGAAGCAATATTGATTCATCCTCACTGTCTGCACCGCTATCTATCCAAAGCCTAGCCTTTGAGGGATCAGCAGCCAGATACTTCAAACTCTCTGAGCAGGAAATACCAAAGGATTGTAGTACACTAATTTCTCCTTATTGGTTCCGTACTCTGTTGTATAATATAATTATTATTATTATTTATATTTATCCTCTCCCGACAATGCTTTTCGATCATCGTTACATGCCATCTTCTTCTTCAATGGATGTACCCATGAAGAACTCGTCCTATCATCATCCAACTCACTTGATTGCAAGCAATATGGGCGAGGATCACCATCTCTGCACTTACCCAGGCTTTGGCCAAACTCCCGACTCTCTTCATTTCTTGCTGAGCACACCCTTCAATCAACTTGGCAATCCATCCATGACCTTAATCAATCATCAAACCCCAAGCTTTGATGGTTTATCTTTTCATAAACCACAAGAAAATCAAGTCTCGGTTAAGGGTAAGCAAAGCTCAACTATGAACGGAAACAACCTTCAAACCCTTAAATCAACATCATGCAAGCCTCACATATGTACCCACAATCATCAAGGGGTTTCAAGTCCTATTCACCTTAACGACAACTCGATTAAAACAACAACAACAACCCTTCCTCAACGCAGACAATCCAACCCATCGGCTCCCTCTTCCCAACAAAAACAGTTCTCGTCTGCCTCTACCTCCAAGCGCTCGTTGGAGGCTTTTGCAAGCAGCACAGATTTTAACGACATTGTGGTTCAGCAATCAACCAATCAACAACAAACGAACGACAATCAGGCTTCCTACAACGGTAAAGACCGTTACAAGACAGAACTATGTAGATCTTGGGAAGAAACTGGATTCTGTAGATATGGGGATAAATGCCAATTCGCACATGGCAGACAAGAGTTGAGAGTGGTTACCAGACATCATAAGGTAAGTATTTCCTTACGTAGAATGTTATTTCATGGTTGCAATATCAAAACAATAGTACAAGAGCGAGTTGTGCAATAACTACCATTATGAAGGAACATGTATGTACGGAATTCGTTGTTGTTTCATTCACTCCATCGACAAGGCTGTAATTGGGAGAGCCCTTAGCCAAAACATTGACATGGTTCCCATTCAACAAACCTCTCGTCTTCCAGTTTTTAAAGAGCAAATTGATCACTCTGTACCTCTTTACTTCTTTACTGCAGATTCTGTAAATCAATGATAACTCTCTATCTTATTTAATTTATTAGACTGAAAATAATCATATATAACTCTAACCTGATCTCCATCAATTACTAATTTATGGAGAATGAATCACCATTCATTCTCTACCTTTTATTTATTTCAAAACCAATAAATAAAACTCACATTTACTTTTTGAAGACTACTTGTTTGGTTCCATCATCATAATGATATTCAAATACTGCTCCAATGTCATCCTTTCCAGATGCCTTGTCGTTAAAGAAGACAAATTTTTCTCTCGAGTCAATATGTGGATAAGCTTTGGTGATATCAATTCCGCCAAGCCACTTGAATCCGAAATATGAAACTAGGGGAAAGAAAGAAGCTAATATAATAAAATTAATTTTACGTTCCGATGATGATTCAGCCAAGAATTTAAATTTCCAAAATATAATAATTCCATCATATGGAGGATAAAATAACAATTATCACACATGATTAAATTCATAACAAAACACACCAACACAGAAAGCAGCGAGAGAATAGAAAGCGCCGGGCTCTGATTTCTCAAAACCTCTCCATCCCTTGTCGAAGAAAACGCTGTCTTTGAAAATGCCTATCTTTGAAACGAATTTATTTCTCATTTTTTGTTTGAATACAATCAGCATGCCAACACTCTCAAGGAAACACCAAAGAACAACACCATTTCTTTTCACATATGAATACAATCAGCTACCTGTCCTAAATTTACAACAAGCAATTTCTAGGAATGGAGACACAAATGCAACAAACGATGAAGAACCTCTCGCATCAGATGAAATTGCGACGAAGAATCTGCAGAAGTATTGATTAAAAGCTCTACCCATCAAGAGCGATAGAATTGCTTGAATGTCTACCCAGTACTTGATGATGTCCTGTTTTCTTCTTGTAAAATATGTGTCGGAGTTAAGAATGATTCCTCTGCTGTCGATAAGGAATTTGGAGGAGGTTAGAATTTCATTTCGGTCATGGGGAATCAATTCAATGTTTAGAAGCCTCTTCATCTGTTGTTTAGCATACATTCTTTCCTCCGATAGTAATATGCAACGTGTGGAATAATGTTCAATAGTTCCGGTGCAATTACATCTGGGGCAGGTGTGAGTTTGTTGTTTAAATGTTTTCATGTGAGCATTGTGCATGTTTCTCCAGATTGCATATTTTTGTTGGGGAGAGATATTCTTTGACTTCATGAAATTGAATGTTGTTGGGAAGATGCAAGAAGGGTTAAACTTATTCCTGCTCTTCAAAGTTATTGATTCATTCCATTTCTGAAGTTGTTTGTTCTTGATGAATGTTGCAATATCTGGAATCCAGTGGTTATTGGATTTGAGGATAATTTGGTTTTGGGTAAGTTGTCTGTGAGGAATTATCAATTTTCCTGATGTGCATCCCTTTTTGGCTAATTTGTCTACGTGAATGTTACCACTATTTTGGTGGCCTTTAACTTTGATGATGGTGATTTGTAGGTTTTTAGATTTCTTGAGGAATTCAAATTCAGTTTTAAGGGGGAGAAATGGTCCTCGGTATTTAGGATTTGATAGCAAATTGATACTTACTTCGCTGTCTGTGTAGATTTTTGCTTTTGATTTTGTTGGTAATAATCGGAGAGTGTAGACAATACTTAGTAGTTCAGCTAAGTTATTGCTATGGATTGGGTCAAGTTTGAATTTGTGTCTAGTTATTATATTTTTGGACTGTAAAATAATACCAAATCCAGTTCCTTGTTCAGTTTTAGATCCATCAGTCCATACTTCAAAGTTTTTACATTTCTTATGGTATTTTAGTGATTCTTCATTTACAAGTTGAGGTATGTAGTTGCAGTTATCAACTTTAAGCTCATACTTCCTTGCTATGTGGTGGAAGTTTTCAAATATATTTAGGTTTTTGGATTTTTTGGTGTTGAATGTTGATGTGATAGCATCATTTACCGCTTCTTGCATGAGTTGGTAATTGTGACATGAGATATTAATTAATGATCTTAGGGTTATGATATCAGTCATCATTTCAAGGCATGGAATACCCATTCCTCCTTGGTAGATTGGTAAGTATAGGCATTCTTTAGGTGTTCTTGCATCAATATTTAGTTTTCTTTTGATTTGGTTTCTGATTGAAGAGTCGAATGATTCTATTTGGGATTGGTTTATTGAATTACTGCGTGCAAGGTGTCTAATTTGGGATAAGGTTTTAGATGTGACTACTTGTTTGAGATTATATGGTTGAATCAGATTAATTGGGAGGATGTTAAGGATATTCATCATCTTATGTTTCCTTTTTTCTAGTTCTTCCTTAAATAATTTAGATTCAAAAAGATATCCTCCGAGGATTCTTTGGTTGTCTTGGTTTGGAATTTTGGTATTGTTAATCAAGGCCTCATTTGGTTTAGGGAGTGAAGTTGTAACTGATTTGGATGGATTAATTTCTAGGAATATTTGTTTGAACCATCTGTTAATTTTCTTGAGTCTTTTGTTGTGGAGAGTAATGTTAGAATTGATAATTGACATATCATCGGCAAAACAAAGTGTGGCAATATCATCAATGTCTAGATCTTGTGGAGTGATTGGGAGTTTTTCTCTTTCAATAATTTTATCAATAATCATTTGGGAGATGCAGTTATAGATTAGAGGAGCTAGAGGACATCCTTGTGGGATTCCTCTTGTTTTGGTGAATTTTTCTGATAGTGTATGATTCCATTCTATTTGGATTTGATGATTTGAGTAAGCATTAATGATGAAGTTTTTAAGTTCTTGGGGGAATTTGCAGTGGGTGAGCGCCATGTCAATGATTTTGAGTTCAATGGAATCATATGCAGCAGCAATATCTATATTGGTTAGAATGAATCCTTTCTTTTTGAATTTGTTAATGAGGGCTTGTATGAGGATGCAGTGATTTGTTGTTTCTCGATTTTGGGTGAATGCTTGTTGTCTAATGTTGATATTTGATTCGGCCCAATCTTTAAGTTTGAATGTTATAATGTTGAATAGGAGTCTATATCCAATATTCATGATTGTGATTGGTCTTAGATCTTTGTAGTCTGTGATTATATCTTTTTTTCCGATTAATTTAACCCATCCTTGTTTCCAGCATTTTGGGATGTCTTGATTTTGGATCATGTCATTAAATGCTGATGCTAAATTATTGGGATTGATATTTTCAAATATCTGTTTTGTTGTGAAATCTACCCCTTGTGTTGTTGATTTCATTCTTTTCAACGCGTCCGTAACATCTTCTTTAGTTATTGTAATGTTGGACGGTCCTTCTTTAACTGTTGATTCACCTGGTTTAAATTTAATTTCTGTTTTGTCATCTAGTTTTGAGGTGAATTTGTTTTTAAAGTAGTTCACAGCTCCTTCTTTTGTTATTTTGGTTGAATTCCAATCAATTTCCTTGTATTTGAGATGGTGATCGAAGTTGTGGATTCCTTTGGTGTGTTTGTTATTAATGGAATCTATGAACTTTTTTCTATATTCCGCAAATTCAAGGTTATATTGTTCTTTGAGTTTCTTCTTTGTTTCCTTTATAGATCTTTTGATAGTGGATTCATCTTGGGTTGTTTCGGATAATTTCTGTTCATGGAGATTATGGAGCTGTTGTTTCAAATTGGTAATGATTTCAGATTCCTTAAATCCCTTAATAGGATGTGGTTTATGAGATTGGTTCTTGATCTCATGATTGAGTTTTTTCAATTCATTGTTGTTGACGGGAAGAGATTTCAAAATTTCTTCGAGTTTTTTTGCAACACTTTGCTCATCGCTGATTATTCGTTTCCAGGTTGTTGGAATTAATAATTTAAATTTGAACATGATTGGTATGTGGTCATTTGTTGTGACGAGTGGTAAAGCTTGCTCATGTTCTATTTCAATGTGACTCGAGTGGAATAGGTGGTCAGGTCTTGAGATTGTTTCTAATATTTTGTTTTGTGATGTGTATTTTCTGATGTAGGATGGAATTATTGTTTCTCTTTCTTTTAGGTTATGTTGGTCCATAAATGTTTTCCACTTGGTGTCTTTGTAAGCATTTCCTTCTGAACTAAAATTCATGTCAACAATCACTATTATTGGTTGGTGATTTAGGGTTGATAGGGTTTCAGATAATTTCTCGAGTAAAGTATTTTCTTCTTCTTCATTTCCAGAGTAGTTATAAATATTAAATATATTCAATAAGCATCCACCGATGTGGATGGTGCATAGTTGGAGACGTCCTGGAATAAGGATTTGATGAATAGCTTTCTTTTTGTGACGTTGATGGGTAAGGACAAAAGTTCCATCATGAGAATTATTATTGTTGAGAAAAGAATAATATCGATAGAGGTTTTGGTGAAAAGTGCGTGTGTATTGTGAGTTGTTAATGTGTGATTCTTGGATTGCCATGAAGTTAAGGTGATAGATATCCATAAGCCGTATGATTTTGTCCAATCTACTTGATTGATTGGGATCCTTTGGAAGGATTCCATTCACATTAAGGGTTGCAATAGTAAAAGTCATTCAATATCTTTATCATGCATGTCCTTTCTCTTCCCAGCTTGGACGAGTCTTTTAACGCTGTGCATTAGAGTTTCCATATTCTTAGCAATATATGATATATTGCTTTCCATATTGGAGACTCTTTTTTCAAGGCTGGTAAACCTTGCTTCATAATTATTTGGAGTAGTAATAGTTGAGAAGTTAGAGCTTTCTTTCTCTGTTGATTGATTTGATTTGGAGATAGCTTTTTCTTTAAAGAACTGCGCTTTGGACTTGAAGGATTTTGTGATGATTCTGCCATGCTTGGTTTCAATAGGATGGTCCACTTCTAAGATACGATCGACTTCAGTATCAGATTTAAGAGACACTATGGTGTTATAATATGATTCTTCAGGATTAAAAGGAGATGCCTTTTCATCGATTTTGATAGAGTTTGGGTGAATAGTAATTCCTGCTTTAGTGGTGATATCTTTAACGACGTTTACGATTTCATGTTTTTCAAAATCTGTAGAGAGGTTGATAAAGACTTCAAAACGGGAATCTTCAGCTAGTTGAGTATAAGTTTTGAGGCGAGACCATTCGGTGTTAGAGAGGATTTCTTGTAGTGATTGTAAATTCTTAACTGTAACAGTGGTTTTGAAGCAGCTTGAGTCTGGTGGTTTACTAATTCTCATAGCTATTAAACCTTTAGATTTCTCATGCCAATTGCATAGGCAGGAGATCATATGAAGAATATTGTTTTCATCGTTTCCAGTAAGATGTTGAGCGGTGAACTCTGTGATTTGGAGAGACATATCAGAGATAAAGTATTTAAAGTTTGTTTGACTTTTGGCGGTATTGAGGTTCTTGATGATTTCGTCCCTTGAGCTTGATGAGGACGGAACAATTTGGAGTATGAATGGTCTTTCAGAGGGGACCCATGGATCCTTCGCAAGTTTGGAGGCCTTGAGGTGATTGAGGAGAAATTGAAGTGCCTCTTTGTTTTTGTACAAGTTGGTTGCGCAGTATATTGTTAATCCTTTGTTGAAGTCGATAGATTTCTTAGTTGTTGGGCGGGTTGATCAATGCATTTTTGCGGTCTTTGGTGTTTTTTTTGGTTGAGGTTTTTTTACCTTAGGGTTCGAGTTATCTTTGGAAGAGAGATTTTTCTTGTTTAGGTTGATATTGGTTGTTGTTTCTTGGTTGAATCTACGGCTTTGGTATTTGTTCTTCATAGGAATTTGTTCTTTTTTGTTGTGTGTAAGTGTGTGTGGTGTGTGTGTATGTGTATGTGTTTGTGTATGTGTTTGTGTAGAAGATGGTGCTTGTATTTGTGTTTGGGGGAATATTAGAGTGGACATAACTGACTCATCATTTGGAGGGTTATCATTGATTTTAAGATTAGAAGTAGGTTCATGCAGTTGCTTTTCAATCATATCATTAATTACTTTAGTGAGATCATTCATGGTAGATTGTAGATATTCAATATATTTTTCAAGGTGCGCAATTTTAGTGATTAACGAGGGATGATCGTCAGTCATTTTTTAAGGGCTCAACAAGACGAAAAAATGAGACTTCTCGTTCATAACATGATGTGTTGTTTGAAATGTGAATCATTCCCTCTCAAAATTGAAGCAACCGAAGTGGAAAATGAAGAGCAAGATGAAAACAAAGAATTTATTTTAAATGTTCTTCAAAGAATTGATTATGATGCTCTGAAAAGTGCTGCAAGTAATGTATGTTTATTTGAATTGGTATTCTGATGAAGTTTAAACGAATACATGGATTCCGAAATCACAACGATAACTTTCCGATATTAAATATGATAACTTTCAATTTTAAATTATTGGAATGATGATGATGCGCCACTATTTAGCTTTCTATTGAGGGTTTACCAGAATCATTACCAGAGAATGTTGGAGAAAACGAAGCTGCTATGAAATCATTACACAAACTCTTATTAGAATTGCAAGTCCGTAATGGCGAGCTTGTTTGCACTAATCCTTCATGTGGTCGAAGATATCCCATCAAGGACAGAATACCGAACATGGTGCTTCGAGATGATGAAGTTTCTGAGCTCAAAAAGTAAACAACCATTTCAACGAATAATTTATTCAAACTAATGACTCATTGCTATTTACATGGATGCATCCAACGATTAAAATTGCTATTCTCTCCATTCCTTTAACAGTGTTTGAAGAAATTCAACCACCATTTTTGGATCCTTTAAGTGATAATCGGCATAGGTAAGGAATTGAGGATTTGCATTTGGAGCTGCTGCTATGGTGCCGTCTCCTGGCACACTTGGTAAACTTGCACTATCATCTTGAGACAGTACTGCATCAAATCTTTCGACATTGGTTGGTGAGACAAGTATTCCAACTCCCAAATCATGATCTTTCAAGAGTTTGAATGCATCTTCGTCGGTCTTGTCATCGCCGATAAAGATTGAAAACACCTTGTCACTCGTTCCCAGATTCCAAAAATTAAGAAGAAATTGAACTGCTTTTCCCTTGTTCCAATCGGTGTTGATTCTAATTTCATGAACCATTTTACCGTGAGTGTGAACAACTTGTGTTTCATCCTTACAAACTTGTTCCACAATTTCACTCACTCTTTGTACATTCTTCTCGTCTTTAATCAATCTGTAGTGGACAGAAAGAGAAAATATATTATTTTCCAAAATACATCCCTCAATACCTGAAAGACTTTCTTTAAGTGTTTCATAGATTCTTCTTAAAACGGGAATACATTCTTTGGCCACCTGAAAGGTTACAATATCGGTTCCATCGTCACGCTTTTGTGTGGTCCACTGCGAGGAGCAATCTTGAGTGAGAAGTGTTTGTACGACCAAACCTGCACGGTCATGACGAATATGTTTCACTGGACCAGAAATATCGAATCCATGAGAACCAGCATAAAAGAGATGTGGAAGACCCACACGATCCATAACATCTGCTCGTGTTCTTCCCGACACAACAGCTATTCGGAAATAATTTGACAAATGATTCATGACTTCTCTTGCTTCATTGGAAAGAATGGCTTTCTCGGGTCGATCCACGATCGGAGTCAAGGTTCCATCGTAGTCAAGAAACAAAACCACCTCTTTCTTTGTATTCTTGAGCAATGAAATAAATTCTGCACTCAATGCTGATGGTAAGAAAAAAGCTTTTTTACTTGCGTTCGTCAACATGTTGTTTCAATGGATTCTTTTAAGATATCATATTATCATCACGATGTGCAAGTTGGATGAAGCTTTTATCTTAATGCCAAACATGGAAAAAGGAAATATTTGAATTCATCAACCTGCAGTACAAAACTGTGATGAATTTGGAAATAATGCTGAAAAATGTTAAATTCGGTTCTAAAAAACAAATTTGAGTGAGTAGGGTACGTCTGGAGCCTTGGTAACACTAGTTTTCTTGTGAAGGGTAATTCTTTTCGTCAATCTTTTTTCAGGTGTGGAGAGAGGAGGGTCAGAAGTGAGGGAATTAGATGATGGAGGAATGGAAGGACGCACCTTAATTGCGACATTCTTTTGATCGAATGCCAATCTCTTAGAAATGTCTGTAAAATCTTCTGCTTCTTCATTTACAAGAGTAGGGTTTTGCATTGGTGAAATAATCTTTCGTTTGAAAAATTGCTTTGTTTTTTGAGATTGGGGAGTTTTTGGAATGCTAGAGGAGGTAATGGTAGAGGAATTAGTCTTTACAGATGGATCATAGCTGCTTATAGGAATGATAGTTGAGGATGAATTGGAGTTTGCGTTATTCTTTACATTAAGAGTATTGTTGAAAGTAGAAGGATGTATTGGAATTGGACGTAATGGCAGAGTGGAGGAAATTTTGGTGTCCACAAGACCAGCTTTATCTTCGCTCTTTTGTTGTTGAGGACTCGACTTGTCAGGATCTTGTAAGCTAGACGCCAAAGAAAGTAAACTTGGTGAACTGGAAGAATCAAGAGAAAGCCTAGTCATGGATTCAGAAAGAGATTTGCTGGAAAACGTAGCTGATTGAGTAGTTGTTGGAATGGGTTGTTGGCTTTGCTTCAATCTCTCGAATTGTTCTCTTCTTTCTCGTTCCATTTTGTTGAGAATGTGGAGCTTTTTGGGCTTTCTGTAGTGTCCAGGTGATACCGATGCTGCTGATGCTGAATGTTGATGATTGATTCGTAGACTGGACTTGTTTGAAGAAGGAGATGATGAATGATGATGATGATGATTACTAGAGCTATTCTCCATGCTGGTTGTTGGCTATATATGGTTTATCATAACATTGCAAACCAAACGACAGTTGCATAATGTATCGGACACATTGAGTCAGTAATTTCAAGAGCGGAAAGTATCATGACTAACATACCATTTCTTCTTCAAAATATGTGTTTGGCTGATTTCGAGAAAGAGAATTTTTGTTCTTTTTTCTTGTTGGACTTGACCACATCAAAAAGTGGCGGCAAATCAAGAAAGTTACGAAATTTGCAAAATCGTTAACGTTAATTTTTTTAAGGAAGCGGGAACAGAGAGATTTGAAAACCATCACTCTGAGTAAAAGCTTATACTAAAAATTACTCGAGTGCCGGGAATTGAACCCGGGTCGCCAGAGTGACAGTCTGGAATGCTACCACTATACCACACCCGATTGTTGTTATTGTTAATGTGAGATACTATATGTCAAAAATTGTACCAGATTATTTCTAGTCTTGACTATATGTTCGTGTCTACTTCTTAAAAGAAAAATGTCAAAAGCCAACAATTCTTCAACACAGGCCAAAAAACCCCAACAAAAGAAAGTAGCGAAGAAAGTGAAAAAAACTCTTGCAAACCCTTTTTCTCCGAAATTCAAAATTTTGTCTTCGGAGCAACAAAACAAGGTTTTGAAATTGTATGTGATCTTTCCGATTGGTCCAAATTTATTTTAATGTTTTGTTGAAGAATTCAAGAATGCCCTTTTCACAATATTATTTATGAAGTGAATAGAATTTCTGAAATTATTTCCAGTCCTCAATCACATCAAATTGAATTAGTAATTTTTCCAGATGCAAACTATTTGCAAATTAATCCTATTCAAATAGACTTCCTTATAAATCAATGCTCCTATGCGAAAATACCGTTTATTAATTTAGAAATTAACGTTCAGTCATTTACTGAAGTTTGTAAGAAACATTACTCTTCTCTGAGTTTACATCCCAATAACTTTCTGAAAGCTATTGCTTTTGAATCCACTCACGATGATACATCTATGGACCCGCAGCAAAGTCAATATAATATTTTGGAGCTGTTATACCAAGAAAATGTTTATGGTCCATCTATTCCTAGAGAAGATCTTTTTTATGTTCCTCCATTCATCAGTTCCTCATTCCAATACGAGCCAGCTCATGTCGAAGATGTCAAGCCATTAAACCCCATCAAAAAAGTTTGAGTGCCAGCTTAACAAGCCAATTACTACCCTCTCCTTCGACTCAAATGTCTCACTCACATGTTTTGTACCTCTTGTTCCATTATTATTTCTTGAGGAAAGCTTGTCATTCAAAGCATTTTCACTTTTTTCGTTTTTTAGGCCATGCTTTATTTGGTGCTTATGCTTGTTGAGAATGGGTTTGGCCAAAATTGTTTTCTTCACAGCCAAAAAATTTGCTCCAACATGACCGATAAACAACCAGTACGTACCTGTTTGTAGTGACTTGTTAAGCCAAAATGATCATTGTATGATGTGTTGTGTTTGATTGGATTTTAAAATCCAACGAATTTTGTTGTGTTTGTTGTGTGCAACCCATACGGTAAATTCAATCCATTCAATCCTCGGATGAATCCAATGAATCAATTTGGTGGTGATTACTATTTGTTGTATAATTAATATTACAACAATATTCACTTGTAACAAAACCATGGATTTACACGTGTTAATGTGTCCAATATGATGATAATCCATCAAACACTCTCTTGTACATGTTCCATTCGTTTACTCTGAATGTCATCACATCTCTTCTTTGAAATTCAGGTCAGTGAATATCTTCAAAATCACAATCTTCAAAAGTTGGTTGAAGATGCTCTCAATGAATGCTACAATGCCAACGCCAGTGATCCCGTTGGATTCCTTGGTCACTTCTTTTTGAACCGTGGAAAGAAGGGTGCTGTCAATCGTGTCGACAAGCTTGTTGGTAGAGAAATTTTGGATTCAAGAGGTAATCCAACGGTTGAAGTTGACGTTTATGCTAATGGACAAAAGAGACCAGTAGCCACTGCTTCTGCACCATCCGGAGCAAGTACAGGAAGCAATGAAGCTCACGAACTTCGTGATGGTGATAAATCAAGATACCTCGGAAAAGGTGTTTTGAAAGCTGTGAAGAATGTGAATGATGTGTTGGGCAAGGCAGTGGAAGGAAAGTCATTGGAAAACTTGACAGAACTCGATCAAGCTTTGATCGATGCTGATGGTGATGAGTTGAAGAGCAATTTGGGAGGTAATGCGATCACTGCATGCAGTTTTGCACTTGCCACTGCTGGTGCTGCTGTCAGAAATGAGGAATTGTTCTTGTACTTGGCAAGAGCATTCCATGGAGCTGATAAGTTTGAAAACTTAAAGTTCCGTTTGCCTACTCCTATGGTCAACATTTTGAATGGAGGTAAACACGCAGGTGGTCGTCTCCAAATTCAAGAATTTATGATTTTACCAAAGGAAAATCAACCATTCCGTGAGAAGGTGAGATGTGTCGCTGAAGTTTATCAACATTTGGGTAAGATTCTTGCTGAGAGAGCTGGTCCAAGTGCAAAGAACGTTGGTGATGAAGGAGGATTTGCACCAAACTTGGAAACTGCTGATGAAGCATTGAATTATATCGAGGAAGCAATTGGCAAGGCAGGCTACAAGGTTGGCGAAGATGTGTTTTTGGCTTTGGATGCTGCTTCAAGTGAGTTCTACAACTCGGACACTAAGAAGTATGAAATTACTCAACAAAAAGAGTTCTTGACCTCCGAAGAAATGGTTGAATATTATGTTCAATTGGTCAATAGACACCCTGCTATTATCTCCATTGAAGATGGATTGGAAGAAAAGGATTATGAAGGATGGAAACTTTTGACTGAAAGATTAGGATCAAAGATCATGTTGGTTGGTGATGATTTGTACACAACAAATACCAGATTAATCAAGCAAGGAATTGAGGAAAAGTGGGCAAATGCTTTGTTGTTGAAGGTTAACCAAATTGGTACCATCACCGAAGCAATGAATGCTGCCAGAATGATTTTCAATGTTGGACAAAAGGTTATTGTTTCGCATAGATCCGGTGAGACTGCAACCACTTTAATCTCTGACTTGGTGGTTGGTATTGGAGCCACACACATTAAGACTGGTGCTACTGCTAGAGGAGAACGTGTATCCAAGTACAACCGATTGTTGCAAATCGAAGAATATCTTGAACAACACGGTTTGCTTGCATAAATAAATTAGAGAATTAGAAACAAGAATTGAACTCAATAGAGAATTTATTATAAACAATGTGTGTGATACGAACTATGAATCATAAGTTGAAGAGATGATCTCGTGAGACTTGGGGGAATCGGTTGTACTTGGATACACGTTCTCCTTTGATCCCGCCACTTCAAACATCTACTGAAATTTTCATTTTTTAAAAATGCCTTCAAAGCAGGTCAAACTTCTTCAAACCAGTTACGATGAAGATCAATCATCCTCCGATGAGGATGAGTTTGAAAATCCATTCAAAATTCCAACTGATGAGCAAATATTTGAAAGGAGAGAAAAAGAAACAAACAAAGATGCCAACTCCAGCTTGCACTCACGTTCTCCTCGAAAACATAAATTCAGCAGCCGCAGAGATCGTGCTTTGCTGCCCAACATCAACGACAAAAAATCTAAAAGCGCTCCCTCAGGTGATATGTCACTGGATGCTTCGTATAAAAAAAAGGAAAACGTTGGAGATTTTATAGAGAAGAAAAAACAAATGTTTTTATTGCAAATGAGCATTGACACAAAGAAATTTGAAGTCAAGAAGCTCGAAAAAAAAGCTCAAAAACGAGAACAAAAGTTATTTCAAATGGAGCAAGAACTAAAGCAACAGACACAAGCGTTTGACGACTTTTTGGCTTTGAATGACATTAGGGCGGTTGAAGCCATCAAAAAAGCAGAAGAAGAAACAAAAGCCAAACAATCAAAACAAAATGAAATTAAGAAATTGAATGCTAGGGCTGCGGCTATTAACACTGAGATAGCTAAACTAGACGAACAATTAGAAAACTGCAGAAGATATAAGGAATTTTTGGATTCTCTCACACCTAAGGAAGAGTTAATGAAAATGAACGAAAAGAAGAATTCAAAGAAAAACAAGAACCAAGGTACTTCAAAGATAGCCTCTAAAAACTCTAGTAATGATGATGAAAAACCAGAAACTAAAATGACTCAAATAGCTTCGATCGATGGCGGAGAAGACGATGATGAAGATGATGACGACGAGGCCATTGAAATGTATTTTAAAAAACCGGAACAATTGTTAAATATTTATTCAGAATTGGAAGAAAGCAATTTAATTCTTATTCAAAGTACTGAAGACATCCAAGAGCAGCTTGAAGAAGTACAGAAGATATACAAGGAGACAAAGAAGAAAATGTAAGTTGTTCTCCTCATTCATTATACGCATCGTTTTAAACAATTTCATTCTAAGGAATGCTGAGGCAGAGAATCTTCAACTCCAAATAGATAGCCTTAATGAACAAATAGAGATGGAGCAGGAGCGATTGAAAACCGTATCAGAACGACATTCAGCTAACAATGATCAAGATGGTGAAGAGAAGCTCAAAACATTGTCTGACAAAATTAAGGAAATATATTTGGACTCGGCCATCGAACTTGACAACGACGAGAACGCAGATTTAGTGGAAAATCTTGATCCTTTGTTTATGCTCTCAAAGATAGAGACAAAACTTGAAAGCTTGTTAACGTATTTAGATGACTACGACAGCGATTTTATTTCTAAATACGAAAAGCAAAGAGAAAAAGAAAGAAGAAAACAGCAAAGAGAGGAAGGAAACAAACAAAAAAGCCAAAAGGAAAAGAAAAACAAATCGATTTTGCAGTCAAACGTAGCAAAGAAACGAAATGGAAAACCTCTCGTGTTCCGATCTGCTCCTCCAAATACAGTCGCCAAAAAAGCAAAGAGTGAGGAAACTAAAGAAGATGAAGAACGAGACGAGTTTAAGGAACTGTTTCTCATCAACTGAATCTAATGATGATACCACCAGCCATTTATGTCAGAATCGAAAAAAACAAGGAAGATGTTCCAAATAAACTTCGTTGACGAACTTGCTGAGCGATACCTGTCAACCATCAAATCAACAAAAAAAATGCGAGAACTTGTTCATCGATTGCTTATCCTTGTGGTTGTCCTGGTGGTCATGTCACAAGTGTCTGCACATTCCACCTTCCACATGTTTGCCCACAAAGAGTACAATCACATCCATTCCCATCCTGAATCCAATCACAACACACCACATCATAAATGTATGCATGATAAACTTTTCGAGGATGAATTAAAATTACATGGTGGGGACAAGTCCAAATCAGATCTTTTCAAGAATTTGGATGTTTCTCGTGGACTGACTCTACCACTCGAGCATCGAACCATTCTAACAGAAAAACGAGAGATCAAAAAAGTTTATGATGTTTTTAGCCCAATTCGAATCCGTTTGGATACAAGTACCATCGCCAATGATGTAGATTCACGAACCTGTTATTCACAAGGTCAACAATATCAACGAGGAAACCCCTCTTCAACTAGTGTTGTTTGCAATGAAAATGCAGGTGTCACAACGAATTGTTGGGGAACTTGTCAAAGTGGAGATGTTGCCACCACTGCCAAACAAGCACGTGTGATTAGTCTTGTGAATACTGTGAAAGCTAAAATTGAATCTCAACTCACTACAAGAAGATTGAGTGTTTTTACAGTACCTCCAACTCAACAACCTTGTGGAGCTGAAGGTGGTGTCGCTTGGCCTTCCTCTGTCACCTCTCCAAATTATGACACTTCTACAGATTTGTATATTTTTGTGACCATGAGACCAACAACAAGCACAACTGCTGCCTGGGCAACTGCATGCATTGTTGAGACTACCTATCGAAGACCAATAGGAGGACAATTGAATGTTAATCCAGCAATTCTAGATATTTACAATAGTGCTTCCAATGAACATGTCTTGTTGAGTACATTGGAACATGAAGTGACTCATATTTTGGGGTTCAGTTCTTCCATGTATGGCTCGTATGTGGATTCTACTGGAAAACCTTTGGGAGAAAGCAATGTCGTTGCGACAAGACAAAGTAATGAAAATGGAGCCACAGCGTCTCGAACTTTTTTCATTCATCCTAGTATGAGATCCATGTTTCAACAAATTACAGGTTGTTCGACACCAGTGGATGTCCCAATTGAAGAATATGGAAGTTCAGGATCTGCTGGATCACATTTTGATAGTAGAGTGTTTGTGAATGAATTGATGGCTCCTTCCTTAGATGGATGTCAACAATTTGGAAGATCTTGTTTTACATCCATTGCCACTCTCACACTTTTACAAGTCACAGGATGGTATCAACCTAATTTGACCAATGCTATTGAACCTACTTTTGGTAAGAATATGGGTTGTTCTTTTGCTACTGATCGATGTAACAATTGGGACTCTACAAGAAAAGGATATTACTGCACAGATACCACTTCAAAGAAGGTCACTTGTGCCTATCATTTACGTGACAAGGGTGTTTGTGATATTGTGACTTATACGTCAAGTTTGCCAGCTCAATATCGGTACTTTTCAAATCCAGCAATGGGGGGAAGAGTGTCATGGTTTGATTTTTGTCCATTCATTCGTCGTTATATTGCTTGTAATGACCAGACCATGCCAAGACGTTCTACAGAAGTATTCAATTCGAATAGTGCTTGTTTTGAAGGTAATTTAGAATTGAATGGATTCTCTGGAACCATGGAAGATGAAAATTCTGCTTCAAGATGTCTCGTTTACAGTTGCGACCGAAAAAGAAAAGATTTTAAGAATTCGTCTTCACACTACTTCTCAATATGTGGATTGTCCTGCCGATCAATCCTATCTCAACATTACTAGTTTCAATGGATTTAAGGGTTCCATTGCTTGTCCTAAATTAGGTTATACTCTCTTGTGCGAATCAAAGGAAATTGCTCCAAGTACTGACGATGGAACAGGACAATACATTGATCCCTCGCAGGCAGGAAATGAAAAATCCGATGGTACTACCAATGGAAAAACATGCTTTTTCATATTTTGTAAGTAGAGATATTTGTCTAATGTTCTTCTTGATGTGACATTTTGGATGACATGATAACGTTGATGAATGAACTTTTTGTTTGAACCAAATCTTGGGAACAGGTTGGGGAGGTAATGCAAGTCAAACCTTTAAGATTTGGAGTACACACTTCATGTTGCTGATTGGAATTGTTTTGACCTTGCACATGATCTTTGGATATACCACGTCTGAAAATTAATTATGGATATGTAAATAGATCAACAATAACTTCAACCCTTGTTTATTTCATCCCTCATTTTGTAAAATTATTCAATTCTATTATTAATTTATTATTTTCAATTATTATTCCTTATTATTGTTAGAAAAGTCTTCATTGTAAATATCATTGAAAAGTCTGTTTACAGAATCTTTGAACTCTAAATTGTTGAAATTTAAAGAAAAAATGGTTCGCCTTAATACTACCAACGCTTCCAAGGCATCATCATGTCCACACACCCTCTCGAGGCCAGGCTGTTCTTCATCCTATCAAAAAAAGGTGCCTTCCCCGATCTATGAAGTTCGTTTGATGGATTATTCTCGCTCTCTGAAGGTGCTCTTGTTCCTCATGATGATGTTTTTTGTGCAGGTTTCATTGTTCCATCTGGCCAGTATTCTTTCGGAATTGGGATATTTGAAGGGTTATTCCTTATGGAATTGGCCTCTTGAAAGAGAAATGGTTTCAACCTTGTTTCATTGTCATCCAGTCTTCAACATAATTGTATTGATGCTGTATTTTGTTTTATGCATTTGCACCATCTACGCAGTACTGCAATTTCAGTTCCAAAGTTTGCAAAGACTCATTATTGGACATGTCGTGATGAGCATCCTGTGGATGATGACTCTTATTCAACATACGTATCATTTTGTCCTGATCGTCTCAAATTCTTCCACTGTTCTTGATTCTTATGTCGAAAAGGTTGTTTCCATATATTCTCCTCAATTATTGTTTGTCTCATGTGTTTTGAACGGTGCTGGCTTTACTTTGGGTGTGTTTGTTTCTTACTTGCTTGTGAAATTCAGAAAACGTTTGCTGAAGATTATGATTCATCAAGCCAAACAAACTAATCTCTTGAAGACGGTTTAACATGCATTTCGTTTTATTCATTTGTTTTTTCAAGAATTGTGTAATGGTCAAACATCACGAACAGTTTCCTCCAAACTTGTATCAGCAAGCACAGGACATCCAATTTCATTGTTGGGGAATGCCTCTCTGTTTCACATAACAATTTCTGCTGACTTCATGGTGGCTCTTTGATGATGCTCAGCACATAATAAGTAGGTTTGACAAAGACCTTTTCCTTTGACTACCACAAGTGGTTCAGATGATTTCAACACACGAAAACAGTCATCCGATGAGAACTGGAAATTATATTGAACAAACACATACCTTCGACCTTTCTCTCCTCAAAAGTCCATCCCAAGTCGTGAACTCTTTCATAGGTGGAGCGAGATATTTGAATTCTTCCTGGAACACCTGTTGATTCCATTCTTGATGCGACATTGATACTATCACCCCACAAATCATAGGCAAACTGCAATCAAGTGAAATTCATGAAAGAGTCGAATCCAGAATATGAACAATTATTTCTCTCCACTTACCTTCTTTGTTCCAATCACTCCTGCAATAACTGATCCAGTATTAATACCTATTCTAATATCTACTTGAGGCTCAACATTTTCCATATTGAACTCCCTCACCACAGTGAAAGTTTCAATAGCGAATCTCATCACTCTCTCAGGATGGTCACTCGTATCATGAGGAGGAAGGCCCCCCACACAAAAGTATGCATCACCAATGGTCTTGATCTTTTCTAGTTGATATTTTTCTGTCATTTTATCAAACCCATTGACAATGTGATTGAGCATACCCACTAGCTGAGTGGGATTCATTCCTGCTGACATTTTTGTAAACCCAACCATGTCTGAAAAGAAGCAGGTGACATCATTGAACTTCTCAGCAATGAACGTCTCTCCAGTTTTGAGTTTGGCAGCCACAGATTCTGGAAGAATATTTCTCAGCAAGTGCTCAGATTTGGCTTTTTCTTCGGCAAGCAGTGCGTTTTGTTTCTTTTCTGAAGTAATGTCCTTAATGAAACATGTAATAACAGGAGCTCCTTTCTCAAATATGACCACAAATACATTAAGTTTAGCATGGAATTTGGTTGAGTTTCTTCTCAGGCAATCAACTTCCAAAATCTCACCACATGTTTCAGAGTTTTGATATTTAAAGGCAGTTTGCTTGAGCTGTTCGATGGTCGTTTCAATCAATGCCTTGTGAGAGCTGTCAAATAAGATGTACATGGACATTCCAACCACATCGGCTCTATTTCCACATCCAAACATTTTAAGCGCTGCATTATTAATGAATTCAATAGAACCATCTTCTCCACACATGATAGCTCCGTCCACGGACGAGTTTAGAACACTAAATACTTTTCCATTGTCTCCAGAGATTGCTGAAGTGGCATGCACTTGATTGTTTTTCTTCATGATTTTGCTTGACACTTTCATGATGGCATTGGAATGTTGATGGGCAATTTGGTTATAAAGCACAAATTGCTTAATCACCTCATTGTTATCAATAAATTCAAGAGGTAAATAATTGAGCATCATTTTCATATTGAAGAAGTCCAATTTGTTTTTCTCGATCAGCTTAAACATGTAGTAAAATAGACCACCTAAAAAGAAGGTACCCAAGGATACAAACAAAATAGTAATCATTTTGGAGGGTGATGAGGAATATTTCACAAAGAGTGTCATAAAGTCGATGGTCTTTTGGCACAGTAAGTTGGTGGCATAGTACAAATTCAATACGAAATGAAATGCATTGTCTTTTTTAGAAACAAATTGTGGACTCATAAAGTTGTCATTGAGTTCCAAGGTAGAACGTGCATAGAACGCAATCAAATCTTCCAAACCCGTACAATATTTCAATTTGAATGCACCAAAGTCAGTCATGTTTCGAGAATTGCTTTGAAAGAGTTGGGTGCAATTATTCACTCCTTGAACAATGTCATCAATGGCTTGATAACGCCCAACCGAGGGATCCGTGTCACCTCCTCCATAAATTAAATAATTCCATTCATTAAATATTTGTGAAATTCTCATCTTCAATTCAGCATTATAAGAAAGAATTTCGTCGTTCGAAGCCATCGCAGGATCATTCAACGTGTTCTTACTCAACGATAAGAATTTAAAGTACGAATTAATTCTAAAATTGGCTCTATTAATGAAACGTAACAATCCCGTTCCATGCACCACATTCAACATGGTTATATTCGAAAGAGACAAATTCGAATTGGTTTCCATCACCATCAATCCACAGGCCAACACACAAAACACAAACGCCACGACTCCCAAAATGAAGAATAAATTCTTTGGTTTGGTGAGTGCCGTCGAAGGTAAATTGACCTTTCCATCATCATCCGTTTTCGATGCCAAATCATGATAAATCTTTCCAATGACATTTTTCGATAAGGCATGCATCAACATTTTAGCCACTTGATCTGTTCCATCCATCAATCCTCTCATCAGAATCAAGTAAATTAAAAAACTTGTACTCAAACAAAAGGCCATACTTCCAAAGATGATGGCAAACACTTGAAAGAAAGTACTCAGAGTGTCATTACTGCTGTCAAGAGCACTGCTACAAAAACTCATCATTAAATCTCGAACCACTTGATGATTTCTCCAAACAAACATGAATTGATAACTCTGAATGGTTTGATTGTAATCCTTTTCTGTCCATGATTCAAAATCTCTTCCTGCACTCTTTAAATAGTTTAAAGTTTCAATGAGGGATGAATTTTTCACATAGGAATAAATATAGGAATTGCTGGAATTGTTAAAATTGTTGGAATTATTGGAAACAGAGTTATTTGCAAACATGGAAGGAATGAGTACTGGAGTGGTGGCTGCTGAAGCAATGGCATACAATTGTTTTGTAAACGTATTCGATTGAGCTTCATTCAAAATATTATCCACTTGATTGGTGTAAAAGTTGAGAATATTCTTGTGTTCCTGATGAATGAAATTGAGAATGGGTTGATCGGAAAGTGTGACTGAGTATCCTTCATTCATGTATTGATTCGCGTTTTGAATCATGGATATTTCTCTTAATAAAGCCAATGGTGTCATTGAACCTTGACAAACAGTAAATACAAAGGAGACGGATGTTCCAATGGAAATGTTGATGTATAAGGCAAGCACTGCACATGCCACTAACATGGTCACTGTGAAGAAACAGAATATTAAAAAGACCACAAACAATACCTTTCTCTGATCAATGGTTTTCAATGAATTTCGAATCATTAACTCCTTTTTGGAAAATTCTTTCGATTCAATTCCATTAAAGGTCGTTTCATCGATGAGTTGCAACTCTCCATTCGTGGAATAATCAGCAGTCATATTGAGAGCATTCGAGGGATTGGAATGAAATTTCACAGGACTCGTTGCTGCAGAATATCGTTTCTTGTCAAAGGCTGAAATTTTGGACGATGAAAATCCAATGGAATTGGAAATACCTCCTCCATTGTGAGGATCTCCATGATGATGAGCCTTCTTGGAACTCTCTTCTTCTTCAATGTTGGCTGCTTCTTGATAGAGATGTTGAGATAATTCCTTATCGAATCGAAACGATTCGACGAAATTGGCATATTTTCTCAAGACTTGTTTTTCCTTACTGTGAACAGACATGAGATTGACGTAGGTTTCTTCGATCGAGATGGAGAGTTGACTGGTTCTTCGATTAATCTTGTCCACTTTTTCCAAATTAGGATGTTCATTCAATAACTCTTTCCAAAATTGTCGATGAAGATTTTTCAATTCTTCCTCTCCTTTCGTTAGGGATTCAAGTGTTTGCTTAATTTCTGTCAAACATTGAGCACTCTTTGAATCCTTATTTTGAGCCATTTCAACTTCTTTGATTCTTTCATTCACCGAAAACTTGATCAAGAAATTTCTCGAACTTTTTAAACAACGTCTCAACAAGTACAAGGCATACGAAAAACTATTTGAATCTTCAAATGTATAAGCAATGAGAAGAGAGCTCGTTAATAGCAAACCTGCATGTTCTGCATCATTGTTCTTATTCGAAGTAATCACACGAGCCATTGAAAGTGCCATTTCTTGATGTTCTGTTTTTTCCCATTTTGACAAGAGTGACACGTGAACACATAATCGAAGAAAGATATTGAGTGAACGTTTCTTTCCTTCCATGGATTGGAATGCTTGCTGGGGGTGTGGATGATTCGAAATGATTCGTGATATTTGCTTGCAAATAACGAACAAGATCAATTCCATCGAAAGGTAACCAATGAGAAAGAAACAAAACATGAGACCCAAAGTCAAACCCATCATGACGAGACCCATCTCGTTCGAGTTGGATTTGTTGACGAAACATGAGATAAGACATCCTATTGATGCTCCAATTTTGGCAAATCCTGTTCCGCTATATAAGGCATTCTCTCTTTTACCAAAATAAGGAACTGTCAAGAATAGATACAACAACCAAAGGACTGAAAATCCCAAGTGTAAGATGGCTCTTCCATACAAATACAGGTTTGGAATGAGGAAGGTTGAAAATATTTCAATGCAATTAAAAACTGCAAGGAGCACAAAGTGAAAATTTGTTTCGGAAATAAAGAGAGATCGATTGAGAGGATTTCCATTTCTGGCAATTAAATTGGACAAGATGACACTCACTAATATCAATGCGAATACACTGCATGATATAGCATACGTAATGATATTAGGAGAGGTGTAACATTCAACCGTGGGATAGCGCACAAGTTTTGGCATACCAGAATCTGAACTACTGTCACTAATCAATGCATTCACTGGTTGTTGCATTCGACAATCTACAAATGCCGTCAAAATAAACGTAAATACCAATGCTCCTAATACCATGACATGATTAATAACATGACTCATACTTAATACAATCTTGGTGTGTCGACTCGAATTTGCAACACATCGATGTGCCACAAACGTGATGAACAAGTGTAACAAGACAATGAATGCCACTAAACTCATCAAAGCGATCGAAGCATCATAGGAAACCAATTGTAATGAGAGTGTAACTGGATACAGTGCAATCGTGAACACTTGAGATCCATATTCTCCAAAATTGTATAAACCCAATAAGGGAATGAACATGGAACACCACAGGACATAAATATTAAAAAGTAACATGTAAAGAAAATATTTGAAGGAGGTATGACTCTTTCGATCCTGAACGGAGATCACCAAAGAGGAGAGTCGATCTTGAAGTTTGTTTACCACTGAAAACGCTGATAAGGTATTCGTCGTGGTCGCAGTAAGATCTGTATTCGAATCGACACCAGTGACTTGAGAGGGAGCAGAAGCAATTTCATCTTGAATGTCCTTTGAGGAATTATTTGCAAGATGTGTGGACGATTCGATCATGATGTCGATGAAAAGTATTGATGATAAAAGAGTGGGATGAGTGGATTGTGGTAAGAGAATTCAAATAGAAGTGGTAGTAGTTGTTGTTGTTGTGGTGTATTCTTTGTATTTGGAATGAAGGAATTCTTGTATTTTCTTTTAGGTGGTAAGTGAGAAAAAATGCTTCTTTGGAAAGCGAATGTTGTTGTAGTCCATATATTTGATTAAAATGATTCAAATATGTCATGAAAGAGGTCGAATGAAAGATGTATGGAATGCTTCTTATAGAGTGGACAACAAGATTCTGTCGAATGACAAAATGACATTTGTTGTATCCAATAACTCTGCCGAACAGTTCGAGTTTGATTTGGAGTGACTATTCAATTGTAAGGATCGCACACTCTAGTTTGAGACATGTCCTTGATTCATGTGCGGTGATTCTCATCATCATTTCCTTGTTGTAGTGATCGACTTGGTCAATCAACGATTGGCGGGTCAAACATGTTTATATCTCTTCATGTTATGTAAGGAATTTCAATTATATCCAATTCTTTTATTGTTTTAACCAAAAGAAAGGGACGACGACGGCTGAATTTACTTTTGGAATGTAAATGGACATGGAAGGTGTTGTTATCAAATTACTTTGGTAATCACTAAAAGTGTCCATCAAGCCTCATATTTAGATTCTCAATGTTGAAAAAAGAAGAAAACACAAGAGAGATGATGTATTACAAGTAAGTACTGATGATCATTCTGTTGTATCCCACACACAATCAACTTGATACCACCCTCAATACACTCACTCACACACTTGGTGTTGTAATAGAGAGAAGGTTCCTTTAGGGTTTGGTGGTAGTGGTACCTCCAGTGGTGGTGGTGGTGGTATGACTTTCATTGCTGCAAGTGGTAACACTTCTTAAAGAAGAAGAAATCAAAGAAGAACCAACAAGTGGAGTGGATGGTTGCAACAGTTTGTGTATCCATTCACTACCAATGGAACATGCATTCGTCCATTGCTGATGAATATATTCACAAATACCACTCACGCCACCACTCAAAGTACCACCACTCACACCACCACTACGATCAATGACTAAATGATAACATCCAACCACAATGGTACAAACCAAAAAGAAGAGAGTAAAGAACATTCCAGCACCATATCGAAACAAGTGATAGAACCAACCCATGATGGGTGCTTGTTCAATCATGTCAGCCAAACTCCACATTTCTTCGAGGTCTGTAATGAAGAATTTTGAACCATCTCCAGTCATGACAAAATCATAGACAAGAATGGTTCGTAATGGATAGATTCCAGTCACCCATCTTAATTGATTCAAATTCATCCAACCATCAATGAGAACTCTTCCACCTTGTTCATTCTCATACATTTGCACAGAGATTTGTTCAATCTTAAAATCGAAAAAGATGGCTGCATGAAATCCTTTCAATTGAGTAATGAAAGGTTGTTTTCCAGTTATGGTTTGCCATGGATCTGTGAAAGTAATGTTTTCATGAATGACCTCATAGACATGTTCTTCTAAATCCTTTTCCTTCACTTTGGTATCATAGAGAAGATGAGTGAGAGTCGTAAATTGTTTTTCAAGATCCATGGGTTTGAGAGTGGATTTGACTCCCAATCCTTGACTCTGATCTAAAAGTCTCTTTTGTGAATATACAAATCGAGACCAGAAATGACGTTGAGGAGTACCGTGCCTTGATTTTCCAATGGAATGAATGACCATCTTGTAAAGTCTAGACTAGTAGTAGAGGTGTGGGTACGGTGACGAGGTGGAGATGGAGAGGGATGATTGTGCAACGTTAAGAAAGGTGTGAACAATATTAATGAAGTTTGGACTGTTTTTTTCGTTGTTGGTGAAGAGATTTTCAAAATTTCCAATCGAGAAAAAACCCCAAAAACAGACAACACTCCATTTCAAGGATATAACAGCTGGGTTTCATATGTATCGTTCTTTTTGCTGAGTGGAGACTCGTGTTCGTCTAAAATCCTCCATCCTGAACATGTTCATTCATTCAAAAAGCCAAGATTGTTAGAATTCCGAAATTATTTCTCTCTCTAATTTCGATCATCACCATTTTCTGAAAATGTTCACTCGTGTCTCATACTTCAATGAAACTATTATAGTTTATATAGACAGAGAAAACCATGGATTCGAATGGATGTATCATGAACACCTTTCAGCCCCATTGCAGAAATCTCCACGACCGTCGCGATTCCAATGTTCATCACCTTGCATTCTGTGTGCTTAGCCCCTTTACAACAACACACGTGGTTGTTGTTCCTTTCCGTCCATCCACCACCACGGAAATTGATCCCATCAACCACCTTCATCAAGAAAGTGCATGTTTGAAAATCCACAGTGTGACCACCTCTCTAGATCTTCCTGACTTATGATGTTTGTTGTTACGAATTGGAGAGATTGTTCTTCTCGCGAGAGAGTGCAACTTGGAAAAGAACAACAACAGAAAAAAAATATTCCACCATTGCATTGATATCGCAATTCTTCTCTCTTGTCGCGTGAGATATTCGTTTTGAGCCTTTCTATTTTTATTGTCGTGATTTGAAGATTGATACGCGAGAGATTATTGTTACTTGCATTTAGATATCATTGACAACAAGTATATTATACTACAATTATACAAATGACAAATGAGAAAAAGCAGCCGATGGATGCACCATCCTCTTCTGCATCAACAACCATTCCGCCATCACCTCCTCGTAGACAAATCAACATTGAGAAGGATACGGAATTGATAGAAGAAAAATCTCTACTTTCATCCCATGATATGTTAGAAAAAGAGCATGATGATGGAAATATAGAGTATAAATGGAAATTAGTTGGTCTTTCCGAAGATAGATTCAAACATCTTGTTACTCAAATGAAATATAGGCTAAGCGAAGGACAAGGAGAAGCAATTTATGAAATAGGAATTAATGATGATGGTTATCCTTTAGGATTATCGGAAGAAGAATATCGAGAAACGTTATCCAACATTGAAAAGATGGCTGCGGAATTGCAAGCCAACGTTTCGATCATTTGTGAAAAGCAAGTCACAAGTGAAAAAGATCAAAAGAAGAGCAAGAAAGGAAGCAATGAAAAGAATGGATCTTCGGGAGATGCACAAACCGCAGAGAAGAGATGGGTCGCAGAGGTATTAGTAAGAAGATTTGGAGAAGAAGAATACTTGAATGTTAATATTGTTGTTTGTGGAAATGTTGACTCTGGTAAATCTACGCTAATTGGTGTATTGACGAGAGGCCAACTCGACAACGGAAGAGGATTGGCCCGTTCGAATGTTTTCATCCACAAACATGAATTGACGACTGGTAGAACGTCAAGCATTAGCCATCAAATTATGGGATTTGACGCGAAGGGAGACATTGTAAATCATAGCAATCTTGACCATCCAACTTGGAAGGACATTATTGAAAAATCCTCTAAAGTCTGTACCTTTGTAGATTTGGCTGGACATGAAAAGTATTTGAAAACGACTGTCTTCGGAATGACTGCTGGCGCCCCTGATTATGCTGTTGTTTGTGTGGGAGCTAATATGGGAGGTATGTATAATATTATGATCACTTCTTGTTCGATGAATCTCGCTTAACATGATCATAGTGACCAAAATGACCAAAGAACACATTGGCCTGTGCTTGGCTTTGAAAATACCAATGTTCTTTTGTGTGACAAAGGTTGATATTTGCCCGGAAAATGTCTTAAAACAAACCGTCGAAACTATTCATAAGATTCTCAAATTACCTGGAGTTAGAAAATTACCATACCATGTCAAGAATGAGGATGATGTTGTGACATGTGCTAAAAATCTTGCAAGTGACAGAATATCCCCAATTTTCTTTTTGAGTTCTGTGACTGGAGAAAACCTTAATTTATTGCACAAATTTTTGAATTTATTACCGATCAGAAAAGATTGGGAATCTCTGATCGATAAGCCAGCTCAATATATCATTGATCAGACATTCTTTGTTAGCGGTGTTGGAACCGTTGTTAGTGGTATTGTTCAAAGTGGAAGCATTTCAGTGAACGATAAGTTGATGCTAGGACCTGATTCCAATGGACTTTTCAGAAGCGTTGTTGTAAAGAGTATTCACTGCAAAAGAGTTAATGTTAAACGTGTCCATGCAGGACAACATGCAAGCTTTGCTCTCAAAAAAGAAAAAAAAAGAAAGACGTTCTGGAATTAGAAAAGGAATGGTTCTTGTTGATGAGGAAGATCCAAAAGCCTCATGGGAATTTGAAGCTGACATTCTTGTATTGTATCATAGCACAACTATTAAGGAAAATTATCAACCTGTGGTTCATTGCAATTGCGTTCGACAAACTGCTAAGATTATCAAAATGGATGTTGAATCTCTAAGAACAGGAGAAAAAGCTAAAGTTAAATTCCGTTTCATGTTCAGACCTGAATATTTGAGAGTGGGAGAACGACTAATTTTCAGAGAAGGAACAACAAAAGGATTAGGAGTAATTTCTCAAGTGTTCAAATAATCAATTCATTGATAATACAATATTTACATTTCGTGTTCATTTGAATCGACTACTGGTTATCACAAACGTTAAATGGAGCCTGAAGATCCAGCTTATTGCGCGGCATCCATGTTCTCCTCTTTCTTGGAAGGAATAACAATTGTGTGCTTTTTCTTCTCTTGTTGGGTCTGGTTAATATTATAGCTGAGTGAATCAAACAAAGGACCTTTGGCTGTTGTTTTGCCTTCTTTCGATCTCTTGTCCACCAACTTTAACAGTCTCATGTGGAAATTGTTTTGTGGTGTTTCCTTGTAGATGGATTCATGATAATATTCTGGTTTAAGCCATCCCATTGGGTCAAATATGACTGAATAAAAGTATCTGCATTGGGAATCTGATACTTTCTCAACCAAGAAAGCTGTTTTGATTTCTGCTCTCACATACTTGTCTGTCTCTGGTACTTTTGCATTGTTGATGGATCTGATTCCATTTACAAAGTAATAATTTGTAATCGAAACAAGTTATCCACATAAAACATACCTTGTCACACACATATAAACGTCTTTGGTAGGGTCATATCGACAACTATAAGCATGAACTAGTTCTCTCTTTGTCTGATGTAAGTATTTCATCTTGTACAACTCATGAAAAACAGCATGAGCATATTTTCCAACCTTTACAAAGTCAATCTTAACAGATGAAATAATTCCATCAAATCTTGTTGAGAAAGAATTTTCATCAATCCAAGCATGAAACAACTCTTCATGAGTACAATTCATTTCGTAGACATATTTCACTTGAACGTGTCTTCGACTATTGCTAAGATGGTTGTGAGTCTCAGGAGGCGAGAAGTAGGTGGCTCCGCCACTAATTTCGAATATTTTCCGCCATTGGTTCATGTCATATAATATTTCACTTCTATGATTAAATTCCCAATCGTTAAATCGATGGTTCTCTTTGTTTATGATCTCTGTGCCGCACTTTTGGCAAAACAAAAGGAATTCTTTTTCGTCTTCTTCTTCTGTTGTGCTTGAATCATTTTCTCCCCTCAGGCAGGCTTTGAGTGTCTCTGGGTTTTTCCTTTTTTGATCCAAAAACTTGGCAAAGTTTTTCGATTTCAAAAAGTTGCCAAATTCTTCTTTCATATGTTTCATACACAAATTAGTGAAATTTTCAAAAATATCAGTAGGGCAGTTGTCTTCTGTACAATCTTGGAATTTGATTTGGAATGGGCCAAATGCATTCTTCATAAATTTGAGCTTTAACCGCTTTGGTGCAGTCTCTCCGAGGTACTCTTTTACCAGCTGTTTTGCAATTCCAAATCTAACTGGAGTTGAGGCATTGCTGGCATATTCAACAGCATGTTGATAAAAAACTAACATATCAAGAATCGCAGATCCAGAGAGGTATTCCTTGAACAGAGAGATGAATGTAGGATCCATGAGCAGCTTTTTGAAGTTGTAGGTAGCAGTATCATGTAGATTAACTTTAGAAAACATCTTATCAAAGGATTGATCAGATGCCACATTGAAGCTCGCAATGTCATGATGCTTTTCTTTCAGTAAATAGGTATTCATTAATACGGAAGGTTTAACCTCAACGCCCTTAATTTCGTCAAATTCAAAAATGTCATAAACTCTCTCGTATAATTTACGTGACACCTGAATTCTTCCTGGAACTCCCTTAGACTCCATTAATTGTGCAATGCTGAGCGTTTCTCCCCACAAGTCGTAGGCGAATTTTAAGTTTCCGATGCTAGGTTGGAACAATTATTACAAATAAGGGTTACAAAACATTGATAGGTTTGATAGAATACTCACCATCCAGCAATGACTGGGCCAACATGAATGCCAATTCTAATATTAACGCTCTTGTTATGTTGTTTGTTATATTTTGAAATAACATCTAGCATGTGAACAGCAAATAGCAGTATTTGTTCGGGGTGGTTGCTCTGTCCAGAAATACCGCCAATACAAAAATAGGCATCCCCAATGGTTTTGATTTTTTCCAGACCAAACATTGGTATTAAATGGTCAAATCCATTGATGATGTTGTTAAGCAACTGAACGAGTTCATGTGCTGATAAACTGCTCGACATTTTCGTAAATCCCACCATATCGGAAAACAAACAACTTATATCATCAAATTTTTCAGAAATACAAGATTCTCCTGCCTTAAGACGTGCTGCAATACGCTCTGGCAAAATATTAAGCAACAATTGATCACTTTTTGCTCGTTCCTCTTCTAACAACAGTTTATGCTTCTTTTCCGAAGTAATATCTCTTAATAAAACCGTAATTAAATTCTTTTTTTCGTGAGTGTAAACGCTAATCGATACTCCCACAGAAAGGGTTGAGCCATTCTTTCTAAGGGCTTCCATTTCAATATACTCTGTCAATGTTTGTTTGGAAGAAAAGAAAACATCCAAAATCATTGATAGTTTGGTTCTACTCTCTCCTTCTCCAAATATTGACATGAGGTCTGATAACTCTCCCGCGCTGTATCCTAGCATTTTCAATGCTGTTGCATTGATTATATCAATCATGGTCGATCTTGGTTTCAGCACAATAGCACCATCATTGCTTCCATCCAAAATGATTTGAACTTTTGACGTTTTGTGAGAATCTTTTTTTCGCTCTGCCAAGCTGTTGTAAAGAACAAATTTCTTAATCTCTTCAATTTGAGAAATTGTATCAGTTGGTAAACTGTTCAATAATCTTCTTAAATGATAATTCTCTTCCGCTTGTTGCTCAAGTTGTGAGAAATGAAACACACCAAGAACAACAATTAACACAATCCCAGTACAAGACACACCGACGGAGATTGGAACTCTAAGCCCACTTGTTGATTGCAAAATTGCATCACTAACCTGGTTCATAGATTTGAAAATGTAGGTAGATAGTTCAATTATTTGATACGTGAGAGTTTTTAACAGGGGAACGCTGCTGTTTCCGTAAAATAGAGCATCTATAGAGATGGCGTAGCTCTCCATAAGAGGATCTAGGCCAGGTGCACAATTAGAAGTTGTATTGATGCAAATTCCTTCAAGAACTGGTGTCACTGCGGAGGAAAGACTTTTCATGTTGGTTGGAAATGTCTTACTTCCAAATCTCAGTATTGTCCAAGAGTTCTCCAAGCTTTGTTGTTCCAAAAGAATCTGTTTTCTCAAATTAGTGTTTTGAGGTGTATGAGAAAATCCATCAAAACTCCAAGCCAATATATTAGCTTGCTGATGGCTCTCAGAGGCCAATACCTGAGAGACATATTTCGTCTTTTCTACTGCCACATTATTGTCGTACGCAGCCTTCATAAAATTGTTGGAGCAAATCATTAAAAATAAGGGTGTACACAAAATTAAGTTTTGATAAAATTTCCAAAAACTCACCTTATACGACTCATAAAACGATACTGCCATGGAAATAACTGTTAAACCGTAAACAACACAAATTATTGCCACCATCCTTCGTGAAAAGTTGAAAAAACTTCTGGTGTGAGAAATAGACTTTTGATTCGTTTGCTTTTCCAGTATATGATATTGATTTCCAACGACATCTTTTGGAACTTTCGAAAAAATGCTAATAATTTTCTTTTTGGTGTTGATTATGAAATTAGTAACAATAAGATAAATGATAATTAAAATCGAGTAGCTTCCAATAATCACTGATATTGTAATCAAAATGCTATTGGAATTGTTTTCGAGCAACAATATTGAAGCAATAGAGCTACAAAAATCTTGTAGTGCGCTGGTCATTACCTCGCTATTGAACGTCACGAATTTGTATTCATATGTCGATCGAATATTCACCATGGAGTCTGGAGTTAGCTCAAATAATTTTTCAGATATTATCGCTAAATTTGATACTAATGATGTGATAGACATATTTTGAACACTATAATCCGTAGCCACTTGTCCAGATGCTGGAATCTATATTTTGAAAAACGCCTTATTATGAGCATCACACGAGTTCGACAGTTGTAAACATACCTTCATTGGAAAAATATTGTCAGAAAAGTATTGCATCTTGTCCGCACCAAGAACTTGATAGTCAGATATTTTTCCTTTCTGTGTAAATCCACTGATTATTTGCATGCCTTGTTTAAATCTAACAATTGTATCATTGGTAATTGTTGGGTATTGAAGTAAGTAAACCTCTTTCAATAAAGAAAAAGGAGCAGGTATCAAATCGCATGTTTGCTTTAAAAATTGAATGTTGTTTCCATCCAAAGTCACAAAAATACTCAGTAACAAAACTACTAAAATTGAAAGTATTGAAATTAGTTCTGCGGCCAAAAAGTAGCAACTTCTCCTTTTTGTGTCAATTTTGGTGTTGATGGCCTCTCTGTATACATTTTCAGTGTATAAAAATGAGGTTGAACGTTGTTTTTGCAATCTTAAATCGGGTATTTTTCTTGGTTTCTGCTTTTCTTCGTCATACAAGTCAGTACTTGACCGCCCATCATTTTGTTCAATAGAAGGAACGGCCTCAAACAAAAACTCTTGCATAAACACGTTACGTCTTTTCATAATATTTTGATTTTCTGGATAATTGGCTAAGAGATGAGAAAAAATCATGATAATTGATTTTTCAATAGAGAACATAGAATACGTCAGGTCGCTAATCTTGTCATAGTCGTCCTCGTTTGCCACAAAATACTGCCAAAACATTTTCCGAACTTGGAGAAGTCTTTCTTGAAGCTTTTGTGTCTTCTCTAACAAAATTCGTATCTCTGATGTGGTTTGTATTCCATAATAGAGTTCAATGTCCTGTATCATCGCTCTTATAACTAGTTTTTGGATAAAGTTGGATTGCCTTATTGCGTACTTTAACGTTGTCAAGGTGAGTTGAGGGTTTTCTTGAAATTTGTGGGTATAAATTGCACTGGCGATAAGCGCATCCGTAGACAACAGAGATTTGCGACTCATAGCATATTTCAATAAATCTTCGTCAATGTCATCTGAAAATAAATTGGACTTGAAGCAGAGTCTTAGCAAGTTGTCGTTGAAAACGTGTTTACCAATGTTTTCATCCAGTTGTGCACGAGCATGTTTGGCCCGTTTCTTCATGACAAAATATATCAACTCAGCAACACAAAATCCCATGATGAACAGTGCTAATGAAGATCCTAATCCAGCTCCCAACAGGAAAGGTAGTCCTAACTCCAGGGTGTTAGAAGTATTGATAGTTATTGCCAAAATCGCTCCAATTGACCCTCCACACTTTGCAAACAAAATTCCAGAGTACAGAGAGTTCATTTTTGGAAAAGTGAACGGAAATTCATAAAGTAAAAACAATATTGACACTAATGAGAGAGCAATGTGCAAAATTGGTCTTGCTAAAACACCACCTGGAGGAATAAATTGAGATATGAATAAATAGACTTGATTTACAACAGAAAGTAAGGAGATGAAAACAAATGAATCCATTGAAATGATGGTTGGGTGTTTGGTGCATTTGCCAGCAGACGAAAACAAGATGAAAATGCCGATTATTGATAAGGGTATTTGTAGGAGAATGAATATAATGGCAATAACCGTGTAAACAATGTTTGTTTGACTCCTGATGACGTTCGGAAAAGATTGAACAGACAAAATTTTCATGAGTGAAACTTACCAACATGGAATTAAGGGAAATCTTCTCAGCATGTTCGATTGGTCATTGCATGCCAAAAATGAGGTCATCCAATAGATGAATATCAAATTGAAAAAAGCAAGTGTGCACACTGAAATTCTCACCACATTTGTTGTTATTTTGGAAAAATTATTTCCTCTTTGGAGTGCGCTTAAAGACAAATACAAAGCAATACATGTGATGATTTGAACGACAAAAAGAAGAGCGCATAAGAACAGTAACGCTTCATAGGAATACCAATCTGCTGCCAACGTTCTCGGGATTGCTTGGACTGAAATGATCAAATCTCCAATGTAATGGAAATAAAATTCTAATGTATTAATGTAATATCATTATTGGTCAAATAGGAGAAATATCATAATGAATATAAAACATGATCTTTCTGAACCTACCCTTCTCGAAGGCCACGCTCAAACTTCCGTAAATGATATGCACATGGAACATCCACAACAGCCATTGAGGAACTGGTTTTTTAAAAAGCAACGAAATCAATGTGGTTGAATATTGTTCACTCAGTATGCTGGTTATGCCCGTTGCGGAACTCTTTGTTTTCTTAGAATCAGAACTCGCAGAGGAGGACTTATCATCAAGCTTGGATTGAAAAGACTCCTTGCTCATAGACGCGTGATACAGCACAGGTGATGATGCTTCCTGCTGGGCATGTTCACTCATTTTTGGTTGCTGTTGGGACCCCTTTACGGTTGTTGGGAACCGGGATTTTTTGAAAAATCCGCCAAAAGCCTTGAGGCACTGAGTTGCCATTATCGACAATTTAAGGAACACAACCCCAAACAAAGGAAATCCAAATAAAGTAAAAACCCAACCCTTAAATAAAGTACATAGCAGGCTTCTATGTAGAAGAGAATGAACAAGCTATCATATCTCAAAATCCTCCTCCGAATGATCGTTATTCTGGATTTCATCGTTATCATTCCTTGAGTTGAGCGTTTCTGTTGAATTAAATTTCTTAGTTGAGTTAATGGGCAGTAGAGGTTTTGAGCTCCCAGGTTCACTCTTTCCGAATTGGAGGGGCCTCTTATGTATGGCTTGGTTTTTTATCGTCGCTTGGTTTGACACATTTTGAGACGACTCTATTTCATCCACTGAAAAAATTATTGAATCATCCTCAATTGGGTCTTGGTTAAAGGCGCGTATTAATCCTTTAGATTGAGCTTGCATTTCTTCTGTTGTGCTTTGAATAAAATTATCAAAAGATCTGATACGTGCTCTTATTTTTTCCAGTTCTTTTTCTTTCTTGTCGAGTACATTCTTAAATGTCTCGTTTTGTTGTGAATTTTTCTTCAAATTGACGATCTGTTGTCTCAACAGTTTGTTCTCATTTAAGAGAGTATCTTGTGCATTAATTTTTTCTTGCAACTTTTTTTCCAAGTCTGTCGTTTTAAATTTAAGTTTTTCGTAGTCTTTTCGTTGTGATTCATTCTTCTCAATTTGTTGCTTGCTCTTTTCAAGAGCTCGTTTGTGCTCCTCAATCTCTTCTTCTTTATCTTTGAGTGTGTTTTTGAGGCTTTCTATTTGCTTTTCTAACAAATATAAATGTTGTGAGGTTCGCTCTTTTTCTTCTCTCAAAGACTTCTCTAATGCCTCGACCTTCTTCGCAAATTCTTTTTCCTTTTCTTCTATTTGTTTAGAAACCTCAGTATTCAACTTTTCAATAATCTCTTGGTACAGCTCTGCACCAATGATATTTTCCAAATCTCCATCCTCTTGACTTTGAGTTGCTGTTGGATCAGTTTGGTCTGGTGTTCCATTGTTGTTTTCTGAAAAAAAGCTGGGAATATTGTTGTCAGCTTCCTCTGGTTGGAGGTTCATATCGTCACTTCCTAAACTCAGTTCATTGAGGTGTCCGTCATAGTCCTCAATTTCCTCTTCACCCATTTCAGAAATTGCATTATGCAGCTCCTCAGAATCTATATGTTCATCTTCGTTGAGATTCTGTTCTTCTTCTGTGTTTTCATCTTCTTCGCTGGTCTGAGATAGTTTTTCTTTCTTTACACAAGATTCATTTGCTTCGTCTTCTCGTTTCCGTTTCTTGTTATTGTTCTCCAAATAGTCCACAAACATTTGTTGATAATTTGCAAAATAAGATGGAAGATTGTGTTTTGCAAAAATAAATAATCTTCCATCCAACTCAATGATATCACCATAGTCAATTATCACTCTATCAACACAAATGACATTCTTTTCTGCTGTCTGAGAATTCTTGTAAAATTGGCCATTCACTAAAACCATGGCTTCTTTTTCTAGCAATAACACTGTACTATTACCGTCATGGGTTAACGTACAATGATCTTGTAAAATTGGCCATTTCTTGTTGACAGCTCTTTTGATTTGTACATTATTTGTTACTGGGTCTGCTCCAAATTTAATGGCTGTTAAAGCATCCTCTTTAGATCCCATTGGGTCTGTCCATAATGTCATGCTATCTGGTCTTACGCTCTGTTTGACATTTGAATAAACAATAATGTGACCAATGGGTTCAGCAGGAGAAATAATTAATTTGGCAATATCTCTTTGCTTCCTTTTTCTCAAAGCAGAATTTGGAGAATCCTTTTCTTCATCATCTGTTACATTGGAAGAAAAAGACACTCTTTTTGGTACAGGCTTTGTGCTTTCTGATTCATCAAGAAAATTATTGTTTTCGGATTTGATAGTATGTTCGTTTGAAATCCCTGAGTTTCTACCATTTACATTCGAAGAAGTCGTCGTTTGACGATCGTCATTATTGTGTACATCACCGCTCTTATTATTATTACTGTTATTTTTCAAAGATGGGTGTTCCTTGTTTTTGTCTTGATTGTCGCTACGACTTGAGGTAATTTCCCTTCGTGATGACCCGGTATGATGGTGCAACAAGTTGTTGGCTTCTCTAGAAAGGCTTGCTCGAGTCCGAACCATTTTTTTCAACATTCGAAAAGTTCCTCTTCCTGCTCGACCTCAAGGTTTTCCTGCCTGAACATAAACAAAATGCTCACAACACTGGGTTTAGTTACGGTGTGCTGATTCCATTTCTCAATTATGCAATACCTGTGGTCACACCTTCTTTCATTTTCTCGGTCTCGTGCTGTAGCAGATTTTTTCAGCGCTTCAAAAAATGTGCCAACACCATCATCATACCACTTCTTCCTTATCAAATTCGGGAATGATGCAACAAGCTCATTCGGGTGCTCCAAGTTTATTTTCTAACGTAATGATTCCTCCTAAAATTATTGTGATGGGTATGAATAATAATAACAACAATAACATGACTCATCATATGAATATGTATTTTTCATCACAATCATTTGAAACCTTTGTGAAATATGTCTTGTTTGAGAACTGGAATGTTGATACGGATTGGAAATTTGCTCTGTCTGTAATTGGAATTTTCTTAGTTGCATTGTTGAATCAATTGATTTTCTTTTTGCTACATATTCAAGTTCCGAAGAAGAGAAAGATACTCCATATTTGTGTCTCTTATATTGCGAAACCAATTGGGTTCTTTTTGGAAATGTCCATTGGTTATTTATTAATGTTAGTCTCAATGACCTACAATTTTGGTCTTTTTATGGCCATACTATTTGGAAATTTCGTTGGATACATTCTCTTTAACATGATTTACACACAAATGCTAGAAGGTTATTATCATCAAGGTGAAACTACAGAGCATGAGGAACATGCTTGTTGCAAAAAGAGAGAATATGAGAAGATCATTGACACGGAAGTGAAGAAATACAGTACTACTGGTGTTGTGAACTTCTTTGATGAAGAGGAAGTGAGAACTGAAAGCATGGCAATCAATAGAGGAAATAATAATGACAACAATGAAATTTTCCATCAGTACATTGAAGGAACGAGCTCTTCAGTCAGGAGCTACCACGATTATTAATAATAATCATAGGGGAATAATCAAGTTTGTGAAACATTTTCAATTTTCTATAAACCCTTTTCGGAAGTTATTATCGGTCTTGTGTATTCCTCTTATTTTGATGAGTTTCCTCAATAATATTGTTGGCAGTGATAGTACTGTTAAGATTGGTTTCTACATGATGATGAATTGTATTCAGTTTCAAATTGTCAAACAAAATTTTGTATCGGATCAGCCAAATTAAATTATTCATTTGTTTTGTGATGAATGGGCTCACTCTATCTTTCAGTGTGACGGTAAAGAGGTTGGCTACATAAGCAACGACTTGATATGTGAGAGAGGATCGTGTGGAAAGAAGAATTGAACTCGAAGGATGATTCCCCGCTGATGAATTAGTCATTAAATCACTTAACAACATGTTCGAAAAGTAAATTTCGGCATTAAACAAAGAATAATGAGCAGGAAAGGTTTCACGAACAGCACTGATGAAACTAAAATCTTTCCGAATTGGAAAGACGGCGTTGTTGTTACTAAAGGAAGCCATTTTTGTTTTTCAACTGTTCGAAAGCATCCTGGCTGTTCTGATGCTTTTGACGTTCCTCAGATCACAAGAATCGTTGTAATTACGTGGGTCTTTCTCCAAGTTATCCCAATAGTGTGAATTGGTAGAGCCTTGTGAGCAAATAAATGGTTGTTGCAGAAAAGGAGAAGAAAGACAAGAACAAAGTTCTATGAATGATGTGTATCAGGAATCAGATTCAGAATAAGAATTGATTAGTTTCCACCATATGAATATATCAAAACAATTTTATGCAAACTTGTAAAAGTTGTTAATTCCACTTGTTAGAAAAGTTGCTTATTCCACTGCCTTGGGGAAGAGTCGCTTCGTGTTGTCAAACATTTGCGACAAAACTTGAGGCAAAGAAACCTTTTTGATTTGTGCAATCATTTGAGCAGAAAGAGGAATGTTTGATGGATCATTTCGTGCACGTTTGATTGATAGATCAAACTCTTCCTTAGTTTGAAAATCTTGTTGTTCGGGAAGATTGGGAACGAGAGCTGGAGAATCTCTGTTAGAAACAACAACCATCATGACACGTGTCTTGAAAATACAATCTTTCTATTACCACTTACGTTTCTAATAAAAGTCGATCCATGGGTACAATCTCCACCAACTGTTGCATTTGTTTGGATCGAATGACATTTGCAGGAATACTGAAATAGTACCCAAAAGACAATCCCTCTTTGATCACCTTGGCACTGCCGTCAAAACAATGCATGAGTACATGAGTGGCTCCTTTTTCATGCAACAATTCAATGGTTGGCCTTCCAGCACTCCGAGAATGAACGTTTAAAGGTAAACCAGTTGCCTTACTCAAGTCAATGAAAACTTCAAGAGCTTTTCTTTGTAGTTGTTTTACTTGTTCGACACTTTGTAAATGAAGATTTCTTTCTTTAATGGCATTCAACACTCCAGGTGTGAAATCAAGTCCAACTTTTCGAAATTATTCCAAAAATGACAAGTAAAAGGTTAACAAAATATTTAAAGAAATAGATTAATAGATTCAATAAAATCAATTGATTGATCCATATTGAAAATATTATACACCAAGTTTCACAACAAATTCCACCCACCCTCTCCAATGCAACAAAGTTCATCCCGATGGTCCAATATTAAATCTCGAATTTTATAAATTTGTTCTTCATTGGAAACACAACACGGATGTAAACCAATACCTCCTCTCATAACATTGGGATATCTTTGACAGAGTTCCAACACTTGATGCGCTGTCTTGTCTTCTTCACTGACCACAATGATTCGTTGAATGTTTTGATTTTTTGCTTTTTCAATAATTTGATCCAATTCCGAATAATCCCGTGGTTGGGAATCATGAATGGAAGAAGAAGAAGGAAAGAACTTTTCATCGTACAAGTGTGTATGAACATCGATCATGAATACTGCATGACCATCCTCATTGATTGACATTTTTTTATAAATAGATGGAAATATTTCACACAAGGGTTGAGAATTGTTTCATAATAAATGGGCCGATATTAGAATTAACGGTCAGGGACATTTTGTTATATTGAAAAATCATTTTTATGATCTCAAAGGTGATTATTATCGCCTCCTTCCATAATTATTGTAATTTCTGTTACGACTTCCATTGGAACTATCAGACGAATTCGTAACGTCACGACCATAATTTGATCTGTCATTGTTGTAGTGTCTGTTCCTATTGTAATTGCCATCATTTCTGTTTTCATGGTAATTATTGTCATTTCTATAATTGTCATACTTTCTCTTATGATCTCCTCGCTCATCAAATCGCCTCCTATTGTTATTATTGTAATAATTATTGTTGCCATGTCTTTTATCATGTTGAGGATTGGGTAAATTCCACTCTTTTAAACACAATTCCTTGAGTTTAAATTGTAATTCCTTAATTTCAATATATCTATCCTCAACAGCCATCTTCAAGCGTTTCAAGTTGTACTCTTGATCTTTAGCAAAATTGTTATTGGAAAGCGTCAAATAATCTGCAAAGTCCTTGTCATTTTCCATGATGGAGCATGGTACTAATGATTTAATTGCCTTTTTTGAGGCAATTTTTGTGTTCACTTGCAACAAAAAGTCAATAATTGGTGGATTACGTTCTAAAAGTCCTTTACACACAACATATCGTTCCGAATTGGCTGGTCTCGAAGAGAATGGTTTGATGATTGAAATTTGTTCAAAATGTTGGTATAAAATGTACATGAGAGATGCTGAGAACCAAGTATTCAAGTCAAATAATTTACAAACAAAACTTCCACCTTATCGAATCAATTAATTATTAATTATTATCAAATCGGATACTAAACAGGGATTCGGTTTGAAGATATGACTACTTACCTTTTCGCAAACACATTAATGCGGTGAGATATTGGCACAGAACGAGTTGCTGAGTGAGATATTCCTGAGAGTTTTCCACACCATCCACACAAAAACCACCATCTCCAGTCACCAAAGCAACTCCTCTATTATTAGTTCCTCTATTAATGGCGTCACGTAATGCAAGCATATTTTCATTGATTGTAATGTCACCAGTTCCATCAGCACCATAGTTCAATTCAAAATTGTCATGTGGAGACTCTCTATTGAACTTCTCTAATTTCCAATCATCTTTGTCATTCTTTAGTGTGAAGCCCCATCCTTTTGCACCTGTGGTTTTGTATCTATAATATAAATATTCAGTAAATCCACCTGGACCAGCACATATATCAGCAAAATATAGCACATTATTCTCTTCGGGAAGACGAGGAAGATCTTTAGTAAGGTTTGTAATCATGTCAATATTTGCTAGCTTGACTGCAGCTCGGTTTTGGAAGATTGATTTTCCAATTTTCTCATAAGGGTTTGACCGAAAACGAGCATCAATGAAAAACCGTTCTGGTAGTCCATCAAATTCTGCCTTTGTTTTAAATATTGATTTCATAATTTCGGGATCTGTAAAGGTGTTTTGACCTTCATTGACAGTACCTGGCTCCATGCATGATGGATCTAAAGTTTTAGAAATTGGTTTAACAATGTGATAAATTGGATCAAAGTCTTCAGTATTCTCATCAATAGTTGATTCCGAAGATTCTTGTGACGCCTTCAAACCACCTGTTCCAACATATCGATGTCTATTCTCCTGTTTACATGCCAACCAAATGACATTTTCCTTATGCGAATATTCTCTGTCATCACTGGCATGTCTTTGTATAACAAAATTGGGAGGTAATTGATAATTACTATCCGCATGATCATTACCGTGTGCGGTTTCCGAGAAGTGATTCATGGAAGATTTCAAACCAAGTCCTCCTCTTCCGAGATTTACTTGTGGATCCAGAGCAGAGGCTGATCCTTGATTGCTCTTTCCTAAACCTTCTCCTTCCCATCCCATTCGTTTCATCATGGCCAATACTTTGTTTTTACCTCTTTCTGCCATCTCTGAAACATTGGAAGATGTTTCTGTGGTTGTTGAAGAGGCTTGTTCAATTTTACGAATTTTGGAATCCTTCTTCTCCAATGAAACATCATTACGATAATTATTTTCATCATCATCATCATTGATCTTTTCACGACGATCATTATTTTCTTCTTCTTCTAATGGTTGAGTAATCATATGATTATTCGGATCCACATCGAGGTGATTTTGAACCGAGTTGGTCATCATTCGTTTCCTTTCATTCATCGTCGCATATTTGTTTTCATCGTGGTCGTGATTGTGTGATTGTTGTTGTTGTTGTTGTGGTTCATCCATTTTTTTGTTGAGTTTTATTTTCATGAGAGTTGGAATTCACATTCCATTTCTTTTTTTAAAAACAAATGTTTATTAAAAGTCTACAATAGAGGAAAGTAATAGGTAGGAGAGGTAGGAGAGAGGTGAAAAATAGACACAATTAGTTATTGTTGTTTGAGTGATTGTTGTTCTTGTGGTTGTTGTTTCAATAGTTCTTATGAATCCAAAGATCCAACCAGAGATGCCATTAGAAATATCAACCTATAAAATTACATATTAAAATTACATAATGATACACTTGTTACTCTTATCAGAAGCGGTGGTAGTGGAAGAAGTATTGGCAGTACTCGTCGAAGAGGTGGTATGGAGTTGAGCATGATTGTCACTTGCAGTTTTACATTGAGAGTGATAATCATTAATGGCATCGATTAAGAGTTTTCGAAGTTCTTTCTTTTCATATTCTGAAAATTGTTCTTCATGCAAGGATTTCATAAAATCTTGTTTGCCGTATCTGCCTTTCCTTTGGAGATGATAATACAATGGAGGATAAGGTTGAGATGGACGAATCAATGAAACAGAATCGTCCTTGTCATACGTTGTGACACATAATTTAAAATCAGGTAGAAGGAGTTCTTTCTTGCTTGGAGTTGGTCTCTGAGATTGAACGTCAATTTTCACATCCTTTCGTTTGGAAGGACAAGTGTTCACATGGTTTTGATCCTTACTATTGACTTTCATGAAGGAAATCAATTCATTTCTTCCTTCACTAATAACACATTCAGGAAATTGAGTTTGCATGTCATCGGTAAAGTAAATGAGTCTCATTTGATTTTCCTTAAATGGATAATGAATATCTTCTTCATCCTCAGTAGTGGAAGTCGTAATATTCTGAGCCTTCGATTGCAATTCCTTAATTTCATCATCAAGAATGAAGGCACACAACTCATCCTCCACACTTTCGAGTGAGAACAGTGACTGTTCTTTTGTTTCAATCTCTCGAATCTTTTTCAATTTGTTAAATAAATCTCTTCTCTTATCCTTCTTGTGCCAATTGTGACAAAAGTGAATTTTCAAAACATTCTTTTCAGAGTAACTATAATCGACAAGCATTCCAACAACATCTCCAGAGTAGTATCGTTGGTTGTTAATTTCAAAACAGTGGTGACAACTTCCAGATGGCCAAATATAATTATCAAAATGAGTAGGATTGAAATCTTTTGGTATATTATTTGGATTGGATCCTTCAGGAGCAGTAAAATGAATATTAGGAACTAAACCAACACCCAAATTAATACCACCAATCTTTTCAACATAAAATTCAAAGTAATACAAATTATTTGGTGAAAAAGTTCTTGAAGTGGTTGCATTTCTCCATCGATAATCATTGGGTGACTTTTTGTTATCTGTTTCAATGCATCTCTGAATGCAAGTGTTGTACATGCAACTCTTTTTGGTCAATTCACTGACATCTGACAGTTCAAGATCTCTCTGATCTTCCATAGAAGATGGTTTAGTCACCATTTGGAAGATGGGTAACATGTATCGAGAGTCTTGATCAAATCTTGCAGGAATGCAATGTAAATAGTGATAACTGTATTGCCAACATGCCAATTCTTGATGATAACAAGTGCTATTGGTGCTAATGAAAAGAGAAGCATTGGCTCCAGAGGTTTGAACAGCTCCTGTTGAAACAACTTGCCATTCATTTCCAAGATCGTCAGGAATGTTCAATTCTGAAGAGTTGGAAATATTTAACATGGTTTGAAGCCAATCACCAAGTTTGACAATTTTTGACATGGTGGTTGGGGAATCTTCTCGTTCAAATGGTTCCTTTCCGTAAATACTGATCAATGTCTTTTTATCGATAGGTGGCTCTGAATTCTCTGTTTTTGGCAAGTTGAAATAGAACTCACAAATTAATTTCCAAAAGTGTACATTCTTAAACAAGGAATAGTACAAGTGACTATTCACAAAGCACAAGGAGAAGATTCCATACTTTTTTGAAGTGATGGATGGAAGATCCATCAACCCATGTGTAGCACTGCTGCCACTTGTCATTGATGCAGCAATTGGTTGGTGATGATGATCTACACCTGGATCCTCTTCATCCACCAACACCATTGGAAATCCATTGTTCAAATGAGCATTATTAATCAACAGAGAATTTCCACCATTGCTTGGATCCACCATGACCTCTGGTTCCTTTTTTAGATGATCAAATTGTTGTTGAGTGGATTCAATCAAATTCCGAACAAAACGTTGTCTCCATGAATTCGATGATGATGATGATGATGTGGAATACTTTTTCGATTCTGCATGAAGTTTTCTCATACATCTCTCTCTACAACTCCAATACTTTTCATATTCATGAGTGAGATCTTCGTGATGAGGAAGAAATGTGAGAATGTGAAAGAGCATTTCAAATGGCAAGTCACCTAATGTGTTGTTGTTACATCGAAGAGTTGTGGTGTGAGAATCATGACGACCCGACGATCGTTGTGTCAAATCATCATCATCGATCACCACTCGTACTTGTTCATCATGATGATCCACACAAGTGGTCACAAGTGGTGGTGATGGAAGAGGCTGAACTAAATCATTGACAGCATGGTCGTTATTTGTTGTTGTTGATTCTTCCATCTGAATGTTGATGTGATTGTAATAATAACTGCTCATCATGAGTCCCATATTGATGATCTTCTCATCCACAAGGGTTGTTGTATGTGAGTGGTTCAATGGACAAGATGGTGAAGAGGAATGTCGATGGAATGAAGGATCTTGTTCGGAGTGTGAGGATAATGACTTGAAGAAGGAAGAACGGATGGATGATTCTTCTTCTTTCGAAGGATTGAAAGTAAAGGAAGAGAAATTGGTGGTTGTTGAGAGGTTGTTGTTTTCTTTTGATGATTCTTTCTCTTCATCAAGATTCGCAGGGAATATGGTACTTTTCGAGGATCTTTCAGAGCTGTCACTCGTTGATGTCAACAAGAGAGAAGGAACCTCATTTGTAAAAACTTGGCTGTTTTGTGGGCTTGTTGTAAAGTGAGGTTCTCTTGATGAAGAAGAGAGAGGAGAGTTCATTGGTGTGGTTGAAGAACTAGAGAGGATGGCATCGCTTAGCATGAGTTGTTGTTGAATGGAAACGACAAGAGCGTTAGCGTCAATGTCAGTTGTCGTAGTTGATGTGTGGAGTGTGTCAACGTTCATAATGTCTCGAGTGATTAAAAATTGGTGGAGTCAATGATAGTGAGAGAGGATGATGTACAAATCACAACAATTCTTGCTGTTGTTGTCAGTTAAATTGTCTAAAAATGGAAATGATGCAACCAATTACAATGGAAATATAATTTACAGAGATGAGGGCAATAACAACAACGCTATTAGGAGAATATTTTTGAATCTCAATGCTTGTAATCAGGATGTGTGTAGGCAGGGAGTGGGATTGTACTCACTGATCTTGTTGTTGTTTTTTCTAAACGGATTTTCAATGTGCTCAATGATGCATCATCGTTCCGAACATTTGTTAGTTGTCAATGACCCATCAAATCGAGACAACATCATCATCTTGAACACTTGTTGGGAGTTTTTTGGATTTTTAAAGGTAATAGATAACATGATCCAAATGCTAGAAAGGGAAAATTATGGAATAAAAAAAGGAAGTATCGATATTTTCATATTTCAATGAAATTGGATGTGAAAGGAAGAAATGGCAAACCCCAAATTCATTACCGTGACCATTGAATCATCTTTAAAAGTTTTGGAGTTGGCTGCTCATCTTGATGGGAATGATTGGTTCCATGGGAACAGGTGTCATCATTTTGGTCTTTCATCTTTGGAGATTTAATTAACATCTTTCAACCTGTGAATGGAGTCATGCCTTCTACAGATCAAATGAAAAGTGCCATCTCGGATATTTCCCTCAAATTCAAAAAGCTTCACTTGTATGGTTTGTTGAAGGCATTGACACAAGGAATTAGTATGGGTTATGAAAAATATGATCATGTGGGGAACGAGAAGTCTTGCGTTTTGGAATGCGAAATTATTTTGAAGAGAGTATTAACAATGTTGAAGGACGTTTTAATATATGCATTTGTGGTAATTTGGTGGTGGAGGGAGTGATTGTCATTGGAGACTTGGTTAAGGTCTTCTCATCTTTGCGTAAGTGGATGTCATTAATCCTTTTTTCACAGGTTTTTCACACAACTCAACAACTTAAACGATGGCTCAAGCATTTATCATGGTGCCTGGCATTTCTAAAGCCATCCTCTCTCAAAGAACATTATTATTGATCATGAAGAGACAGCCAACAATTCCATTCAAAGGAGGAAAGAATTTGGGAGAAGATGTTGGCAAGATTGAATTTAAGAATGTTAAATTTTCTTATCCCTCTCATCACCATTCTCATTGGACATTCGAAAAGGTCAATCCATTGCTCTTGTTGGTCCTTCTGGTTCAGGAAAGTCGACCTTGGTTGGATTATTAGAAAGATTTTATGATCCTGATGAAGGAAGTATTTACAGGGATGGTGTTGATATTAAGGAAATTGATTGACCAAAATGGTTGCACAAAAATGGTAAGTCCATTAGCTTCAATGTGTGTTTTTCTGATCAATTCTATATAGTTGGCATTGTAACACAAGAACCAATCTTGTTTGCAACTACCATCCGTGAAAACATTACCTATGCTGTTGGAATTGAAAATGTCTCACAAGAACAAATCGAACAATCTGCCAACTGTCATAATTTCATCACGGACCTTCCTAATGGATACAATACCTTACTTGGAGAAAAAGGGGTTTCATTATCATGAGAGCAAAAGCAACGATTCGCCATTGCAAGAGCTCTCTTACAGAATCCCAAGATTTTACTTTTAGAAACTTTAGATGAAGCAACTTCAGCTTTGGATACTGAATCGGAAGCTCTTGTTCAATCAGCGTTGGAAGTCTTAATGAAAGGAAGAACCTCCATTTCCATCGCCCATCAATTATCAACCATTCAAAACTGCGACATGATTTATGTGTTAGTGAATGGAGAAATTAAGGAAGCAGGAATAGATGTGTCGAGTTAATATCTATTGAGGATGGAATTTATAGAAAATTGGCAGAGAAGCAAATGGTGATGTTTGGAGATGATATCCGCAAATTCAAAAGGAACTCGTCCGATCCAAATAATGATGATGATGATCAGAATGAACACTCCAATCAACAAGAAACTTCAACAAAAGTCTTTGCAATAAGGTAATAAAACGTTAAATCCAACATTTCTAACCTTTTTTAAGATGAACGATCGATTCAAGATGTGAATTCATTTTCTCATCATACATTTGACTGTGATATTTCCAGTCTTGAAAACCTTCGTGAGTTGAAGAGGTCTTTGACATAGATATTAAATTACTGCCTTCGGATTCACAAAAAGTTCAAACCGAATTCTTTAGTTCTTTGTCAATCACTTGCAAAGGTTGGAGAAAATGTTCAAGAACAAGCATACAGTGCGAACACAAATATTCCCTGCTGTCAGAGCATTGATGCGAAATGACAAGCGTTGACAGCATGGGTAGAAGAAGGACTTGTCTTTTTGGGTAAGCCACTCATCATGATGCTTTCACAACTGTAACCAACACGATCATCGATTTAACAAGAAAAAAAACAAGCTTTTCGTATAAATTGCATCCAACCATCATCACTCTGCACACATCAAGAAACCATTAACAACAAGTTAGTATTGTTGAAACGAACCTCACACTCGGAAATGACTTTACGACCACACAATACACGACTCTTCACAAAAGGTTCGAATTGTGATGCACAGCTCGTAAGTGTTTCTTGAAATATTTAAAATTGTAATGTAATGTGATATTTTGAAACTGTTCGTGATTTGTGATGACATTTGCTTAGGGATTGAATGATGATGTGAAACGAGTAACTGAATTTACAGAAGTGACTCAACTCTACGGTATGAGCGAAGAAGAGAGTCGAAAAACATTGGCTTTGATTGACAAGGTTGCAGTTGGACGATCGAGTTTGGTATTCTCAAGTAAGTGAATATTTTTAGAAAATCCTTGTTAACATTGTCATCATTCAATAACACCCATTAAAAAACAACGTTTGATGGAATCATCTCGATCATGTACTTGCAGCTACCAATAATAGAATTTTCGTCTGTGGTATGAATAGTTACAATCAAATTGGCTTGGAAAATGAAACTCCCAAATATTTGTTTCGACCCATTGAGGATTTGTTTAAAAAAGAATTGCAAACTGCCAAAAAGAAGGAATGGAAATTTGTAGAAGAAATGCTTGCAAAGGTAGAGGTAAGTGTTGAAAGTGAACAGGTGAATGAATCCAAAAATAATGATAATAACGGCCATGAGATAGGCAAGTGAAAAAACGAGATCCTTTATCCTCGACAAGTTCAATAAGAAATTCGACAAGATTCATTCCATTGACAAATTAGGATGTGGTTGGTTCCATACCGTCATTGTCCTTAATAATAATTTGGTGTTTGGAAGTGGTCACTCGTATTTCAATCAATTGTTTGGAAATGGCTTCTCTACATCGTTTCAATACCTGAATAATGAAAAATTCAATCCTTTGCAATTAACAGAGTCCATGTTACAGAATATTGAAAATGGCAACTTCAATGTGGATCCCTTTAACATTAACAAAGTGACTCATTTAGATTGTGGTACTTTCTCCACGTCAATTGTGATAAATAATTGCCAACTCTATTCTTGTGGTGAAGTGGTTGGACCAACAGTGACGGAGAACACTTATCTGATGGAAATTAGTAAGGAATTTAACGAAGAGTGCCAAATTAGGAACGTCTTTCATACAGATTCTGGTATTGCTATTTACACGAGTAAGTATATCACTCACTACTAGTTATTATATATATATATCATCTCCAAGCCAATTCTGAAATAATCGTCATTAAACGAGAAAATATACAAAGGATTTCAAATGTAATTCGGTGCATAGGTGGACATATGTGCAGTGATTTGTACTATTTTCAAGCTGAATCTCCACATATACTCAAAAAGTGGTCTCAAACAGATGAATCACTTAATTTTAACATTTCAAAATGTTCGCATCCCTTTAAATTATATTCTGCATATTACCATGTGTTCTTGGTTTCTGAGGATAAATACATCTACACAGATAACAGCTTCTCTAACTCAATAGATGAGGATTATGATGAGACAACCGATTCAATAACAATGAGTGGCCTTATTGTTCCATCCACAAAAATTTCTGATAAGGGAAATGGGTTACTAGCCAAATACTTGCTTCACGAGCAATACAAAGTTGCAGATATAGGCTCTGGAAGTGATGTGTCGTTCGTGTTAATAAGCTGGAACAGTAGTCGAGAACAGGAGGAAACCAAGTCTCGAATGCTAAAGCAAACGAAAAAGAGTGGTCAAAGAGCATTTTCTGACATTGTGCTGAAAGCTATCGACCACATGTATTATAATTGAGAAAAGCATGATCCTCTCTTCAAGAACTCTTGTTTCCAATCCCATCCCTAAACTTTCTTTCACACTAACTTATTACACATTTTTGTAATCAAATAACACTTGCTCAGTTCTAATAAACATTTCCTCCATTTCTTCTTTTCCCACTTTGTACTTGTTATAGGGATGTAAATAAGCCCCTGCATTGAACATTTGAAACGCTTTTGAGATTACTTTTTCCAGAGGAGATACAATTGATTGACAGTTGCTCAGCAAATAAGCAGTTTTCTCAAAGCCATTAAATCCCGCAGGATTTTCATTAAGGCAAACTTTCATGGCTTCTCTTGGATGTAAAAAACTCGAGTAAATATTCTTGTTAAAAAAAGGACTAACACTATCAGCAGGTATTGTACTAATTTCTTTTCCTCTAAGTATCATTAAATTTGAAATAGATCTATTGATCAAGCTGAACCATCTCTTGTCTGTGGCGTTGAGCCTCCAATTAATGCATTCCTCAATGGGAGCATCGGCAATGAGCATCTGATGCAAGTGTTTCAATAACCCTTCCCATCTAAAAACACTGTAATCTTTGATTTTTGAAGATATATGGGGAATAATTCTGGAATTTAAAATTTTGTATGCAGGGTGAGAGCACAAGTGCTGAATTGGATCAAAGAGTAATTGACATTCTTGTTCTGGATTATTTGAGTGATAACTTGGTAACGTCAGACATGTCAGATGGTCTGCAATTACCTTATTCATGTCATTAAATGAAGGGCTCGGTATTCCCATCAATCTTTTGCAAGTAAGATCCAATTGGTCGTTTTTGAAAATATATATTCCATCTGATACTTCATATAATTTTTGAAGCGTAAGAAGCGTGTTATAATTTTGAACAATAACTTCTCCAGTTTCGTGCGGCCAAACCACTTGATTACAAATGAAAGAATGAGGAAATTCGTCACGAAGTCCCTCTGAAATAAAACATCCTAGACCAGACCCGGTACCTCCAGCCATACTCTGGAAAAGCATGAAACCAGATAATCCATCACAATGCTCAGCCTCTTTGCGAACAATATCCATGATTGCATCAGCACAATTGGGTCCATGAAAATTGAAACCATAGGCCCAATTATTTGCACTTCCTGATTGTTTGTGAAAGGTATTGTCAACACTATACTCAAATAAATTTCCTTCTGCTCGTCGATTTGTTTGGTTTAGTGTTTGTTGTATAACTTTTGGCTCCATATCCACCAGAACTGCTCGGGCAACCATCGGATCACCCGGATTAGATGTATTCGGTCTGAAAAAACAATCCAAAGCTCCATCTCCGAATGGTAAAATCGTTTCCTCATGAAGTATTGATTGTGTTCCGACCATGGTTGATGAAGTTTTCTTTTGAATCATTTGAGAGGATAAGGCTTTAAAAAACGAGTGCCCAACCTGATTGCCACACTGCCCTATTTGCAGCGTGATGATGTTGTTACTCATTTTTTTGTATGCACAGGATGTTACAGAACTTTTGCCTCCATACTCCACTCAACAAAGTGTGACTCCAATCATGCCTGAAACAAGCAGCTTCCATCTTTTTACTGATCACTTGAAGCGCTGAATTTTAATTCCCAAGAAGAGAGCCACTTTTGTTTTAATTCCTCTTCTCTCTTTCTTCCTTCAGGTGTGTCCTCAATCATTATGGTTGAACCATGAGCCATTCCTACTCCATTCCATGGCAAAGTGACAGCCTGATTGAGGCACTCTCTAATTGTTGGAATATCAAGTAACATATTCTGGTCGATATAGGGAGCATCCATTTCCTTAGCAAACTGGTAATGTCGAGAGTATTTCAAGACATATGGCTCAAATTGTTCATGTTTAAGTTTGACAATGGGATTCTGAGGAGTGTGAATTTCTAAGTTCATAATTAGGTCACAAGCACATAGAAACTTTGAAGCTTTGTGATAAAGCAAACTTTCCTCAACTCTTGTGTCAATACCTTTCATCCGAATAATTGTAAAATGTTTAGCAACCAGATCCACAATATTTTTTCTCTTGTCTCTTGCTTGCTCCTTCTTTGAGACGGCAGAAAATCTTCCAAACTCCATAAACAACTCAGGGTCAATATTAACAACTGTTGTCACTGAGGTTTCTTTTCTTGAAACAATATTCTTCCTCGCCAGCTCAATAAACATGTCCTTAGCATCCTTTTGGCACAGAAATAAAACTCGAGTATTTTTCTGATTCAAAGCATCTGCTTTGTAACAATAATCATGATAGTAATCACCAAAGAAGAGAGTGTGTTCAGTATTTGGAAGAACGATCAAAAACGTATTTCTAAGACTTGTAGAGAACAGGCTCTCAATATGTTGCTTTGTTTGTTGCGTAAGCTTGGTTGGATTATAGAGTACGATTAAATTCTCACCTCGTTCTGTGTCCTCAACTTTTGTAATGTATGAGTTTGAAGACATGGCCACAAATTCATGCATCGTAAAGTGATATCTTGTGGTGTAGAGTGAATATTTAACTGTTGAAACATCCGATTGTTGAACCTCAGAAGAACATGTTAAAAGCTTCCAATTATCATTATTCGCATCAGGATCAATCGCTTCATGATATTTGATGTATTGCATCAGTGCAATCATTGCCAATGAAAATCCGAGAGTCAAATTGAAAAGCAAACGATTATTAGTCTTCTTCTTGTTTTCGGAGCCTCCACCAGCCTCGGCATTCTTGGAGTTTGGGTCTGCCGATGAGGCTTTAAATTTGAGAGGCTTCGTTGTTGTATTGCTTCCTAACAAAATTTTGGATGATGAATTCAACTCACAAACAAAACATCCATGATGATGAAAATTCGCAACTTGAAACCCTTGTTGTTGTTTTACTGCAAAATTATTGCTGCATCGGTGATGGAAGAATGGAGAGGAATGAACGGTATTGGTGTTAGCAGTGATGATCGTAGTAGTAGTTTTTAATAAAATATGACGGAATGGGCCAGTAAGAGATGAACGGTCATTCCGGAATTGAACAACACCATACATTCTCCCCATTTCAAAAACTTGAAGAACGTTTTTTGGTTTTTTGTGTGGGTGATTGAAACTTTGCAAGAAAAATTGTCCTGCATTTTGGTCGAAGAGTCTTTTGATCGGAAATATTGGATGCTCGCTGGTTATAATTCATCATCGCCATAGAGAGAGCATCCCGAGAGCGAACGTGGACGACTTCAATGAAGAACCTCCTCTCGATTTCATCATCCGATTATTATTATATTCTGAACCACACGAACCATACATAGACATTTAATATGAACAAGACCACCTCATCCACTTCATTCCAGGGTTCTTTGTTTGTTACGAGCTTCTCTTCGACTTTTGAAGTTATTGTTGAGTGCTCGGTTGGTTTTCTTCTCACTTGGTACAAAATAATTACGCCAGAACACGTCAAATTTCTATCCAAGATTTGGTTCAATTTATTTATTCCTACATTATTCTTCAAAGATATGGCGATATCCTTTTCATTGGATTTGCTTCAAAAATTATACATGATTTTAATATTTGGAGCAATTAATCAAGTATTAGCTGTCATTGTTGGCAAATTGGTCTTTAATAATTTTACCTTTAAATGCATTGTGGTAAGTGGAATATTGCATTCAATTTGTCAATCCAAATCTTTGAAAAAAAGGGACCATTTCGATGGATGGCCACACGTATCTTGAGTGTTTTTGGAAAACGTTCTCAATTTTTAGAGAATATGGACAAGATGACCAAGACGGAACAGGACATTTACTTTGTGAGCTTGTTTTGCCATAATTCTGTATCTCTACCCTTAATTTATTTGTCAGCTTTGTGCTATCTGTCCACAACGAATGCCATGATTGAAAAATCAGAACAAGCATCTCAATTTGTTCATCACTTTGAGGATCAATCAACATTACAAAATTCTTGGTTCGCTGTAAGGGGTGGTACCAATGACACTCTCGTGGATAATGTACCAGCGTTTTACAAGATATCTTATAGTGAGGCATACAAAAGCTCGATTACAGCAATTTCAATATTCATAGTGCCCGTAGAAATTGCATTCTACACTCTAGGAACATATATTTACAGAAAAGGATCCGAGCAACAACAAGAAATATTGCTTACAAGACAAGCAGAATCTTCACAAATTGAATTATTAGAATCTCCACCAACCACAGAAAGCTTAGAAAACTTGGAAAATCAACATATTGTGACCAATATCACAAAATTACACGAAGGCAATGAAACCGTTCTCCCCTATGATCCTTCGAATCCTACCTTAAACGTTGAACTTTCAGAAACTCCTTCCCTGAATAAGAGAGAAGAACGACAGGTTCTAACTTTATCAAATAATGTAGAGAATGAAGAATTGGGAATGACACCCACCGTTCAAGAAACGCAACAACAAGTGATCTCTGTACAGAGAACCAACCTTAACACAGATTCACCCATCGATCATTCTCTCCAAAATAACACGAGTAACCACACAACGCAGCAAGCACCGCCCACTCTCTTAAACAACACACGAACCAACAGGATGAAACAAATGGCAAAGAACTTTGGACTTTTCATGCTTCATAATATTATTTTGAATCCTCCACTTGCCGCCATTTTTCTTGCCTTAATGATCTCCGTGTCGAGCAGTGACTTGAAGAATTTTCTCATTGTGAACCCTCCCCCGTTTGTGAGCACCATCAAACATTTGTGTGAGGTGTTTGGACAAGCTGTTGCACCCGTTTCATTGATTATTCTTGGATCGAACATTGCCATTCAGGCAATACCGCACAATCAGCTGAACTCCTCCAAGAAGCAAGATGATGAGTCCGAGCAATTTATGAGAGAATTTTCGAACAATGACGAGATCGAGCAAGCATCTTCGCGTTATGCTTTGAACAGACACTCAATTTTGAAACTTTTTCGAAAAGTGATACAATTTGTGTTTGCCTCTCTATGTTATGTGTGGAATATTTTGAAAGTGAAGAAACTGAATCCAGTGGCTTTGACATTTGCCATCATGATCAAGATGATTATTTTCCCATTAATTGGTGTTGCACTAATGTATGCTTCCAGAAATCTCTTCCCATCAGGTTTTTCGAACATTACTGATCCTCTATTTTTCCTAGTCATTTTGATCCAGTTCTCTACACCACCTGCTATTGCTATCACAGCTCTTAGCTCTGTGAATTCCAATTATGGACAACATGAATCATGTGGTACGTGACAGAGTTGATTAGTTCTTTCATTATTTGTTCATTTTTAAATCGACATCATTTATTGCGATCTCATGTTCTTGAGAACAGAAATCCTATTATGGAGCTACTTTTTAGCGCCTATTTCCCTTTCATTATTTTGCTCCTGGTTTTTAAAGCTGTCATGTGAGCTGATTGTGAATCCTGAAGAAGCCACAAAAGTTTGCAACTACTACTAGTAACATGGTTTTCTGAGTGGTATATTTGATTTTATGTTGATGCAACATCGCACTTAGATGATGGAACGTTTTGTCTGTTCCACTCATCATTCAAATTCGGTGTAAAAGAGAGTCTTGCTGATTTAATAATAAGGCCTTACTCTATCCAGTTGGATTGACGTTCGTACATAAAAATTTATTGTTTCGTTTTTTCAGCATGTGATTGATTCATAAACCAAGAGAGGAGAGTTTGTTGAGAATTGCTTAATGATTCTCTGTCTGACTCTTGTACCTTCATCTGTAAATATCAATCCCATACTTCTGGGATTTGAAAAACAGCTGTGGCGTGCTTGATATAAAGTGGAACAATGTCGAACCATCTCAAACTCATCAAACAATTCGTATTAGAAATGTCTCCCTTAATAAAATGACTTGCCAATCTGGTCTCTCTTGCGTTACCTTGAGTCACTATAACACTTCCAATAGTAATTGAAGGTTGTACAACATTCAAGCTCGTTTGTATTCTCTCTAAAGGATGACAATTCATAATCAACTATTGCCAACCTTGATAAGTCCTTAAAAACGAACAGAGTATATAATAACTTACCCCCATGTCATTCGGCCATTCCAAATGAAAGATGAAAAAATGGATGTACGCACTCCATGCCTTTTGAGGTAATGTTGTCTCAAAGTGCGAGAAAAATCCTCCTGAATGCTCATGGGCAAGGTTTGGAATGACAAACCACACACCAGTACATCTGGAAAATAATTCAATTTTTTTTATTGATGTTGTGGCATTCAAAGCACATAAGTCAATTTTTAGTGGTGGCAAATATTGATTGAAGTATTTAAGCGGTAAATAATGGCAAGGCTAAATGGAGTCCTTTTGGCCCGGTAAGGGCATGTTGAGTCAAGTAATATTGGTCTTATCACAAGAATCTACATTTTCATAATGTGCTTAATTTTATTTATTTGTGGAGAGGACTGGTAATCCCCACGGAACAAGAGCCAATTAAAAAATCAACGCTGTCACAAATTGTTCGAGCGGACTACGTCCATATCTTTCAAAATTGTCATTCTCTAATTCATTCTGATTCATTTGGTTTGAAAATTATTTTGAAAATGTTCTCCGGTCTCATATTCTTCAACATTATCAAGTTTATCTTTAAGAGTCTTGTTCTCAGATTCTAAGTTTTCAATTTGTTGTTTAAGGGTCTTATTCTCAGATTTTAGCAGCGTATGCTCGGACTCAAGTTTGGCAACAATCTTAGATATTTTAGATACCTTGTCTTTTTCATCTTTCAGCTTTTGAACAAGGGAGCTATTTAGATGTTTCAAATTTGTAATTGTCAATTGGGAAGCCTGCAATTCTATATCTTTCATATATAACGTATTGAAATTATCCATTATCATCTGCATCAATCTATCCTTATTGCTCGTCCCAGATATAGCGGGCATACTTTTTGTTTATTCAGGTGTCCTAAATTGCTGTTAAAAAGGACATCCGAACGATTTGGGACTTCCAGACACATCCTTCCTATTAAGTATTTCTTTTCAGATTAAGGTTTTGTTGATTTGGTATTTTGGATGACGTGGTTTCAAATTGATACCCGCCATCGCCTAGATCAAACAAGAAAAATGACGACCGTAGTAGTAGGTGGTGGTGGTTCGGTGGTACACTCAGACACCCTCCTCACAACATCAAGCGAGACTGAAGAAACGAGCTCCGATGCTCTAGCTTCGATTCAAATCAAAATTAAGAATGAAATTTTAAACTTCCTCTACATGATGCAGTACAACCATCGACAGAAAGGAGTGAAGATCTTTCTATTGTACCTATTGTCATATGTTTGGAATTTTTGGACCTGGATATGGACGCCCGTTTTGAGTGCAACCGATTTTCATTATGCACATTGGGGAAGTTGGTTATTGAATGTCCTCAATTACCCTGTAACGTTTTCGATGGATATCATGCCCTATATGGGATCCTTAGTACTTGCTTGCTTTGTAATGTTTCTCATGTTGGTCTTGCTCACGATCTATTCCTTAAGTTGGAGAGCATCACGAGTTTCATCACGATATATCAAAATCTATCAACAAGTGATTTATATCAAATCATTTCTTGCTATTCTGCTTACTGCACCGAGTACATTTGTGATGACTGCCTTTGTTGATTGCAGCTATGGGTCAACTCCGATTCGGGTACGAGAGGCCCTACTTGAGTTGGTCAACACACAACAATCTTTTTCAAATATGTCATCCAGTGCTAGTAGTAGCTCATTGCTGAATTCTTTGGGAAATAGTACAACAATTGCCTCACAATATTCTCTGAATGTGTTGAATCGATATCCCGAATATGAATGCTTTGGAGTTCAAAATGTTGCCCTCTTTTCTCTGGTGATTATATTCACTTGCGTTTACATCATATTAGCTTTACTCTCGACATTTATCATTCCAAATTCTCACCCTCGAAACTTTACACCCATGATCTTTGACAGTTTGCTTCTTCAACCCATTATTGTTGTTGGAAATATTCTTTCCATTCTTGTGCATTATATGATACCTCCTCATCTTGCCTATGTTCGATCCATCTTTCACATCATTGTGTCTATTTTAACCATATTGTTTGTTTTCAAAACTGTTCCAATGATGAGGAGAGTTGAAAACACGCTTGTGGGTGGTGCTGTTTGTGCTCGTTTAGGCACAAGCATTGGAGGATTGATTTCGTTTTTTGTAAACTCAACCAATGAGAAAGAATTAGGAATTGGAATGGCCGTATTGACTGTCGGCATGACAATTCTCTTTGCCTTAATTGGAAGTATTGCCATGGAGTTTTACACAAGATTTGTCATCAAATATATAAGAAATAAGTACATGATTTTACATGAAGGAAGCTCTGGAACTGTTGAAAGAGAGGCATCTCAAATTTACTCCCAAGTCAGTGAGGACGATAATTTTAACAAATTACTAATGTTTATCAAGTTCACCATGATGAAAGTTGGAGCCAAGTTGGATGATGAGGATCATGATTTAGCACAAAGCATTGCTTTTATAAGAGCTGCTTCGGCTTCCAAGTCCTTTACAGATTTTAACTTGCTTGTTCTTTCTTCAATATTAGTTGCCTACGTCTTGCAAGACGATCCCAATGCGCACATTTTCTCTCAAGCATTGCTGAAAAGAGCAACGAAACGAAGACCCAACATTTACAGAAGATATATTATCGGGCAAAAGATGAAAGAAATTGAGGTTTTTATATCGGACGAGACCAAATCAGTGGGAAATACGATTGAGCTCAAGACGACACTTGCAAAGATACAAAAGTCAATGCTTGAACTGACATCTTTGCATCGTCATTTTTGGAAAGAAATGACAAATGAGATAATTGACCACACAAAGATTGAAAAAATTATGATTCGTTGTTCAGTATTAATCAACGAATGTGATGTAATATTTAGCCACATTTTGGCAATGTATTACAATGACAAGACCGTCCTGAGACAATACGCTCAATATGTTGAATCTTTCAAGTTCAATAAGGAACTCGCGAACGAGTATTATAATGAGGCGACAAGTTTAGAAGAGGATGAATCGCTGCATCGTAGATCTGTCTACAAGAATAGTAAGAAAACCAAAAACAGAGTTCATCCTGATGCTTCAGACGAAAATAATCAACAAGCAGCAGAGGAAAAAAAGATCAAATCATTTACTTCTTTATTCAATAGCACAAAGGAAATCAATAATGAGGTTGCAAGTGAACCAAGTTTAGACAATTTTAATGGAATTGAGAGTGCCACAAATGAAGCAAAGAGAGAGATGGTTTTTAGAACTGCTTTAAGCATTCCTGCATATAAGTTTATTCAATTGACAACTTATTTCTTGTACATAGCATTTGCGTTGGCATTATTGGTTGTTGGAGTTGTCATATCATATATTTTCTCGATGAATGTCACCAAAAATGTAACTCACGTCATTGATGCATGCAGTCCAATATATGTGCCAACCAATGTTCTTGTTGCACTTCGCGGATATCAAATCTATGCAAAATCTGGTCTGAATTCCACCTCTTCTAAACTGAGGAAAACGCCAGTGACTGAACTCTTCATGGACACTGAAAGCAATAAGAAAATGATTCAAGAAGCACGACAAGTGTTAATAGCACTACAACAAAAAGCTTATGACGCACAATTTGAGAAAGTTGTATACTCTTACTATCATGAACAATTTTACCCAGTAATCTTACCAAAGATTGGTTCCTCCAACGAAAAGCTCTATAACACCATCTCTGTTGAAAATGCAACCATTACAGATATCAATAACTTATTTTTGGAGCTTACTGATAGGTTACTGAGGTCTGAGGAAGGACAAATGTTAGAAACATTTTCCAGTTATGCCTTTATGTTAATCTTTAGAAATCAACATACCTTCACACAAGCTTACTCAAATTTTTGCATGGAATTTATGGATAATGCAATGAAAGATGCCTTGCAAATCAACAATATTGTCACCATCTACACTGCAGTATCATTATCAATATTTTTTCTGTTCAGCTTACTGTATTTAGTTTATGAGAGACTTGAGCTAACCGTACTGCATAAACAAGTGAATCTTTTGCACTCCAATGTTTCAAAGAATGAAATGGGAAGAATCTTTCACATGTTAAGCAAAAAGGTTGGAGATGAAGTCTCGATTCACATCTCAAAGAATGCTTTATTCAAACCTCAAAACTTTTTTCTCGTTGTTACCGCTTTATTGACGACAATTGTCATTATTTGTGGAGGTATATTCTTGAACACAACATTGGGAAACTCAACGTATTGTTTTGAGAGTTATGTGACTATTCAGGACTCTTTTGATACTTTGACATATTTGCAAGAAACAACGTTTTCAATATTCGAGATCTATGTGCATCGCGGAACGATGATTGACAGAAATTTACCGCTTCTGTCGCAAAGCGAGTTGTCTGCAATGATTTCAAATTTTGATAAGGCAGTTAATAATTTAAGATATTTCTGGAATTTGTGCATGTATGGAAGCTCAACTAAGGCTTATGACACCCTAGTAGTAGGCATGTTTCCTGAAATAGATCAAATGATTAGAGGTGAACTTAATTGTACGCTTGAATCCGTCGAGAAATCATGGCCTTCTCTTGAAAACAGTTCTTGTGAAATTGGAATTGATTACATGATAGCTGACTTGATAGCGAACGGACGGCAAGTAATTGAGGACGTGACAGTAACAAAATCTGCCATATTGGAGGACGAAGTCAATGTGGTCTTTAGCGTTGGTACTCTTCTGACATTAATATCTAAGAAATTGGTGCATTTCGCAAGTGTATTTGCTCAAGACTCTTCCACACCTATCATTGATAATTTAGTGGTATTTGCAATTTTTGGATTTTTATCTTTGTTTTTGCTTGGATTTTTAATGTTTCAATCTCTTTCAAACCACTCAAAAACAATATTTGCACTGAGGACGATGTTCAATTATTTAAATATTGAAACCGTCGAAACCAATGACAAGTTGAAGAATTTTGTCCTCTATCATACCGTTGGAGATGGAATATTCTCTAAAATCTTTCAGCATTCAGTTTCCAATTCAGAAAGAGAAGATGCCAAGCTCTTGTCTATTATTAATGGTGCTGTAGATGGTGTGGTAATGTGCAATTCATCCATGGGCATTGACGTGTTTAATGCTGCAGCTCAAAGAATGTTTGGTTATCAATCACAAGATGTCGTTGGCAACAGCCTCATTACTCTATTTGTTAAAGAAAAGCAAGAGGAAATCAAGAAAATGATTGAATCCATGAAAAATATGGTCACCGAAAGAGATCCAAAAGGAGAAACCACAGAAGTGGAATTACAACGAAAAAATCAAACTACATTCCCTGGAAAGATCAGCATATTTGTCACACTATTCCAAAAGAAACATGTTATTACTTGTTTTATTAAGGACATTACACCTGAAAAGAAACACAATGCTCTTCTAGCCGAGGAAAAAAAGAACTCTGAAAATTTATTGTTGAACATTCTACCAGCAGCAGTTGCAAATCAACTCAAATCAGGTGCTTCCCTCATTGCAGAAAAGTTTCCAGATGTCACTTGCTTCTTTAGTGATATGGTGGGATTTACCAGCATTTCATCGAAAATGTCTCCTAGTGAATTGGTTCAAATGTTGAACATCATTGTCATTGGGTAAGTAATATCATTATGGTTGAACGATTATCATGAATTGATCATGTAATGACAATGTAGATTTGATGACTTGACAGATAAGTATCGACTCGAGAAGGTAAAAACCATTGGAGACGCCTACTTTTGTGCTGGAGGACTGCACAGCGATGGAGGTCAATCGGATAGTCCTGAACGAATGCTAAGGGTAAGTGCATGTTGAAAGTGACAATTCAAAATTCATGTTGCCTTTTAGTTTGCAATGGAGACTTTTTCTGTAATACGGAGCTATAATGCTGCAAATAGGAGGAACAACATTGATGAGCAAGTAAATATTAGGGTTGGAATTAATACGGGAGCTATTGTGGCAGGAGTTATTGGCCGAAAAAAGTTTGCCTATGACATGTGGGGTGTAAGTAATGAATTAATTTACTTGAAGTTCATTGAATTGACATCATAAAACTTTTTTTAAGGACACAATCAATGTTGCATCAAGAATGGAATCCACTTCAAAACCTGGAAGAATACAAATTTCAAGATCCACCTACGAAAGAGTGTACGACCTTGGGTTTACTTTTGAAGAACGGAAAGTAGAATGTAAGTTTTCTTGTTGGACAACAATTGATTTAAATCAAAACGTTCAAATCTGTGTAAAGTGAAAGGAAAAGGTTTGACACAAACATACATGCTCAACTCTAAACACCACGTTTCTGCAATTCTCACAAATGAAGAAATGCTTGATTTGATGGAAACAACACAAGATAATTCCAACATGGGTGAAACAGGCAGTGCAAAGGCTTCTGAAGATAAGAATTCTGCAAATAAGAATGCTCAGCAAGTTTAACATAGACATCATTTGAGAATTGAGGTGATTTTTATTCCATCATTGAGGTATCAAATAAAGTCTCACATTCAGCTGAAGTGCAACAGCAAAGTGCATTACAAAAATTACAAACGAGACCACAATCCAAATAATACTGTCTCCATGCATTCTTGTGTATTTTAATGACTCTATGAACGCCATTTCTCGAATTCGAAGTACTGTTTGACTTTGATAATGGTAAAGCTCCAGAGCTTTCGGTCCAAACGTGAGTAATAAAACCTTTACAGTTGGGATTCAATTTGCGAACTTTTTTTTCTGACCATTCATACATTTTCTTTGCAATTCCTTTTTTTTGCATTCGAGGATGCACCACAACTGCTTCACAAAATCCCAATTGATCCAATCCATAGCTATACTTGTTCACATTAAATTCTAAAGGAAAATCCTGTGGTTGCCAACAATTTGGGGCATACAGCAAATGAAATCCAATCACTTGACCATCCATGTCTGTCAATTCTGTTTCGTGTGTATTCAATTTGAAATAATCATCATTCACTTTGATGTCATTTGCGGAGTGTTGTTGAAAATCATGTCGATAAATGGCCACACAAGAAGTAGTCATTCCACCCATCGAAGAATGATTCAATTTTGAAGGTAAATCTTCTTCAAATCCAAAACCAATTTTAAATAGAGCATCAACTTGCGGAAAGTATTTTTCTTGAAATGCATCCAATTGAATGACGCTGTTGTTGGGCATGATGACTTTGAGTGTTGTGTTTTTTAAAAGAATAAATTATATAAATATAATTTCAATAATTATTTTGATGATTTTGGTTTCAAAATTACGATCCGACGAATAAACAACAGCAATAGGAGGTCCTATCCATTTGATATATGTGGTGGATGCGTAGAGAGTTGTTCAATTCTCAGGTCCCACCAGTGATTTTTTTCTGTCAATATTCAATATGTCATTTGCATCATCCTTGAATCATATTTGATCAACTGCAGTTGTCATTGCATGAGACAGAACAATGATCGTTCTCATTCTGACAACATCAAATTAATTTAGTTTTATTCACATTAGATGACTTCTATACAGATAAGAGAGAGAAGAGCAAACAAGAGATTCTAGATGATCATTGTGATGACATCATCATCGAGATCCACTGTCATTTTAAAAATCATTTAACAAGTGACATCTAGTTAATCCTTCATAATTTGAGCAACTACTTCATGAGTATGCGTTTGACCAGCCATGGCAGGACATCTCTGTTCTAATTGTGGAATGTGTGCCAACTTTTCTTTGAAAGCTTTCAAAGAATGAATTTTAGTGAATGGACACGAGTGATCATGGAAAGCAGGACATTCTTGGACCATCGCATGATGATTTTGAATAAAGACTTTCTTCTCATCGGCACTGAAAGGACATTCTTTGGGTTGTTGATCTTCTGGGAGCTCGAGGAAGGACTTGAGTTTATCTAACACTTCGTCAAAGGATGGAGCAGTCATGATGTTGTTGTTTGTGGATCCTTGAGGGTTTAGCAGCGGTGATTGTTGTTGGTTTTTTTTGTGAGAGTTCCGAGAGAGGCTGTTGTTGTTTTCCATGTTTCACAGCGAGAGATAACAAAAAAATAAAATCACCGGATTGGTCGAAAAAACTCCATTGTAAAGTTTGCATATCACCGGATTGGTTGGAGGATCTTTCAAAACGACGTGGACGTTTGTAGTTTAGAGCAACAACTAGCGCGGCAATTTGTTCTCACTTGAGAAAATTTCCAAATATACTGAGAGTTTTTTGCACGGTGTGAGGGTTGAATATGATTAATGTTGATACAAGGCCATTATGCTGTTAGACAAGGGATCAATAAAAACAACAAGAAGAATCACTTATTATCTTTATCATTTAACATAGCAATGCTTGGATTTAACCTTATTAGTGATGAACATGCAAGGGTTTCTTCAACGCAAGATAAGTAATACTATTAAGATATTTTAGCTCTGGCTCACTCAAATAGCACATTTTAGGTTCAGCAGGTTTCACATGATGTGATGTTTTGCTTTCTTCCTTCCACGAGGGCCTGGAAAATTCATAACCTGGTCTCTGGGTGCTCCTGTTTCACAAAATGCTCATGAGTGGAGGATCGGCTTTATCTAACGTTGGAGTTTATGCGCTTTGTACAAAATGAAGAAACTGAGTCAAACTACGGGCATATAAAAGGATGTATGATGTAGGTTGTGCTTGTGATGGTGAGAACGTTGTTAAAAAGAATGACCTTATGCTTACTCTTGGTAATAAAGTAAATTCTTCTTAATACTAGAATCATGAAAAACAACAACAAGTCTTAATGAACACGTATCCAGATCCAATCACTCGACCATCTCTTGTCCAGAACAATGAAAAATAACAACTCGCTTGAACAATTTCTTCCTCAACCAATCCTTCGATTAAATGAAATTGACAAAAATCAATTATTCCAATAAATACTCACTCGATTACTCAGCACACCACATTGACCATTTCCATTACTTCCACAACGGAACTAATTCGGAAAGGTGTTCTTATATTTTGAGGATTCGAAACATCGGAAACAACATTTCGTTTCCATCCTCGCATTTCATTACTCTCGCCAAAAGAGAAAGTCACAACATTTGAATAATTTAAATGATCGTTCATGGCCGCTTGTAACAATAAAGCTTCCTTTCGACGTTCTGTTTTACTCAATGATGAAGTTCGAAAATCTGGAATTTGCATGGAGTAATTTCAAGATGATGTTCAGGAGAGGAACAAAACGAAGAGTTTTTGAAATGTCGGGAATTTGAGATGTTGCTATAATTCGTCATATTGGTGGTCTTTCGAACAATTGAAGGAAGGAGGAGATCATATTTCCTGTAGAAGAATCCGTGGTGTTGTTGTTAGTAGTAGAAATGTTGGTGTTGAGTAGGAGCGGTTGGTTGTGTTGATTGTGGTGGTGATGTAATTTCTGACGATAAAGCAACACATGATGAAGAGGGATTTGATGGTCCTCCATAATTGAAGATGATGAGGTTTTGTTGCATTCATCCGAGGTTGAGTTGCTTTGTTTTGGTTTTTTTGCTTTTCTTCCCTTCATACAAAATTGACTCAGACTCTTCTCTTCACAAAATTGATTCTTAGGAAGAGTCTGAATCAATGTTGAATGAAGGTTGTGTTTTTTCAGACCATCCCACTCGCAATAGCATTATTTATTCAATAGATTATATTCCAATTCGGTTGAAACGGAACTGTAGTTTACGACGTATTTTTTTTAATAAAAAAATACAAAGAGTCAAAATACAAAGACACCTGACTTTACAAAATTAAAATGATGACATGAACCAACACACCAATAAACTCGCTGGCAAATTTTGGCTCGAGTTAAACCACTGTGTGTCACTTAATTTCGTAACGAACTGTTCAAACACATTGGAAAAACTTGCCAACACCAAAGTAATAGATTTGCTTGCTAACATCAACACTACATAACAAATACTGCCAATCACAAATATTCCCACAGACTGTAAAAGTTTTGCATCCATTCTTCAATATGTTCGCAGATATTCTTAATCTAATTAAATGCTTTAAATTTTCATAATCTTAAAGGAATGAAGGATAATTTGGACAGGCATGATCTGGAGTTCTATAGTTCCAATGACGAGCAAAAAGCAAATCCTTATTACTGATTCACATGTTCGGACTCAATAGTAATACTTGTAGATTTTGTTGAAGTGTCTTCTCCTTGTCGACTACTGCTTGCTTGTTCACTCAACGATGCGTTAAAATGATTTGAACTCTCCTCATTGCGAATGGAAATCATCTCTTCTTCGCCTTGGCTGATCGACGTTTGATGATCCGTGGAGGATGACGACGAAGAAGAAGAACTTGCTTTTCGTTGATGTTGGTCAATAGTAGTGTGACCATTTGAAAAACGATCTGTAGCCACAGTGTGTTTGGTAGGTGTTGTAGGTGTGACCTCAACCTTGAGTGTTCCGTTGATTTGATCCTGAACGAGCAAGTTCACAATGAATTTCATCAGTGAAGTGTCAGGATAATCCATCCACATGTCTCGCCATCTATGTGAACTACCAGTGATGACATTCTTGAAATCAGAGTTGTCATGGACACTCCACAATATAAATCTCTGAATGAGAATGGATTTTTCATCTTCGGTAAGTTTGGATGGATTATTAAGGGCATTCTCAATGGCAACTTTAAAATCATATTTTGCCTTATCTAACAAATCAATTCGAAAGGGTGTAATGTTTCCAAGTTGGATAGAGGAAGAAGGAGAAGCCATGATTTCAAATTGTTCGATATAATCTGAACGTGCACTGTGGAGATCTTTGACCCAATAAATGATGTGCTTTCCTTCGAGACCTTTCAACTTAAATTCTCCCATACTTTCAAAAATAATTATACCACTAGAAACTGCAAGTTTGAAAGGATAGGTGTGATTGGCCAAGGTGTCTAAACTTGGGAATGACTCTTTTTTTGAGATGTGTTTAAATTCTGAAATGACATGCATGATGTATTGAAATGTTTCTTCACTGACATAAACTCTTCCTCCGCTTTCACATGCTCTCGCCACTCGACTTGCCTTATTGACAGTTGTTCCAAAATAATCGTAACGACGAGTGGTGGGATCGAATTGAGCTTGAATGTCACCTCCATAATGAACGCCCATTCTCACTCTCGGTCCATTATACACCACTTGTCCATTCCACACCACTGGTTGCATGTCTGGAAATGCCATCATGTCATTGGTCCATTCACATTCCAATAAATCTTTTTGGATTTGCATACAACAGGCAACAGCATCCATGGGGTCTGAGAATGCCATCATGAAACTATCTAAATAAGTTTTCACTTCATATCCTTTAAACTTTCGTAAGTTATGTCTTATGACCTTATTTTGAATATTCATTACTTTCTTCATGGTGTCTGAAGCAAGCGTCCACAAGAGAGGTGCATTCTGAATGTGTGTGAAAACAATGCAAATGGGAGGATTTTTTGGAGCATGTCGATTCTCAGTCTTTGTCATTGAATTTTTCCTCACCACACATCCAACGACGAGTGTTGCGATGGCAATCACTAAAATTCCAATAACTGCTGCTGCGACCGCAATTCCAATGGATAATCGAAGATTAGAATCAGAAAATGGAGGTGTAGGTTCCTTCAACCATGACATCCACAATGCAGTGTTATTTTTTAACCACTTGCAAGCAGCATCTCTTGGGTCCATGTGTTTGTAATAAATGTCACCCATTATTTGAATTTGGTCACTGGCTTGATATTTGAAATTTTTCAAAAAAGTTTGGACTTGCTGAGGAAGATTCAACACTGCATCGGTTTGTAATTTGCTAAGGGTTGTAGGGGGATAATCACAATCCACTAACCCTCTCTCAATATTCGATTGTTTTCTGCAATCTTCTGAATAAGCAGGAAGATAGACTCGTTGTGGTGGATGTGGAGAGCTAAATATTTGATGTGGCGTCCATAGTGACACAACAACAGGTGTTTTGTCACGTTGAGCTGTTTCTAATTGGTTAATAAGATATAATTCAGTGCCATTCTCTGGAGGTCGTTCAAGCTTTAGATTCAATTTTAGATTTCTAATAATTTGTTCATCCACCATTGCCCAACCTGTAGATCCTGTCACAAGTCGATATTCTGGTGTTGTTCTGAAATATCGATATGATCGTACCAGTTGATATAGTTCTGGATTATTCTGGTGTGCAGAAAACATGAATTCAGGAATGTACCATCCAATTCTTCCTTCAGGACCAAGTTCTCCAATCTCTGAAGTGTACTTTCCATTTTGTACATAATCTCTAAATGACAGTTACAAGATTGAATATCATATTGAAAATTTACCGATTGATATATTATTATAATATATCATTATTAATAAATTAATGCCCCTCACATACCTAAATTCATCATATCGATTAATTTTCCAAAATTCTAATATAACAAATGGAATTACATTCCCCTGTCGATTCATGAGCTTTAATCCCTCTAGGACAGTTAAATCAATAACATCTACGCAAATCCCTAGTTTTTCTTCCAAAATTATTTTCGCAACTTCAATATTCACACGTGACGAAAGCCAATCATTCAAAATAAACACTACTCCATTATTTGGTCCGCATTGATGATTCGTGTTATATGAATCTTTTGAAACGAATGGTGTATCTTGTAGATCTTCTTTCTTATTGAGACATGGATTTTGAGCATACTGGCGTGGGTGTGGCCGGAAAAATTGTTCTCTTCCTTCTCTAACTTGTGAAACCCCAACATTGATCATAGTCGTCATCGAAAATGTGACAAATATACTCCAAAATAGCACAAATTTGAATAGTTTCTTCATGATTGTTAATAAATTGTTTGTTGGTGATAATCGAATTTTGGGCGTCCAAGAATTTTGTCGTTTGTTGGAGGTATTTTGAAAGGTTTTAACAAACTTCGACATTTTTGTAAAAGCAAACTAAAGCCAACTAATTCAGAGCATTGTCTTTTGACTTATTCTTTTTTTGTTGGTCGCTAATTCTCAACACTTACCTTAATAGTAAATATTCTAAAAATATCAAATTTAATACTCGAGCATACTGGAGTAATCTCATGGAGTTACCTTGTTTAGTTTGATGTCATCATTATGTCGTCATCCATTTCATTCACTCGCAACAATCCACGACAATTTTTCCAATTTTATCTCCAGAGAAAATTCTCATCAATGCTTGTGGAATGTTTTCAAAACCTTTCACCATGGTTTCTAGAGCTTTGATTTTACCTTCCTTGACCCATATTGATAAATTTCTCATACTCTCATCGTATCGATCATAGTATGAGGTAACTAAAAATCCTTTCACTGTCAATTCTCTCACCACATAGAGAGAATTCATTCTTGGACCTGTTTCCATTCCATCTTCATTGTATTGACTAAATGTACATGTCATTAAATCATGTTCATTGATTCGATTTTTACAAAAACATGTCATTAAATCATGTTCATTGAAACACTTACCTGATTGCTCCACACAAAGAAATTCTTCCATACTTATTCATGCATAATGAAACTGCATCGAGAATATATCCACCCACATTGTCAAAGAAACAATCAACACCTCCATTGGGTGACACTTTTTCAATGGCTTGTTTCAATGAGATGGTATGAGGATATTTCTTGTAATTAATAATTTCATCAAAACCAATGGATTTGAGTTCTTTTGCAGACTCTTCAGATCCACCAGAAATTCCAATGACGAAACACCCTTTAAGCTTTGAAATTTGTCCAACCTTTAAGGACATGAATATTAATTATTCATTTCAATTAGGACCATGCATGAAAATTAATTATTATTATTACTCAAAAGTGTAATGCAATCACTTACCACGCTACCTACAGCTCCTGAAGCAGCACTCACCACCACAACTTCTCCTTTCTTTGGTTGACAAATGTCCAAAAGTCCCCAATAACTTGTGACACCTGGCATACCCAAAACTCCAAGATAATAAGAAAGAGGCATTCCAAGTGATGGATCTAACTTGACATAGTCTTTCAATTCACTCCTACTCTTGATTGTTACAACCTGTACTTTTTGCCATTTAAAGTATCCAAAAAGTAAATCTCCTTTCTTGAATGTGTTTCCCCTTCTTGACTCCAAGACTTTCACGACACAACCACTATTCATAGGCTCATTCAATTGAAAGGCTGGAAAATAACCTTTTGGTGTTTTTGGTTGCATCCGAGCTCTCATATAAGGATCTACACTGACATATAATAATTGAACGACAATTGTAGTATTTTCATTCATCATGTTCATATCGTTGGATGATGATGATGATGGAACAGATTCAAGTCTGAGGTCTGGTAGATCTGGTAGGTCTACATGAACCATTTTAAAATCCTCTTCTTGAATCATCCCTTTCGGATATCGATTCAACAAGATGGCTGGACTTTTAATTCGTGATGATGATAGAGATTGCAATGATGGAATATCTTGTGGACGAGCTCCGCATAAGAAATTGTTTGAAATGATTATCGGATGATCATCAATAGGTTGTTGTTGTTGTTGATACTGTTGCTGCTGTTGATCATCTTTCATCCTATGGATGGGAAATAAATGATTCACGAGTCGTTGGATTCTTTCTTCTTGTGGCAATTCTTGTTGTTGAAACATTTTTTCGAGTGTCCTTTTGTTCATGTCAGAAAATCCATTTTCACATGAAATCATCCCCTGCAATGAAAATTAAGGGATGATTACATGTGAGAGGTAATGGTGAATATCCATTATGGACAGTCATCCTTAATTCTCATTGAAATTTGGAAGGACAAGCACTCTGTATTGTCAAAAGTCAATCCTTTAAAGAAAATTTTCTTGCCAAAACAAATGCAACAACTGCCACCTGTAAAGTCCACGAGTGATGCATCGGAGAATGATGAAGAGCAGCAACACGTTTCTTCTTCCACAACGACTCCTCTCAAAACCACCACACCTTTCTTATCGGATCAAGACCACAATCATCATGTTGTCAACAACGACGACGAAGACGACGAAATTACAACAAGAACAACAAGAACAACCATCACCTCCTCCGGTCATCCATCGGTTTCGACTCATCCTATGAATGTTTCTCCTTCTTCTTTTTCTTCTCAACCAGAACAACAACAATTCTTTCAAATTCCAAAACTTGCTCTTTCGAATTTACATCCTTCCAACCCTATGAATGATGCATCGCAAGTTACACATACCACACAACCACCACCACAACCTTTCAATAATTATATGGTAAGTTGTAGGATGGGATTCAACAGAATTAAACTCCTCGCAATGACACAAATATATACAACTTAGAACAATTATTCTTCTGTTCCTTCTCATCACAACAACCACCAATCCATTCCAAACACATATTCTCCCAACAGCAGTCGAAGTCATCATTCCAATCATTCTAATTATTCAAACCCATTGTTGTTCATGAACAACAGTACTAATCAAGGTTATCCTCCTTTCAATAATAATTATCATTACAACTCGTCGTCGATGATGAATGGTGGCGTTATGTATTCCACTCCTTCTCCGATGAGTACTTCTCGAAGACATCGATACATGATGACGTCATCCATGATGATGATGATGAACAATCATCCAATGACTTCTTCAACAACACCTTCTTCTCAACGATTTTCAATGACAAGTCCAATGTCACATCGTAATTATCCATCACATTTGTTGAATCATTCCTCTTCGACTCCTTCATTGTGGAAGAATGTTGACACAAGTGGAATGGTGCCAATCATGTCTTCGACAACAACGCCATACCTTCATCATTACAACTGGAATGGAGGAGGACAACAACCAGTCAACATGTATGCAGTTCCACCCTCACAACAGCCATCACAACAGTTTAATTCTTTTCACACCATGTCACAACCGACCACACCAGAGATGGTTGACAGCCAATTGAGCTCATGTTCAGGAATGATCATGTCCTCATCAACAAATGCTCGAATGTCGTCCTTAGAAGAGGAACACTCTGCAGTAGATGCTTTGTGTGAAAGACAGTTCGATCGACTTTTTCAGGGTGTGGGAGCATTATTGGATGAATCTGAGAGGGAAGTGGAACAGTTGAGAATGTGGAATGAGAAAACGTGTGAAGAAATTGATTTCTTGAATCAAGTTCGAGAAAATTTAGTATTTCAATGTGAAGAATTGACAAGAGAGTTGGAAAAAGAAAAAAGCAATGTTCTATCAAAAACGAAGGAAATTGAGACTATAAAATTTGATTTGGAATTGAAAAATTTGGAGAATAGAAATTTTGAGAGACAGATATTCACTTTAAAACAACAAATTGCAGAATCCAGTGATGTCATTAATCGCTTAGAAACAAACTTGTCAAACAAAGAAAAGCAACTTGTCAAGTTGGATGAAGATATGAGAAAGGAAGTTGAAACTGTCACACAGCGTCTGACTGAAGAGATTAAACGAAAGGAAAAGATGTTGGCAGATGTCGAGGAAGAGCACAAACTAAAGACTGCTGAAATTATTTCATTGAATAGAAAATTAGAAAATTGCAATATTGAGCTTGCTGACTTTAAATCCTTAAAAGATCGAATGGAAAAGCAAATTGATCAGTTGAAACTTGAAAACAAAACACTCAAAAACAACAATGAAGGATACCTCAACATTATTGAACAGCAAAACAAGACCATCAATAGAATTAACTGCTCCATTAAAGAAAAGGAGAATGATATTGATCAAAAGGAGAATGAGCGACAAAGCATTTACTCTGAATTAATGTCACTCAAAAGAACAACTTCAGAAAAGGACATTGTTATGAACGAAAGACAAACAGAACTCAATATTCTAAAAAAGAAATTGGAACAAAAGGAGGAAGAGACACTTAGATTGCACACGCAGCTCGATCAGGAACGTGAAAAGAGCAGAATTCTTCAAGAAGAAAAGACAGAATTGAGAAATCAATTCCAAAAAGAAAAGGAAGAAAAAAACTTGCTCGAACACCAAACAAAATTATTGGAAAACAAATTAGGAGCCATTGACAGTGGTGCTAAGGAAGCACTTGTCGAAAATGATCATCTCAAAAAAGAAAATGAAGAGTGTAGACAGAAACTTCAAACCTACACACAAGAAATTGATCGTTTAAACAAACAATTAGTAGAATTGATTACCAAAAATTCAGACAATGAAAGAGAAATTAAGCAAAAACTACAAGAAATCGATGACAAGTCATTTACCATTCAATCTAAAGAAAAAGAAATTCAACGACTGAATGAATGTCTTAAAGACAAAGATGTTGAGTTGTCTAAATTGACACAAGAAAATCAAGACATTCAATCCAAGACGAATTCTCTCAATACTCAAATTCAAAGTTTGACCATCGATCTCAATGACTCTATGGAGGAATGTGACAGATTGAGACAATACTTGACAGAAGAGAAAAGCTTTATTATTGAATCAGATCCCACTCTTAAACTTGTCCTCATGATGAAACAAGAAGGTTTCACAATTGATGATAATTACATTGATCGAGTGAGAGGAAAATCAATTTTCAATCTTTTGAGAGCAGGAATTGGAATTGGAAAAGACAAGACCGATATAGAACGCAAAAACGAAGAAACAATCTTTGCAGAAAAAGCATTATCCAACTGGTTAGCTCAATTATTACCCAATGATTACAAATTAGAACAAACACTTTATGAAAATATTTCGGATGGAACGATGCTTTGTAAAATGATCGATACCATCTTTAAGGAAGTTCAACCATGTGACCATGTGAAATGCGATTCTTCATTATTGCGAAATCGACGAAACGATTCAGACAACATTTCAGTGTATTTGGAATATTGCAAAAAATTAGAGCTTAAAAGTTTCTTTGAACCAAATATGATTTTTAAAGTATTGGAAGCGCAACGACAAGATGATATGAATTCGGTATTCAAAGAAAGAGCTCTCATTGTTTGCAATATTGCACAAGTGTTTGAACTCTCAGTGAAATGTGCCATAACTCCACGAAAGAAAGATGAAATATTAACCACACTTTTTGTTGCTAAACAAGAACGTGAACAAAATAGTCCACTTCAATCGTCGAGAAGTAGATCGACCTCTGTGACATTAACCAAAATAGATCGAAGACAGAAGAGAAATAGTTTTGCATTTACAAACCTTTCTGTACCATTTTCCAAGTCAGGTACAGAAAGCGTTTCTCCAAAATCAGCCATTCTATCGAGAGATACGTCTAATTCATGGTTTGGATCGAACAACTCTTCTCCAGTGCATCTATCTTCACAGTCAAGATTGAGCATTCCTAATTTGAGCCCTTTTACCATTTCGCCACGCGATAGCAGCGGTGGTTCTGCACGAAGTAGCAGTACAGGGATAGAAGACGACATTTGGCTTGAGCATATGATTGAAGATATGAAATTGTCTCTGTTAAATGAGCAACAAAAATTCTGCCTCAAATATTATTTGAACATGTCAGGTAGCTATTTCATTAACGAAGAGCAACGTGACGAATTTATGAACTTGTTATCCAAATGCAAGTTTGTGCAATTCGATTTTTCAGGCTGTTTGCCATTTTTCAACTTCTTTAGTGTAGATAAGGAAGTTTGTGAATTGTTGAATCGATTAAGTGAAAACAAACATGCACTCAGGGCAGATTTTAGTAGCTTCAATCTAAAACCACATATTAAGATTGTGGAACAGTTCATTGCATCTACAACTGTCAAATACTTGGTCTTGAAAGATTGCGGTTTAGATGAGCAAGACAAGGTTGCTTTGAAACAGTTGGCCAAAAAACACGATGTTTATGTTGATTTGTAACAGGCTTTAGAAAAAACATCAACAAATATAATTGATCTATTTCTCTTCAGTGCTTTGTTCATCCTTGCTAGACTTTTTCTTTCTTGGAGTGGTTTTTGACTTGCGTCCTCGAGTTGAGGATTTGGATGGTGATTGTTCTTCGCTTTTGCGAGACGGAAGAGTGGAAGGAGCAATCTTAATTTCTTGCACAAGTGTGTTGTTTTGCTCAATGGAAACGATTACTGGTTGTGAGCTGGACTCACTTGTCGTCTTTTTCTTTTTGGGAGACTTTGATTCATTGGCCTTTTTTTCCTTCTCTGGTGATTCCTTTGATTCCTTCTTTTTAGATTCCTTCTTGCTTGGTGTCTTTTTCTTTTTTGGTGAAGTGACAGGAGGAGGTGTGCTTGGAGTAGATTCTATGTGAGTCTTACTTTCACTTTCTTCATCAGAAAAATCCCATTCATCTTCTGATGGTAATGCATCAAAGTTAAGCTCTTCCTCAACAGCAACAGAATTTCGTTTCCTTTTCTTCTCAAAACTCACGTCCAAAGATTGCTGGGCAAATACTGATGGATAATTCGAGTAAAGAATCTTTTTTGCATTCTCTTCGAACCATTCTTGTTCACCTGCTGCTTGGGGGTCTCTGCGAGCAGCTTTTTTGGAATTAAGCTGAATAAACTGTAGATGTAATAAATGTCCAATAAATTTGTCAAACATGAAGTGGCTGTTGAAAGTAATCGATTGTGTGAAATCTGCTGAAGCAGAAAGTAATTTTTCCCAATCTTCGGACATTTCTTTTGTAAAGTTCACATTAGGGAAATAATATCGTATTACACTCTTAATATTTTCAATACTCTCATAAAATTTGTATACATCTGGAATGATCTTAATTTCACATTCTCTTAATGGTAAGTGTTGCATTAATGATATTCTTTCCTTCACATATTGTTTAGGAGTTTTCGCTGCTCTTCTTGGACGTGATGGAGTAGCTGGTTCCAAAATAGAGCCAGATGACTCAACAAAAGGTCTTCCAATGATTATTCTCGAAACAGCATCTGAATGCTTTGAGAAATATTGAATGGCATCCATGATTGGTTCTAAAATTGATTGATAGCTAGAGCTTGCATTCCCACCGCTCACCATTGCGCTACCACTTCCATACGCATTTCCAAATATATGAGAAGCAAAACTATGGGACTGTTGATTGAGATTAGAATTCACTTGATTCGGTGCCAGTGTTTGGCACCCATCATGGTCAAATCTAGATTTGTAAATGTACAAAAACCTAGAAGGATCGATTAATTCTTGAATTTGGTCAAAAACGAGATTAATCTTAGCCTTTTCGCTTTTTGGAGAATTACCCAATAAATAATCAATTAGGAATTGACAAAATTGTTGTGAGGTGAACTTTGTGTTCATTCCTGAAAGCACACTGTTATACAATTTTGTGAGAGACGAATTCTCATATTTTCTAAACAAATAATAATCCAACGGAGATGCCTCTCCTTGCTCTTGAAGCTCTTCTCTAGAAATTGATTCGTCTGCTTTTTGACGAGTTGTTCGTCTGGTTGGCCTAGCAAATTGTTCTGTTGAGGTTGTAGGGGTGGCTGGCATTTCTTCTAACAATTTTGTTGCATCTTTTTTCATTTGAAGGTATGCTAACAGGTCAAGCATATGCACATAAATAAGTAGGAGAAAGCTTCTTCTGACAATATAGAAATTTTTGCAATGTTCTGTTGGGTGCATGAACTGTCTTGTCTCATCAGAGGTTGACATAAATTTTTGAACCAAATTTTCGTAAAATGTTTCTTGAACAAGGTTTTGGGCTTTAGGTAATGGATTAAATCCTCCTGAAATGTTTTTTGAGCCCTTTGTGTTGGAACTGAACTTTTTCCCAACATAAAAACTTCCACATGATGATTGATGTCGTTGTTCAAATTCTTTCATGTTCACAGAAAAATCGAAGGTCAGTAAATAGGAGCTCGAAGATAAAAGAGAATCCAAAATAAACTTGGTTTTTCCAGAACCTTCCTCCTGCAAAAGAAGGTATACTCTAGATTTGTCAAATTCTATTAATTTACGAAAGCTCTCTGGATTCAATTCTTCATTAGATGATGCCGACACTCCCTCGGTGTAAGTGCTAGTCGTAAACAGTGCATGCTTCTTTTTTGTGAGTAGAGAAGGTTGTGAAAACTTTGAATCGGTCATGTCTTGTTCGTGTGATTCAAATCTTCTTCCTAGATGCATATCAACCTCGTCACATGAAATTGTCTCTGTAGAGCAAGAAAGAAACATTGAAGGATTTAAGTCTGATGTTTTTGTGGGTAATTGTAGGTTAGATAATGATTTTTGATTTTGTTTCCATTGTCTATACTCTCTCTTAAGATGCGACAAGTGGCTTGTTAAAATTGCTTGAATATTGCCTTCTACCTTTGAACTTGCATAGTCCAATGAAATAAATGTTGTTGATGATTGCGTGTTATCATGAGATGACTGTATGTTATCAGAGGATGAGGAAGGTGAGGCAGAAGTTTGTTGATTTTTCAGCAATGCATTCGTCAATAACAAATCGGAAGTAGCTAATTGTTTCTTCTTCTTTTGTTTTTGGATGGATTTTTTCATTTTCAATAATGCTTCCCACTTCTTTCCACGTTCTTCATCGGAAGATGTGTGCTGTTGTTGTGGCTGAGACGTACTTTGCGTATCATCCTTTTTTGAAGATCCAACATCTACTCCGAAAACCAAAATATTGTTATTATTATTATTCCGATTATCAATCATCATCATACAATTTGTGATCATCAAGTCATGAACATCGAATAACATACTCTTCTTTGAGCTTGATCGGGTGGCAGGCATTTTTTTGGACCGTTAAATTTTTCAACTTGATAATGGAAATTCATCCACAAAGGAACATTATCTGAGATTAGAGTAGGCAAAGAGAAAATTCATGAAAACGCGTTTTCACGAAAAGCAAAATATTTTCTGTCAGAACGAAAATTTTCTTTAAATGTGCGAGTAGGCCAGCTCAAGACTGTTTGCTTGACACTTGTTATCGTGTTTCGCTTTCATAGAAATTACAAAGTCTCTCCTCACAACAAGGTGAAAATCATTAATAACTATGTTTGCCTCTGAACCAAGCTAAGTCTCCACCCTCCACTTATGTCTAAAACAAAATAATATTTTGCAACCCTTCCAAGAGGAAAAAGGGACTTGCAAAAAAAATTGGCATTTTGCAATTTCGAGATTTGAAAGCTGGCAGGAAGTAAACACTCGAACTGAATCAAAAAAAAACAAAAAGACAACCAACACAAATCCACACACACCCATTTGAAACCATCACTTCTTCATCGAACACCAAATAATTCAACACATCATCATCATCATGCCCAAAGAACGATCCAAGAAGGACCTTCCTGCTCATCATCAACCCTTTTCAGTCGTTGAAATTTCATCTACACTCTCCTACGAAAACATTGAGAAATTATTTTGTCAATTTTTCAACCACGAAGTGAGAGAGGAAAAGATGTTTGACTTGAAAATCGAGGAGGGAGTGGACATGATACAGTTTCGTACCAAGGGTCCCATGCAATCTGGTAGAAGAAAGTTCAAAGTGATTCCTCGCGAAGGAACCTTTTCAAAGGCATCCCAATGCCGTTTGTTCGCGTTTTACAAATCATCATTGAAAGGAACTATAGAATCGGCCAATGTGGATGAATTAAATCCTCAAAAAACCAATAACGATATATGGTGCACTGACAAGGATGTGATCAAAAGGGTAGGAGGAGCTCATAGCGAGGTGAGATTTGTCATTGTGAACGGCAACAAGTGTTTCATCAGTAATAGAAAATATGAGGTTCGTCAATCTTGGAATTTCAAGTCCGAGAAAGACAAGAAAGATTATCAAGAGTGTGTAAAACCAGACGTCACAGCAAGGAAATATCAAGAAGATTTCTTCAACCAGATTAAAACAAACAACGACAACTCGAACGAACCAAATCCACCATCCCTCTGCGGGAGTAGTCAATACGAGGAATTGTTCCTACAAACCACCAACACCACCACGGAAGAAGAAGGATTCGCACTGGATTGTACTTCTGATCTTTATCTTGACATCAAGAAACACCCAAAATCTGATCACATGCTGCCTCAACTTGAGTGGCCTTTCCAATCCGAAAGTTATCCATATATTGGGGCTTCAACTTCCTGTAGAGGCACAACCATGTCTGACATGCCTTGCTTTGTCCTGCAACAACAACAACAACTACAGCCACAGGAACCACTCAATCTATCACAACTCTTACCTTACTTGGATTTCTTGGAACAACATATTCAGAATCTTAAATATATGGTGATGTCCATGAGTTTGTCCCTTCCAAAGAACTAACGAAAGGAATGTAAACATAAAATGCAATGTGTAAATACTTTTGTTTCAAATTCTGTTTATAGTTGCAACTATGTCAATTCAGTAATTATAATAATAATTCATGGTTGTGTGTGTGGATGGAGTGAAATTTCATGAGTTTGTTGAAGGAAGGTTCGTATTTTTAGAATCTTTTCTTCAAAAAAAAATTTTAAATCATCGTCCGTGTTAAGCCTCGTCATCATCACGTTTGCAATTAAAATCATCATCAAGACATATTTTTAAAGAACAATTTCCAATTCATCACTCATTCAAAAACATGACGGAAGAATACGATAATATTTCCTATAGAGAAGAAGAGGAGGAAGAGGAAACCACCGAACAAATTTTGGAGTCGATCGCTGAGGAAGAAGAGGAGGAAGAAGATGAAGAATTGTTGCAGCAATCCATGCTCCCTTCTCGGAAACATCACAAAATCACCATTGAATCCATAGAACAGATAAAACAAATTGTGTCTTTTAACCAATATGATTTAATCGATGCCAAGGGAGGTTTGGATTTAGTGGTGGTCAACGGGGACCAACTTTTAACACATTTCTTGAGAGACTCGTTAGGGAAAACCGAACTCAACAGCTCAAGTTACAAGTTAGATTGGACCAATTATGGTGGCCAATTTCTTCACTTGACATATCTTGTTGAATCCTTTATCAAGAATTTGTTAGATCGAGATATGAGAATTGACGTTGTTTTCTTCGACGACACTAGCAATGAAAAATGTGTCAAGACCTCATTTCTGCTGAATCTTGCTTATGAATTTCACAAAGAAAAGAACATTCCTTTTGGTTATTTGGCTTCTAGCTTTTTACTCGCAAAGGAAGTGATTATTCATCACTTGTCGAAAGTTTGTGAAAAATATGTCACAAGTGAATTATTCATGGTAACTCGTTTAAATGATACATGGTACAATTCTAGTTCATGGGAAAATTTACTTACGAAAAGAAAACCTTCATTTATCATTTCTACTCTGGCAGTACAACCTTTTGCTTTCTCAATGGACGACCTCTTTTGTACAGAAATTGTTCTCATCAAACAAGCCACTCTCACTTATGACCTATGCTTTTACGGTAACACAGTAATTGGGTTTTGTTCTGCCATTCGTGACACTATGTCTCACTCATTCAAGCCAAAGGATATTGAAATGTTTTTAACCAAATGTTTTAACGAAGAGAGGTTCAATGACATCTCTCAATTATTCTCTGAATGTGCAATTTTTGACGATTCAAGAAACATTTCCGAAGCAAGAAATGAAATTACAGGACTGATCGAAAAAGAAAGCAATGCAATTCAAAGCGAATATTTTAATAAGTGGATCACAAATGCGCGCTCACGAATTGAATTGCTACTTCTAGCATTGAAAGACACACTCGATCGTCAAACTCCATCAATTCCAAACTCTTTATCTCTCGCTAAAATATTAATGTTATCAGTGCTAACACAATATGTTGTTCCTCTTAGAGATAGAGCTCAATATTTACTGGAAAATATATCGTCCCCTTTAATTACATTTAATCAACAAGTGATGAGATCCATTTTTGTAGTATTGAAGCAAATCCCAACATTCAATAATTTATATGACTTGATTGACTTTAGAATGTTCACAAAGATAACCACATTGCTGTATTCAATGGGTACTCTTCAAAAGTTAACAAACGATGGTAGTGAAGATGAAGTGTTGGCATCATTGTTGCCAAAAGAGTTACAACCAATGTTCAAGAGTATTTGCACCTATTTAAACGCTCAGCATGTGTCATCCTCTACAGACAAGAACTGGTGGGAAACAACCATAAAGCCATTAGTAGCAGCATATCCTATCCATGAAGGAAAACCAGCTCACCCTGAATGTTTGCTTAGACAGCTCTTGCCCATCGATCATGAACCACTCAACAAACTCTTTGATGACGTTGATTTTAATTTACCACACCAATCAAAAGAAGAACCAGTGATTGCTCAAGATGAAGTACCAAAAGCCGCTGAACAAGAACAGAACATTGATGAAGATATCGAAGATTGGGAGAAAGAGGATTGGCTCAAAGAAGAGACTCAAGAAGTGGTTGAGCAAAAAGTGGAAACTCAAGAAAATCTCACTGAAGAAGAAGCTCGAGAGCTTAGATTCGAAAAGTCCTATCCACTACGAGAACAAGAAATTAATTACTCTGTCAAGAAAGATCTCGACCAAATTCCTAATGACTTCTCTGGACCACGTACAGAATGGGAAAAACAAAAAGTTCAAGATGCCCAGAAAAGATTGCATCACTACTCAGAGTCAATTCGATCCCTCTCTGATAAGAAAGTCATTGAAACTGCAAAATCTGCTGGAACTGAAACCACAAGTCCACAAGTTGAATCAAAACCATCCAAGCCTGTAGCTAAAAACAGTCAAAAGAAGGAATCTGTTGCTGTTGCCAGTCCTTCTGCGTCAGCTACTCCCTCCACAAAGGTTAGACTTATGATGATTGAATCGAATATCAAGAAAAGGGAAAAGGAAATCAATGAGATTGCTTCCAAGTATTCTGAATATATTCAAAAGTTTTCCGAGTTTAATAATAAGGCAGATGAACTGAAAGAACTTGGCCCAAAGCTTGAACCCTATGAAAACCTAATTAAGCTTCTCCTTGAGGGAGTTTTTAAAGATATACGAGTCATTCAAAACATTCAAGCCACAGCAACGGACAGCTCAAAGAAGGGCGCATCTGGAATTTCTGATAGCTACAACGCAGCAAATTTACTTCAAGAACAAAGAATGACATGTGAAACTATTTGGATTCAGCTTACTTTGCTTAGAGCTCAATACATGGCACGAAAATTGTTGCTCGATCGACAAGATTTACAAAACTCTCTCAGAAGACAAAATCAGCCCAAAAAGGGTGTTAAATTCCTAAGTTTTGGCGACGAGGACTCAAACCAAACAGACAAAAAAGACAAGGAAGAAAAGAAAAAGAGTGCCTTGAAGAAGGATGAAAATGCTACCGATGGTGGAAGTACCTCACAAATTGCACAAATAAGTAACCTCTCAGGAGGTGCGGATTTACCTCTGTACTTATATTGGGAGCCTTTTGAAATTGCAAACAGAGTTTATGAAATTGTTGCTCAATTCGTCAATGATACCTACACCTCAGATATATCTGTTTTAACCTCACCAAGTCAAGAAAAATCAGAAAAGAAGGCTGTAAAAAGCAAGAAGCCAGCTAAGAGCGACAAGAAAGAAAAAACCGAGAAAGTTAAACCAATAACGAAGATTGATTTGAAACACATTATTCAAAGTCTAATCAACATGTTATGTGATCTTGGTTTTGTTAATTTTGCTTCCAGACTTGCAGAGAAGTTTAATTCTGGAGACATCACCTATGGCTCTCTTATCAAAGACAATTTATTGCAACAATTGGATTCAGACACCTTACCTTCTGAGACCGTTAAAGTCAAAGTTGACACTGTCAACGACAAGCCTGAATCTGCAGAATTTCAATTAATGTTTAACAGCGCAATTATTGAAACCGCCAGCAATATTGAAATTCCTCCTCCAGAGCTACCAGAGACAATAGTAATCGATTCCAAAGCACACAAACCTGGTAAAGGTCATCCCAAGAAAGAAAAACCATCCACTCAGAGGAAGCAAGCTGAAGAAGAAACTTTTCAACCACCTGCCGATGACACTAGCTCAGTTTCAAGCATTGCACAAAATTATGTGTTGCCATCATCAAAGAGTCTTGGGTTTACTCCAGATCCTTGGCAAGAGCAAATGATTCTCTCTATTCTACAAAACAAATCTATTTTAGTTAGTGCTCCAACTAGCTCAGGAAAGACCTTCATTGCTTTCTTTGCTATTGAGAAAATTTTGAGGGACTCCGATGACGCCATTGTTGTCTATTGTTGCCCCACAAAGGCCCTCGTAAATCAAGCATATGCTGAGGTGTATAGCAGATTCCAAAAAGTATACAGCAATACATCACAATATGGCGTCTCCAGCATGCTTGGAATGTATACGTCAGAAGAAAAGATTAATGTCACCACTTGTCAAGTACTGATCACAGTGCCTCAATCACTCGAAAATCTCATGACCAGCGCTGAAAATCTTGAATGGAAGAAGAGAATGAGATACATTATTTTAGACGAAATTCACTGTATCAATGAATCATCATCTTCTGGACAAGTTTGGGAACATGTATTGAGCTTATTGGAATGCCCATTCATAGCTCTCAGTGCTTCTATTGGAAATCCAAAAGAGTTTGCAGACTGGTTAAATGAAAACTATAACAAGGATATTGTTTCTCATGTTTCCTTCCTTAACGAGCAACAAAAGAGTGTTGAACTGGTTGTTCATGACGAGAGACCACGTCCTCTTGAATTCTATAACTATGATACAGCAACCGATCGATTAACAGAAATTCATCCTATGGCAACTTTGAATCCAAACTCTATTGACTCTGTACTCTTTTCTCACATGCAAAACTTTTCTCCACTTCAATGTCTGACCTTGTACAAGATTGCTCTTGCAATTAGACAATCATGGACAGAACAATCACGCCCTGTACCTGCCGCTGTCAATGAATTTTTAACACGTTTCAACCCTGACACCTTCTTTAGTAACTTTGGCCTTATTAGACGTCAACAATTTGCAACATACGGTAAATCTATGAAGGAAGCGCTTATTACCATGTCCACTGAAGTGGCTAATCATGAATTTTTACTTGAAATTACGAGAGCGTTGCTGAAAGACGTTAAAGCAAGCTTTGATAATATGGAAAATGAATACGAGGCCCAACTTCAATCTAAGGAGGTCAAAGATTCTGACAACATCTCAGAGTCTGATGTAGTTTCAACAACCTCAAGCAGGATCATTTCAAAGCACAAGTTTGGTACTGATGGATGGCTAAAAGATAATATCATTCCACTTGTAACACGCTTAGCAGAAGACAAACTATTGCCCTCAATATTCTTCAGCTTTGACAGAACAATGTGTGACTTCCTTGTGAGAAAAATTGCAGCTCATTTGAGAGAAGCACGTGCCAATTCACAACTTGGAAATTACTTCCATCTCTACTCATCTGGTTTAGAGAAAGTAAGATCTGAAAAAGAAATTCGTTATAGTTTACAAAGTTTGGAACAATTTGGACCATTGATTCCAATTGAATTGCGAGAAGCCCTCGAAGTTGGTGTTGCAGTGCATCATCACAGCTGTCCAACCGAATATCTCACTGAAGTTGAACGACTCTTCAGACTTAGATGCTTACCAATTGTTATCTCAACTTCAACTCTTGCACTTGGTATTCACATGCCATGTAAGACAGTTGTAATGGTTGGTCATTCAATTTATTTAACAACTACAATGTTCCAACAGTGCGCAGGAAGGTCTGGACGAAGAGGTTATGATGTTAAGGGTAGAGTTGTTCTTTATGGTATTCCTCATGTCACTGCAAATAGATTACTTGCTGGTGTGACTCCAAAAATTAAGGGTGCTATGGGTCTTCGATCGACATTTTTGCTAAAGATGTTGTCTCTCCTCAATAAGGCGCAAAATGACAACGAAAAACTTCAAATTGTCACTGACGATCTTTCTCGTTTAGTGAACAAGAAGATTTTCTATTTGGGCCAAATTTTAGCCAACTCTGAAAAGCAAAACAAGTTCTGCATTCGATTTATGTTAGACTTTTTGAGAAGAAATCTCTATCTATCACAAGACGCTTCTTTGGGAGATTTTGCACAACTTAATATTAGTCTTTTCCACAACGAACCGGCTAACTTCCTTTTCATTCATCTCTTACAAACAGGAGCTATTGGTCAATATTTAGAAACATGGAAGGATAAGCTTGAACAAGCTCCACTCAGACCAGAAGAAAAGGTAGAAATGTTGGGTGAAAAATTGCTCATTCTTTTGAATATTCTCTTTGAAGCCAGAAAACTTTCACACTGGGACATTTCACCTTTCAAGTTAGAAAATTACTTTGGCATCACAAACTTGGATGAAATTTCTTCCAAGAATTCAACAAAGAGCAATCTTCCAACAAATATCCTATCACAGTTTGCAGAGTATAATCGAATTTTGTTGAAGACTTATGGAACATTTGTGACCGCCTATTGCAAGAACTATGCTAAAGATGTTTTGGACAATTACTTACCACTTTCTGGAATTAAGTTCCCAGAAGAGACTTCTGATCTAGTTGAAAAACTGTACCAAAATTCTGAAATTTGCAAAGCATTGCATGATAACAAGCTCCAGTATTATGGAACAAGTAGTTTCGCTGCCTTGAGTGGCACTGATGATGCCTTTAATAACGTTAGCCAACTTTTGAATTGTAAAAATCAAAATGTGATTTTGGACACGTCTTTATTGCCATACCTTGAGATTGTAGAATTAATTTCTCAAAATGCTAACATTTCTCTCAGCTCATATGCAATTGAATTTTTAAGAAACGGACAAAAGAGACAGGTCGCTACGGATTGTGATTTCCCAAATCTTTCATTGTGTTTCAATTCTCTCAAGAATGTGGATAGAATATTAGGCCAAGTTCTCTATAATATTTATCTTTTCATGAACATTAAGAATGGAGCAAACAATGATCTTTTTATGTCTACTCTTACCAAAGTACGAACGAGATTCCATGATAGAGTTACTGGAGGAAGAAAAACTAGAAAGAAGGTCAAGCAGCTCAAGACTATCAACGTGGAAGTTGATGACAGAGACTTGATTAAGGGAAGTGGAGCAAAGCTTAAGAATGCTATGAAACATACCAAAAAGGACGCTGTCACTAAAGAAACAGGAGCTTTGATGGAGTAGATGCCGGACCTGCTTATTGATCAATCGACAATGATTAACCCTATTAAATAATATGTTGTTTTTGAATTTGTACATCTTTTTATAAATAACTTGAAAAGTATGTATCCAGGTCGTAAGCTAGGGTTTGAGTTGCTGTTTCTATGTTTTGGCCAGTTTTAGCACTGCACTCAAAGAACTTTACAGCGTCGACACGATCACAATCGTCAACTGAAGAGCTTGAATTTGCTGTGAGGCTGTTGTCTTCCAAACTCACTGATGTATTTGCAAAAGGTTCGTTTTTGGTTGTCTTTAACTCGGTCATAAATTCTGAAGAATTGGCTGCCACTTTGTCTAGTGATTGTTGGGAATTGTTATTGGTTGGAGAGACAGAGTAAATGGCGTTCAACATACTCCTGTTCATGGCTCGGGCAAACTCCAATCCTTGACTATAGTCCACACTGCGTTCACCATCCAAATCCGTCTTGTTTCCCAATAACACAATTTTAACATGAGGCAAATAACAATTCTTCAATAATTGAGGTAACACTTGAGTGTTCCACAACTGTTTCAATCTCTCAAAACTTGAAACTGAATTAATTGAATAAACACATATTATGGCTTGAACATCCTTCAAATAGGCATTAAATAGAGCTTCCTCTGAATAACTATCATATCCCATATCCCAAAATTGTAATTGAATTTTGTGTTTTGTAGGATAAGCTATTCCACCGGGAGGACTCGATGTCATGCTAATGTGTGAATTTGGAGATGCTGCAGCATTTTGATGCAACCCAGTATTATCGATAAGTCTGGTCGTAAATTCCAATCCAACAGTTTTTCGTGTTAAATTTGAGAAAGCATTTCCTTCAATTCTTGATAGACATGCACTCTTTCCTACGGACGAGTCACCCAAAAGTATAACCTTGAAGAGGAGAGTAGTATTAGCATCGACTTGATTTTTGCTTGAACTTTTCGTTGATGTTTTCACACGGTTCACTTTTGGTAAATTATTTGGAATTGTAAACCATGAATTGGTTGTTGAGCTAGCATCAACGCTTAATTTTTGAGGAGGAGGATCCTTTCTTGGATGTTTTCGAATTGTTCCAGTTTGTTGTTGTTGAATTTTGTCCAATTTTTCTTCAGAATCCATCGACGAGGATTCATCGTCTGAAATTTCAATATCTTCTCCATCTTCTTCCTCTTCGCTATCTTCTTGTAATTGTACCAAAGGTACTTGTTGCTGCTTTTTATAATCCAACGCAGATTTTTGTTTCGATGTGACAGGTCCTGCCTTCATTTCAGTAAAGCTTAAGGCGGTCGTGATGGGTTTACTTTCTGCATTCTCTGTTTGATATTCAGAGAGAGTCCTACGAGAGTTTCCTTGTTTTCTCTTTGCTTCCATATGTTGTTGAATTTGTTGTTGTTGTAAGCTTAGTGTCAATAAAGAAGGAGACGGCGTTGGATACTGATGATGAGGATGATTCGAGTGATGGGATGCCGATTGAGGATAGCCACCTGAAAGAGAACCTGAAGCTGATTCAATCTTGTTCCTAATTATACTCGAGTATTTAACAACGGAGGAATAGGAAGCAGTCGTACTGTTAGAGTGAGGAATTACTGAAAGATGATGATGGTGAGGATGATTCAAATGATTCAAATGAGGAATTGCGGTTGGATGATGAGAATGGCTTGCTTCATCGGCCGATGATTCATTTACATCTTCATCATCGTGAGTGGTAGGCATGACATCTTCATAGTAATAGTAATTGGATCGGGGAGAATTCTGTGCAAATGATGATGTAATATCCAAGACATGATGAGCAGCAGCCTTTTCAGAATTTGATTTCTTGAGTTGTTGCATCAAACCACTGCTACTGCTTACACTGTCATTGTTCTTCTTGGATCGGCTCTTCTTTTTCTTTTTCTTCTTATTACGGGATGAAGCTGATGGTGAGTGGTTTCCTTCCATCATGACTTCTTCATCTTCGGCTTCTCCTTCTGAACAACTATGCACATGAGTACGAAGAGATGTTGTGATGAGAGAAGCCTTTTTGTGTTTGTGGTTTGATGATGAACTATTGGCACCACGAGAGAGGGAGAAAGGTGTCTTGCTATGAAGATTGATGGACTCGGGTAGAGTGAAGGAAGAGGATGAATTTCGGTGATGGTGATGATTGAATTGGTTTTGATGGTGTTGGTCTTCGGGTTCTTCATTCTCTAACATCATGTTATTGATGCTGTTTCCATTACGAGGAGAGAATGATTTTGAATGAGAGACATCATCGAGATGATGATCCTCTGATCTCATATCTGAACAACATAGTCCCATGGTAATAATATGACGATAATGATTGTTCTTTGATGATCAATTAGCTACTAAATATAATTTTGAAAATCGGATTCGGACAAGATGAAGGAATTGATGATGATTTCAGCAGCAGTAATACAGTAACGGGCTGAAATCAACAGGTTAAGAAGAAGAAGAATGGTGGTAGTGATGAAAAGTGGTGAGTGAACACAGTGGTTACAGAGCCAGCAATGTTGAGGATGGCATCATACACACGAATGTGTTCTTTCGTCCTTTTTCGGAGTTGGAAAAGTCACTGAACAACAAGTTCGGAGTGATCGGTGTCTTTTTTGAATATGGATGGCGAAGACAAATCAAAATCTGGGGCACTTTATCACAAAATCGAACACGTTGCTAATAACTGCCTAACCTATCGCTAGTTATTAAAGTTTGTTGCTGGCAGCACTCTTTGACCAAAGCTTCAATGAAAGAATTTGTTTTGTTTCGATCCAGTAAGTTGATAGGTTGAAGGGATTCGAATGTGTCCATGCAGTATCCAACGATCGTTGGAGGACAACTGTCCTCTGATGTTGGACGAGAATCAAACTGGAAAATCTTTTGAAAGAGACATGTAGAGCGAATTTGGAAAGAAGAGCGTTGCTTTGGACTAATACCAATCAATAATGGAATGTTCCATTATTATTGTTGCTTTATTACAGGAGTGAGCAGATGGAATCCATGTGCTCATGATTCATGTACCATTCGAAATGATCAAATAGTAAGAAGATTCGAAATAACATTACGAATATTTACCATCCCCTCTTCTTCGATACAAGTCCTAAAAAATTCAAAAGTCGTTGTGCTTGTGCTGAGAATCACTTCTTTTGTGGGAATTTTTCATTCTTTGATTTTGTAATACCATCATTGAACAATTTTAATATATTCTTCTTTGGATCGCTTTCTTGTTTTCAAGGACAACAACACTATGGATTCGGGATATATTACTGCTGGTTTTCTAACAGGTACAACCTTACTTTTGGGATATTTACTCAAACAATCATCATCATCGAGCAAAGATGAATCATCATCGTCCACGAAAACTTTGACAAAGGAAGAAATTGAGGACATGTTAGCAAAGGCTAGCAAGGAAATTGAATCAGGATTATTACCAAATGCTTCCGATGAGAGAACTCAAAAGCTCAATGCTTTAAAACAACTTGTAAAATGTGTCTATGATCTCTATGATATTCACTACACAGAAAATTTACCAGTGAACAAGGAAATTGATTGTGAATGTGCTTATGGATTTAGACGCGATGAATTCAAGGATCCAAATGACAAGCTTGTTGGAAAGGTTACAGCACATAATTCTCTTTTATTGTATTTAACAAGAGTTCGTGCCACTGAATGGGACGCAAATCCAGAAGAAACACAATTTCCATTGCTCTCAAAGGCAGCTACTCTTTTAAAGAAGAAAAAAGTGAAAATTAGTGTTGCAGAAGCATACGATGGAGAAAAGGTGGAAGGAAATACTTTTGTCATGTTTCCAGAGCAAGTGAAATTCACAAATGTCAAGGATGAAGTGGAATTGGAAAAGCTTGTAAACTTTGTTTTGACTGGACAAGGATCTTCTGATGTCGACACCTCAAAGATTGAAAGAGATATCAAACAAAGTACTATTTTAATTTGTTGCCATCATCAAAGAGATCAACGATGTGGCTATTGTGGTCCAAGATTGTACGAATCATTCCGTGATTTTTGCATTCGACAACAAGTTGATATTGTTTTAAGAAGAGCGAATCATTTGGGAGGTCACAAGTATGCAGGAAATGTAGTCGTTATCTACCAAAACAAGAAAATGCAAAAACAGCCATGGTTCATTGATTGGTATGGATATGTGGATTTGTCTGATGTAGAACGATTAATGTACGCTCATTTCGATTTTGTTGACAATCCACAACCATCCTACAGGGTTATTAAGGAATTATGGAAGGGAAGGCCATCCATGAATAAGGAAATGTTTGAAAAGTTTTTAATGATGCAATAACTCTGCTCTTATTCACCTACATCAACAGTTAGAATGATAAACATAGTTCAACGGTAAAGAAATATACAATGTGTAATATTCAAAATCAATGATGATCTGTTGTTGTGAACTTGTTTGAATAGGAAGTCAATTCAGGATAACAATAAAAAAATGATTTCGTACGATGTGGAGCCGGAATGGTTGCGTCATTTACAAACCAAAGAGCCCGTTAAAATTCATCGAAATCACAAGTCAATTATTCATAATCATGTAACAAAATTAGGAATACGAGTAGTGGTGATTTCTGACACACATGGTTTTCATCGGCATTTAAAATTCCCAGACAAGGAGGAAAATAAGGAAATGATTTTAATACATTGTGGTGATATGACTGATGATGGAACGGAGGAAGAGATGAAAGAATTTAATGAATGGCTTGGAGAGATTAAACACAAATTTTCAAATATTTTCGTGATTTGTGGGTACGTTGTCGAAAGTCAATATTCAGTTGGAACTAAAGTGATAAGAAATCATGAAACACATATATCTAAATATTCGAAAAAAGGTTGGTGATCATGTTCTGCATCATGATTGTCATCTTTACTTGAGCATATTTGGAATTATCAAACTAGAAATTCAACATAACTTTCTCACCAACTGTACATTTCTGCAAGACGATTGTTTTGAAATTGGAGGATTAAAAGCATATGCATCTCCATGGTGTCCAAATATGTATTCATGGCTGTGTGAGAAATTTGAAAAACACCTGAATCAACCAGAAAAAGTTCAATCACTGAAAAATTTTGACGGCATGTATTATTTCAAGAATGAGAACGAAATTGAAGAAATGTGGAACAAAATTACAGGTGACGTAGATATTCTTATTACTCATACACCACCCAAATTTATTCTTGATTTGAACGAGTTTGGATCAAATAGAGGTTGCCAAAAACTGCTCGAGAGAATTCATAATCTTTCCAAGCTTAAAGTGCATTTATGTAAGTGATGAACAGTGACATGTTTTGAGATGTACAGTTGTACAAATGACATCATCAGTTGGTCATATACATCAAATCAATGGATACGAATTCATATCACGAAACGAGCTGGAAAGGTTGGCTCTTCAAGAAAGGCAAGAAAATTCAAACGATTTTCATCGGACTGACGTTTTATTTGTGAATGCTTCCAATTTTCACATGTATCAACCCTTTTATTTTGATCTGTAAAAATGTTAGTGGCACCCATCGCATCTCACTTAAGTACGATAGTGAGGAACATAGGATGTCTTTCCTGACTCAAATAGATAATCCAAATATCTCATGTAGGTACACAATTCCTTTCTTCCAAATCCTTCTTTTGTAAATCCGTGAGCAATGTCGAATGATTTATCGGCAATGGATTCATCAACTTGAATCATCTTTCCATTCGGCATTCCGTTTTTCATGCACATGGCCTCACTTTGAATTTTACAAGCTTCAGCCAAAATAAACATTGACAAAAAGGCCTCACCCACGCTTTCTCCACAAGTTACCACTCCATGATTTTCCAACACGAGGATCTTTTTCTTGGATCCCAAGTCTTGCTGAAGTCGTTTTCTTTCCTTAGCATTCACGGCAATGCCTTCCGATTTGTGATAGGCTACATCTCCAATAATAGAGCTAGTTTGGGAAAGAGCTTTCAAAAATCCATTCTCGATACAAGAGAGTCCAGCACAAGGAGCATAATGCATGTGCATCACACAAGAAATGTCATCCCGAGCTTCATGTACAGCCGAATGTATCACATAACCAGCTCTATTAATTCCAAACAAATCTCCAGTGGATCCAGGGTCCACAATTTCTCCATTAATATCTACCTTAACAAGGCTAGATGCAGTAATTTCACTGTAATGAAGGCCAAAGGGATTAATGAGAAAATGTTCCTTATCTCCATTGATTACTCTTGCAGTTAAATGGCCATAAATTGTATCTGTCCATCCAAACAAATCGAACAATCGATAACAAGCCGCAAGCTCAGTTCTCACCAATTGTTCTTCTGGAGAATATTTATCCAAATGACTCACACTCAACAACTTTAAAACATTCTCCGTACTGTATTTTGGAAAAGCAAAGAGTGCTGGTCTTGCTTTTGGTCGAATCTTCCGAGAAATAATCAAGGAACGTTTACACAAATTCGATAATAAATCAGCATCCAGAATCATTTCTTCATCTTCAAACCACACAAACTCTCCATCAACATCTCTCATTCCCAACACAAATGCGTCCGCACTCTCCCAAGTTTGATCAGATGTCATCATTTCAACAATTTCCTTCCGAATATTTCTTACACTCTCATCTACTGTTACATTCATCATTTTCTTCCATTGCACTTTGAAAGGCTCTGATCGATGTACTGATCCTAGCTCTTCGGAACAAGCTTGAAAACATTCACGACTCTCTACAAGAGAAACCAACACGAGCAACTTTTTCATTTTTTTTGTTCTTGTTGATGAGAATACGTTTGAAAGACACACTCTCACATTCGACTCACAGGTTATTGCCTACTCGTTATGTATATAAATAAATTGAATGCTCGAGATGAGATTCAGAGGTGTGAACAAAAGAGCTCGTCCCTACTAAACTCGAGTTGACACGATTGATGGTGTCACCTCAATAAATTTTTTTTGCTGTAAATTCCAATTACAGTTTGTTCTTACATTAAAAACTTTAATTTACATATAAATCCTAACAAACCAAGCATTTAAATAGTTCTCCATTCAGACGGAATTTCAAGGAGTTACAGAGCTATTGTTTCTTTCCACAAGTCTGAAAAAATCTTTGTCAATTTCTCGTCATCTGCTCGGCATTTGAATGTTCACCTCCTATGCGTGTGTATAACTCAAAGATATCCTTTTTCACATCATCATCACACACAAACGCACTCTCAAAAAAATGTCTCGCACTCTTCGTTCTTCCTACGAATCGGATCACCAACAACAAGTATTAGCAGCGGATTCCGAACTAGGTTATGATGACTCATCTGCTCCACAATCCATATCCTTTTGGAATCGATGGATTTGGAGAATGAAACAAATGTTTAAACTTAACAAAAAGAATGCTATTTTGGCTGTTGTTTTAATGGTTGTATTTGTTGCTGTGGTGACGTTGTGTTTGGTTGGATCGTTTTTATTTTTGAATCGAAGTGATACTGGAAAAATTATTGTCGATCCAAGAGGACCTAATTGTTTGCCTGTTCCTCCATTTACCATTGAATTTAATGAAGATCGAAATTATACGGATAGTAAACCTTTGCAAACGATCAAATATGTGGTTGTGAAAAATGCCAAAGTGATTTCAACTTCAGATCTTGATGCCAAAGGAAGAGTCAAAATTTCACATGTGGATTTATTTTTTGAAGAGGGAAAAATCAAAAAGATTGCTCAATATGGATCTTCAGATTTGAATAATTTATATAATCCAAGCGAAGCAAGTGTGATTGATGTTGGTGGTCGATTTGTCACTGCTGGTATTGTCGATATGCACTCACATTTAGGCGTTTATTCAAATCCTGGAGATTCTCGTGGCCATTCGGATGGAAATGAAATGGGAAATACCCCTGTCACACCAATGGTTCGTGCAGTTGACGCTCTCAATCCAAAAGATATCAGTATTATTGAATCAAGAAAGTATGGTGGAGTTACTACAGCTCTTGTTTTACCAGGAAGTGCCAACGTTGTAGGAGGTAAGTTTGTGTGATATGTAACATGCCATTACAATATTGGTGATAATGGAATTCATAATGAATAGGCGAGGCAGCTTATATCAAACTTAGATCCACTCCAGAATATCAAAGTATTTCGTCTTTACTCTTTGAAGGAGCTGCAAGGTATGTTTTACCATGTTAAATGTATTAATATGGAATGAAAACATGATTATTGTGAAATTTATCAATATGGAAAATATAATTATTGTGAAATGATTTTTATTGAAATAGATCATTAAAAATGGCATGTGGAGAAAACCCAAAAAGGTAAGTAATGATCTCTGACCATCTCTCTTATTTTCTATATTTCAATCACAGAGTTTATGGACAAGATCAACACCTAGTCCCATATTCTAGAATGGGAGTTTCCTATTTAATGCGTAAACTTTTCACTGACGCTAAAAAGTTACAACTTGATCAAGACAATTGGGATTGTAATGAGAGTGTTCGAAAAATTAATCCTTCTCGTCCACAGGATCTCATGCTAGATCCCATTGTGAGCTTGTTACGAGGAATTAACATGACTTTGAATGTACATTGTTATGAAGTGCAAGATCTTGAAATGATGATCCGATTGTCGAAAGAATTTTCATTCAAAATTAATGCATTCCATCATGCTCTTGAAGCTTACAAGGTATGTTCATCACAGTACACTCTTATTTTCACACGTGTGGTTGTAAACAATGATCTCATCAGATTGCTGACATTTTAGAAAGAAATCAAATCGTTGTTGCAACATTTGCAGATTTGTTTGGATTCAAAGTTGAGGCCATGGAAGCCAGTGTTCATGCACCAACTATTTTAAGAAATAGAAATGTTCGAGTGGCATTGAAATCTGACCATCCTGTCATTTCAGCAAAATATTTACTCTTAAATGCAGCCAAATCTCATTTCTATGGTTTGGACGAACAAAGCGCCTTGAATTCAGTCACATCAGTTCCTGCTGAAGCGATGGGAGTTGGAAAACGTGTGGGAAGAGTTGAGGAAGGATATGATGCTGATATTGTCGTATGGGATCGATTTCCTCTATTATTGGGTGCTCGACCAAACACCATTTTCATTGATGGCAACAAGTATGACGACTTTAATCTTCCAATTCACAGTTTAGATGATCATGTTCCAAAATCAGATCAAACCATGTCCATTATTGTGGATAATCAAACAAAATCTGAACAAACATTTTGTTCCTATGATCCTGAATCGTTTGGTTTGCAACACAAATCAGGATATAGTATTAAGGGAGCTAAGATTTATACAATGAATAATCATCAAGTGTTTGAAAATGGTAATCTAGTTGTGGATGGCGATGGAATTATTTCTTGCGTAGGATCGAATGAAGATTGTCCAATTCCAACGAGTATTGCTGGACATGTCACTTACACGATGAAGGGTGGAATTGTTGTGCCTGGGCTCATTGAGGCATCTACTTCTTTGGGTCTGTATGATATTGAATCTGAGCCAAATATGCAAGATGGAATCAATTACGGAATGAATTCAGAATCTCTTTATTCTGTACAGAGTTCATATGGTGTGAGAATGAGATCACGAAATATTAGAGCTGCATGGAAATCTGGAGGTACGTCATGATTGTTCAAACGAAGATTCGACAACTTAATTTTCATTGTATTGATATGGTGATTATTATTATTATATTGACCTTCTTATGATGAATATTATTATTATGATTGAAAATATAATTAATTGATGATTTACATGATTATTATTCAATCATTAATGATATTATTGATTTAATATTGCAATTCAAAACAGTCACAACTTCTATCACACATCGACAAGGAAGACAACTCATTAATGGAGTGTGTAGTTCTTTCACATTAGAAGGATTACTTGTGAGTGAATCTCTCATTTCACCTTCTGCTGCATTATTCTTGACGATTGGAGTTTATTCTAAAGACGGTGGTATTTCAGATTCTGTTTCATCTCAAATTTCATACTTGAGACAAACATTCAACACTTCAAATTCAGAGGTTATTCAAAAAGTGTTGAATCGAGAAATTCCAATCGTTGCCATTGCCAATCAAGCCGATGATATTGGACAATTAATTGATCTCAAAAAAGATTTTGGATTTGATTTAATTATCATTGGAGGAGGTGAAGCTTATTTAATTGCAGATCGATTGCAAGCCAACAACATTTCTGTCATTTTAACACCAGTTTCTGAAGATTTAGGAGACAAGATCAATTGGGAAACCAAACGATCCAAACACTTATTTGGAGCTTCTGAATTATTTTCTGCTGGAGTGACACTTGGAGTCGGAATGGGCAATAGTGCTCATGATGTGCGTAATCTTCGATTCATTTCTGGTCTCATTTCAAAAGAAGGAGGAAAAGAAAGTCCTATTGATTTTGATCAAGCTCTTGCTGCAGTGACAAGTAACATTGCTGACATGTTCCATTTAGGGAATCGTGGATTAGGAAGAATTGTGAAAAACACTCCAGCTAATTTTGTACTCTATGATGAAAATCCATTGAATTTTTCAGGTCGACCAAAAGTTGTGGCTGTTAAAAGCATGGTGGATTGTAGTATTGTTCAGTTTTAAGAGAGGATTGAATGATATTTTGAAAATTTCATTACATCTAGTCTTTTGATCATTTCATTCAATAATAGTAACAAAATGTGATTTACAAAATATTTAGTGTGAAAATATTGTTAATTGTTAATATTAAAACATTTAATGATGGACAATGGTTTGTTTAAGGCCTTGTTGTTTGGAATGGGTATTGTTCATTAGAAAGAAAATGGAAATGACAGATTTTAACAACAATTTCCAAGTGTGAAACAAATGTTGACAAGAAGAACTCATTGACAGATGAATGAAAGTGATCGTTGTCAAACATCAAAAAAAATTGTTCGTAGTACCGAGAGTCACTCTCATCCCGTACACAACCACCTCTTCATCACCAATATCAAATAATAACAATCATCATCATAGCCACAAAACCTTCTTCCTCAAATTTCCTTTTTTATAAAAATCAAAAACATTTTCTTCCGAATTTGAATCAACAACATGAGCGCACAAGGAAGAAAGAGACAAAAAATTCTCGAAGAAGTTATTGAAACAGAGGAAGAATATGTCAACAATTTAGAAACTTTGCTTCAAGTCTATGAAAAACCTTTATTAGAAAAAGGAGAAGAATTTGGATTCACCAAGTCCATGCATATTAAAGTATTTAATGATTTGGGTCCTATTCGTAAGTAGTAGTATCATACTCGAGTGAATTCTCGTCACTCTTTTCATCAAATTGGAATGATTTGATTGAACCTTTCCGAAATTTATTACAAAATGATGATGACAATCATGATGATGATCATTCTTTTATGTCCACAATGCTCGCGACGTCGTCCTATCTTTCACAACAACCATATGGTTGTTGACTCTTACAAAACAATAACAAAACAATAACAACCATAGGAATTACCAATGGAAGACTTTTAGCAGATTTAAAGAAATTAATGGAAGAAGAAAAGGAAATGGGAAAGAAACCAGAAAAGACCATTGGAGAAATATTTCTCAGATATGCTCCATTTCTAAAGAGTTATACGACTTATTGTAATCAATACAATAACATTTCCACAATCCTTAGAAATGTCAAGTAAGTAGTAGTTGTAGTCACTCATGGTGTCGTTAATTTTCGACTTGTTAAATGTTGTTAAATATTGTTAATAATAATAATAATTGTGTGTGATTGTTTGTGTGAATTCACAACATGTGATTCAATGGACCTAAATGTGAAATGCATGATTTAAATTCAACTTCTTTGGTTATTAAACATTTAAACATCAACACAATTTTTGAATCTCCTATTCACACAGAAAGGAACATCCAGAGTTGGATAAATTCTTATTGGCACAACAAAAGAGTGGACTTTATGGAGTGAATAATAGAGCTCTCAATTCATTCCTCATTCTTCCAGGTTTGTAGGAATATACATTTATTGAAAAATGATCATTCTCAATGCATCTCTTCACTTGTCACGTTCATCGAATGACCACACATGGAATCAATGATCTTAATTTCACACAACAACCATTTCCAAATCATAATGTTATAACTCTAATTCTGAACTCAACAACAATTTCAATGTTTAACCCATCAACTATAACAACAATAGTACAAAGAATTCCTCGTTACAAAATGTTACTTTCTGAACTTTTATCTAAAACATCACAATATCACAAAGATTTCGCATCCTTGACTGAAGCTCTTAAAGCAGTTTCTGACATTGCTGATTATGTCAATGAAAAGATTAGAGCATTTGAATCTGAAGAAAGACTTGTTTCACTCTTTTCTCAATTCGAAGAAGATATGATTAAAGATGGAATGGAAGAAAAGGAAATGTCAGAAAAACAAACCAGAAGATATCAAATGGAGATTTTAAAGAATGTGAAATTCTTTTCTTCTTCCAAACACTTAAAGATGCAGAAAGTGAATTTTTATTTGTTTAATGATTTAATCCTTGTGAGTTTGCCACCTCCACCACAACCTCTTCAGTAAGTAATAAGTATTGATTGTAACAATTTTTAAATAATAATATTCATGTGATACATGTGACAATATCTGTGTTGCAATCTTTCACATGGATTATCATCAGATTGGATCCAAAAGATGAAAAGAAGAAAAAAGAAGAACCTCCTGTTGAAAAGTACTTGTGTCGAATTCATCTCGATTCTCCTCCTTATCCATGGATTCGTGACATTGCTGACAAGTACATTCCAGAACTTTCTTTAGGTTTAGGTACTTGGGGTGTGGATCCAAATATAGCAAAAATTAGAAATACTCTTTCGACTCCATCGAGTCCTGCATCTGCAAGTTTACCATCTTTGTCCACCACATCGATGGGATCTGTTGGTGGAATTATCACCTCAAGTCATGCATCACTTTCGGTTCCATCTGTGAATCGAGAAACGAGAGCAAGGTCAGTTGTTGAGTGATGTGTGAAAACAATTTGGAATTTGTTAATCATTCATAATCATACATGTCGTAATCATACATGTCATTACTATACTTTGAATTATAATAATACTTGAATACTTTGAATCATACATGTCGTAATCATAATGACATAACCATACTTTGAATCATTTATGAATAACCATAACAGTAGTAGCACTGATTCATTGGCAATGACAGAAGGATTTGAAATTATTGGCCTTCAAAATGCTTTTCAAATTATTGCTCATGATGACGTTTATGTTTTTGATTTTCCAGATTTTGACACCAAAGTCAAATATATTTGTCAAATTACTGACAATATCCATGAATATGCCAAGAATGCAACCACCCTAGAATATGCCGTTGTTCACAACAGTGGTTTAATTCCATATCCATTTTATAGCAATTTGGCATACTTGTCACAAAAAATGTCTTGTCTTGAAACGGCTGACAAGAAAAAGAAACGTTCTTCTTCAAGCTCTCGAATTGATCAAACATCTTCACCATCAACTCCCACAAATAGTCCAAGCAGTGGTGAAGAAAAGAAGAAGGGAATATTTAGATTTTTCAAAAGTAAGAAACATTTGAAAGAAGAAAAAACCATCTCTACTCAATTCGAAGAAATTGAAATGGATCCCTATGAAATCAGTCCAGAAGCAATTCCCAGTGTTCCAGAAAAGAATATTCCGCATAGTGCTCATCTCAATCAAGTGAAAGAACGTGACATTACTGAAAGATTTTACATTGCACAAGCCATTAACACTTACAGACCTCATCGCTTTTTTAACAATGTTGGAGTTGGACAAGTCGATTCGAAGGGAGTCATGTCCTTCCATCGTGGAGATATTTTAATCATTTTTGAAAAGCCAAATAGTGATTTTGTGTTGGCAAAGAAAGCTGGATTGAATAGTGATCCCGATCGAAGACAGAAAATTCTTGAAAGTTACATTCCACGTGATTTTGAAACTTTGAAAAATTTGATGAATATTCAAAAGAATAGAGAAGGTGTGAATGCTGGAGATCCACCTGCTGTGAAACAATTGAGACGAGTGAAACATCATTTTGTACAAATTAGAGATTTGTTGAACGAATTGTTGGAATATTATTCCAATGGTGGAAAGAATAATAATCAACCCACCAATGTCAGAAATAGCACTGCTCACATCATGGAAAATAACACTCGAGGTGATGATTTGTTATCAAAAATGGATTTGTTGTCACTGTTCGAATCAAGTAATGAAAGGAAGAAGTCCACATCTTCCACCAATTTGGAAAAGGAACGAGAAATTGCCAAAAAAAGAAAGTCTCTCTCCATCGTCTTTGATGGCGAATCCAACAAGACTTATGAAAACGATGAGGAAGAGAGTTTATTTAGAAATTTGATCAATCTCTATGAGGAGTGGAATGAGGTAGGCCTTGTACCTGTGAAATATATTGATGAGTTCAAGTCACACAGCACATCCACAAAACTTGAAAAGCTCATTGAATGGAGAAACGAACAGGAAGAAAGAAAGATTAGAAACTTTGTCATTAAGAAGAAGAAAGCCACTAAAGCAGTAGAAATTGATGAGTTGGGTGTGAGTTGTAGTAGTGCCATGATGGGATTGCCAAGAATTGACACCATGAAAGAAAAAGAAGTCTCATCTCTCTTGAAGAAATCGAAAAAGCAAGAATAGAGAGCTCTACTATTAAACTACTACTACTTGTACATATTTGTTAATTGAATATTTCAACCAAGTGTTCTTCCATATATATACATGCATGTCTTCTCAGCGACTTGGGAACCTAAACCGTGCGAGATCACCTGCAAGTGATGAAAATTCATCTTCACTCTCGTATGAAAGATGGTCTTCAGTATGACTATCAATTTCAGGTATTAATGGAATGGTGTTGCGGCGATGAAAACGAGGACGAGAACTGGACCTAAAGGAGCTTTGCTGCAAAGGAGGCAAAAACAAAGATTGCAGTACAAGGGTCATCAATGCTGAGGCTGCCACAATCACAACCAAGTAAAATTGATGAAAGGAAGAAATGACCCACTGCTTCATCATTGGCCGAAACACAGTGAAACAAATACACTCGATGCGAGTGCGCTTTAGAAATGGGAGACCACAACAAATTATACTTCTATTAGGGGCCTTAATGAAAGATGGCTATGGAATGAAATGAACAGAATAAATGTTGGCTTCCGAGAAGTCTGGCTCTTCAACAACGCTCTCTTTTACTCGTGATATCATACAATGCGAATGCGACTTGAGTGAACGCGCTCAAGCTTCAATTTTTTTGGAGTGGAATTTCAGCAATTTCCCGAAAGTAGAAAAATTTCGGGCTGCCTTAATATGACAGTAATTATGTTATGAGAATATAATACCGGAGCATAGTGCTTATTATGGCTATGGTGTTACCGTTTCGACAATGCCCTCTTGGAGCAGTTGTTGTACAAGTGTGACTTTTTCATCGTCCGTAAGGTTGGGCAATTCTGAAACAGCAACTCCGGAAGGATAATTCGAAAAGATGGTTTGAATTGACTCTAAAAAGACACCATCCAAATCTAAATGTTGTAACTCCACCTCGTGATAGATGCGAGTGTTTTGTGTTGCGTAAACAATTGAAAATACTTCATCGTCATCACCTTCCTCTTCATCTTCTTCTTGTTCCTCCTCCTTGCTGTCATTTTCGCTTTTAGATAAATTATCAATGACAATATGAGCAGAATTGGCTGTTTTCAGCTTGATAGAAAGAGAAAGTATGTCTGTGTTTTCGTCCAAAATAGGAGTCTTCTTGGTGTTTAAAATGGTCAATCCGTCCACAACATGTCGATCATGCATGAACTTCTTTACCATCTCATCTGCTGCTTGGTCAATTGGTAAATATTGATGAATAACGTTTGTTAAATTTTGACAAGTTTCGATAAAGGCGTCTCTTCTTGGATCGTCTGATTCAGCAATGTTGGTTCCCAAATATTCTTTGAAATCTTTTGGTAAGGCTTTCCTAAATTCCACATGATTTGCAGTGGCTATACTCAGTGCCATGGGAAGTGCTTTTTCGAAATAGTCGCACCAACTCATTAAATGAGAAGTAGATATGGTCACATGAAGCGAGTGTTCTGTTTCTGAAGTTACAGCTTGATGAATAATGCCTTTTGGAATGTACAACAAATCGCCAGGTTTTAGCACAACCTCAAAACATTCAAAGTCTTTAACTTCGTCTTGTGTAAAATTTTTAGAGCTGAATCTTGATAAAAATTGTTCATTATTGAGGGGTCTGTAAATTTTCCAGTGTTTAACACCCTCCAATTGGATCAGAATTGCTTCAATCTGTTGAAATTAATCAAGAAACACTTCTATATTTTAAGGCTATTCGTAAATCTTACTTACGTCATCATAGTGAGGAGCAAATCCTTGACTACCGGCTGGTGTTAAGTATGCATTCAAACCAGCTCCTTGACCAAAATATTCCTCAAAATGGCAAATTAAAGACAACAACACATCCGATTGTTCTTGGGGTCTCAACATTCGTACGGAACACTTCATGTTCTCATATAGATCCCAAACAAGGTCTGGATCAGCAACCTCATCCCTATTTGGATTTAAGGTAAAACGGCGACCGTTTCTATAGAGAGCCAAGTCCAAATCAACCGAATATTTCAACTTGTTATTTGCAATGACCTTCTTAATTTCATTCAAGCTGTAGAGTGAGCTGTAATAATCGGGATGTAAATGATTTCTCTTGATGACGAGCACTCGCTTCTCGAAAAACTCTTCATACAGTTGTTCTGCATTGATAGGAGCAAAGATCCAATCCACCATTTGCTTTCCTTGTTCTTTAATTTTCATTCAGAGGTATGTATCAACCAATTGATTCAAACAGTAAATAGAACATACCTTTAGAGTGTTTGGATTTTGGTTTTTTCAGAATTTCAAGTCCATCTTTTGGAGTTGAACCTAATGTGAGTTGCTCTGTTTGAATCACCACCTTTGGAAGGAGAGATGGAGGTACGAGGGTTTCCGATCCATCTTCGTTTGCAAATTCTAATTCATTAATCAAAGGCACATCAAACCAAGAAATTTCCACCATGTTGTTCTTCTTGTCTGAGTTGAGAGCTCCACTAGCAGACGAAGAAGATCGTTCCGATGAAGATGATGCTGCTGCTACAGATGAGCCTTGTTTGAGCTTTTTCTTCATGTTAGCAGCCGCCTTCTCTGTGAGTTGTCGCTTCATTTTTTTGTTGAATCATTCGTCACACCCAAACTGACTTGCGTGTGGGATATGGGAGGGTTGAATTGAGGCGATTTAATTATTAATTGACATCAGTTAAAAAAACTCATTATCGTCAAAACCTCCTTGGTTTGTCATGGAATAAGATTGGCCATTATTGTAAGGACTCTGAGCTGAGTTTTGCCCCGTGTACATGGAATCTATAAGTGTCGTTCCAGAATTATCTTCATCAGAGAAAATCTTATCAAAGTCCAAATCATCACCCATTTGATTGTTGTAAGTAACTCCATTCATTGGTTGAGATGGATTTAGATGCACCATATTATTTGTATTTGCAGCATTTAACTCAGGGAATATGTTATCCAAGTTGGTGTCTTCAACATCACCTGATGACATGACCACAGTATTTGCTCCTCCATTTGTGGATGTGGATGATTTCTTTTTTTCCTCTTCTCTTTTTCTTATTATTTCTTCTTTCTCGCTTTCCCAAAGCTTTTCCTCAAGCTCTTTAATCCTCCTCAGGAAGAAAATGTCCTCTTCTGGACCATAAGCCCTCTCTAGTTCTCGTTTGGAGATTTCGTGAACATGTTTGTCAGCAATGTTGGCAGATTTCGAAAATCTTTCCGCCACAGACTTGATCTTATCTTCCCAACTAGGATCTTTCTTTATGGAATAATGAAAGACTTCTTTAAAAGGCTCCAGCCTAGTGGCACAATCTTCCAGTGAACGAAACGGAGTTCTGTAATCTGGCTCGAGGGCAAGCTTTCTCTTATCTTTGATTTGTGACGTTGAATTAATCATCATTGAAGTGTTGTCAATATTCGTGGTGTTTTTTCCGATCATGGCAGGATTATTTTGTATCATGTTATTCAAAACTACAAATGAATTTCCTGTTGGAACGTTCGATAATGCTTCAATCTTAGTTACAGGTTGCTGCTCAGTCTTGATGGTAGTTGGTCGTAATGGGTTATTTACATTGCTTGTTAAAATAGTACTTGATGATGGTATATTAGGATGAACGGTCGAGGAAATATTTTGGTTATTAAAATTGGACGTGGAGGAAGGAATGTTTGAAATAACAGGAGTTCCATTTTGAAGCAAGAGATTTGGAGGAGGAGTGGAGGCACCAGTTATGGATGACGTAGGTGTAGATCTGTGAAGAGTAGTTCCGGGTTGGTTTTGGATGGTTACATGGGGTGGTACTGTGTTTGGCAGCATGGTTTTAGCAGTAAGGTTATTCATTGCCTGCATTGTTGCATTATTAATAATAGGTTGGGTGGTTGTCTGAGGTTGTTGCATAGTGTTCATATTAACATTGTTCATCATTCCTCCATTATTTGCTGCCATCATCGATGGGTTTAAACTTGCTTGAAGCATACCAAGATTTAAATTCGGTTGTGTCAGAAGAGTTTGTAATAATTGTGGGGTTGGCTGAATGCCATTTTGGCTTAGAAGGTTTAACAATTGTACTAGACCAGGGTTTTGCATTAGCAGTAAAGGCAGTATTCCGTTTCCTTGCATTCCCATGTTGATGTTTGTGGGTTGTGTTGGATTTTGCATGACGCTTGTGGTGGTGGTTGTTGTTGATGTTGAAGTAGGCGTACTGGCTCGGTTGAGAACCATATTCCCTGCATTGCCTATACTTCCTCCATTGGGCAGTGCTGTTGACATCATGTTCTGATTGTTGGCAAAATTCATCATCCCAACTTGTCCCGGTGTAAATCCCATGGGAACATTATTATTGGGGGCCATCATTCCTCCATTGTTTCCAGAAAGTAGGAACGAGTTATTCATGTTTGGCATATTGTTTTGTTGTTGGAGAAGTTGTTGTATCTGTAAATTCGTAAAATTGTTTGGATTCATTTTGATTGTTTGGTGGTATTGATAAATAATTGGATGATGTGATGATGAGAGTAATGATGACTACGAAATGTTAGTAGTGCGAATAATGGATGTTAATATGATTAATAGCACGACTACTAAATGTCATAGAATCAGTGCGATGCACTCTTAGGTGGTACAAATGATAAATAATAAACTCTAGGATAGGACTGGGTCTTTGATTCAATGAATTTGCCTCAAAAACAGGAATGTCCAATCAATTGAATCGTTCCAGAAAGAACCCAATCGCTCTCTACAAACAAAATACCTCTTCAGGATCGGTGCGCACTTTGTTGACGTCGAGTTCTCCTCTTGTCTAATAGTACTTGTGGTGATGTCAGCACAACAATGGTGATAATGACTCAACAATCGGTGTTGTTATGGGTGATGACGAAGGATACACCACAACACTCAAGTGTTTTCAAAATCGAGATGATGAGAAGGAAGTTTAAAAATATAGCGTGTTGTGTTGTTTGGATTCCAACCGAATTATAATCCCGTGAGATGATGTCTTCTGGTGGTGCTACAACGGAGCGGAAACCAGAATAAAAACGAGAGGATTTAAAATTGATTGCAAAAGACAACTCTTAAAAGCAACAAAATTTTCTTCTTCGGCCTCTCTTTGATGACGATGATGAGTGTGTTTGCTTCTGGAGAAGAGAGAACACTCGTTATTTTTTAGAGGTTTGGTGTTGCAGCAGGGAAGTTGTTAGGATGATTTTTTGACAATCCATTGAAAACCTCATCAAGGATTTGATGATGATGATGGAAATGAGTAGTTGAGCGTAGTAGTATATAGCTCTCATCTAACTCCATTCGCGATTCTGAGCTGCAACGCGAGTTCCATAACGAGGAATTCTTTCTTGCGCAAGTTGGTCTCGGCGTTGTGGTGAAATTTAGAAACGACGGAACTACTTTCAAGGACGAGAGATGATGTTAAAATCTCGCTCGAGATCCATTTTGAGAGATGCTTTGGCTATTTGTTCATGTGGTTGGGCTGTTTTTGTGGATCCCATTCCTGACGTGTCGATTTTTGGTGAGGACGTTGTGGCACCTTGTGAGTGCAGAACTGAGAATGTTTTTCGTGTTTGGAAGGACTTCCTGTTCTCATGTGTGTGTTTATCATTGAACCCTTTCAATTTCTCCAACAAGCTAGTGTGTCTATGAAATGATCCATCATGAATCATTGAGAAGGACAATGAGAAGGAGGAGTTGAACCATCTGCTTGCAGTATCCTCTTCATTCAAGAGAGACCCTTAAAAGAAGCAAATCGATCCTCTCCATTAAACTCTCAAAGGAAATTCACTCTGGTAAAATCTTTTGAGGTAAAAATCGAGTTGTTGTCAAGGCCTTCCTTGAATCTGTTGTTAACAATCAATTGAAGTGCCAATCGACTTGCGAATAACGGCCATCACAACTTCACCATTCAATTCAATCTCGGTGACTCGACTCTCTTTGCAAAGCAAGATATCTGGAGACCCATAAATGTATCTGCTGCAGCAACTTCATCAAAAACAATTTTTCATGCAACAACAGTTAAAACCATCGTTGGGAGAGAAGCAAGAACTTTTTCCGAGGCTTTTCTCATACTTTTCTCAACACATTCAGTGACGAACTTTCTGCATCCAATATTCATTCAAACAACCAAACACCACCTCAAAAAGAAGCAGAAACCAAATCCGCACAGAATGTCCAACTGAATCTATAAGCAAGTCAAGATCTAACCCCATCTCATCGAATTGAAAGAGTTAGATGTGCTTTAATCCAGTTTAAGGAAATTTAAAGTTAAATTAATCACCTCTCATATATTCACAAGTCCAAAAGAATTAAGTACAACCAAAAGTCTTTCATACAGCCAGACCTTGTAATAAAGAGAATAAGTTAATGAGAGAACATTATAAACGTTATTGTATTACACTACTTCATTCTAGGGTTTAATCTACAGACTGAAGATCAACATAATGCATGAGACCAGTATTCATGAGTTCATTCACTGAACCATGGATTGAGATTCATTTCCGCGATGATGCAACATGTCTTTGAGAGACCAAAATCCTGACCTCCACTCAGCTTAATGGAGAAGGGCCCCATTAAGAGCTCAGTTTACATCTTATGGCAAATGAAAGTTCGCATCTTGCAAACTTTCTATTATTCGCAGAGTTTTGCCATTTACATGCTTGTTCCGCACACCATTCCCTCAATGAAAACATGACAATTCCCTTAATACTGGTACTGTGGGCAAAAGAGAGGTCCATTATACCCTTTTTGGGCAGGAGTGAGCTTATACAATCGTTTTTCGGCTCTCAGGAATCATTTTTGTGCACGTTTCGATGAGTTCAAACAACAATAGAACGGTCAACCACGAGGAGCAGATCATCCCAAAGAGAGGATCACACACAACAAAAATCGAGCTTGTGATTCCCCATTTTCGCTGGGGATTAACCAAATAGTAAAACACAAGCTCGCTACCAAAAGTGGCGGTCCATTCCGTTATTAGACAATGCGATCACATTCACCCATCCTTAGTTTTGATAAGGCAAAATCGAGCGACACGAATGGCCACCATGAAATCCCATCGAACAACAAACACCACCAAACAAAATACAACCTCTTATTCCTCTAACCACATTCGTTTAAGTCTCTCCCTCTCTTCAGAAGATCTTTACAATATCGTTACTGCGCAACAACCTTCTTCCTGAAAGAAACTATTGGTGAAAAGCAAACTACACTCCTACTTTTCATTATCGTCAAATTTGAAACAATTTCTACTACGACTACTACTATTACTTCCGAACCCAATGACGAATGATGCCGAGATTGCGAATGGATCCATGGATCCTAGAAGCGATCCATATGATTCTGCATCAACACATGCAACCACTTCAAGCGTAGATGGCAACGGCCGTTCTCAGAAGTCGAATCAACACCAACACCACCACTTGCACGCATCAGAGGAACACTTCTCTTCTCCCACTATTTCTAAGAGCGGAAAAAACACCTTCCAAGTCGAGCAAAAGTTGAACCCTTCTAAGGAACGATCGCTGCTTAATTTGAAGAGTAACCACGCGCATGCATCATTGAGTGCTTCTTCTGGTAATAATAATACACACGTTCAGAACCTCGGCCTAATTAGTTGTGGTAGTAGTAGTGGCAGCAACTACAACACTAGTCTTGCTACGACTACTACTATTACTTCCAAAAAGTCTGCTCGGAAGGTAGTGGCCGTTTTTGTGGATGATACCTCTCTGACTCATTTGGCCCCAACGTCCAGATCAAGCAGAAATTGTGCCGAAACACCATCCACATCTGGTTGTGGTGGTGTGGTTGTCCATCGTCATGATGGAAGAGAAGAACAAGATTCACTACTCAACAACGTTCCTTCTTCAAAAAAGAGCCTTCACCATCATCTCGCCTCCAAGTCTGCTGCTGCCATGAACAGCAATAATCATAACAACAACAAATCCTCTTCGGCTAGCTCAAATTCTCCTCAAAACCTCGTATGGGATGGAACTTGCGTTTCAACCACCATCACCACCACCACCACCACCACAAAAAACCATCTTCATGCCATTCAAACAACCAATCCATCACAAAGCGTTCTATCCAAATCATCAACACCATCCACCACCACCACCAATCATATTAAATTCCACATGTTGGATGATCCGATGATGAGAGCCAATGACGACCATCGAAGTAATTTTGTTCGAATCGATGAAGAACAAATTAGAAAAGTTTTTCATTTGACACAAAGACAAGCTGCAAGCTGTCTGGGAGTAAGCTTGTCAACTCTAAAGAGAAGATTTTATGAGATGAGGGATTCATTGAAAATGGATAAATGGCCCACGACAGCAACTACTACCACTACTACTGCTACTACAACAGCAGCTACTCCCTCTGTCAAAAATGGTTGTTGTCAAACAGTATCGATGCCACAAACATCAGCATCACCACAAACACCTCCTTCTTCTTCCTCTTCCTCACATCAACAACAGTCTTTTCAACATGTAACTCCCACATGTGCCATTAATACAACGACATGCAACAATCAGTCATCACACATGTCGCAGCAGCAGCAACAACAAACAACTCAACATTGGAATGATTCGTATCATGCAAACCATAGTAAGAGTTCGTATGACAGTTTTCCTGTTGTGCAAACGCAGCGGAGGCAAGAGTCAACTTCATTCATGATACATAATGGTCTACTCGTCAATCCTTCAATGATCATGTCTCCTTCTACCATGTTATCGCAAGAAATGAACAAACACGAGGAGATATCTTCATTGACCACCAATAATGGTAATAATAACAATCATACTAACAATCATCATGAAAGTACTTATAATGTAAGGTTTTCTCAATCGTCGCACTCTCAACCTCCGTATCATTCCTACTCGAATACTCATGCAACAGATACCAATTTTCAAGTCCATTCCATAAACACCTCTTCTTGTCAACAAAACCTCCAACCATCACCACCATCAACCTTTGAAAATCCTAAATACTCTCATCTCCATTCTGATCAGAGATTTAATATCCCACCTTCTGGCATGTTCTTTGACAAACGACCTCTATTTCTTACCTCTTCCTCATCCACATTGAGAAGAACCTCTCCTCCATCCTATCCATCTGTAGATCCTTCCTTAAATCACTCTCACAAGTGTTATGAATATTCACCTCCTTCCATCCATCCACCACAAAGTGTTTTCTCTGGAGAAGAAGAACAGCATTCACTCATTGTGTTGCCATCCATTTCATCCACCTATTCAGATATTCACAACATTGAACATTCTCATGCCAATCACTCATCATCCACTCAACACAAGAAGGAGGACCTTATATCTAGTTGCAGTAGAGCGACTTTAGAGAAACCTCACAAAATTTCCAAACCACAAAAGATGAAATCGCATTCAAATCTCGCAACTGATGGGTACGATCATTCAAGAAATGGACTCAAATCCAATATGAGCTTTATTCTGAATCACTCTGTGAAAGATCCCACTCATTTGGATTCTGATGAATGGAATACCTTAATGAATGCTTTCAAGCATCGATAAATAAAATCCCATTTGTTCAATTTTTGTCTCCAACTAGTTTCCTTGAACTGCCTGCAACCAACTCTAGAAAATTGGGATTATTAAGCATCTTACAATTCATAAACAGAGACATTTAAATTGGTAAATAATTGTGAGACTTCATTCCCAGAAATCTCAATAATTTAGTTAATAGTTTACAAATTAACTCTAAAATCACCTATTCCTCTGCTTGATACTGGGTCACTGTCACTACAGAAATGGCTTCTTTTTCGTTCTTAACGGTCTCAGGCTTTGCTTCAGCCTTTGCTCTATACTTGTACATGTTAGCCATCACTAAATGAAAAACTAGCCCTCCAAGCATTAGCAACGCAAAGAACAAGAACTCATACACCTGTTTGATTGGAGTTTGTTCAGTAGGAATGCTGGCTACAATAACTACAATGATATTTCCAACGGACACAGTCAATAAATAATAAGCCTGCATGAGAGATTTCATTTCCTTTGGTGATTCTTGATAAGCAAAAGAAAGTCCTGTGACAGATACAAATATCTCACCCACACTCAGGAATACGTATTGAGGAATTTGCCATGCAACATGAATTTCATGTGGATACATTCGAACAAAAATTTCTAAAATTGCAGCACAAATAAAGGAGAAAGACGTAATGATCATTCCAAGTCCAATTTTTCTAAGAGGTGTTAACGAATACTATTAAATGTTGGTGCAATGATGAGAATTCAAAGATTTTCATCTACTGAGCTACTTACGAAGAAATTAATTCCCTTATACACAAATCGATCGAACACAATCACCAAACCAATCACCAAAACAGGATTCAAAGTAGTAATTTGGTCACTTCCCAATTCAAAGCTTCCAATTTTTCTGTTCATCAATTTTGCCTGGTACACAAATCGAGAAGAGTGTTGATCAAACAAACTCCAAAAAACCGTGATTGGAAGTAGTGTAATGCAAACTCTCCACACGCACTTGGCATCATAAACTTCCTTATATGAAAACCTTACACGTGCTCGATCAATCCAATGCTTTTCATCTTCCTCTTCTTGCTGAGATGTTGGAGTCTTGTTTTCAGAAGTGAATTCCAGTTGATTGTTACTTGGAGTTGAACTTAATGATGAAGCAACAGATTTTTCTCTTCGAATTGGAGAGTTTTCATCACTTCCTCCTCTCACTTGTCTAAAAGAAAACGACAATGCAACAAATAACACATGGAGAAACTTGAGAATTGGATTTTTCGCAAGTCCAGTTGGTTTTGTCGTCTTGTACCAACACTTGCCAATTGCGAAAACAAAAGTTGCAATAATCAACAGCACTGCCGGTACTCCAAATGCAATGGCATAATTAAATTCTGTTCGAATGATTGGCGTCACAAATGAGCTCACTGTACTTCCAAGATTAATAGAAAAATAAAAGATGGCAAAGAAGGAGGAAATTAATTCTTCTTGATCTTCTCTGAATTGATCACCGCCAAATGTTGAAACGTTTGACTTGATGGCACCTTTTTAAAAAGTACACAAATTATCGTCTGTTAAAGCAACAAGTCCTATTTTCAGGTCCATTGAACCTACCTGTTCCTAAACCAACCAAAGACAAACCCAAAGCAATGCCCCACCAATGAGGAGGAATTCCAGTTACTCCTTCAATGGCCGTCACACACACAATAATCTGACCAGCACAATATATCACTTTTATCATTTCACAATTATGTTCATTCGTGTGAATGATTTTGTTGTTTCAATGTGATGATACTTACAACTGAAAATTAGAATCGTCCAAAACTTTCCAATGAATGCATCCGCAACAAAACCTCCAAGCAATGGAGTGACTTTTCAAACGACAATTATTACAGCCTTAAATATTCCTTAATTTTAGTTGTTGTACTTACAATAAGCAAAAAAGATGAACGCATGAACAATCGTCGTGGATGTGTCTTCGTTATATTTCATAAAATCCGATAAATATAAAGACAAGATGGTTTTAAATCCATAAAAAGCAAATCTCTCACATAACTCTTGTATCATGATGAACCAAGTAGCAATCGGGTAATCAATGAAAATAAATATTTTTCTAAATAAGGAACGTTTTGGAGGAGAAGAAGAAAATTCAGCAATGTCCACTTCAGCCTTAACTTGATCACTACTTTCTACCGATGGGATTCCATCATGTTTTAGATCTACATTTCCAGAATAGTGATCTTCACCCGTTTTAATTTTTATATGGGTCTGATGATATTTATTTTCAACATCATCATCATCGTTACGAAATGTAGTACTGTAGTTGAGAGTATCATCATTAAATTCCTCTTCATGATGATGAGGATGACGATGATGAAAATCATCATCCGATGATGCAACTGGCATTTTGTGAGCTATTCACAAAAAATTGATCAATGCTATTCTACACAAAACCGAAGAAATACGTGCTTCTTCAAGAGGATCTCAATACTACTACTAATGAAAAAGAGGTCAAAAAGGACTCCGGTTTGATTTTTTAAAGATTTTTTTTGTTGATTTGTAACTCCGAGAATATCCTTCCGATGACGGAGCGAAATGGATGTCGAAAATTCTGGATGATGTTTCCGTGTGTGCTCCAAACTCTACGATTTTTTGACAAGAAAGTGATTTAAGGCTTGTTTAATGTTTTTGAGACCTTTCAGTAATGATCCGGATTCGAAAAACATACACAGTTGTTTTTATGGAGTAACAAGTTCACAAAGTGATAAAATCTAATCATTTGTCATCTCATAGCTGAATACAAAGAGCAAGTCAGTCACTTGTCAATAATCTCATCTTTTCTTGATTGGGAAGAACAAATATTTTCAAAGAAGTGGTTTCATCATGATCGTGTTGTTAACTACAACGAATGCAATGAACTTTTATTACACATTCGCTGTTGCTTATTGTTAATAAAGCCTAAAGTCAATGTTCCTTTTCCAAATGCTCGTTTTTTTACATCTTTGAATTTTAAAACTGAAAACAGTGTTTTGTGTCAGCTATCAAATATCAAAACCTGTGAACATATTCTTCACAAAAAAACAAGAAAAAGCAGTCTCATCCTTTCTTCTCATTTTCATCTTCCATTGCTTTGACTCTCGTTTTTAGCTTAAACCTTCCATTCGAGAAAAATCTTCATTGTCTCATGATATCACAACACTCTCAACAACAACCTTCAAAACGTTCCTCTGGCAATACATACTTGATGATGACCGAAGAAACACCTTCTACTCTACCTGAAGATTTACAAGTTATTGATCATGGCAACCTCAGCAATCGATTAAATGCCACTTGTCAAAACGATACCTCTCCGAGCAATGATGTTGCCAGCGATGAAAAGTCTTCAAGCACTCGTAAAACCTCCTCCTCTTCAAAAACCAAAAGATCTTCCTTCGATCCTTCCAAATACATGATCGTCTATTCAGAAGCCATGAAATGCAAAGACTTTCGAAAAACATTTTGTGATTTTCTCAAAATGTGCCACCACGAAGAATCGATTGAATTTCTCAATCTTGTCGAACAATATCAAACCGACTATGAAAAGAGTGTCAAGGAAATGGGAGGATGGGTGAACAATGGAAGTTTTTCATCAATTAATGGCAATGTTTCTTTTTCTTCTTGTTCGGTAGTGAATGTTATTGGTCAACAACAAAATCAACAAAATAATTTATTCTTGACAGGTTGGACAATGGAAGGATCTCCATGGACCATGCAGAGTCCTATTCCTCCTCCTCCTCTTTCTGGAAAATTGCCATCCATAATGTCTGTATCAACCAGTGTAGAAGGATCATCATCCTCTTCATCATTACCATCAATGAGTGCGACCACCGTGAGAAAGATGTCAAATGCGTCATACGTGATGACAGCTAATTCATCATCGTCAGGTGGATCTTCACCATCAAGTACATTCAATTCAAATGAGACTAGCAACAGTAAAAGTAATAATGGGAACATTGCCCATGAAAAGATTACTTTTGATCAGTTGTTGTCAGCTCCTTCAAATGGTTCATCTTTTCCAAATATGGAAAGTACTGAACTTCCACAACCAAGTGCAGTATCACAACCACAGCAACCAACCACCTCATCAATGAGTGGTACTAATGCAACTACTACTACTACTGGAGGTAGTGGAAATGCATTGGGTGCAATGACTTCTTCATCTCCCTCTTCTCCATTTCAAATCTTTTCTCAAACATCCTTAAGAAATGGTTCCAATGTGAAATTGGGAAAGAAAAATGTAAAATTATTATTTGAGAGTGTCAAATCGATTATTGAAAATTACATTCATATCGGATGTGAAAAGGAATTGAATTTAGGAGCCACTCAAAGAAACATTCTCAATTATTGGAATGAAGTGTTTGAGAATGTGGATCATTTTCTTAATTTGGGAGGTTACAGTGATACATCTTCTTCGAATTCAGAAGGTTCCTCCTCTGCAACCACGAATGGAAATGGAATATCAAGCCCAGTGAGTTCTACTTCTTCGGTCCATTCTTTTGTCTCTCCTCGAAAAGAAACTTATTTTCACACCATGTGTAATATAGTGTTCACACAACTCGATCCAGAAAAACTCTTTGGACAAGCTCTCTTTAACGTGAATTTAGATTTAAAGTTGGATCAATTTCCACGATTTGTTAGAAGTGACATGCTCATCAAGTTCCTCAAAGAAAAAGGTGAAGTTTATACTCGTTCGATTGCAGTGGATATTTCAAAAGGATTTAAAGGAGACATGAGGTGGAAACCTAATGATCTCAAAAATCGAATCATTACCGATGATTATATCTATTTTGGTTTCAATGTGGCCGATGACACTCCAGATTGGGAATTAATTTACAATACCACCACGCCATATCTATGTCAGGGATTTGTTTCAAAAACTCCCTATGTCTTTGATTCAGAGAATATGAAGGGAATGAAATTGGCCAAAATGGTTCTTCATATTCCCTTCTCATTGGATATCGTTTGGAACTGTTATTGTAACACTGAATTTGCCAAAAGATTCGACAAGATGGCAAATTCCAAACACATTCTCTCTCGACACATTCCTCCTGCCAAGCAACCTCCGTACAGTGTTGAACGTCCACCCTATGCTCTACAATTCGCATCGAATGCACTCAATCTCTTTTTCCTTCTCAAGACTCGACAAATGAGTTATTCCTCCACAGCCATCTATGATCCCTTCATTGACATGTACATGTTTTTGGCTCATTCAGCAGAATTTGAACCCGAAGATAATCTTCCCACTGATATTGGAGTCAAAGCACATGGTTTGGTATATTACATGTTTTATCGAGTGAGTGAAAAACTCACACGTATTGTTCACATCATTTACGGAGATATGAATCTTCCCGTCTATTCCGATCAAGTCATGAAAGTGATTTGGAAGAAACGAGTGAAGGAACATCAGAAGGGATTCGCCAAAATTCTGAATGAAATGACTGAGAATGGAACCATTTCAATGGAACAACTGAGTCGAATGGAGGATGGCCACAATACGAAATTGTGTGTTTCTGAGAATCGTGAGGTGTATGGAAATCGATCATGGTATAAGGAATGGTTGAATTTGAAGAAGGAAAAACCACAACATTATTGAGTTCCATCATTTCTGTTTGTAAATAAATCATCCTAATGATGATGATGATTGAGGTAGAATTTTTATGAGTGGTTTTTCGTAATAAGGCTTATTGTAAACATCAATAGAGGCTTTTCAAGCAAGAGGAGGCTTAAAGGTCAATCGTAAAAAAAATGGTCAACTCCTCTCCAAAAAGAGTGCCAAGCAGAGAAGATAGTAATGACTTCTCTGAAGAACAATCGGTAAGTAAGAGAAATTATGACCAAAACATTGGTCCTAACTGCTTCAAATGTAGTTATTAAAGAAAGTAAAATTCAATGATTCCAATGAAATAGTTGCAAATTCTGATGAAGTAGATTCAGGTATGATTGAAGAGAAGTCCAATATTGATGAGGAGCCTCAAAACGGACAAAAGAGATCATCATGTTCTGAAGGATTGCTAGCTGATGGCAATGATGAGGCTTTACCATTGGAGTCTTCGGTTGAAACTTTCTCCAATCCAAACTTTAAAGAAGCAAAACGCAGTTTGAATCATTTGAATGATCGACTCGAAGCAGTCATGAATAGTAAGTTGCATCATCTCTTGTGCTGTTTTGATTATTAAACCCTTTTCTCAGATTTCATTACCGGGCTCTCTGAAAAGGTGAACAAATTGATTTCAGCAGTGCAAGAAGCAAGTGAGGCAAGAAGAGATCAATTGGAGCAACTGATGAAAGAAGGAGAAGAATTGCACAGAAAAAACCTTGAAACCAATGGCCAGTTAGAAAAGGCAAAAGAACTCGCTCACCAGTTCTCCTTAGAATAACTTTGAGCTTAATAAATAGTTTGAATTCGAAAAGGTGATTAGTTCGGGTTGCATAATACTCATTTTAATCATGAGTTTATTAAACTGCAACAACAACCTTATTAAGAAGGTTGAAATTGGGCTACCGTTTCGTAACCAGGAAGATGTCGGAAAAATTCATATTGGAATGTTGATGTTCTCGCTGTGCTTGTTCAGATTCTTTCACAATTGTCGATCTAAGTTGTAAAATCATGCATTGAACACAATACAATCGTAGGTTCACATTTGGTAAGTCAGTAATCGTTTTTTGTCCACAAGATACAGCCTGAATCTCTTTCCAAATGATTCCCTCAATAAAAGTTCTCCAGACAAATTCTTCAACATGAAGTGAAACAATATCAAAGTCTCTCAAATTGATGTTCAAAAGATTGTCACGACTTGGAATTCCAGAAATTATGACAGGTTTTGAAAAGCTTCCAGCTTGGTCGTTCATGAGCGACTTGTCAAAAAGGGCGTACCACGTCAACACATTGTATTCATCCTTAAAAAACGGCACCAAAAATACCTCAGAGTCTGAGTACAAGAGCAATGGCCCTATCGCTTTCGACAGCTTAAAATAACATCCTGTTGGCGAAATCAAAGACTTGGAGAGCATTTCAAAGTTCTCTTTTCGAAATAATTGAAGCACTGAATAAGGTATTGTATCAAAATCCACGTCTGAGTCTACTCCTCTGGGGTTTAGTTGAAAATCTTTCACTTGTAATGCTTGTAATTCTTCTGTTTTCTCTGTGTTGTAATCTTTAATATTGTCATGCTCTCTATTCAGTTTATACTCCTCCAATAACAATTTATAGTCATCACTAAAATCAATAGGAGCCAAATGATCAAATGGAAATAATTCATATGTGGAGAAGGCAGATCTTCCAGGTCTAAATCCTTCTATTCTGACAAAATACCATCCTCTAAAATTAGCATCATGAATATATTTCTGAAATAATGTTCGGTTGTGTTTTGTTTCCGTAACGTGGTTACCCGATTTGATTTTATCATCATCTTGCAAATGGAGGAAATGATGGTGTTCATGCATTTTTTTAAAGTTCATGGGTTGCACATGAATAAACCCAAAACTGCAAAATTTGTAACTGCTTGGGAAACATTTAGCAGTCAGCCTGGCGAACTCAACTCCGACAACATCTACACCTCACACCTACACACCCATTAGACTCACTATCGTAGGACAATTGAGTACCTATAATTTGTTTATTTTTCAATAAACCCATTCCTGTATTTTTTTAAAGTTCATGAATTTTGTTACTAGATGAACACTTTACAATTTCATTTCGAAATTTAGAATGACATACAGTGGTGTTGCGTTCCAAATAATCATGAGTGACAGTATTTAATCTTTCTGGAAAGGGCATCAATTACCTGGACTTATCATTACTTGTTGTGATCATTCACATCCTTAAGAATTCTTATACTGGTGGAAAATAAGAAAGAACTGAATTCGAATGATATTGAATTCAATGACAATTCAAAATACCAGTAAGGTTTCAATTTTTATCATTCAATCATTAATTTGGTACTCTTTGCATAATTTCTATTTTAAAAAAACTTTTTGATTTTTTTCATTCTGCTGTTGTTCTATTCGCGCACATTGATCCGAGCTGTTGCTGCAGGAGGGAGAGGTGTTTTCATACAATACTAGTATTATTGATTGCTAAAAGCATCAATCACCACGTTTGAAATTCAGTATTCAACTACCAGTCTTTGACTCTTTCTCTCGGAGACTCAAAACACAGTTCATTGTGTGGTAGGTGGTGCGTTCTTTCTGATTTGTCGGTTGCAAAATTGAGCATAACGTGGTGGTTTCTTCAAAAGAGGAGTATACTAATTTCTTCTTAGAAGAAGAAAACATTGTCATATATCGGAAATACTGTCCCGCTAATAGGATTTGAAAGTAGTTATATTCTAAATTATTTGTGTGTACCATCTAGTAATTTGTAAATTAATTAATTTGAAAAGAACAAGGAACTCGTATAAGAAATGGGAAGATTGTATTTGAAGTATTTGAACGGATCCTCCATCTATGTGTGCTCCAACTGTAATTCACATCTTTCAATGAATGATGAAATTATATCCAAACACTTCCATGGTCGCTTCGGAAAAGCATACCTCTTCAACAAGGCGTAAGTAGCGGGGAGTGTTCGATCATTTCAATTTGAATCCAACAACTGTTGGAATGGATGTTCTTCTTAATTACTTTCAACATCCTTCGTTGAAAACCATTCCATGCGAATATTTCGCACATATTCACCAACTATTGACTCACTCACGGTGTTCAATATTTCTTAATTTTCTCTTAGTATTAATGTAACGACGGGTCCTTGTGAGGAGCGACAGCTCATGACTGGACTTCATGTCGTATGCGATATTTATTGTGTAAATTGTAAAGCTAATGTTGGATGGAAATATAAGAAAGCATATGAAAGTTCAGAGCAATATAAAGTTGGAAAATTTGTTTTGGAAAAAGCAAAATTGAAGAAAGAGAATACGTTTTTGAATTGACCTGCCATGCTTTGGAAGCATTGTAAAGATGAAAAACACAACATGCAAATGTCAAATAGGCTCAATACCTTGTAAATACGACTTTCTATTGTAAATAAAACATCACATCCATCACTACCAAATCTGTCAGGAGTACACATGTTCATAATTAACATAAATAAATGTTGGAATGCATTAAGGATAAACATGTGACAGTTATTAGACCTTTTCATCATGATGATACTAACAACAAGCCAACCATCAGAATACTCAATCATTTCTAAAACAAAAGAAATGACAGAGAAAAAGAAATCACCATCTTCCTCCAAGGACAAAGCCGTTGATAAGAAAAAGAAGAAACATCCAAGCAAGAAGAAACAAGATCTTTCGTCTAAAGAGAAATCTCATCATCACCATCATGACAAGTACTACTCCAACAACAGTCTTCAAACATCTACATCAGAGGCGCAACAAAAAGTCTATAAAATTGGAATGTTAGGGGATGCTGGAGTTGGCAAAGCTTCTCTCTGTGTCGAATTTACAAAATCTAGGAAGGTCAGAGGTAAGTAGATCATGGGAAAGTTCTTCTGTTTTGATGAAATCACCTATGATCGATTGTATCTGAATATGAAATTCCTCAAACATTCCTCAAAAACATTCACACGCGTGTTCTAGCATCGAGACCTTCAGCCTATGATCCCACAGATGAGAGACGTTTCTATCAAATCCTTCAAATTGAGGACGAATCAGTAACAGTTCAAATCATCAATAACAGTGGGCAAGAAATGATGAGTGCTGTTGAAGACATTTACTACAGCAAATGTCTTGGATTTCTAATAATTTTTGCAGTGGACGATCGTGAGTCCTTTCACAATGCAACCACTAGGCATTTCGAAAAGATTTTACGTGTGAAGGATGCGGAAGACAATGAAGATGTTCCTCACAATATTCCCATTATTCTTGTTGGTAATAAGGTAAGTGTTGTTCGCAATGAGTGTGTCACAATTAAGATGGATTTTAAAAATTCTGTGCACTGAAATTCTTTGTTCTTTCTCCAATTTGATAATTGTCATAAAGGCCGATGTTGATCCAAGCCAAAGAAAAATTTCAAAAGAAGAAGCTATTCAATTTTGCAATCGGAAATTCCTCAAATACATTGAGACATCGGCGATTGAACATTCAAATATCTATGAAGCATTTGAGATGATTGTGCGAGAAATCATTGAAAGTAATTTCATTGAAGGTATGAAATCAAAGCTTAAGGATCAAGATACAAAGTATATCTCGTCACGTTCGTCAAGAAATAAACATTCGTGCAACATACTTTAATTTAACGTGAATATATGGATGAATGGTATGGAGAGCGACAAGCATTCCACATATAATATTAATCTTCATGATTGAATTTAGTTAATTGTAAAATGTTCATCATCTAGGGTGTTAAATAGCTTTCCTAATTGAACTAGGTTATCAAATGCTGCTTCTAAATAATCTTCAGGATATTGTCCAATGAGAGCGTCCAAAATTTCAGATTTCAGTACTCCAGTTCTTTTCTTTTGAGGGGTTATTACCTGTGATGCCGTAGTAAGAATTTCATCCATGAGTTGTTCCAGTCTTGCCACAGAAGCATCGTTTTGTACAGAAGATGATGTTCCAAAATTATAGGCTTCGTTGCCCACCATGGAAGTGTTCATAGCATCAGCGTTCGACGATCCAGTAATACTTGGTGGAGGGCCTTGGGTGTTGTAAAGATGTACTTGAATGCATTCGAGCATGTGGAAATAAATTTCGTTTGCATCTGTGACAATTCGGGCCATGATTGCATTCAAACTAAATCTTTCCTTCCATTCGCTAATGTGTCCAAAGAATTTTACAAAATCTCCCTCTCTAAATATATCATCATTGAATGAGATCATCAAGAATTGTTTTGAACATTTCCGATAAATGTAAGAATTCACAATCAATAATGATCCAATAAATACATACCGAATGTTTTCTCTCTCTTTTGCTAGAAATTCATTGTTTTTTAAGCTCGAGTCGAAAACTTTAATCTCCATTGAGGCTGTGCAATCATCAACGGTAAAGGAAGTGTAAGTGCTCTTCTTGGAAATGGCCACTACTTGACCCAAAATTTCAACAATATCCAATTCCTTTCCGTCCACATGAAACCGTTCATTGGTCTTTTTGTTTCCGAGAAGTTGTCGGATCGTGAGTGGAGTGCAAGAGGAAGGCTTCTCACCACTCATCTTGCTTGTTTCTTTGGAATTGAACGAGTCTTGAAAAAATCCTGCTTCTTCGGTCATTGTGTTGCCTCTCGAGAACAATAATGTTTAAATATTTTTTTTAAAAAAACAAAACCGTTTGCTTGGCGGGTGATTGTTTCGATTCCACTTTTAACAAGAACAACTGACAATTCCATTTTCGTTGAACGAGCCAGTACGTACTCTCTACACAGAATGAAACAAATGGAATCTTTAAATCTTGTCCAAATGATCCAGTCACCATATTTGATTGGGTAGCCTTCTAACTCCTGAAAGAACAGTGAAACTCAAGATCCAACATGATGACGAGTGATTGCCATCCGTTTCAACATCATGTCGACAAGTCATCAACCAGACACAGCAAAATTTTTTTAAAAAAATATTTCTTGTTGGTGATTTTTTTGCTGTTCGCGTTCTCTCTTTGGCCATCGCCATCATCATCAGCACCACTGAAATTCCTTCTTGTTTTTATTCACATCATCATCATCATCATCAACACCATTAAAATTCATACAACATGGCATCCGAAGATAAACAGCTTAATTGTGCTCTAGATCTTTTCAGAAGACTTCCTCCATCTCAATTGGAGACCAACTTGAGTTTTGTTACAGAATTGGCTCCACATCTCACCGATGATCTTTTACAGACTGTGGATTGTCCTTTGAAGATCAAAAAGTGTCCAGAAACTGGCAAGGATTATTTGATTTGCGATTATAACAGAGATGGTGATAGTTACAGAAGTCCACACTCCAACAAGTATGATCCTCCTTTGGAAGATGGTATCTTGCCATCCGATGAGTTGAGAGAAATGGAAAAGAGGGCCAACGATATCTTTCAATCATACTGTGATCAATACTATGATGGTGGTATTGCAAGTGTTTACATGTGGGAAATTATGGATGGTGGTTTTGCTGCTGCTGTTCTTTTCAAGAAGGATGGTTCTGGTTTGAGAGGAGTTGAAAAGGGTGTTTGGGACTCCATTCACGTTGTTGAAGTTCAACCACAAGACTCCAAAACAGCTTCCTACAAGCTCACAACAACCATTATTTTGAGCATGAGCACTCAAGATGGACAGTTGGATCTTTCCGGAAGTGTTCAAAAGCAGGAAGATCAAGTCACTACATTTGACAACGCCTACAACACTCATATTGTCAACATGGGTAACATGATTCAAAAGATGGAGAATTACTTGCGTAATCAATTGCAAGGAGTTTACTTTGATAAGGCCCGTGAAATTACTCGTACTCTCCGTAACCCTCAAAGCAGCTCTGAACGTAAGGTTCAAAGTGCATTGCAAAACGAGTTGGCCAATGCCCTTGTCAACAGAAAGAGATAATTTTGCCAATAATTTCGAACGAACTTTTTCACACAATCATGACTACCCGTTTTTTCACGTCATGATGTACATATCAGAATATTCGTATAGCTGCTAAAAACAATCATGTAACATGTTGTATCATTAAAGTAATTTATTTAAATTGGCCAAGGCTCGGACAATGATGTCATCCTTTTTCACACCGAATGCTCAGTAAATGTCACACTGACGTTGTTGTAAATGAACGACAAACTAAATTATTCATTGGTGCTCAGAATGTACGTTTGTGGAATTTGTCCTGAGACTAGCGCTTCTTCTTCTTCTTGTACTTCCACTCATCATCATGCAAAACAGAACTAATGCTTTCTTTCCACGACGACAATTGATTTGACTTCATCAGTTCTGCCTGACATATTTCCATGAGTCGATCATTTCCAAGCACTTGCGATCCATACAAATCAATGGTTTTATCTTTTTTAATTATTTCCTTTCGCTCCTCCTCCGAAAAGTAATTGACTATTAATACTTCTCTTGGATTATGAAAATTATGAGGTGGTTCAATAGAAGAAATTAAGGAAAGGTCTCTTTGTATATGATCCAACTCATCATGGATATGTTCAACAATATTTGATATTTCATTTTGTTGGTGATGTTGATCTTCTCCGACCATTCTGCTTGCAATCGGAGATGGAGAAAGCATATCTTCTAGTGTACGATCATGATCATTCAAACTAATGGGCGATATGATGACTGCCTGATTTAAACTGTTGTTGAAACTTATTGGTTGCATTTTTTAAAAGGATGACTTAATTGTAGATGACAAAGAAAGACTGGAGCATAACAATAAGGATGTTTTGTTGTTGAAATTGTGTCACTCTTTGGTGTTGCATAACAACTTGTTTCTATATTGTAAATTTTGGATTTGTTTCGAATTCGAATCTTTCACATCACCTTCAAGTTCATCTTTTCGCCACATTGTTGTCATTAATTAAATTCACCACTCGAAAATTGAGTAGCATCAACAAACATTCTTGATTGAATGGGAATGATATATGGTATATCATTCAAGACATGGGTCGCCATTCACGTCCTCAAATTACAATGAAATGTATCATTTCCTGTATTTGGGGTTTGAGAAGTAAAAGAAATACCTAGTCTCGACTCTTATTAAGGTGGGATAAGCAAATATCAAGTCTTACAAGATGAATTTTGATCAAGCCATTAGTTAGAATGCATTCACTGTTGTTGAACCCATCTAAAATGGTCCTTTTCAATTAATTTTTCTAATACATTCGAGGAATCCAAATCTTGAATTCCGTTTGCTTTCATCCTTCTTAAATGCGTTTCTTTTGATTTTCGCTCGCCTGGCAGTTTTTGGAGTTTTTCTAGGCTCCTAACCTTAATGCTCGGGACAACTTCCTAATCCATTCACATAAAAACATAACATATGAACTTTGAAAGGTACAGAACACTATAACAGTCTCATGCAAACGATTTGAAATGATAGAATGACTTATCTTTCAACGTTGAAGAATTTGTGAGCTGGTTTTCGATCGTGGATGTTATTCCATCATTTCATCCATTCCATCTATATCATCCATATCATCCTAATCATAGTCATATTGCAAATTGTCATCATTTGGCATGTAAGAATTTACAAAATCATACAATACTTGATAGGGATCTGTATTCTGTGCGACTTGTTGCAGATAATGAGAAAACTGCGTATCATTGTCAGCTATTTCTTTCCAAATATCCATAGCTGACTGTAATTTTTGTGCTTTGTTTAGAATATCAAACTTGGATCTGACTTTTGAGCGTAACATGAAATAACAACACTTCAACAAACTTTCGCAATCAAATCTATCCGTATAGCGAATTGGTGTATATTCAACCCAACTTTTAGCATACTCTTCTGCACAAAATAGAGCAGTTCCTGCAAAGTGATCTTGTGGTGAAGAATTGTAAACAGAAAACCCCCAATCAGCCAGAACAACATTATCCTGTTCGCCTAACAAAATATTATCAGGCCTGATATCTCTATGGTAGATATTTCTGCTGTGAATAGTTCTTAGAACTGAAATCAGTGGTTCAATTGTTTTTAAAATAAGTCGTTGGTCATTTGTTTCGTATTTGAAAGGTCTATAAATAGGAAAGAAAATACAATTCTCATCATTTGCGTATTCATTACTAACATTGGCCAACTTTGTTACATTAGGAACATCTGTTAACTGTTTAAGTATATCCTTTTCATGCTTGATAGCAAACAAAATATGTTCCTTTTGGGAAGAACAAAGTTTCATTGCACATTTGAGTGGTTGGGTATTCGTACCTTTGACTTCCACCTCAAAAACATTACAAGTGGCTCCAGTTCCTAATCTATCAAGTTTTACAATTTGTCTTGGAATAGGAACAGGATCAGCTTCATTACCTATTTGTTTGGATGGATTTTCTGAGAGTGGAGGGCCAGTCACCAAATTACCATGCTTTCATATTTTTCATACTGATTGCTTGCATACATGGTTTCATTTCAAGTGTAGAGATAGATACGATGCGTGTTTCGAATATGAAATTTGATTCACTACAACATAAGAACCCCATTAACGTATACAGGTGGGAGTGACAGGTAACGAGATCTCCCAAGCCAGGAGAAAAAAATTGGCTGGACGGGAAATTTAATTTTTTTTTCTCAATACCACCTCTGTACACGTTTGTTGCTTTTTGTGTATCTTTGCAAAAAATGTTGAAAAGAACTCTCTGTCTGGTTGCACAAAAGATAATACCAAGAGGAAGATATATCAAGAGGAAATTGATGAGTGTCACAAAAAGCTAAAACTACTTGATTCACTTCAGTAGCTCCAGAATTATCTATTCTAACCCTCAACCATTATCAGCCCTAAGAGGCTACCTCAACTCAATCACTCCTGATATAATCATGCTCCAGGAAGTTAAAAGCGTCTACATTGGTCCAGATTTTCCCTCTATATATTATTCTTCATTTACATATTATCACAATCCAAGAGATTCCTGTGGTGTATCTATTTGCCTCAACAAAAGCACTTTCAAAGATATTGAAGAAATCATCTTAGATCCGATCATTAAGAATAACGCGCGAATTATTGGCGTGAAATGTAAAATCAATTCAATTAATACTCTAGTATTTTCTGCGTACTTTCCAAATCAACCAGCTGACAGATGTGAATTCACATATATTCTTGACAACCTAATTGAAAAATATCCTAACTACAAAATCATTATTGGAGGTGATTACAATGCGATTTTATCCGAGAATCACTCCTCAAACGAATCTAGAAGAACTGATCAAAACATACTAGATCTTATTAACAAGAGAAATCTTAATTACTATCCTTTCCCTCATTTATCATGGCACCTTCATTATACTATTAACAAACAATCCAAGTCTATAATAGATTACATATCCACAGATTTTCCAATTGCATCTGGAGAAGTACTGAATGCCAACTTCATATCAGATCACAAAATGGTTAAAATTCTACTTGACCTCTCATGTCAACGAACACCTTTGTTAATTCGGAAGAAGCGTAACTTTCAAGATCCCAAAAATAAGAAAGAAGTGCTGGCCATTAGCAAAGAATGTGTATCTCAAGTTAAGAATTTAGAATCTGATAACGACAAATGGCTTTTCATTTGTGATAAACTAGGCGACAAATTTGTGGAGGTCAATCCACCTAAACTTGATCCTAAAATCTACAAATATAATAAGCAATATAAGAAGCTCATGTTAATACTTGATAGAAATGAGCACGGATATCCTTGTGACAAACTTTTGACCACTATTGGTAAAACTTTAGAACAGGTTCCAAAATGTCTTGCAAGTGTCAAAGAGAAAATCAAGAACCATATCAAATGGAGCCATGATAAGGCTTTGAACAGAAAGATGAAATGGTGGGAACAAAACTATGCAACCAACTCTAAACATCTGAGAAAGAAAATTTACAAAACGTCATCACCACCATACAAATTATCTATCGAAGGAACTGAAATTAGTGACCCCAATGAAGTTGCCAATGTGATCAAGGACAAATATCAACAAAACCTCAACTTTAGAGGAAGAAATCATCAAATTGACATTACCAAGTTTTTCAAGTACAAACATCCATTAATTGATAATTGCAATGACAAAATACTCGGTAGAATTACCACGGAAGAGAAAGAATGGATAATTCAGAATTTGAAATCCACAGCACCCAATGAACTAGGTTTAAGACAAAAAACTATCAAATACATGTGTAAGGAATTACAGGAGGAAATTTTTCAAATTATTGAAAATATCATTACAACTGGATTTACTCCTGAATCTATGCAAAGTGTCAGCATTCTCCCAATTCACAAAAAGAATAAGGACCACTCAAACCCTGCTAACTATAGACCTATTGCCCTTATGGACTCAGGACTTAAAATAGCTACTAAATTAATCACCAAAAGATTGAAGGAAGTATTAAAGGGAAGATTATCATTAGCTCAATTTGGTGGTGAAGACGGCAGAGAAACTATTCACAGAGTCCTTTCAATTTACAATATGATTGCTTGGGCAAAAAAAGGACAAGAAACCTTTTTATGGTTTGGCTGTTGACATCA